TTAGAATTCTAACCAAGGATGCAAACGATGAATGAGGTTTCTCTTTTTTGCTTGGCAGCGTGTACAGGTGTACCTTTCCGACACTGTCTTAGAGCCCTTCGGAGATTACTGTCGAGAAACGGTTAGACACTCCTCGCCCTTAAACTTTTTATGATGTGGGAACCTCGGGTAATTCGCATCATCCAATATTAGATTGGCTGGCTATTTGCTGACCATGGCTTACGATGGCTGAGTAAGTATAGGTCGAAATGTCCAGAGCGTTTCCGAAAAGAGAGCAGAACTCGCGAAGGCTGGGATGTCAAAGATCCTATACGTTCGGAAGATAACTCCGGTGAATCGTTGAACTATCATTAACACTGGTCAATTGTCTCAAATTCTCAATACTTTGAGGGAGTTCGGAGAATGTAAATCCATGCTTTCCAATCGCACCTAAAGCCACTTACAAATGTTGGCGATATGGATCTGGATCGATCAGATCGATCGTGACCAAAGAAGATGATTTTATATTCTTTTCTGTACAAAGAGTAGACTCGCCAACTTTTGCCAGTGAGCATCGTTAGTCCTCTGCCACTGTCTATGGACGTACCAACTAACTGATATGCTTTCTGACGACGATATGGATTTCAACGATGAGTACACTTCGCCAATGACGGACGACTCTAGTCAAGTAGACTCCTCGAAGCGTCGGTTACAAGCACACAAAAGGCCGAAGCAAGTTCGTAGTTGTGGTAAGTGGTTGAAATTTCCGGGAATAGGGATTTAATGTATGACAGAACAAAAGGACAACAGTGTTAAAGCAGTAAAAATTAGAGTATACCACCATTAATACTCGTATTTTGCATATTGGAGGTGGTCGTATTCGTCACGGATCGAACGTCCCAATTCCGATGCCAATTGTCTTGTTTATCTATATTCTATCAGATATTCAGCTTCTCTCCAAATTCTAGATCGCTGCAAAATAAAGAAACGGAAATGCGACGGCTTGAAGCCTTGTTCAACATGTGAACGGGCTCAGAGTGATTGTACGTTGGAAGTGATTCCTAAACGACGAGGGCCACAACCAGGCTCTTCAGTTACACGTCGCAAGTACTCTATCAACTCTATGGCCAACAAGAAAAGCAAGACGCCAACGAAACCAGCTGGTGTAGCAAAGGCCAGATTAGCTGCTATAAAACAGGGAGTCAGAGTAGCAGCTATTGTGTCAACTGCACCGGAATCCACTGTTGCAGCACTACTGCCTCTGCCTATAGCAGCCTTATCTGACACTGTATATGAGGAATCGGCAATTGCTAGTAGAGCTCCGCTTTTCTCCATGCAATACGGATTCTTTGCTGAAGATACTGCATCGTTTGAGGGTGGATTCACGAGCAGTAATGACATTGCGTCCACGGAGTGCGGCTCTTGGGCTGATCGTATGGAAAATGAAGACACGGATAATAGCTCCTCGTCTCAAAGATACCCACCCATGTCATGTAATGTAGCTACTCCAAAGTCCAACATGTCGACACTCCATACAGCCTTGTCTTGGGATCTGCTTCAACAACGTGCCGAGCAAGATCAATCAAATGGTAATAATCAAATGCTAGTACCTATACCGGCCATATCCAACAGCAGTCATACCACGAAACTGACGCAACCTTGTATCAAGAGCATTCAATTATCCATATCAAATCATGTAAAACATCCAAAAATACCTAAATCACCTAAATCTCTAAACGCCTCCTCTGGATTTATACCGCCCGACTTTGCTGTATTAGGTCTACCACCATTACCTCCATCGCTCTACTTGGTGCTTGTCAAAAACTTCTTCATATATTTCCACCCGGCCTTTCCGGTACTCGATGAACCCACTCTCCTCAATACGATCTTACCATTTATATCACCAAAGGCCAATCCAGCGTTGATAGCAGCCATATGTGCAATCGGAGCAACGTATTCCAGACATCCAGCCTTGTCTGATGGAGGTAGAAGGAAGTGGTGTACTGTGTTCGTAGAAATAGCTCGGGAACGAGAACGTAGTATGCCACCTGGACAATGGGGTGACTTGTCCATTTGCCAAGCGAGGTTGTTACTCAGTGTGTTTGAAGTTGGATCTGATGCAGCACATCAATCCGCAACTTGGACTTGTAAGTACCGCTTCCCATTGACTTTGAAGCAAGGATGCGTTAAATTGTTACAAATGACTGATGGCTTTTTCTAGCTATGGGAAGATATTTGGCAAACGAATTTGAAGAAGATCATTTATCACTCCTTGCCCCAAGTTTGTTTGCAGGCGCATCTATACTACCAAGGCAAAGACAGAGGCAAGTTCATCAGATTTGTTTCTTGCATTGCTGTCCTGACACGTTTGGTGTTTATAACAGGGCTTGGTGGTTGTCGTTGTTTGTAGAACTTCATGGATGTATCGCAGCGGGTCTCGTCCCATCTTTAAATGAGATGTTATACTCTACGACACCAGCCTTGACACCACCGACGACAGCAGTCTCTCCGTCGGATCCTACTTCGCCTTGGTGTCAGTCCCTGAGTCAATTTGACGCTCAAACAGTCTTTGATTTCGGAGCTATGGCATGGACTGATAAACTCATGTCACACACACCGCAAATACTAGATCGCTGTAATGTAATATCCGACGGCGCAGAAACTCAAGCGCTAGTGCAACTAGTGTTCTTGGGACGACGAGTATTGAGACTGGCACGAGTCAGGTGTCCTCCGTCACAGCCAAAGGATAACAGCAACAACACGGACTCGCTACGGGACAGTTATAAACCGGTTGCGCAAGTTTTGAATGTATTGCTCATGGACATTGTGATGCTTCATGACGCACTCATTCGATATTATGATGCGCTGCCAAGCAGTCTGAAAATCTTCCCTAACTTGCAAGTACTTTCAACAGCAGGAAGACTATGGTGTCTGGAGAGCTCAGGGACCCGGCCAAGTCCAGCAGCCGTTGCTATAAATATAATCTTCTTTGCTATGATTGGAGTTCTTCAGTAAGTCGTGATATGTTACCCTGGACTACATCATTCATGAACTAATTATTACACACGTACTCAGTCAACGCCGAGCGTCAGAATCAACATCGTCGACTACTCCACTTCCATCTGCCATCCACAATAATGTAGGTACCGATAATCTACCAAGTTCCGCATCATCCGCAACGACAGCCCCTTCAACAAACTCAGAGACTAACGCAGAGGGATCAGACAAGATCTTCAAGGTAATAGTTTCTCGACCATTATGCCAAGATCAACCCGTTGTAGAAATGTGGACTCCCATTGATATGTTGGTCATGGCGTATCGAGGACACTGTCATATCCTACACCGTGTATACCACAATACTCTTCCTTCCCTATCGGTCGCACCACCTCCCGAACTTGTATCGACACCGTTTTTACAGACCTTCTTGTTGCCACCTGCCGCAGCGTTACTTTCTTCAAGTCGATACTCTAGGGTAATGGTAAATGGACTAGATCCGCGGAATGTATTTGGAACTTCAACGCATGTAAATAGTGAGGAAGGAAGTGACCCCACCAGCACTGGTAGTACTGGAGGTCTCCATACTAGTGATGGATCAACACCGGATCAACAACCACTACTCTCTGTATTCTCCAACATAGCTGCTAGCAACATTAATGCCCTTCGAACCCTGCTTGCAACACCCTTGAACCAAGCCTCTTGTGGTACTGTACCAGTACGAAGTGCCTCTCACATTGTTAATTCAGGACCGATATTAAGCGGTCATCGTAGACATGAGGAAGTGGAACCATTAGCAGCTCTATTGATTCCAGCTCTTGAAGATGCTGGACGTGTCTGGCCGATAGCTAGCACCTATGCTCAAAACTTGCGGGCAGTAGTATTATCTATTAGAGATCAACTACCTCCTCCATCTCATCCGTCTCTATTTGCTAATTCCTGGGATGCACTAGCACAACTTAGGCGATGAGGACGATAATATGGGTACTGCCGTTACTGAAGAATTAGGGCAATTTCCGATGACTGGTGGTGTGATGAATGGCGGTATGTGCGGATGAACTAGCATATATATTTTTGAAGTCAGCACCTCTTTGACTAACGTAATATGATTGAATCGGGTCGACCTGTGCCCTTGTAACATGAATACCTTGAAAAAAAAAAAAGTGTTTAAAGCAGCGTTGAATTCGTGTATAACTATCTCTTATGTATCACGTATGCCGCAGGAGAATGAAGAACTGGCGAATTATGTAGAAGCTTCGACGGCTCTTCTCATTGGTCAGTAGTTGGATTCTACTAGAGACGTGCTCGTTCCATCTGCTCTCAACTAGCAAAGAATGACGTACTGTCTTTTTAACCTTTGAGTGAACGACATGCTGAGTATCTAGCACATGGTATCTATTGAAATGTCTGTAAAAATGGACAACCTTGCTACACAATTTGGGACCTGTCTTGGACATTGGCTTTTCTTGGTGATACAAGAGAAACACGGTTTTAAATTGCAATGGTCGGACGTTTGGACGTGAGCAAATTTACTTCTCCCACTAGTCCACCATCAAGCCAGTCAGCCTTCTCTAGTGGATGTTATAAAATTGGGGTCAGGGGGGACGTTTGGCTGCAGTTTAGCCTTTTTCCATTTTATTCTCTCAGTTATAAAAAAACCTAGGCAGCACAGGACCAACATTGTAAGAGTAATACATATATGACACAGTAATACACAGCTGTTGAATATGCGACACATGCGACAACGGTCATACCGGATAAACCATTCACAACTGACCAACTATGGAGGGGCAGAACAGGAGAGAGGGAGATGCAGCACAGGACCTACAATTTAGGCAGTGTATCATCTATTCCACAAGAGTCACAGGACACGTCTATGAATCACATACACGTAAGCAGGACCAGATGGTCCAAAACATCAAAGTGTATACACACTACTAAAATCACATCATATCGCGTTTTCTATGTTTACCATAATAGTTTACACGTTTATACTTTTATACAAACTTCCATCACCGTTATTACGTTCAAAACTCTTCTTGAGGAACATAATTGGGATGAATAACAACGATAGGATCATTAGAAGGAGCCCGTGGGTCAGCCTGTTCACCTTCAGCACCATCTGCCATTAATCCAGTCTCCCTCAACTCAATCAATACATTGTCACGGTTTATGAGACGTGATAACACGGCCTTAACCTTTTTACGTTCAGCATGTAGCTGCTCTTCAGTCTCGATATCATCTTCTTTACTTTCCATATACCAATCAATCAGCTCAGACTTTCGCATGCCTGCTGACCCGTCTTGAGATCTACCTTCATGACGAGTGATTTCTGCTACCACTGCATTAGATATACGTTGATACTCGTCATATGGAAGACGGAGTTTGGCACTAGCACGAGGCTCATCTGGTCCTTGTCCATCTACATCCATTGGAGCAGCATCTGGAGCTGCTGGTGCACCACCTGCTTCACCTTCAGTGTTATAATCCATTTCCATAGCAGTAGCTTGTGCTGCTTGATGGAGTCGTTCGGCTTCTTCAGCAATGCGAACCAATTCTGCGTCATCATCCTCATTCATCTCTACATCGTCGTGATCAATGTGAACGATTGAAGTTCGAAGCAATTGTGCTGCTTCTTTGACATAGTGTATGTTGACCTATGGTCACAGAGGCGTTAGCATTAAATTCGAAGACCAACCATTGAGCAAACACCTACTTCTTGGTCACAGTGCATCTTGGCTAATGCTTCAGACAATCGGATCATACTCTCCAACTGACGGACTGTAATACGATATGATGATCGATTCACACCTGTAGCGTGCCAAAAGAGTGAGCTGTAATGTTCAATAGAAGAATTGTAGAGATTTCATTACCCGTAGAATCTTCTTGTCGTAGCTGTCGATATTGCTTTACCAAGTATTCACGAGCCGCCACAGTCATCTAAAAATCGAACCGCAATGTGAGCGAAAAACCTTAAGCACGGTCTTGAAATAAGGGACCACCTTAGGCTTCAAGCTCTTGGCGTATCTCAAGTAACGAGCGAGCTGATCTTGACTGTATTCTGATTGAATACCCTCATCACGATGTCGATGGAAGTTGACAATATGACGAGCAATGTTGTAATCAGTTGTCTCATCACAGTCATCCAAGATCACAAAGAACAAGTCGAAACGAGACATGATAGGACTCGACATTTGAATGTTTTGCTAATTGGGTTGAAAGTTTGGCAAAGATAAAGGATACCACAAGGATCTAACCAGGCGCACCTTGAGAGAGAGCTTCTTGTCATAACGACCATGAACTGGATTCGCCGCAGCCAGAATGGATGTACGAGCATTCAGAGTGGCCTGAATACCCGCTTTAGCAATACTGATGGTTTGCTGTTCCATGGCCTCGTGAATGGCAACTTGATCCGTTGTATCCATCTTGTCGAATTCATCAATACAACAAATACCCTAGTTTGAGATGATTATCAGATAATGACCATAGAAATTGAATCGATCTCCTACATTGTCGGCCAACATTAGAGCACCAGCTTCGATAGTGAATTCCCCTGTCTCTTCATCTTTCGTGACACTTGCCGTCAGACCTGCTGCGGAGGAAGCCTTGCCAGATGTGTATATAGCTCGAGGAATAAATCTTGACACATATCTATGTAGTTGAGCCAATGTCAGCGTTTGAAAACAAAACAAGGAAGAAAACAAGTTGTCCTACTTCAGGAATTGAGATTTTGCAGTAGACGGATCACCAACAATACAAACATTGATGTCCCCACGTAAATGGATGCCTTCAGGAGTTACTTTATGAACACCACCCAACAACTGAAGCAAGACTCCTTTCTTAATTTCCTCATGACCTAGTCGATCAAATAAACATTTGGCGGTGCACCTTTTTTGTCTAGAGACACAAAACCCTTACCGAAAATGTGAGGTGCAACACTTCCAATAAGTTTAGCATACAACATTCTGTCTTGTTTCATTTCATTCAACTCTGCGAGTTCTTCGTCAGAGTAAGTTTGCAATACAGCTTCAGCAGTCAGCTCTGCTTCTTCAGAATTGCTCAAGCCAGCAGGACCACGAGCTTCGGCTGGTCGAACAAAACAACCCAAGAAGGTGATCTTGTACGTCAAGTCACGAACACCGAGAGCTTTGAGACCAGAAACACCATCACCATTAGTGTTTGCTATGATGGAGAAAAATAGCGTCGGTGTATGGTATATAAACGATCAAGCCCACGTTTCAATGCCTACCTGAACCACGACCATCTTCGTTACGACCACGTTGTCCTTCAACACGACCACCTATTAATAATGTGTCTTGGAGCAAACCGAATAGGACTCTTTTGTCAAACATCAATTTCACAAACCAGCAAGCTGAGTAATGTCAGGCACAACAATAGGAGTTCCAGTAATAATGATCTTGTCACCAGCCTTAGCAGTCTCAACCACTTGATTACGCAAGATGATATCCATACTACGTGGCATAGCACCACTTGGTACCTCATTGGCATTCTCTATTCAGGCCGAAACAAGAAAAAATGTCAGCAAACTCAAAAGCCAGAGATGGCCTTGCTCACAATATGCGTTTCTACCTTGCACCCGAACTTTCTGCCAGTCAGCAAACTTGGATTGGGCCAATACTACTTCAAAGCCCAGTCTATTACCACAAGTAGCATTGGAACAGATGGTAGGTTCCGTAAACTTGAATTCTTGTTCGATGTCATTCATAATAGTTCCACAATCTGGACATCGGAAGGTACCCCACAGAAGTTCTGGTCGAACTTCAGAAGTACGAGTCACGGTGCCAGATACCGATAGGAGAGTTCCCAACAAGTCAGTTCGTAACTCTCTTAGTCTGTGTTGGAAAATGAATGAGAAAAAACGGAATCCTATTTGCAATCTGGATATACGGAATCACCTTCGAGTAGCAGGAATACCATAAAAGCTAACCCAAAACTCTCTCAAAGTACCACTCTCAGTTGCAGCAGATGGACCTGCACCAACACGCAGATATTCTGGATCATGAGATCGTACGAGATTCTGTACTGCTTTGCGCAAATATGGATCAAGACTATTACAGTAGGGGTTGAAAGCAAATCAGCCAAAGTGAGAATGTGTGGTTGAGCATTTGAGCACTTTGATGTACTTACCGATAGTATTGCTGCATAATAGCTTTAGCAACTGTATCATCACACTGTACCAATTTTTCATAGTCAACATAGATGGTTGTTGACTCTGAAGCTCGTAGACCCTTGATCTGCTCAACATAGTGATGCGTTCCTTGTTCATCTTCATATCTATATAAATAAATGGTCAGATTAATCATAAAAACATACACTATTCCAACCAAAATAAACTCAAGTTTAACACCAAACCAAGACACAATAACAAGCAGCACTTACTCATCCAAAAAGTCTTCAAACTTTTTACGAACTTCTTCAGCCATAGTGTCACGAGCTTTAGGTACTTCATTCGCGGCCATTTCCATTGCAATGGCAGCCATTGCTCTCCTGCGATTGATTTGTGATTGCCGTTGTTGTGATGACATTGGAGGAGCAGCTCCAACTGAAGTCAATCCAGGTGCATCGGTACGAGGAATTGATGATATTTCTGGTCCAGCTGCCCGCATAGTAGTATCTCCATCTTCTGTATCAACGTCGAATCGTATTTTGCGAGGAGCCTGTTGAGTACCATTATCTTCTGTTCTAGGTTGACTTGACTGCTCTTGTGCAGTCAGCATGATGGCTAATTATCTATAAAATAATGGGATTGCCTTCTGGTTGCTGTTCTCGTCTGTTCTCGTCGAGCTCACTTGAGCGCAGTCGTGTTTTTTTTGAATTGAAAGGGTAAAGAGGTTCGTGAGGTAAGGAGTAAAATGACACCAGAACAGGAACAGAGACGGACTGGAACGATAACGCGCATAAACACGGTGATACTTCAGTAATTTGGCATATTTTCATTCTAAAGTCAACGTGTTTTCAGTAGTATGGCACAAAATATAAAAGGATATATAAAATGAGATCATTCTCCCAGCATTCCAAAATAGAAGCCTCCTGTTTCGAATCCAAAAAAGACCCTATCTATGTTTATCAATTGGCAGCAATTATTGGTGGTTTGTCATTCCACGGTTCTGCTCTTATATGACCATTGGTTTTGGATACTCCTACTGGTGGTTCTCCTTCAAGGCATGGGCGCTTGGAAGGATCAAGTCGTTTCCCCCTTCCAAAGTCCACATAACCTTCATCGTCATCATTCTCATCATCACTATTGATGATTAGTTTTCGTGGTTTGGCTCCTCCAGAAGAAGAGCTGAGCGTGCGAGAGTGATGACCATTACTAGTAGGTGCTGGAGCTGTGGTGCTGGTCATGGTCATCAGGGAACTTAAATTGGTCATAGACCTAGATGATAGGTTTCGGCGCAACACAACTGTGGCTGTTGTTGCCGCTTCCGAGAAGTAGTCCAGCCATCCAGCGTCAGACGAAGGAGACATTTGTGATTGTTGGTCTAATATCTCTTGTTCGCGACGTTTGGCTTCTCGTTCTATGCGCTGCTTAAACCATACTCGCCAAGACGAATACTTGAAGAAAGAAGAGTTTGTGTGTTGTTAGATCCTTGAATCTGGTACGAAAGAATAACGGCAAAGGCAGAACTGGCTCTCTCTGAGACAAAACTTACTTCAATCCTAGCTCGGGTCTCAGTTGCCGATCTCATCTTGGTATATTGCCGCCACACCTGAACGACATCCGACTTGCGACTCTCAATAGCCTGAATCATATCTGTTCTACGATTATTATCTTCCAAAGCCACGAGCATCTCATTGCCCTTTTGTGTAGTCTCTGCACCATGCAACAACCAATCTGGCACTACATTGACTTTACGAAGAGCAGGCACCTCACCCATCGCAATGGTATTTGCACGACGCATACGACCTAGTCTGTCGGTGGTTGGACCATCAGGTTGTCGTAGTCGATGAAGTAAGATGGCACCATATCGACTTTGAGGGTTTTCTTTGAGTCGGTCCTGTTTATCTTTAGGTGGTCCCATATGTTTAAAGTAGCCATCCCAAGACAAGTTTTTTAATTTAGCTTGCTTTGATATCAATGCCTTGGTACGGTTGGCGAATTCGACTGTTGATTCACCAACCCCTCTGGTTTCAGGAGCCATATACCATACGTCCGCTACCAGTGCCCACCTTGTCATGAGAAACAAGAGATGAGTCACAAATGTCTGGGACGTCCTAAACCAATATGCATCGGCCCATTTCTTGTTGTATTTGATCGCGACTGGGCATACGGCAGCATCCAGTTCAAATGCACCTTTGTGGAAGAGCACCGTGTATTCGTTATTGACACAGGTACCCTCCGGGAATATTAAGAGTGGGCTGCGACGGACGTCACGGGTATGCTGTTTCATCTGCAGTGGTACATAGTGTCGATCATTCTTTGCAGCACGATCAAAGATGAGTGAGCCATTCAGTGCCAAGACACTCTTCAAGAAGAATCCCAGGACACCTCCATGGCTTTGAGCTATTACTGCGTGAGGAAAGCCATTGGCTGATAATACGATATAATCGATGAGCGAGGTATGGTTTGCTACGAAAATATGTGGTTTGTCCAACTTTGGCTTTTCACCGTGGTATGTGATTTGAGCACCGAACGAGCGTAAAAATGCATTGGTATAAAACATGAAGAGGGAGCGCTAAGAAATGGTGGAAAAATTTGGTCAAAATTGTCAAATGTTTGATAGGAACTGTGTGAGTGCTGCAGCGAGGATGATAAATGTCAAAATCACTTGATTCATACCTGCCACTCTTCATTTTCAAAGTAAAGAACGACGGGTAACATTATAAAAAATAGTAATGAGGCGGTTAACAATAAGCATAATCTGCAAAATGTTGTGAAAGTGGATTGGTTAACAAATTTTGCCATGTTGCACCATATTGAGTTGTTGGCATAGAGGTGAGGATGATGCCATTGATCAATTGTACGTAGATCCAGTATTTCTCATTGTTCAAACTGCGATTCTTTTGTATGGTTGTCAACAATGAAAAATGTCCTGATCTAACAGGGTTTTGGAACCAAACACCAAGCAGTAGAGAAAACTCTGGCAAGACGAGACGTACCGATATGGGAATAAGACACAGTATCTGAATAAGAAGCCACCAACATAGAATGGAGCAAACAAGATTTCCAGCGAAAACCTTGTCCTTGGTTCAGGTTGAAAGCATTTGGAAAAGTCATCACTGGCAATCGCACTGGCTCCATACGTAACGAATGCGAGGCCATCCTCTAGAGCAAATCTAATACATCATACAGAATACAATTAGTAAAAACATGCCATTGACCAGTAAATGAATGACTTGCCCTTTTGTTTGCTCTTCGAGTCTAGGTAAAAGTTCTCTGTTTGCCCTATTGGGATTTGTAGTGGAGCTATTGAGATGTGATAGTAACCTGTCATTCTCAATTGCAGCCATGAGCTGGAAGTGTCCTCGTTTGAGCTCAAGACTTTCGATTGAGTGTGGTTGAGGTTGGGACGGTGTTGAGACTTGAGAAAACATGTCGGGTGAAAACGAATTGGTTTTGACGCTATCAGCACCAACGTGATGAAGCAGGAAAGATCTGCAATCCACCAATGTTATCGTCAAGTTGTCAATTGTGCGCTAGATCTACGTGTCCAGTTTCAACGCAAGTCAAACACGAGTCGCGTGATGGAAAACATATATCAACCGCCAACTGTGATCAACCACCTTGCGGTTTTAAATAATTCTAACTATGTTCTATTCTACATACAATTTTGTCTACTTGTACATCTGCTAGAGTGTCTGACTTACTACTTGTACAGGTTTCGATATTCTGGGTCTGTATCTCGCAGACGTAATTCCACAGCCAGCTTCTCCATCTTCCTCTGCAGATCTCGTTGAGCTTCTGCATCTCCTTTGAATGGCTCAAACACTGATTGGAAAGATGCAGCTGCTTCTTTACCCAATAGTTCAACCATTGCGGATACTTCTTGTATGGCTTGTCGAACAGGCTTGATCTTTTCTGGAAAGACTACTGGTCCTGCTGTCGACAAGGCTATAAAGAAGCAAAACACTATTTGACGGAGCATGACGACTCGATCTGCGGTGGTGTACTCTGTGAAGACAAAGCTGGTTGGATCTGTTCTAAACCTCATGGCTCCTTCGATGGAAGCTAAGAGAAGCAATCCGACAAAGCGAGCAAAACTACCATAATGAGCACGTCCTAGAAAACTAGTGAAGAAGGTGTAGGTTGTGCGTACTTTGAGGTGTTTGATTGCAACAACATTACATACTTGCTAGCCAAAAACATGAGACCAGTACTAATATAATACATGGAGTAATGCTGCAGAGCATGGAGGATATAGTCTCTTTCTGTCGTGCAGTGTGTACAATCAAATACGGCGTCACCGAGTTTGTCTGTAAAGGATCCGAATCAGCACATTTGTTCTTTGTACAAAGGGAGGTCGGACACCGACCGTAAGCAGCACGACGCGTTGGATCCTTGAGAACATCGTATGCCTTTCGCATTCCAAGATACATATTATGCTGCACATCAGGAGCAAATTCCTCAGACACCTACGGAGAAAGGAGGGTCAGTAAAAACCGCCAGGTTCTTGATGCGAGATTGAGGTTACCTTGTCTGGGTGATACTTCAATGAGATTTTACGATAAGCAGCCTTGAGCTCTGCGTCAGGAGTATAAACAGTCACGCCGAGTTTGGTATACAAGTTTGGAGGCAAATCATAAACCACCTTTTGTAACAAAATACGGCGCGATTTACTAACAGATCATTGACGACAGTACAGTGAACTGAATGCATGAACAAGACGTACCTGCACAAATGTGAACAGCAAGTAGCCGACAACAACCAGCGTATAGAAGAAGGAGTAGTCTTGCCGATAACGTGGACTATTCTCAGTAGGCGGGGTCTTTCCTCTGAAACGATAGTAAAACCACATCACAGTCTTTGTAGCAAAATTGGGAATCACATTCCACAGAACAATGTTTTGGAGCAGAGTGAAATCCATGTCAGACAATCCGTCGAACTCTTGCTCTAGTTGGGAAGCCCAATAGGAAAGCGTAAGGTAGCCCGCGTTGTTTGAGTAGTACTGTTTGCGTTTCTAATAATGTGATGTTTTGAAGTTAAAATGTGAGCATAGTGAAAGGAAGGTTGAGCTTGCAATAACAGGTAAGACGGCAAACAATGGGGTAAGGGTTACCATCCTGGACGTGTTTTATTCGCCTATTGACCACTGGAATCTCACTATGATGCGAATCCAAAGCAAAAAGTGTTGTTTCGTTTTTTGACGTGCGGACACCTTGACATATCAGAGGCCTTAGAGGGATTCGTAGAGATAGTTGAGTGTTTTCACGCGTCAATAATCATTTCCGACGCGATTCACAAGGAGTTCTGACATGGGTTCATCGCTGTTGAAACTTGACAGCTCTAGCGAAGTTTCAATCTTCAAGTACATTGGAACTTGATCAAAACTGGTGGAAGTGGTAGTTCTTGGCGATTTTCAGATTCACTATTAGCCGAGATTCACTGTTGGGTCTCGTGAAGGTACGGTCTGCGCATGCTTGCACACAGCTGCTTTTTGCAATGTTCAGCAGCGAAGCCCCAACCATCGTCTGAAGTTTCTTTTTATAGAATCCGCATAATATGCTAACAGTCGAGGATCCACAAACTTGTCCTATATGCAATGAGGACATTCCAGCTGCAGATATCAGTCAACATGTGAACAATCACTTGGATCAGAGGCCTGCACCAACAAAGGGATCCAATGGCGGTCAACTCAAACAAGCTACTATATTCGGTGCATCATCGGTCCCTAAACCAGCTTCTGGATCTAGTAAGACTCCTACGGCATCTTCGCAGAAACGTAAACGGGAACAATCAACGATCACGAGCAACGTTAGCCCAGTATCATCGTCGAATCTCCAACCACCACCACCTCCAGCTTTGGACGATATCGAATTCCCATCTTCGAAACGTACGGCTCAACAAGGGCCAGCTCAGCACAAGTCTGGCGCTCCGTTGGCAGAGTTGGCAAGGCCATCTGATCTCTCATCGTTCTTTGGACAGCAACAGGTAACAGCCAAAAGATGTTATTGCCTCTCGATACGAACCACTTCTAACAAAGCTACGAGTTATAGGTCTTGGGAGAAAACAAACTCCTTCGAAACCTCATCGAGAGTGGACGTGTGCCGTCGCTCATATTATGGGGTCCTCCTGGTTCTGGTAAGACTACGTTAGCCAGGATCATTGGTAAAAAGACAGGCGGCTTCTACAAGGAAATGTCGGCTGTTCAACATAATATTAGTGATGTCCGTTCCTTTATTGATCAGAGCCGTAATCATCAAGCTTTACTGCCTGGCCCGAAGCCAGTACTGTTCCTCGACGAGGTACTACTCTTATTTCGTGGACTGACGATGCTTCTTTGACGCTTTTGTTGTTGCTTGATAGATCCATCGATTTACAAAGGCACAACAAGACGTGTTGCTACCCGCAGTGGAGCAAGGGTCTTTTACTTTAATAGCAGCGACAACGGAAAATCCTTCTTTTCGAGTGAACAACGCCTTATTGTCTCGATGCAGAGTATTTGTGCTGGAGCGACTTGGTGACGAGGACCTTGTGCCTCTTCTCAAGAGAGCGGCAAGAATAAAACTAGGTCTGCCAAATACTACTGCAAAAACAACCGGAGAATCGTCCGATCAAAACACGTCAGATCAAGATATTGATGGTTTAGTTGGGCCAATCGCAATACCGCTTGAAGTCTTTCAGTACCTTGCTAGGATGTCTGATGGTGATTCTAGAGGTATGATGGTATCATCTTGCTTTGCGGCTCTGTCTCACTCGTTTCCTAGTGGCCATCAATGCTCTTGAAATGGCGCTTGATGCCGTCAAGACAGAAGACGTTGAGAGTCCTCAAGTATCTGTATCATCAGTTAAAGAAGCTCTCAACAAGGTTCATTTGCAGTACGACAAGGATGGTGACAATCATTACGACTTGATATCTGCACTTCACAAGGTGCGTGACATTAAGTGAACCAGGATTGTTTGAATGATTTATTCAGTGTTTACCATAGAGCATGCGAGGCTCAGATGCTGATGCAGCCCTCTATTGGTTTGGACGCATGATATATGCTGGGGAAGATCCAATATATATTGCTCGCAGACTCGTGAGGTTTGCATCAGAAGACATTGGAGTAGCTGACTCTAGTTGTCTTCAAGTCGCCATGGCGGCACTTCAGGCAGCTCAAGTTATTGGGTAAGTTAGGGAGAATATCGAGCCCTCCCCACCCTCACCATTTTCACCACAGGGTGCTGTAATAACAAATCTCTCGATATAGTATGCCAGAATCGGATTGCATTCTAGCCCATGCTGTCGTTCATCTGGCCAGAGCACCAAAAAGCATCGAAGTGTATAAAGCCTTGAAGCTAGTAAAACATACGGTAGAGAATGAGCCTGCTTTGCCAGTACCTTTGCACATAAGGAATGCTCCTACTCGTTTGATGAAAGATTTGAAATACGGGGAGGGTTATGTATATACGCCAGACGCACCTGATGTTCACCAGGACTTTCTTCCCCCACAGCTCTCAAGGAAGAAGTTCCTTGGAGTCGAGTAATTTGCAAAGGGGGAAATACTTGCATGTGGTTGTTTATATACAGCATATAATGTAGAATTGTTTGAAAGCTCTGTACAAATATAAATATCGTCCTCACATGCAAGTCCGCTTCGGTCGTTTATTACGAGCCACTGCAAAGTCCAGAAGATCCTGCACGAATTCCTCAGGCGAGACTTTCGACAGATGCAATATCTTTAGAAAAGGAGAGAATTTCAGGAATCTTCTCAAATCTGATAACTGTTTTCATAGAACTCACGTCTCCAAGAGACGATGTTCCTTGTTTAAATGATAGCCCACAATTCGAGTTAACTTCCAACACATACGCGCTTGGATCATCCATATCTACACTCCTCATATCGACGCGCCCATACCCGTCACCGCCAGTAGCAATGTATGCTCTCCGTGCAATATCTATGTCGGATACAAGTCAGTCTCAAAACCACAGTATGCAAACAGATGAATTGTTTTTTTGTTTCACCCTGAAGCGTGGCTTGCCAGGCTTCCGGAGCTGCATCATACGAATACAGTTGATTTTCACCCTGAGCTGGCATATTTCCTTCAAGATCATAGCCTTCCCAATATTTGGCAAACGCTAGCAGTCTCTGATACTTGGATAGCGATTTGTTAAAGACCCTTTCTGCAACGACGTATACTTTAACGCCGTATTCTACGTCTCCTGAGCAGAGTGCAGTGTACTCGCGGCCACCTAGGAATTTTTCGACAAAGACACCGTGTCCAGTCTGGGCAAACACACAAGAGACCTGTTTCAGTGCTTGATCCAGCGTTTCGCACACTGAGCTTTCACTTATACATAGAGATCCGTATGAGACGTCCGGTTTCACGATCATCGGCCAGCTAAAACGAAACAACATCAATACAGATCCAAAGTCCAATTGCTAGAATCATACCCAATGATTGAAGCTGCCTTTTCCAAATCACATTTGGCACTCTCCTTGTTGATTTCCACAAACGGACTTGTTGGTACATTGTGAGCTTGCAGCATTGGTTTCAGAGTAATTTTAGAGGTCGTGTTATAATAAAATCTTGATCCAGATCCAGTAAAAGGAATTCCCTTCTCTTCTAGCCTCGTCACAACGGACAGACCAGGATAGTGATCATCTTCGGTTCCATCGCAGAGACAGAAGCATATGGGGGCGGGCGTATCATAATGTGGTTTGGTAAAGTGTTTATCGAGGTCGTGTCTATACGATGCGAGTGTGATTTTGATGATTTCGGCACGAGGGTAACCCAGATTCAAGATAGCTTGCTGCAAATCTCGATTTCCTTCCTTTCCGTATTCGTGAGCCAGCAGAACTACGCCCAGTAAGTGTTAGATCACGCACGACCTTCGAATTCAGAGAACCAACCAAAATTCAACATATCTTGATTCAACAGAAGGACATACCATTCTTATCTTGAACATCTAAAATATTTGCGGTTCCCTCTAGGATGTAAACGTCTGGAAGTGTTTGATCTGGTGGTTTCATCGTGCTCGTGTACAAGCAAAAACACAGATGTGATCAAGAGTGTTTCGCGTCGATCGCAGAACTTTAGCGAATCGTGTGTGGAATGTGTGGCGAAGGTTGTACACTTGATACGATCATGATCTTTGTTCGCTGTGTTGATAGTGGAGCAGCTGTCGCGTTGTGTCGACTTTCTTCAAAGCAAGTTCATTCAGAAAAATCACACGCAAGATGAGGAAACAAGGAGTTCGCTCATCCTAATCGCTGAAAGTCATCGCTGGATCTTGCCTCCTATTTTTGTATATAGAGGCAGTGGCTGCTTTCTCTCTTCTTGCTTCTTGGTCGGGCTTTGTTAATTTTTGGCTCTGGCAACAATTTACCACCTCTAACACCAACTACGACAATCTAGCCTAGCACGCTCGATTACCAAAGAGGCTAGCTTACACTCCCTCTAATCTCTATCAATGATGGTCAACGAAGCGTATCCACAGGTTCACTACCCCACTCAAACAATGAAGGCGGGACAGCAAGCCTACCCACATATAGACCAGATGCAGATACCCACCAAACCGATACCTATAGCCTCACAGGAGCCCATACAGAACTTTCCCTCATCACAAACGCCAGACGACGACATTTGTGGCGCACTATCCTCACAGCAGCAGATACAGTCATATCAAGTAAGTTCACGCGTGAATAAGACGTGTTTTTGGAACGTAATCTGATCAACTTCGTTGTGTGTTGTGTAGTTAGGGAATGACAACGGCAAAGGCCTTACACCAAGTGCTGTAGGAACAGTACGTCTTCATAAATAAGATAATGCTATCGAAAGTTGAAGACTTCGGCGTGTTGACGCGTTTGCTTTTCCACCTAGTCGTATGCTTGGGGAACTCTGACATTTGGCATGGGTAGACTACTCGAAGCAGCTGAATTTGCTGGGAGTAAAATAAGTGGTGTTTTAGGAATCACTGAACCCAAATATGCCATGTACCATGAAGATGCTCATATACAAGCAAAGGAGGCGAGTTGATTCATATCTTCCATTTCAGAAACTCCGTTGAGCTAAGACCCTTTCCACTTGTTCTACAGATCGAGGAAGATAAGAACTATGCATATCTCACGCAGCAAGCCTCAGTGCTTAAACAAGTGCTCAAATTATCACCTCCTCCACAGAGATCAGCTATAACTGACGAAATGGTTTAACTGCTCAAATGTAATACTTTTAACGTTCTCAACATGTAACCTCCTCAACGTGCGATCACTAACGAGGCACAACACCTAAATGTGACATAGAATAATTTGCCTCCATACTTCTTACTGATCAAACAATAGAAAACAAGTGAAATCCTGGGATAATAGTAGAGTCTTGGTGCAGAAAACTTTGTACTTTTATATTTTCGTCGGTTTGGGCATGCGAACTACTTTCCAAAGTGTACAGATAAGATCAACCTCTCACAGGCGGCGCTACTAGAATCACAGAGTCTCCTCGCACAAATAGCATATCATGCTCTTTCTTCACGGTCTAGTGTTTGTGAGAAAACTTACAAGTTAGTAAATCATGAAAAACGTTGCAGCAGGTAGTTGTTTACTGTTAGAGATTGATTCTGTGTCGATGGATCCACATCCACTATAGTTATTGTTTCCTCGACATCTCCCATAACGAGATTCATGTGTTGATCATATGCCTGTTAGGCGAGACTTTTGTTAAGATTGATGTTGACGATTTAAGACACAAAGGAACAGATTTGAGTATAGAGACACGGCTCCAAGATCGACCGCCACAGTGTATTCATTCAGAAGAGCAAGGCCTCCGGTATGCATCTCTGCATTATGTATAGACAATCACCAAAAACATACTTCGCAACTTACATGCAGCTTTCCACGCAATTCTCTGTCTCCACGCATCTTGACGAGGATTCTTTCATCAAGTGAAAGCTTTACTAGATCCAGGGGCTCTGTAACCACGCCTTCATCGTCTGCCATATTGCGATAAAACTAGCAAGATGAGATGTGAAACATTGTATCAAACCAAAGAAGTTCACAACGAATTTCAAGCATATTCTATATTTTGAGTTTATAATATGCTATCGTTAACTAGTTTTTTATGGAAGAATGCGGCAATGAAACGTAGGGCAAGTCTACAACTTGTCATAGTATCTAATGATTGGAGGGATGTAAGCAAGAGAATGTCGAAGAACATGCGAACGAAATAACAGTGAAAGATATGTGACGTACCGGTCCAAGGGTGGAATTTCAGGGGTCAATCCCTTGCGTTTACGGACATTGAGGACGATTTCTTCAACCTTGCTACCCTTCTCCAATGGCGAGCCGTTGAGTAATTGCCAGTGATCGAACACACCTAATCAACGAGAGAAATGTTGCGTTAGTCATTGTCGAAAAAAAAATTCCCAAAAATCGACGACTGTAAAGACCGCTAAACTTACACTGTGGGAAAGCTTGGCCACCAGTGTTGGCACGCAAGTCAGCAGTGAAACCAAATGATTCCATAACTGGCAAGTAGGCCTTGATGTTGTATAGTGGAGTACCGATTCTTTGTTCTTCGGCAAAGACGTGACCACGACGACGATTGAGTACACCATAGATACCACCCATAGCAGATTCTGGACATTGGATTTCGCATAGGTATACTGGTTCCATCAAACTTGGGTTGGCAGTTAAGACGGAAGCATAGATGACACGACGACATGTTGGGATGATTTGTCCACCACCTCGATGGATGGCATCAGTATGCTGAAAAGTGGTAGATGTTGATTAGATGGTTGCTGAGAGAGCGATTAAATTTGGTTTCTTCGCAACCTTACAACAAACTCACCAAGGTAACATCAATAACGTTGAATCGAATACCACGCATGTTTTCTTCAGCCAGACAACCTTCCTTGGTAGCCCATTGGAAGGCAGCAACACAAGAATCCTTAATTTCGTTCAAGTATTGCACAGCCTTGGTCACATCAACCAACAAGTTTGGACCTGAGGTATCTGGACCAAAGCACCAAATCTTACGTGCATCAGTGACGTCCCAACCATATTCGTCAGCTAAAACACGAGCACGTAACTTGAAATCATCACGAGGGCCGATTTTACCAGATTCGATGACTTGGGCCAACTCTTCTTGTAAGGGTAGAGCCTTCATAAAGATACGGTTGTGTTTGTTGGGTGACTTTGATAGACAGACCATAGTGGATTCGACTTGTACGGTTTCACAGAATGGTACTACTGGGTCTCCTGTTTTTATTGGTACACCTGCGTGATCTTCTTCCAAGTCCTTTAGACAAATTTCCAAGTGTAATTCACCAGCACCAGCGACAATATGTTCACCAGAGTCGGAAGTAAAGCACTGTACACAGGGATCTGACTTTGATAGACGTTTAAGACCTTCTACAAGTTTTGGCAAGTCGTTGGGGTTCTTTACATCTACGGCTACCTGCACTACAGGTGATACGGAGAACTTCATAACTCGCAAGTTGTGAGCAGTTTCCGAGGTGGAGATGGTACCAGATTTGAGCAAGAATTGATCAATACCGACCAAACCAATAATGTTACCAGCTGGACAGTCTTCAATGGCTTCGACGAATCTACCCATCATGAGTACAGTTCGTTGCACATTCTTTACAAAGAGATCATCCTTCTTTCCTGGAGTGTAGTTTGGACCTTGGATACGGACCTTCAAGCCAGCCTTTACTGTTCCAGAGAAGACACGACCGAAAGCGTAGAATCGACCTTTATCGGAAGTTGGCACCATCTTCGATATATATAACATCAGTGGTCCCTTGGGATCACACTCACGGATACCTTGGGCGTTTTCATCATCCATTGGACCTTCGTACAAGGTCTCGCAACGGTATGCCTGAGCAGTAACTGGAGATGGCAAGTGGATGACTATCATCTCCAATAATGCCTAAGACGAAGGAGGTATGGCATGAGTTAAAATCCGATTGCCAAATGTTCGAGAAAAAATACTCGAAAGCTAGTATAACTTGGGGTCCAAGGTACCAAAGTGTGCTGAACAAAATTGTGGAACAATGAAAACTCACCTCAGCAGCTGGCAAGAACTTCTTCATGACGAGCTTCAGTAAGGCCTTTCCTTCCAAATCCTTCTCTTCAGACTTGAGTACAATGTTGAGCTTTTCCAACATCTTGGGGACTTCGTCCTTTTTAAAGTTCATTATGGCATCAAAGAGCTTGAAGATGGGATCAAGGATAAACATATTGAAGGCACGCTCCAATTGTTTTCCAGATTCATCTTGACCTTTGGTAGTCCATTTCTTTGTAGCAGGGTTGAAGTAGTTATCACCCCATAATCGAGCCATCATCTTGTCCTTGTCAGCACCAAACTTCTTGGCGTATCTGGCAGCGAATTGACGTAGAGTGAAGGCCCAGCCGTGAAGACCGGAACCGAAAGCGACGGTACCCTTTTCTGGGTAGACTTGGACGTCACCCAAGACTTTGTCGTTATATGTAGCGATGATGACGTTGACGTTTTCAACACAACGGGTGAAGTTCTACGCGAATGAAAGTGTTATTGGATTAAAGTTTGTGTGCAAGTGGGGGCTCATGCTTTTTTTTACTTACGTTGTACAAGTCTTCCTTCGTCAATTGCAATTCTAATAGAGCTCGATCGACTTTGTTGATGACCAATACGGGTTTGATTCTTTCTGCTAGAGCTTGTCGCAATACAGTTTCTGTTTGCACACAAACACCTTCTACAGTGTCGACGACGACCAAAGCACCATCAGTGACACGTAAAGCAGCAGTGACTTCAGATGAGAAGTCAACGTGTCCGGGTGAGTCAATTAAGTTGATCAAGAACTCACGACCTGGAAAATTGAAATTCATTTGTTTGGTTGGTTAAAAGGAGAATCCAAGGCCACAACATGAGGTCTGGATAGTGATATACAAATGGATACCTTCAGTCTTTTGTTTGACATCGCCGACATCTTCTTCAGGGAGCTCAAAGAACATGGAAATAGCGGTAGACTTAATGGTGATACCACGTTCTTGTTCATCAGCTCGAGTATCAGTGTAACGAGCATCACCAACTTTTTGGGAGGCAATAATACCAGCGTGGCCAACAAGAGAGTCCTTTTACCGATTCAAGAGAAACGAGTTACAATCATGGCAAAAGCAAAGGCTTGAAAAAATAACTACTTACAGTCAAAGTACCTATAATGGAAGTTGGCAAGAAAAAAGGACAGAAACAACATTAGTAAATTATTCTCAAGCTTTCTCCTCAGTCCAGGGATAGAAGCACTACTTACTCTTGCCGTGGTCGACGTGCTGACAAAAACGAAAAATGTTAGCTTAAGATTTCAAGCGCAATAACAATTAGGGGACGTAGAGAACAGAGGACGTACAGCAATGACAGACATGTTACGGATATTGGTCCGCTTGTCCATGAGGGCACGCACTTGGTCGATAGTAAAATTCACCTTTCAAATAGGAAAAAAGGTGTAAGTGAACGATAGGTACATTGCCAGGAGCCTCTGAATTGCCATAGGCTCGGTGCCAACGGCGAGCCATTCGAGAATGGTCAGAATATAATGTTTATATAAGATCGGTCGCGGACCTTTTGAGCTCATTGATGAAATACATACCATCTTTGATGTTTCTCCTTCTTGGGGACTAGGATCAAATAGATATAGTAGATCCTAAAAGGGCAACTAGCCTATACAGAGGAGGCGAGAAATCGTGGGAGCTTATAAGAGACTTCGGTTTTCTGCAAAAACGAAAGTGTGAGTGTCTCCTCTGACAAAAGTCTTCTCCCCAAGCATCACATCCATCCATCCATAAAATGAACAGGAAGAGAGGAAGAGACAGCAGGAATATGACAGGTTACGCATGCGATCTCGATAATTTACGACATACCGCTTTTACGTCTCTCGTTTCAACGGCAGCCTTGAAATGTGCCTGAACGGTTTTGAAAAGCAAGGTGAAGCAGACGAGGAGAAACGTCGTTTTTTAAGTTAGGTGACTTAGCAGAATTGCATTTCTAAGCTTTACTCGGCAAATGAACAAATAAGAACATCGCTTACCGCTGCAGCAACTTCCAACTTTCTGTTGGAAACTTTGATAAACAGAAACTTTGAACAAAAACTGCAACCTCGTTTTACATGCGGTCGGTCGTTGACGTACATAGATCTGAATTATTCCACATAAACCAGCAGATTTTGGTCCCGTTTCTTTGAAAGCGATTGCCCCTCGTCCTTTGACTTGCTGGTGTTCACTCTACTAATCACGTTACAAAGCCCCGTCTCTGAACCCCACTACATGGACCATCTTACCGCCATCAATGTGCTAGGTAGCGTGCGGTTCGCTTGCTAATGCCTTTGTGACCTGAACTGACCACTTTCAAATCGATTACAGCAACTAGCTGGAATGTTGGGCTTCAGCCCTTTGTTCAGCAAGATCTCAGCAAGATCTTTCAGGCCGAGAATATCTATGCGCACATTGTATGTGTCGGCATACAGGAGTACAGCAGACATCTATCTTCTTTCATTCAAGGTGTGTTTCGGTGGAATGTGGATTGAAACCCACCACAGTCGGACTAATACCTTCACGACGTCTGAAAGGAGATACTGCTGCATTGCACTCATGGGAATCTGCGCTGATGGCCGCTGTGAACTCGTCTGGGGACCGGTGAGCTACTTGACCCACTTTCGTGAAACCAAAAAATCTAGCGAGCTTCACCCAAAGCTATGTAGCGTTGGTGATTGCTAAATGTCTTCATCGCTCATTCTGATAGCTACATATCGGTCGGGACTAAATTCAATGGCACTGGAGTGCTGTTTTGCTTCATTCTGAGGGAGCTTGAACCAAGGCTTGTGGCTTCAGACTTTGCAGCTATTGGGTACGCAAGCAATGCTGTGCTGTACATTACACCAATGTAGGGGTTCGAATCTTGCGGCTGGGCACTAACAACACTAACGAATGACGTAGAACCGGATTTGGAATTGGAGCATCCAACAAGGGAGGCCAAGCAATTCAACTCACACTATATATACCATCAGAAAGTCGGAACACTTACTCTGACTTGATGACCATCACAATCTGCTCGAGTCACTTCCATGCCCATAAAAAGAATGTGGAGCGCAGGAATTCAGATTACAATACAATCATAGCCGGCTTGTCCTTCCCAAGATATGAAAGAGTCATGGATTCTACGATGCAAACAAAGCAAGATCTGGATTCCATCAAAGGATTGTATGTGCCGACCGATGAGACAAACACGCTGTTAGACGCGGACGTCCTTGTGTTTATGGGGGATCTAAATTACAGGATGGATGTTTCAGAAACCGTGATCCGGACAAGGATAGCTGAACATTCGCTGCAAGATCTAGTGCCCTTTGACCAACTCATTGCTCAAAAAACAATGGGCAGCATATTTGTGAGTCATTTACAATGAAAATTGCTTGATGAGAGTCTATATTTACTCTTCTCTTCCTTTTGAAGTATATGTTTTTGGAAGGGCTGACGTCCTTTCCCCCGACGTACAAGCTCGAAGTATCCGAGGTAAAAATTGATAGTTTTCAAAATTCAATCCACATAATTAATACGAATCCATCCTGACAGGTGGCTTCTGATCCTGTCAAATATGATTCCAAACGTGCGCCGGCTTGGACAGACAGAATACTGATCCGGATGCGAATAGTTCATGATTGGTTCCCCGTGAGTTTATTCTTAAATAATTTTCAGAATTTATGTATTTATCTTTATTACTGCCCCTGTGTGATAGTTTCTGGAACAAGGTTGGGACGCAATGTGTGGCATTGAAAGGAATATTCCGTCTCTTGACCTTCCTGGCGCCACCACAGACGAAGAAGATTCTGCAGACGATGCGGATCTCGCAAATCATAGAAGATCACGAAGTTTTTCGCTTTCAGGACAGACAACACCACCATCAGAAGATAGCCTTAGTCTCCTGTCGCGTGGAGACAAGGTACACTTTCTGGACGTCTTCCGATCAAAATCACCAGAGCAACGGTCATCGTCCAGGTCTCCATCACAATCTAGAAGGACCTCCTTAGGTGATATTTTAAAAGCCCCCCTTAACATATTGACTCCTGGGCGCGTTGACCCTCCAACCCAGCAAATGACACCTCCAGAGACACCCCATCTTACGCCAAAAATTAGCATCGAGCATGAAGGTTCAGAACCACCGAAAGAAATGCCGGTAAAGTTGGTACACTACACGTCACATCCTTGGGCAGTTGGAAGTGATCATCTTCCTGTTTCAGCCTATTTATCTATAGATACAGCACTACTCAGAGCTTGGCAAGGACATGCGAGTCGCTCACCCTCCACGAATGTTATATTTCCCAAACATGATCCCGATGTTATCATGTCCAATCCCGAATTCAATTATGCAGACACAGCTATACCCGACTTGGTAACCTCACCCGATAATGAAGCATATGCAGAGGAAACCTTCTTGGAGAGGTCTCCGTCGGTGATTACTTTGCCCGACGAGTATAGGCCTAAATCCGGACATGTTGATGTAGCCGACCTGCACCGATCCCCATCTGTGATTGCTCTTCCAGACGAATACAGGTCAGCAGAGGAAAGTGAACATCTTGGAATACCAATGAATGTCGTTGAACATACAGGTTCCAGTGACGACGAAATAACGCTATATCTCACCATGGGAAGTTCACCAGCAGCTTCCAGTGTGGTCTCAAAGTCTGACAGTATAAAGTCGCTTGTAGATTTCAGACTGGAGGACGACTATTCGGATAATCAGGTGCTTCATTCTAGCGAATGGCCAGGAGCAGAAGGAAAGAGTGTAGTCGATTCTGTCGACATCAAAGGAACGATAGTAGCAGAGCCACCAGCAGATGAACTTGAGGCAAGCAAGCCTCTCCCCGCTAGTAATGGTGAACTCGAGAACCGTTCTACTGATACAAATGTTATTCAGCCTACTGTCTTTGACTTGCATGATTCCGAAATGAACGATGATAATATGCAAGCCATGTTAGCGCTCGCAAATATCAGTAATCGTAGCATACAGTCGCTCACATTAGACACAAGAGAACCAACGTCAGAGGATGATCACATTATTAGTGCATTCAGCTCAGTTGATGAACCACACGTACAGAAAAAGCATGTGATAAATCACGTCTTGCCGATGGATCAACCGCCAAACGGCAGCAGGGAATCTGAAATGTTGTACTTGGATGATATTGAGACTGCTATGGACACCTACTCAACACTATCAGCACCTGATGGTATACAGTCGATAGATTCCGTCAGAGAGCTTAGATTTGATGACATCAACTCTAGACAATCAGAGAACTCATTGAATACCATTGACGATCACAATGCAGAATCAAAGGCATTGGGGGCCGTAGTGGAACCAGCTGTTGAGCGTTCGGCAACAATTGCAAATATCAGTAGCGTCTCGCCGTACACGGAGAGCCATATCTCAAAGGCATTTGGCTCTGTCATTGAAGCGCCCATTCATAAACACCATACCCTTGGACACGTCTTTCCTATGAACTCAGCCGACGATAATAAAGAGTCTGACATGTTGAAGATGAAGGATAACGATTATTCAACAAACAGCACATTCCATACATTATCAGCTGGTGATGGTATCCAACCTGTAGATGCAGTTAAAGAATTCAGGATGGATTATGATTCCAATTATGAACAGCCAACAGGAGCCACTGGCATAACAGACGGTCATGTCATGAGTGCTGGCACTCGAGGTATCGAACCAATTACAACTCATAATGATGAGAATATCAACACTCCCTTAGCTTCAGTCATCACAGCTACCAATCAGAATATCCCTGTACGAACAGTTGAAACTATCAGGCAGCCAGTTGTCGCGCAATTGAGTGTAGCCAATAGAATAAAGGAGTTTGAATCACTCAAGAAATCCGAGAAATCATTCCGTAAACCAGATCCCATACCAGCCACATCAAAAGCACTCGAAATACTACAGAGTAAAGCTGTGGAGGTAACGGTGCCCAAGGCTATGGAATCAACTGTAGCTGAGCCAGTAGCCGAGGAAGAAGTGCCAGCATCGTCAACTGTTAAAGATGTAGAAGACCCGGTCGGGAAGGAGGAAGTGTCTTTAAATGTAAAAGAGGTATCAAAACTAGAAGACACACATGCCGTTGGAACTGTAACTCGAGAGATTTCAATGTTGCCAGTCGAAATAAGCTTGCATGACTTGGGAGTCAATAAGGAGGCTACGTTGACATCAGTAGAGCCTCAGCGCGCTGTGACATTCACCCCGTTGATTGATTCTGCCACGAAAGGTGTCGGAGATGAAGTAATACCCACTGAAGCTACAGCTGTAAAAAGCGAGGTCCCTGAATCTCCTGTAGCAAGTAAAGACGTAGAAGTGGAAAGCAACGAGAAGAGAGCTGATAACAATGAGAAAGCATCCTCAGTACCAGCAGATGCTGAAAAACTGCCCGGATCATCGACAAAGGAAGTCCTGAACGTATCTGAGGATTCTAGTAGTCGATCCCTACTGGAGCATCTCGTACCTGCAGACGTAGCAGTCGACATGGAGACCTCATTTTGGGTGTTGTTAGCGATTTCAATGACCATAGAACTCGGTCAAGTTTTTTTGTAACAAATTTGTAAAACGATAGAGCATGTTTTTCTTCTGCTCTTCAAATACATATATTTAAATGTAATTACAAGAATGTGACAGTTGATTTTACAAAATGATCTTGCAGTTACTTGGACTGGAGCAATTTCTGGAAGTCTGCTTCCAGAGCTGGAGGCAGTCCGTCCACGATCTGAGCATTGAACACTTGTGCAAACGCAGTCCTGACGTGTTTCAGAGTATCCTGAACAGTGATTTCACGGTTCAATTCATGAGAGAGGGACGTAGATGTCTTGTCTGCTAGTCCACAGGCGACAATATGATGAAACCAAGACAGATCAGTGTTGCAATTCAATGCAAATCCATGCGACGCGATGTGTCGTGATACATGTACGCCTAACAGATAAAGTTGGTCACTAACACTGAGAGCTTGAAAGCTTGTCAAACTAGTTTACCAATTGCAGCGATTTTGCTGCCCTGTACCCATACACCAGTATCTGGAGTGGTTTGAGCACTGACATCATACTTCAAACATGTTTGAATTAGGCACGTTTCCAGTGCCGCGACGTATGATCTGACGCTCATCTAATGATTGGTTTTAAGCGTTGCTATTGACCGGCGACTGTCATCATCGAAATCACGTACTTGATACTGGCGCAAGTCAAGTATAGGATAGCCGACCAGTTGGCCTGGGCCGTGAAATGTCGTTTGGCCTCCTCGCATCACCTAAGACAGTCAAAGGTTGGTTAAGAAAGAGTTTAATGTTGGAGCAATACACGACACAAAACACACACCTCATAGTAATCGGCACCCAGATCACGTAGCCTTCTGCCTTCAGTATGAGCAGTGCCCTTGATACGCCTTCCAGCGGTATAGGTAGGCGGATGCTGCAACAATAATAACATGTTTGAGTCTCGCAATGGAGAATCACGTCGAATTCGCGCCTGTACTAGAGCAGATTGAAGTGCCAGAGCCCGAGTATATGGAATCGATCCCAAATATCTTGAATAAATGGTCGGGCATGTTGTCATTTCTCATCCAACTGGAGGTCTAAAAGTTAGAGTGTAAAGAAGGTGAAGACAGTCCAACCCCAAAGACTTTGGAGGCGACACAGGATGATTATATCGTGGAGATCGTCGATTTTGTCGCTATTGCTCGCTGTATTGGCGTCTAATTGTCAGGCAGACACCCGACAAGAAATTGAAATAGCCTTCAACGAAGCCGAGAAGTCAATTGCGTTTCTGGATGCAGGGAACTTTACAGAAGTCACTTCCAATGGATTGTATCTACTGTTTATGGGTGCTAAATGGTGTCGGCACTGTCAAGTGTATGGCACAATTCTCATTGATCATCCAGATCACACTTGAACAACATTTGACGCTACTTCGTTCACACCTTAGTTTGACTCCGAAATGGCTCGTATTGCAACAAAAAGCTGCCGATCTGGAAGAAGATGATATTCATGTGCGCAAACTAGAGTGCACGTCACGAGAAAACGAAGATTTCTGTGCCAATAAGATGAAAATACAGGCATATCCTACAATACGTCTGTAAGTATAGACTTTAACGATTGGACTGTCATAAGGCAGCGTGGTTATCGATTTCTGACCTTTTCTTTAGCTTCTTCAAAGGATCAGCCGTTCAAGATTATTCTGGCCCACCAGAGACAGACGCTTTATACGCCTTCTTGATGGAAAAGGCTAATCAATTCATACCAAACCAAAAACGTCAACAACCTGTTATTGCTGTTGAAGAAGACAAGGGTCAAAATGCGGTCAAGGATGTCAAAGTCGTCTCAGAGGTTGACAATACGAATCTCGGGGTCGAGTCTGCTATTATTCAAATACAAAACGTGCTGGATCTGCATAGATCAAGCAGCTCCCCTGATGCGAATCCTAATGGAGAGATTGCACACATGACGTCTGCTACGTTCAATGAGGTAAATGTTTGAGACGGGTTGACGTGGACACGAAACTTACTGTGGTTTTCTTTTTTGTTAGATAGTGAAATCTGGGCCGGCGTTTGTGGTTGGTGCACCAATCTTTTGAACCTCGTTTGCTCAACGTACATTCTCTCCTTTACAAGGCCGCCTAACGATGCTCGTTTAGATGTTTCATGCTCCATGGTGTGGCCACTGTAAAAAGCTTGCACCTGTTTGGGAAGGTATGCGTCAATGTCAATCGACTGTCGGGGTTCCGTTTTTCTGACATTTCGCCCCACTCGCAGCCTTTGCTGATTCCATGAAGAACAAGTTGAATGTTGCCAAAGTTGATTGCACTGTCGAGTCAGGTTTGTGAACGAATATCACTTCGCCTTTCTCGTTGGAATACCGACGAATCTTCCTCCAGTGCTCTGTAAAAAACAAGGTGTAATGGGATACCCTACTCTGAAATAGTAAGATTCTTGTCGATTTCCGCTTGGTGATCCTCGTTCTCACCCGATCGTTCGTTGCCTAATAGTTTCGGAGGCGGAGAGGTCTTGGAGTATTCGGGTGGAAGAACTTTGAGTGCTCTTCAAGACTATGTTGAAAACTCTATGACGTACGCACTAGGGAAACCTCCACTTCGACCCTTTCGAAGTTATCACTCATCCACGCGCTTCCGTAGGGCTACGTCCGTACATCCAGTCAAGTATAATGAAGTCAAAGGCCTTCTGAAGATGGATGAAATTGCTTTCTACTTTGTCTACGACTATAGGAGTCCTCCCTACAACGGACAAGTAAGTTGTTCTAGTGTTGTAGGCTAGACCTTGTCATCAAAGCTAGATGACTAGTACTTGAGAGTTCATGGACTAACAACTAAAAAATTTGAAGGAACTGATGCTTGGAGTTCAGAAACTAAGAGGCGACGTGAAAATATATGTGTGCCCAGATATTCGAGCATTAACCGTGTTGGGTGTGACACGACATAATCCTTCAGATCCCTTACTGGTCGTTGCAAAAGACTATGGAAGTGAAATGGAAGCTTATGATTCAACATGGTCAGTTGGATCTGTGATAGAATGGATCAAGGCAAAGAGAGTGCCGCTCGTCATAGAATTAGATCACACCACTTCGAATGATATTTTAGCTAGTGGAAAAATGGTAGTAATGGGATGCATGATACAATCAGATCCTGAATCTGCCGATCTGATGAAGGCTATGCGTGATATAGCCAAGTCTTGGAATCGATATGTCGCTGAGGTGGGACTGACTGTATCACGGCCTATAGTATTCGTGTGGCTTGATGGTGCTCGTTGGGCTGCGTATCTGAGTCGAACGTACGCGTTGGACTCGAGAAATTTGCCGCGTCTTCTCATAGTCGATACGAAGGTGAGTCTGTTCTTCGAATCTTTTGTAGGTCTGCTTTTGAACGCCGTGTCTGATTTCGCATTTCAACTAGTCGGAAATGTATTATGAAACTCAAAGTAAAGGAAAGCTACTCGAGTTTGAAGGACAAAGCACGACCACTGCCTTGTCGGAGATACTTGCAGGAAAACTGTCTGGAAAGAGTTCAGGAGGATACTTTGGATGGTTTATGAAGACTATCATCTACATTTTCTCACCTCTAGGTATGATGATCCTAAACCATCCCATCCTCATGACTATTTTTGGAGTTGCACTCATTCTATCTATTATCTACCTCGTATTTACGGGAGATCACGATGTAATTAGAGACCCTAAAGCTGAATAAAACTTGATGTGGTTTGGTGGTCACGAACAGAAATAAGCTTCTTGTGATCGAACGTAGTGCCATCGATTCCAAGCGCGGTCGGGATCGATTTTGACAACTGAGTCTGATTGTTCTCTCAGGCTCTGACGCTAAAAGTCTGTACCAAGTCACCGAGGTTTTGCGTTTTGGAACTGGTCGGAAAAAGGCAACCCAGCAGGGTGGGTTTGTTTGGTCAAACCTTGTTCAAGAAAAACTCCTTGGTTCGATGGCAAGTATGAAGTAAATGTAAGCAGACGCAACATCACTTTCAATAGCAATAATCATATCTGTATCGATGCTTAACTGTGAGCATCGCCATCTTAAAAGAGCGACGATTTGGCTCCGCCTGTGGAATAACTGACAAATCAAAAAGGATCGAGTTTGGGTGGAAGGGTGGTTGCTGACAAGGAGTGGTATGAACGGGAAATGTTTTGATTGAGACGCCTTTGAACTCAGATCCTGAATTTTAAGCTACGGATTTCTATCTTGTGCTGTTGTAGTTCCGACACAAGCCACATTGGTCTAGAACATGTTGAATCGGTTATATTCTGTTGTCGTCATGCAGACCTTGACGGAACTGGATGCACAATAATTTCACTCTACATATGCCACCTGCTGGCCGCGAACAAACGCGAACAAATTTGGCGATATCATCTGTCCACTTGTACATGGCCGGCTGCAATATATCTCGTTTTGTCAATTTTTTGTTGGTGGGGTTGGTGCTGATGGTCTCAGACCATTTAACGCGACTTTTCCCAGGTCTCAGACCATTCAAAACCTTGAAAGCACCACGAACGGGGTCGTCCTATTTGAGAGGCAGTAGTTCTGGCGTTGATCTCCAACGTATCAGTCCAGTTTCGTCTGTTTTCTGTTAGATCTCGTCAAGTTCTTGTCTTGCCCCACCACCCAGGGAAAAAACAATTTCTTGTTTTTCGGCGCCTGAGATTTCTGTGGGGAGAGTGCACGTTGGCCTGCGATCCATTGCCAGGTAGTGAAAAGATTGCAGATGCACGATTTCCAACTTGTTTTTCACTCATAATACTCTTGCAGGTCTCCACCATTTCTGTAGGTCTCGCTCTCACCACACAAACTGGAAAGGTGGAATTTAAAAGGTTTGCCAAGATGAATACCAAGCAATCTGAATGACGGGATTATCAACGCGTTGTCTATATAGATATATAGTGCTCCTCCTATTTATCAGGTCTTAATTTATTTGTATCCCAAAATGTCCTCCCCCAATCCATCCATGCATTCGTCCGATGCATCATTGTACATACAAAGTACTCTTCCAACAAGTCAACTGCCCATAATTACCACATCCTCAAATGCTTCTATGCCACCAATGCCTCAATCTGATGATGTCATGCATTCAGGTTCCAGCCTTGACCACCCCCAGCATTATGCTCCTTCACAATCTGCAATCCCATTGATGGACGATGAGTTGGATGTTATGGCCGATGGAGATACTTATGAGGAATCCATTCAAACGGATGGCAACGTCTCAAAACGATATCCTTGCAAGTATGAATGTGGCAAGTCCTTCCATAGGAAGAGCGACTTGGCTCGTCATGTAAGGATTCATGACAATGATCGACCGTTTCGTTGTGAATGGCCTACTTGTGGCAAGTCTTTTATTCAGGTGAGAAACGATACAAGTGTGTTTTACGCGTACGTATTTACAATCAGTGATCTGACGTTGTGCAATTATAGCGTTCTGCATTGACTGTACATACACGGTAAGGATTGAATCAACTTGTTGATCCTACTGTCAATATGTTGCTAACGCATCGCTGAATTTTAGCATTCATACTGGTGAGAAACCACACAAATGCACATATACAAGCCCAGCTGGAATCCGATGTGAAAAGGCCTTTAGTGATGTGAGTTCCAAAATGATCAGATATCAATGGTTTTTTGTCTCTAATCTCTTTTCTCTCACCGTCCTAGTCATCATCACTAAACCGTCATCGTCGAGTCCATCTGAAAAAGCCTTCCGTCATCTTCCGTTGTCCAATAGTAACTTGCAACAAGAGTTTTGCTCGACGAACTACTATGGAAAAGCATCAGTTGACGCATCTTCAAGGAAGTGCTGGCCCTCATGGATCAAATAGTGATAAAGGAGAGCCCGAGTAGTGAGTTTTTTATTGACAGTATTCTTGCTTTGTGTCAAGTGCGAGGTGCTAACATCCTCTTAACCAGTCCAACTCAACGATCGCGCTCAAGGTCGCGTGAATTATCTGATTATGCACGAGAGGGTTATGTATCTGGATCAGAGGCGGACTTGAGACGTCAGCCGTATATTGAACATGGTGTAACTCCATCAGTCGGCGCGCTCGGAATTCCATTCAAGTCTCTGCATAATGCGCACATGTATGATGGTAGAGCAGGGTCTCCCTATTATGGACGAGACATTGAGGAAGCCGTATCTGTATCGCAACCCCCGATAGTTCCTATAGAGTCGCAACGGATGTCCATGCCTCCTCAACCAGTAATGGTCCCTATTAGTAGACCCGAGTCGGAGGTGATGGTCCCTGTGCACTACGCACATGTACCTCCAGCAGTATACGATCCATATAATGCTCAAATGCCACTAGTTAGGGCCACGACACACCCATCCATACCTGTGTATTATGCGCACGTCAGGCCAATGGCATTGCCTACTGCACCTCCATCGCCTGCTGAACGAGCTCTAGGACTTCCATACCTCGAGAGTGTAATGCCAACGCACCCAAGAGTGTCTCCTATGCCAGTAGGTGCGCCAATGCCCGTAGGTGCGCCAATGTATCCGGCTCATCATGCGATGCCACCATTGATGCCTCACCATGTCTATGAGCATCCGGTGCCACATGATCCTAATGCAGGTTCGATGCCATATGGTGACACTCGTCCAGGATATAGCAGACCACCATATCATGAGACTCTAGCAGCTAGATGGGAAGAGCGACCCGGAAGCGCAGAGCCAACAACTCGATATGAAGATGTCAGACAAATGCCCACAGCTTCGTACCAACTACAACACCCGTCTCCGCCGCCACAGACTAATTATCATGTCCCACATCCGTCTGCCATTCCTGAGTCAAGACCATCATCGCTCGACCAACGGCCTAGTATGATGGAATCACGTCCTCAAATGATAGATCGACCTCATATAGCACAGCAACAATCTGCACCTAGTCATCCGATGGGCCCTCCTGGAATACCAATGAATAACATGATCCCGCCCACAGTGCCACCATCTCAACAGCAGCAGCATAGTAGTATTGGTATGTCGTATATGGTTAATAATCAGCAGCACTTGACTCCGCTACAGACGCCGATACCGTCACCAATGATAAAGAACGAACAAATGATACATGGTGCTGCTGGAATTTACGCATATCAATATATGCAGCAACAACAACAACCACAACATCCTAGAGTTGCTCCACAATCTGTATCTTACGGAATGCCAACATATCAAACCCCTACGGTTTGATGAGTCTATTATATTTAAAAAAATCCCACTCAACAAACGCCATATTCATGCAATGGACTAATTTTTTGCCCTTGTTTTCCCTGTCATATGTAATTGTACGTAGAGAAGTTACGCATATGCATATGCACCACCAGAAATTTACCTTGTAGAATATTTTCTGTAGAAGTATCTGCTCTCTAATAATATAAATAAATGTGTAAACGGAACGAAATAAGATTGCAAGTCTTTACATTTTCGTCGATTCGTTGCTGCAATTCCTGGATGGGACTGTTGCGTCTGACTTGGGTTTTGCAACTCTAAACAAGAAACCATTCCTGTCATCTGATACAACAAAGGAGAACAAAGAAACAACTTGCTTTGGTAGGTAGAGAGACATTCGGCATCATCCAATGCGACTGTGATGCTCTCTTGAGCCTCTAGACTGGCAATTTTTGTATCATTCACACTGAGTTTTGTTTTCCGACGCAATCAACAATCTCAAACTGAATCCATATCTACATAGGCCCGTCATTTAACAAAATTGGGCTATCTGCTTTGTATCGGCTTCCTCCGCTATCGAGTCCTCTTCTACTCGGCCAAACATTTGCAATTCTTGTGCCATTTTGAATCAAAACTTCTCGTCATAGTGCAAGAGATTACGACCTATCAAAGAGGTATTCTTACTACGCTTAAATCGTTTCTAACACAGAGTACCGCTCACTGGCTGTTTAGGTATAATCATGCCCGCAGAACGTCGACACCATTGTAATTACTGTGTCAAGAGCTTCAAGAAGAGTGGGGATTTGAAACGTCATGAAGCAATCCATACGAATACCAGGAACTATAAATGTGATGAATGTAGCAAGACGTTTATTCAAAAGAGTGGCCTTACTGTACACTTACGAACTCAGTAAGTACTTTAGGCATTTGGCATTAAATCATAACCTCACTGACAATTGTCTACTTCTTAGTACCGGCGAAAAACCTCATTCATGCGACATCTGCGAAAGGGCTTTTTCTGATGTATGTTTGAAAACCTCAATTGTAGTGTTTCGCCCCCTGGGAGATTTTTCGCTCTGTCTAATCAAATGAAATTGTTTAGGCCAGCTCCTTGAACCGTCACAAAAAGACTCATTTCAAGAGCGGCTGTGCTCGAGGTGCTACTCTTTCAAAGTCTCGCGGCAAGAAACCCGTTGTTGATGAAATTGAAGAATCGGACTTGCATGACGAAGTATACATTGTCGAGTAAGTGATTCAGAAAACGTTATTGGACATCTATACTAGAACCTTATGATTTGGTTTAACGTGCTCTTATACATCTACGGATAGGCCTACAGTTAAATCAACTCGTCGTCAACCAATCACGTACGCCACGGAAACTTCTGACGAGGAAGAAGAACATGACCAAGACGATGAAGAAATTGTCATTTTTCCCACCCTTGACCAGTCCATCACAGTCAGCCTCCTCTCGTCCTCACTCGGAAGAAGAAGCATCAGAAACTATTGTCATCAAACGTGACAATTTTGTTCCATCAGTTGCTCCATACAAGGTGCAAACTCCTCACCTAACTTATGGTGGTAGTCCGAATATGAATTCCCAACGACTTGTATACCTGCCTCACCCATCGTATGGGTCTCAAGGTATTCCCTATGCTGGGATGGCACAATCTTACTCGACCGATAATGGTGTGAAACGTTCCAATGAAATACCAGCACCAATTACTACCAAAAATATCATCAACAGCAATAGCAATGACAGCATCTTGTCCCCAACACGATTCTTGAACGTATCACCCGCAGCTTCGCCTTCGACTCAAGAAGCATCAGCCATCATCAAACTGCAACCCGTAGAACCCACCTTGGAGAGTCATAGGATGTATCATCGCCACCCGCTCCCAGCCCCAGTCCAAATACAACGAATTCAACGTGATGGGTATCTTATGTCGGCACGTCAGCCTTCGTTGGACCAACAGCAGTGTTATGTTGATCGAAACGACTCGTACTCACCTAAGACGGGATCATCCTATATGGCGCAAGATATCACCCTGAAGGAATCAGTCGCATCTCCGCTACAGTCCTATGTGTTATTCCAGGACTCGTTTGTCACGTCTCCTCGTACGCAGTTTTACACCAGTTCACCTCGTCGTGAAAGCTACACTGCATCGCCTCGTCGTGCATCGTTTCCTGGACTTATTCAGGATTCTCTTATGGGTGATGTATCTCCTCGCGGTCAAGCTTATTATGCGGAATCGCCACGACGTGAATCTTATAATGGGAGTCAAGACGTCTTTGTAAAGCCAATGCTAGCACAGTTACGCTACTAGATCAGTGCTGTGTGCTTGTTTGGTCGGCTGGTCGCGACCTACAAATGTTGCTTAGAATTACTTTCTGATATACTTACAACCTTACAAATGCACTAATCAATAAAAATCTAATTTTCACGTGAACGCGAATGTATTGCCTTGAATTGTCTTGTTTTACCGATCTTCAGAATTCCCAACTCTAGCTCCCTCGCTCCTTAACAAGACACATCATCAAGCGCACTTACCGCAATGTCAACCGTAGCAATGAGGCTGACCATACCGCGGAATCCACGCTCCATATCTCTCCTCTCCACCTGTAATCGAGTCATTTGCAGCAACACTACCCAACGACATCAACCATATGCATCCGCATCGAATCCTACATCGACAGCAGCAGAAGCGTCAGCAACCTCATCGACAATACCATCATCAAAGGCCCTAAGATCTGGAATAACATGGACCCAGTACTTTACCATGAGACATCAACGTAAAACATATGAACGCACAGGTGGCATTTTGGGAGCTACTGTTGGGTTTCTTGGAGGAACGTTCTACTTTGGCGCTGTTGCTGATTTTGATCCCACGACGCCGATAATGGGTATGGCATTTCATGAAGAGCTTCTTTCGCTGTTAAGCAACAAGAACACGAACTTTTTTTTTGTCTTGTCACAGACTCAACGCAGTCTAACATCTCTCATCGCTTAGGTATTGATCCCGCAATAGCATTCACGCTTGGTGCTATGGGTGTAGCAGGAGGCGCTCTGGTTGCTGGGATTTTAGGTGGAGGATCGTTATGGCGACTGATGCATGGAAAGGTGATTAACGCCATAGACGCCAGAGACAAGGAGTTCTTTGATCGAGTCAAGAGGTATCGTTCAGATGCCTCAAAGAGCTCACCGCAAAACCAAATACCAGACTATTATGGTGAAAAGATAAAAAGTCTATCAGAGTATCGTCAATGGTTGAGAAAACAACGCCAGTTTAGAAGAAAGGCAGAGATCAAGGTCCCACTTTAAATCAACAAAACCTCTAGTTGTCATGATTATCAAAAACTTTTGATGTAAATATATAGAGTTTCTTATTACTCGAAAACGCTTAGATAATATCACGCTACAAACCTTTAGTCTATTGCTGTCTTTCACTTCTTTTTCAACACGCCCTTGATCACGTCTCTTAGACGTTTGGCGGCTGCTTCGGTATCTAGTCTCGTGTGAGCTGCCGAGACAGAAATACGAATGGAGGGAGGTGGTAGACTATGTTCCTGAGAAGCCACAAACTTGGCTTTTGTCAGCAAGTAACCAGCCTTGGCCGCCTAGTCGAATTTATAGGGGTTAAAAAAACAACAGATGGCCAAAGAATCGCCAGTGTATATACCTCATCGACAATATCCTGAAGTAGCTTCTCTTCCTCTAGCCTAGTCAGACGATCCCTTAGACGTACATGTATAAAGGGCGCATCCTCTGCTCCACCAATGATTATACCATTAACACCGACCAGAGCAGCCCGTATCGCTCTAGCATTCTCTCGCATGTGGTTTAATACATATGGATTATCTTTGAGCAAATGCAGAGCTTCTAATGCGGTCACAGCCAACATGGCCGGCATGGAAGCGGAAAAAGTATATGCTTGACCCGATAAGCGTTGATGTTCCACAATTTCAGCACTACCACAACAAAATCCACCAGCTGCTGACAGTGCGTTTGCCATGGATGCAGCGATAATGTCTACATCTTTGGCGGGCACGTCAAAGTGGTCTGTGATACCAGCACCTCGTTTACCTAGAATACCAAACGACATGGATTCTTCTACAATGAGTCGGTACTTGTATTTGGCTTTTAGTTCAATGAGTTTCGGCAACGGGGCGATATCACCATGGTTTGCGTATAGCCCTTCAACTACTATGAATTTACGTGCTAGAGGTTTACGTTTCTTCAACTCGTCCCGTTTAATGTCTTCCAAGACTCGAGCGAGATCTTCCATATCATTATGTTTAAAGTATCGTACAGTGGATCGAGAGATTTCTACACCTTTCTGGATGGCGAATGAGACACCTTCATCTACTACTAGGGTATCACCTCGTTTAGAGAATGCAGGGATGATGGAAGCGATTGCAGAAAAGCCTTGGGAATAGATGATGGCTGCATCAGCGGACATGAATTTGGCCAATTCTGATTCTAGTTCCATATGGACGTCCAGTGTACCATAAAAGCCTGGTGGTCCACATGTTCCGACACCATACTTGCGTAAAGCTGCAGTAGCCTTTTCCTATAAATTTCACCAACACGAGTTTGAGTACGTGACCTTAGAAGGAAAGACCACGGTCAAGTACCTTGAGCTTTTCGTGATTCATGTAGCCCAAAAAGTTGAAACTAGCCAAGTTCATCAAAGTCTTGGTGCCTCCTTCGATTCTGACTCGAGGGCCAGATGGTCTACGGGTAACATTGTAGAGTTTAAACAAACAAGCGAGACAAATGGATGATAGCCAAAAGAATGATGTATTCGCACCCAGAAATGGTGACCAACTTTTCCAATTCAGTTCGTTGGGCTTCCGTCAACTCGGGAACCAGAGGTTCTGGCTGCCATTCGTCAATAAGATCTTGGATTTCCTTAAATCGAATAAGAGAGCGAGGGTTGGTTGATTTAAAACATGCGCGGACTATAGCGTAATATTCAAAGCATCTCCTTTCTCCTCCTCTCTCCTCTCGGTTGCAGTGCCACTGCCATCACAGATGTGAATAAATTTTAAGCCCGACTCACCTTGTCTGTAAGTTTGATTTCCTTTGAGCCAGGCTTGTATCGTTGGCTCAATGCATACCAAACGAGAAAGACCAGCAGAGCAAGTTCCAACACAGTTCTCAATGGGTCGTTCTGGTGCGATTCCTTGACATACTTGTATATAATGGACGAGCCTGGAATAGCTGAGTATAGACGATGTGCATAGGACAGCGTGGAATTGACTGCCAGCAGCACTTCTGTGAAGCCTGGAGTCCCGGATGCCATGTTTGCCGATATGTTGCCGTTCGTTGAGTCAGAATCGAGGAAAGGGTCAGTGCAGAATGGTTTGGCCGTGGGAACGAGGTTGCAGATACATGTTATTCATACAGTTCTACGTGCATTCAAGCCTCAGGTCTCGCCACAATTTGCAGCTTGAATACAAACAAATAACAAAATAGAGCGTGTTTTGTGGGATCGCCTTTTCGATCATCACTTTTCATCAACCGTCAGTGCTACAAATTCTACATATTGAATTTACTGAATTTACAATATGAGATCCGATTTAGATCAACCCTAGAATGTATAACTATGAGATTTGTAAGGGACTAGCTTTTGACTACACGGTGCAATCTGGCCCTTCTCAGTGACTGTATGCAATTGTCGATGAGTAGGCGTGAGAGCGCCGTGATGGGCCGTATACCCTGAAAGCCGTTGAGCACCATATCAGCGAGCTGGAGAAAATGTTCGTGACCTGGCAGAGCAGACAAGGTGCTCAAGGCCTAACGAGAATTCTGGATATCAGACGCAAGATATCTACTTAGAGCCGTGTTTCTCTTCCTTACCTTGACGCATGCTTCAGCCGCGACACCTGTCCACTCAATCATCCATTCCCTTTAAAGCGATTTGTTAGCCCAAGCTTTGACGCAGTAAATTGCAGTACTCACCATTTAGGATTGAAGGGTATGATGATATCTTGTATGAGATTGCATATCTGCAGCGAGGACTCTTTGGCGTCCTTCACGTTACTATCTAGTAAAGCCTCCTCTGGTTTCAAGGTTTTCAAAGCAAGAATCACTCCAGGCTACGTAAACCAAAACAATGTCAGAAAAACTCAAAACGCGTGGTACTCAATTGCTGACTTACTTTGGCTATGGATAATATCGATGATTGATACATCAGGTGAATACAGACGACGTTCCATGCGTTCTCGTTACCTCCCTTGGATGACTTCGCCGCCATCAGTACACTTTGGAACCAGCTTTGTAGACCACTGGGTGAATTTCCGTGTGCACGCTCAATTTTCATGTAGTTTGGTAACTTTTTATAGAACTCTCTCAGGCGTTTCTTCATGAGCGGCTGAAAATCCAGATTCTAAAGTGCAGGTAGATAAATATGGAACCATTAGCGCTGGGATTGCATTCTGTGTTTCTGCAATGATAAGAAAACACACCTTTAGAGCAAGTTCTCGTCTCAAATGATCTAGACAGAAAAGAACGACAGCACAAAGTCAGATTCCCGACTCTTGAGTCTTTGAAAAGGAAAGCAACGTTACCGTCAGGGAATTCGGATATTTTCTGGAGAGCTATGAAGCCTGGCGGATTCCAAGAGTCCTTAAAACAACTTTCAGGTCAGTACGACAACGAGGGCAAGAGCTGCGCACTACGTACAAGATTGTATAGTGTAGTCACACGCGTAGCAAGTCCGTTAAGACGGAAGACCTCGATACAGGCTTGCACAGAGTCAACGATTTCACTCTCCACCATATCCGGCATAGCACCTGTCTTGGGATTTATCGCCATCCATGTTTCTTCTGAGCAAGGAAACATAACATTTGTCGCTTCCTCCAGCTCATATACGTCACCAAGGGTGATTGAGGGCTGGTTTATCATCAGAGCAATAGCTGATGTGTGAAGCCAACCGAAACGGATTTAGTGTTATAATTCTTTGAAGATACGCTTGCACTTGTACCTCGTTCAGCAATCGAAAGACAAAACCATGTCCGCCTGCGTGTCTCTTCCTCGAGGAAGGTTTGAGGTTTCAACAAAAGTTTCTGCGTTAAGATGTCGGGATCCTCGTTCATTCTCAACTCCATCATCATCGTGGCGGCGAGCCGCACGAATTCCATAGTCAGCTTTTCTAGAGACGAGAGAAAAGGTTGGCAACCTCAGACATTCACATTCAGGGGTTTGCGTACGTTCACCGGCTCGACTGAAGAAGTATGACATGAGTGTAAGAGCCTGCACTGCTTCAACTGACGGATTTTGTTTTGCTTCGGGTAGTAACGGGTGGCATTTGTCAATGTAAGCCCATCCCCGATGCACCGGATTCAGAGGATCAAACAGAAGTAGTGATGGTTGAGACGATACCGTGGCACCTAACAATTTCAAGAGACTGAAAGTTCAATAAAAGTTCTTCACCTCTGAACTGGTCAAACTCATACCTATGGCACATATGGCATGAAACAGCAATGGACTTTTCGGTTTTGTGTCGAGATCCATGAAGGTCGGTGGATGAAGATAAACCATTCGTGGGGCAATTGGATATACAAAGTTAAAGAAGGATTGAACGAGATCCCTGACATCAACACAATCAATAGGGTCGAGTTGAACTAGAGAAAAGCAACGTGTGTTTTTAGACAAACCCATTTGTTGCGAAGATGACGTATTGGATCATGAAAAATACCTTCGGCGGGTATAGAGACATTGCTAGGAAGAGTACCTAGCCATTGAGGAGTACCAGGATCAATTGGGAAATCAAGGTCGAAAGTAGGCAGGGGTGGCAAATGCAGTTCGAAACCATCTGAATCTAGATCTGGATCCCAGGTAGTCCATAGCACGTTCCTCTGTTTGGAAACGGTGGTATCGGTGTTCTGCGTGTTGAGGCAAAAAAGGCTGTTGGTTAACGGTTAATGTGTCATAAATAGCACGAGCGTACGGCAAGGGTAACAGTTAACAGCGAAAATGAAGGATTTTCTAGATATCATCAACGGTATTCATACCTGGCTCCGCTTCCTCTTATGAGTCAGCTCCTAAATAAATGGCATTGAGTTATCATTATTCAATGTCCTGTCAGAACCAGGGGGCACCAACCATTCTCTCGTCTTCAGTAGGCGTCATCACCGACAATGTTGGCGGTGAAGGCACCAGGACAACATCAGTCGACGTTGATCTACTTCTCTTCATTCGCTTTATTGTCTCATTTGTCGCGTTTTATCTTCCGTTGTGACGAGATTGAAGAACAGTTCAAGAACTGATGTAAATAGTGACCAGCTTCATTTCCTAATATATCGCGTACTTTCAGAGCTCAGATCTGTGAAGACTTTGCTGTTGAACACCTTTTTTCGCGAGGCCTCTAATGTACGTGTTTTCGAGTCGCTCCCAATTCATTGTCAATTGGTAGCAACTTAAAGCTTCCGTTCAGCGTAAGATGGCTCCAGTACATGCATTTACGCGTATTAAAGTGTGGTGTCGGTGCAGCTTTCCTGTCGTCAAACATCTGCGTCCCTTGTGCTGCGACCCTTCAAAGTGTATCGATGTTTGCCTGCTGTGCCGAAGACGAACCAGTCAAGATGTCTACTAGTACCAAACTGAAGAAGGTCTTCTATGGAAACATCATCTACTCAAACTCCCCAACGGACTTGGTCGTGTTATCGCCAGGCTGTATTGGCATCGACCACACCGGCACTATCGCCTTCCTAGTCTCAGATAAGGATGCTGATCTCGTAAAGCTCAAGGCCCAGTACCATTTCACTGATGCTCAAGTAAGAACTGCTGAATCCATCGGCGTTGGGTGATGCAATTTGCTTCATTTTTTTTCAAACTCCTACTTTCCGTCTGATAAGGTGACCACCATGACCAAGGAGCAATTCCTCATTCCCGGATTCATTGACACTCATATTCATGCCCCACAATACGTCTTTACGGGAACTGGTTACGATCTTCCGCTGCTGCAGTGGCTAGAAAAGTAGGTCATCAAGGCTATGTTTGATCGATAACTACCCTCCCTTATCTGATTATTCTTCCCGCTTACAGGTATACCTTCCCTCGTGAAGCTGCCTTCAAAGATGAGGATTATGCTCGAGCTGCTTATATTCGATGTGTTGCCAGAACTCTGAGGTAAAGGCTTCGGCTTGATACGGACGTGTACCTCGAATTTGTTAATATCTACATCGAAACTTCCAATTTTTCATTTCAATATTCCTGTGAGGTTGATTTGACGCCTTCCTTCTAATTCTCAACACAGATGTGGGACAACCACAGCCTGCTACTATGCCACCATCCATGTTCCAGGGTGCAAGATTCTGACCGACATCGTCCACCAGATTGGTCAACGAGCCTTTATCGGCAAAGTCAACATGGACAGAAACTCTCCCGACAATTATCGTGAAACGACGGGAGACTCTATCGAGGCTACAACCGAGTTCGTGTCCTGGTTACTGGAGCGCAAGGATCCATTAATCACTCCAGTTATAACAGTCAGTATTCTTACATTGTCGCCCCTTTTGAGATACATTTACTAACATACGTGTCTCCGCTCACCGTGTAGCCTCGTTTCGCACCATCATGTACTGGTGACCTCATGAAATTCTTGGGGGAGATCTCTGCCAAACATAATCTACCAATCCAAACACACTTGTCTGAAAACACTGCTGAAATCAAATGGGTGTTGGATTTGCACCCAGAGTTTAGTTCCTACACTGGCGTTTATGAAGGCTTTGGTTTGCTAAACAGTCGTAGTGTATTGGCTCACTGCGTCTACTTGACACCCGAGGAGAAGGTCTTGATTAAGAGTGTCGAGGCTGGAATTTCACATTGTCCTAACAGGTATGCAGCGAATGAATGTGCTATGTTTAGAATCCATTGAAGTAATACCTTCTTCTCGCATAGTAACTTCTTGTTACAATCCGGTGTATTGAACGTCCGTCAACTCTTGGAAGCTGAAATCAAAGTAGGGCTAGGAACCGATGTAGCTGGTGGATACTCGCCCTCCATCTTGGACTCTATTCGCAACGCTGTTATCGCGTCCAAAGTAATCTTTGTAAACACTCGGGCTGCCAAGGAAGAAGCAGAGGCTGCTGGATTGCCACCTGTAAGAGCATACGAACCATTAACTTTAGCAGAAGTGTTTTACTTGGGTACACTTGGAGGTGCCGAAGTTATGAATCTAGATGACAAGATTGGTAATTTCTCCGTTGGAAAGGACTTTGATGCCTTGTTGGTGGATTTGAATGCTTCTGGATCAACAAAAGCCAGTAATCTCGTAGATGGCAACAAATCGGTGGACTTGTTTCCGCATGACGATTTAATCTCGGCGTTCGAGAAGTTTGTCTATAATGGGGATGACAGAAACTTGATAGAGATTTATGTGAAGGGCAAGCAGGTTTCTGGGTCTGCGGGTATAATAACAAAGATAGCAGTGTAAGGCCCAGATTATATCGAATAGAAGTGTAGTAGTTTTTGAGGAACATATATTTGCAGCACATCTAAAACGATCACATGTACAAAAGTATAAGGGGTATATCTAAACACAGCTAGCACAGATACAAACGTATTCCCAGGGTATATAATCTAAATACAAATAGATCTCCAGCACACATTCAAAAACTGGACATAAACACGCCAAGACAAGAAAAGCACTTCCAAGACATCTCTTATTTACAGAATGGCCGATCTCCATACACCATAACCCCAACTGGGAGTTGTTGCTAGAGGTGGTATTGGTGCAGCGTCTAATACAGGATCCCGATAACCTCCTTGCGAGCTACGTCTACTATGTTGGGCGGTATGATAACTTGATGTAGAGTGGAGACGAGCCGTTGTGCTACTAGTGCTGCTGACATACGCATCTAACGTCAACATACTACGCAGTGGAGCTGCCATGTGTGGAGCCTGTGACGATGGCGGAGACACCGGGTATGAAGGAAGACACATCCGTAATGGTGAGTTCGAGTTTGCAGACGACGAAGAGCTACTAACGCGGTGGTGGTCTTTACTATACGGTCCCGTCGTGGAGTCTACTATTTGATCTTCGGCATCACTCGGTGGAGATGGCAGCGACCTGACAAACTCGGTAATGGATGGTGTGATTGGGATATATGGTGGGCAGAAACTTCCTCCATCCGAAGCTGCTGGCGATTGTGGTGGCGAGTATGGCAGGTTTGGCACAGACCTTCTCACTTCAGCGGTTGGATAAACATTCTGAAAAATTATCCCGGTGGGCTGGTCATAAGCCTTTGTGGCAGTGGAGTGCAATGGTGTCATAGTTCTCCCCATTTGTTGATTGACGCCGGGTAGGCTATGTAGGCGAAGGAGAGTCGATTAGTGTTGGCTCAAGTTTGGTTGTCTTGCTTTCACTGAAGAGTGGAGAAAATGCAAACACGATTACCTTTCGGTGTATGACTGCCAATCCTGGTTGCTATCTTTTGAGGCTCGTTCAGCGACACGAACGTGATGCGTGTCTTCATCGTGGCAAGTCATCCAATGAAGCGATAGATCTTTGCTCTATGTGGTTGCAAAGACCGTTAAGCGGCTAATAAAACACAACAATCTGACTGCAACTTTAAAAGCGGCCGACTTACGTTCTCAAACGTTTGTCGGCAGGAGGTTCGAGGGCATCTGAATTTGGCTTTAAGCTTAATAACGGATTTTCTTGGCTTTCTACAAAGTAAAAGTTGCAATGGTTTGAGGTATGTACACATGGTGGAACACGCAAGAAACTGCGATGAAAAAAGCTTACTTCGGATGTCCGGTGAAGGCATGTTCCTGATAAATAGGAATGAAGTGAGTTGAAGTAATAGTGAAATGAAAGCAAGCAGCAATGCGATTATAGTGAAAAGATCACAAAACAAATTCAAGAAGCGCCCGCCCGTAGTAGTTATACCTTGTTGAAGAGCACATCGCAGCCACTGCAGAGAATTGTGGGTGCCTTGGAGGCACTGTTGTTGGCAGCAGACATTACCATTCGACATATCTTACACTTTTTCCCCATTGTGCCTCGTACTTGCAGAGTTTGCTCCAGAGCCGGGAGTAATTGCAATGGTAAAAGAATTCGGCTTTGTTGGAGATGGATGATGGATGCCTTGTCCTTTAGAGTGTAGAATTCAATAGGCAATCGGGCTGATGCAACGACTTGCGACCTATCTAGTTGGTGACGAGTAGTGGCTATTCGAAACTGACGTTGCGTTTCAACCGGCGTGTTTGTTATCTGAGAGTAGGAAAGAGTTTTTTTTCAGGGCGGTGAAACCGGACGAATATATCCAAGCTGTCCGAGTGTCCGTCTTCAAAGGAAAGTCCCACAGGTGGGAGTCGGTCTCGCAACTGGGAGTCGAACCTTGTTGGACACTGGGGTTCCGTGTATGTCAGTAGTCGTAATTTGTCTTGTAGAGGTCTCGGAACACATGATTAATTGTCCTCATCGATATAGTTTCTTCCCAGAAAAACCCAGACTATTAGTCTGTTTGATTGAACTGTTCCGGGTCGTTCCTGTAGTTCAAATCTCTAGAGTACATCACTGATTTAGATCTTCGATAGTCATAGAACGTAGAACATCGTAACTTGCTCCACTTCAGACGCACCGAGAGCTTAATTATGTTCTCGGCAGCTTCCAAACGCCCATCGCAAAAGATTCGTTTTGGGATTGAACATGTCAAACTAGAAAGTAAGCAAACAGATTGACTTGATGGTGGGAGGCATGCCGGATTTTCTGGTTTTCTATCGCAAGGTGCTTGAACTTTGACCGACACATGCTTTTGTGGGATTGTCTGAGACCACCTTCCCAACCTCCTAAAAATAAACTCGCCAAAACTCGATTTACAATCTACGATTAGGAGGAAGACACACGTAGATCGGCTCAACGGTTCGATCCGTGCATCGTCCAGCAAAACTTGACATGTCGCGTAAGGAAATGCAACATGAAATCTTGCTCCTTCAAATCCATTTGCGATCGGAGCTTGTCAAGCGGCCGGCTACAGACGGCTGTAATCCCGTTTCCGGAGTACCCACCAACGTTCAAGCTTTGACCATCAGCAAAGCCTTTGAAGAAAATTTTCATTCAAGTGCCCCACCAACAAACATAAGAGATGATCTGTCTATGTAATAAGACGGGCAATTTCTTCTATAGATGGGCGTAACCGTTTTCCTTCAAAGACTCAGCTACAGCTACCAGAGTCTTGTCGACATGACCATTAGAGGGCTCAATAGCAGATACATTCATCTAATAAAACGAATTAAGGTTTTCATTAGCAAAAGCGGCGAATCCCTCGTTTTGGATGTACGAGCAACACAGAGCCACGAAACCACCATCAATTAAACCAAATTACTGGAAGATTGAACTTACATGCCCAATTCTAAAGTACTTGGTAGCGTAATCAGGATGCAGACCCCCAGCAATCTGGACTCCACGAGCAAATACGCCGCTCAAGAAAGAAGCTGGAGTGACACCTTCTGGATAGTAAACCGCAGTCATGGCGTTTGCTTCTCCTTCTTTTGTTGGTACCAATTTGAGGCCCTTATCCTGTACGAACTTTTTCACATGGGCATTCATAGTAGCATGCTTGGCCCATCGTCCTTCCATACCTAAAGTTTGCGATGCCATGAGTAACTTGTTTGCAAACAGACGTTAATGTTTGCAAATAATCATGATTTATAACGCACCGCCATCAGCCGTTACAATTTGACGTAACGAGGTACCAAGAGCAGTAATGAGTTGGACTGGTGGAGTACCTTCAGACAAAGGGTAATCAAGGTTAGTGACTACGCTTCGATATCTTTCAGCTTGTGAATGAGGTCGGCTCGAAAGCACGTAATACACGAGAAACTCACCGAAATAACCTGGCTTTCGTGCCATATAACCTTGCATGATGGGTGTCCACCTCTTCAACGAAGCGTAATATGTAGCCGGTGGTGCAACTCGACTGTTTACAGTTTCGAGACCACGAGCAGACACCATCAAAACACAAAGACCAGGTGGTGCACCTAGAAATAATTATGATCAATACCATGACTGTTGATGCTGGGCTAGACATTCCAAATACCTAGGGCCTTTTGAGAACCAGTCAAGACCACATCCAAACCCCAAGCATCTTGACGAATGACTTCGGCACCAGCTGAACATACAGCATCGACTATAACCAAAGTTGATGGTGATACTTGATGAACGAGCTTTGAGATGCTTTCTGCATCTGACAAAACACCAGATGATGTGTCAATGTGAGTGATAGTGATCGCCTTGTAAGGCTTTGATACGGATGTCAAGGCAGTTTTGATGTCTTCTAGTGATGCACGAGATCCGAAGGGAGAGCGCAAGTGGGTTACTTTAGCGCCGTATGTTTCCAGACTAGAGGTAGTGGTTTTGAAATTCAGTAAATGAAAATGTGCAGGGATTCTGAAAAACCTGGTGTTCATCCTGATGGTGCTTGTATCTGTAATATAGAGACTCTCATACAACCTACTAACTCACCAGTCTCCAAATCGATCTCCAAACAATCCAGTGTTGAGAATCAATACTGATTCACCAGGTTCCACAAAGTTGGTGGCGACAACATCCCAACCAAGAGTTCCAGATCCAGCAATCAAGTAAGGTTGAGAGGTCTACCATGTATAATGAATGAGCTTGGTAATCGAAGCGTGTTTGGAAGGCCAATTTAACTTACAGGAGCTTGGAAGACGACTTTCATATCATCAAGAGCTTGTCCAAATATCTCAACAAAGTGTGGTCCCATGTGAGATGCAGCTGGGGTTGACATGACTTCGGCGACCTAGAATAACTCTTCGTGTCAGCTTTCCAAAAGCTGTTCAAACCACCATTCATGCGCCGTCTAACAACATCTCCACGTCTCTCTCAAGCATAGACCTTGAGTCTGGCGACGATTTAGCGGTATTTGTGACCACAAAACTAGAAAACAGTGACGATCCATGACACATTGCTTTCTGCCCTCTGATGCAAAAGATGCCTCCGAACTTGCCTCTTTCGATAGCTCAACTGGGCCTGGAGATAACGAAATTTGAATGTGTGAGCTCGTTTCGATACCATTGACAGCAGTGCGTTTTATTCTTGATTACCTGGTATCATCGTCAAAGGATATTCTTTAAAATCTAAATACAAATAGAGCGTTAGCGATGCACGTTCCGGAAAAGAAAGATGACATCAAATTCCTTACTTCTTCCTGAGCTCATCTTTGAAATCGAAGCTGTTGAAAAAGTTTGATGCTTGTTGTTCGAGAGTGTGAGCTTGTTGATCGTGGGAAGAGCACTTAATGCGCTGAGTCTTGGGATACGAGATGCGAGGGCACGAATGACAGCACTCTTCATTCACGACAGCTGCTGTACGAAACGTCTGTCGTTCTGAAGGCTTCAAGAGGGGAGGAAGAAAAGACGCATTGCAAGCAACAAACTAGACCTGGAAATGGAAGTATGAGACTTGGGGACGAGTTGGGTACTCGTACGCATATTTCCTCATTTGCTCCTGATATCGTAGAAGTTTGCTTTGTTTGATAAAATTACTATGACAGCGAAGAGTGAATTGTATGTTTATTCTTGTTTTTCATCCTCATCTTCATCCTTCCATCGATTGGCTCTAGCTCTATTCTTTTGCACATTTCCCATAGGCGTCGACGGTGCAGACCCTCCAGGAAATCCAGCCAAACCAACATCAGGATTATTCAACTTGAATGGTGTAGGGCTTCTGTTCCTCAAAGGAGACAATGGTATATCATCGTCCTCGTCTTCACCATTGTCTTTCGGTACCACAGTTCGACGAGGAGTTTTGAAGGGGGATTTGTTGCTACTGCTACTATTACTACTACTGTTGTTGTTCTGGGTATCTGACGCTGGGAATCCATCAAGACCTGAATCCCGCAAATACTGAGCAACCTGCGTAATGACTTCACGAGATGCTACTTGGGCTATTCGTAACATGGGAGCCAAAGTGCCAGTATACCACATACCAACAACCACCAACACCATAGTCGTAGCTGACAAGAAATATATAGGATTTGTCAATACTGCCATGAGCTCATTCCAACCCAATAATAGAGTCAATCCAAGATACCAATATGGAAGTTTGGCTGTAGTAGACACTATAGATCGTTTGGCATCTAAAAAGGAAGCATCAACTTCTCTAAGGAAACGATCTCGTAGGCTGCTTAGTTTAGATGGTGACAGCAAAACCAAGTCAGAGTCATCTATTGGTCCTACTAAATCGGTAAGGGTATCTGGCTCAATGGAAATACGTTCGAATCGACTAAATAATACGTCAGTCTCATTACGAGCTTTTGTAAAGACTCCATCGATATCGTCATCAGGTTTCCACATTCGTGGCAGACCTTTTTCATCATATCGGAACTTGTCTTCGAAAAAGGATTTGAGGCGTACTAGCATTCGTGATGGGTCTGTCTCTTCTACTAGTTTGCGATGGAAGACTTGCCATACTTGCTTTTGCATCTCGACTACTGAAGTTTCTATTTCCTCGTCACTAGCCTCAAATCCTACATATTTTGCTGATGTGAGAACATCGTTTCCTGAATTTTGTAAAACATCGTAAAGCGAGTTGGACTAACCTCTCGATTTCACTCTGACTTCCTCCAGAGTTCGTTTGACTGTATCCTGGAAAGTATTTGAAATACGAGACCACATATCTGGACCCATATCGTTCAACTCTACTATTATTGGGTCACTCAATCCATCCAGAATCAGTTTCTGTTTGAATTAAGGACATTCATATGAGTATGGAGGCGAATGTATTGCTTTGTTTACAAAAAAGACAACCACAAACCTGCAAGCCAGACACCATACGCTGCAAGGCCTCATTTCGTTTCAGCGTGGCAATCTCGTCTAACTCGAAAAGGAATTGCGATACTGGTTCTTCATAGCTCCAATCGGCAAAGGATACCCGTGACTTGACTGCCATGTCTCGGAAGGTTGATTCGGCTTCTTGTCGACATGCTCGTAAACTAGAAGCAAATTCAGAATCACCTCCTTTGAGCTTGGCCTAGTTTGATTTTTGCAAATCAGTATTGCGGCAAAAAAACACACATTCAAAAAGAATAGTCCTACCTGCAATGACTTGTTAAATTGTACAATGCCTCGTTTGTGTAAGTTACGTAGCTGTTCCATATAATTTATATGCAAAATGGATGTAAGCTTGTCCAGAAACTCGGCTCGTTTGCGTTTGTATACGTCAGGATTGTAGCGACTGGCATCACGATCAAATGAAGCGAGGCATGACTCGATAATGGTTTCAGTTTCGTGACCCATATCGTCAATTACTAGACCAGAATCTAGTCGTGGTCGATATGATTTGGTCGCTTCAACAAAGGTTTCCAAAATACCCTAAAACAGACGTGCCCAAAAAGTCAATGTCTGAGAGCTTAGTGGTCGAATGGTTCAACTCACACGTCCAATCTCGTCACATCGGTACTGAGCCAAGAGCTGCTGTTGAGTTGGCAAATCCAAATCTCTGTTGGTCAAAATCTTGGCCTGTCGACGACAAGGACTCAGTGACCCAAAAAAGTGTCTCATGGAAATGACAAACAGCCTACATACCCAAATGGACTCGGCGTATCGTGGAAAACCATCAGCTGGAATGTGTTTGTGGTAGGAAGGTCCAAATATATAGTTTGTGCCCGTGTTGTTGTAAAATCTAATGTCAGCGAAACAGAATTAGTTTGGCCAATATCATCGTTACAATAGATGAGAATCTTGCAAACCTTGTTTTCAGAGTTGCAACGGCACTTTCGAACTTTTCTGGTGTAAAGACTTTATGTGGCAATCCTTCAAATGCAAAATCAAAGAAATCGCTAATTTGTGATGTCTCATGACCAGCAGGCTGCAGACAAAACAATGAGCAAAACACAAATATCGTTACGACTTTGAACACCAACCAACCTTGTTCAGACTGATCCAGATCTTTTCTAGATCTTGCATCAAAGTTTTTGATAGAGTAGCAATTGGTGTCACAGCAGTATAGTCTCGTAATATGAACATAAGCAGAGTCTTTGGCGATCTATGCTCAACGTAATCGTATATCAGCATTGACTTGCTTTCAATAGAATCGTTCGGACCTCTCACTTACCCTTGAGCTTGAAACAGTTGCAGATTCACTTCAAATACAGTTTTGAGTAAACCCATATTTGCACCATTGTATAATCCCACCATGTTTTCCCACATGTTGACAATCAAAACTTCAGCAATGGCCAATGAGAATAATGCAGACTTTCGCTCGAAATCCTACAAATTTAACGACGCATAAACAATGAATCCCAAAACTTGTATACGTTCGATCGCTTACCTGATCTTCTCCACGTTCACGTCCATCAGTACCTTCAACATCTAGTACGAGTAGATTCTTCCCATGAGCTGGACTCAACCAGATTCCTACAGAGCCATTGATCAGTATCTATGCTTCCAGAAGCAAGTTACGCTTGAGCCCCACCTTTGGTTGTTTGCTGACGTCTCTTTTCATCCATGACGGCGAATGTGGTATTGAATAATCGGTTTAGCAAAGTACCTAAGTTGTCGGTAGTAAGTTCACGTTTTGTGGTATGTATTGTCAACTTACTCTTTCCCGTGCTCTGAGATCCAAAGACTGCGACAAGATTGTAGTCGAATCCACAAGAAGCCAGATTCCATTTGTCTTGCATATACTCTTGTAGCTCAGGTCTATAGTTGTGAGTGAGTGTCGGTCTGATGTGTATGAATGTTTGATGATCAAACCTCAATGCAGCCAAGAAGGAAGAACTTACGTGAATTGCTGATGCTCGTCGACTACCTGCAAGGTGGCCAGATCATCTGGGACCGCAGGACTTTCATCTGAATCAAACTCTGACTCAACCAAGTCCGGCACTTCGGCCTCTATTGACATTGAATGAATGGGAAGACACTAAAGAAATGAACGGTGTTTCTTTCTAGATATATAAGGAATGTCTTGCGTCAGCGCTTTTTTCGACACCAGTCGACTGGTTGTTGTTCGAAATTTGAGCGAGAAGGGAGTGTGCAGACTGCAGAACGCATAGAGGGACTGCTGCAACCATTTGAACAGGTTAATCTGTGATTTGGACGCGTATCTACTGACTCGCTAAGTCTCATTACTGCTATCGACACGTAAGAACTCGTCGTGAAGCGAATTGTTTTCAAGCTAGCACCTAACGCAAGTGTTCGCACAAGATCAACGTGTTTGGAGCTTAAATCTTTATGTCGTCTTTACAAAATTCTAAATCCTACAATTTCCTCCTTGCTGTATCATCTAGCTTTCCTGAAACTTGCTACATTTGGAAATAATGAGCTTCTTGGCCAAGACCAGTACGAACGATGCTAGTAAAGCAGTCGAAAAGGCTCGAAAAGAGAGAGAATTACGTGAAAAGCTACGAGCTCAACAATTATCTCAACAATCTCACGAAGAGGCTGCAACAGTCATTCAGAGATCACTAGGACGATGGTACAAATCTCATCATTATGGGTCCAGCATACAATCCTCACTTACAATGTTGCTAGGTATGCTCGTGTTCTAGCTCGTAAAGCTCTACGAACTCTGTGGGATCAACAGGCGACGAGTCACAGCCCAGAAGATTTTGTACTCCAAGCCTTTCTTTTACTGAGCTTTTATACTCACGGTGATGACAGTGCTCGGTTAAGTCAGTATATGAATCTCGTGTTGACTCAGAAAACACCTCCTTTTCTGGTTATGATCGCCAGATCACGAACAACAAAGGCTACTCTTCGAGTTCTAATGAGACTATTACGAATGGTCTTTGAACGAGTATGTGGTCCAGCATCACCAGAATCAGTAATGTCGCCACGATCACCAAATTGGAGACCTGCTACACAACCTCTATATCTGTCTGGATTTGAAATACGATGGCTGTTTATGAGTCTAGATCCAAGATCATATCCAGCGCAACTGCAACCTATTCTACTACTCATCTATGACGATCTGTTTCTGAAACATGATTGCTATAAAATCGTCAGACTCGCTTTACAACAGCATATACATAATATAGAGATATACACACGACGCCTAGTGAAGGATGAACAGGATGATAAAGTCGTGAAGGCAACACATCTATGGATGGGTGTCATGTTTAATATAGCTCTATGGCCTCTGAAATTTCCACAATCGGATTCCTTATTAGCAACCCAAGTACCATTCGTCAAACTATTGATTGAACATATTTGGACTATACCAATGGTAGTAAAAACCCTTGATCAACAGTCTCTCACCATTTTTCAGAAATCGAACGTGTATTCACGAGTGTTGGAGGTGATAAAATCCAATAATGAAGTGGTGACGAATATGAGTGGAGAGGACGCCTTTTGTATTGTAGCCAACCTCGTCGACTCTCAGTCTCGACTAGGAGAAGAGCCTGCTGACGATGCAATATTGATAGTAGTCAAAATCTTGTCGCATTGTAAATCCTTTATTTCGATTGCGACGTCTGTAAAGAAACCTATACCAAATAGTAGCAGTCAGTACCATCCCGTGTTTGGATGGTATGCTTCTACCCTTAAACCGAAAGAAGGCCTGTCACTATCACCTCAACAATGGGAACGTGTCACTGAATCTCTAACTTATTTATGGTCTCGAGCAATCCTGACTCAACTTTTAAAACCAATAATAGTGTTTGCTCCAGAAGCAACTACAACCCCTCCCAAGAGTGTTAAATCGCCTACAGGTGCTCGAAAACTGCTAAGTATAGTTAGGCCGTCGTCGTCAGTATTGTCTTTATCATCGGCATCCACACAAGCCAGGCGTATCGAAGTTACACAAGCAGCCTCACATTTACTAGCTGTATCAAATCTATACTTGTTGCTATCACAAGTCTTAATCCAGCTACGAAGCCAAATAATGTCTAGTATTGGATTCACTATTGGATTTGTGCCGGGAATGTGGCGAATCATTACTGAGATGGGTCCGACATCTAATGGACTGGAATTGCTGTTCAAGTCTTCTAGAGATCCAAGCAAGGAGCCATTTGGTACTACACTGCAGTTGTTTTGTGATCTGGCCTCCAGACTTTATTTGACGCTTGATGATGAAGAGGTAAACGAAAGTTTCGAGGTCAAGTCTCAACACTATTTAACTACGCGTTCCTTTAAACTACAGGTCTACGAACGTCAGTCACCCTTCACTTTGTCTGAAACTACAGAGATGGCAAGATTCCTGAACAGATTTTGTTTCGAATACCTGTCGGCCAATCCTGCTACGACGAGTGGTACCGAGGCTGCATTTGTAGATCCGGTATTCACATCATGTCGGCGCCTGCTATCGTTGCTGTATGACAGGTCTTCTCGACGCCCGTTCTCAGATGATCCAGACTTTTGGCTGATCAAAGAAGTGAAGAAGACGTCCTTTGTAGATGATGTTGCTAAAGGAGATACACGAGCTTTGCATATTCTCAGTATTATGCCTCAGACAATACCTTTCAAAAATCGAGGTAAGAGCAAAATCGTTGGAACTACAAGAACGTGATAATTACAACCATTGCTCGTTTTTAGTGGAGATATTTAGAAACCTCATTCAACGCGACAAACTGACTGTGCCATCTCAACCCCATATCATTACTGTTTATCGAAAACGGGTGCTTGAAGATGGATTCCGTCAACTGAACCGTATACCGCCATCGCAGTTGAAGCAAACGATAAGAACGAAATTTGTAAATGAACTTGGGCTTAATGAGGCTGGTATTGATCAAGGTATGAACTTTAAGTACGGCAGTCTCTTCCAACATTTTGACTCACTTGTTTTTGCCTGGGCAGATGGCATCTTTAAAGAGTTCTTGGAAGAATTAGTCAAAAAGGCCTTCGACCCACAATTCAATCTGTTTAAGACAAACGAACTCTCTGGCCTCGCTTTTCCATCTTCAACGTCATTTATTCATGAAGATCATATGAATTTATTTACATTTGTTGGAAAGATCTTGGCCAAGGGCCTTTTTGAAGGCATTACACTGGACATACCATTAGTCAGCTCTCTTTATTCCAAAGTGCTGGGCAAGAACCCCCAGCTGGACGAGCTACCAAGCGTGGATCCTGAACTTTATAAGAATCTCACTTTTGTTAAGCATTACGAAGGTAATTGTTTACTTCTATGGTTTTTTTTGAACAGACCCTTTAATCTTCAAACCGAACTTCCCATTTCAGGTGATTGTGAAGATTTAGGCTTGAGCTTCACGATCGATGCAGACATTTTCGGCAAAATTGAAACCAAAGAACTAAAATACAATGGACGGGACATCTCTGTCACAAACGCCAATCGATACGAGTACATCTACCTAGTAGCAGACTATAAACTAAACAGTGAATGTCGAGAGCAGCAAGAAGCTTTTGTCAAAGGGTTCCAATCAGTTGTAAAGAGGGATTGGCTGAGAGTGTTCTCGCCTGTTGAACTACAAAAATTGATGTGTGGTGAAGATTCTCAATTGGATATCAACGATTTGAGATCTCACACACGATATGAAGGAGGGTATTTTGATGGTCATGGGACTATAAGAATGTTGTGGAATACGTTGGGGAAGCTGGATGCTGAGATGCAAGGAAAGTTTCTCAAGTATGTTACTTCTTGCTCAAGGTATGTGACAAAAAAAGGCCTTGCAAATCTTATCTTGATACAAGTTTTGATCTCCGTTTCTTCTCTACCATTCCATTACTAGACCACCCATTGGAGGCTTCCAACACTTGTCACCTCCCTTTACAATCCGATTCGTGCCGTCTGATCCAGCAGACGAATTACCAGATAGCAATGGTTTTGCGCGTGGCACATTGTTGACTCAAGCGCTTGCTTCCGTTCTCGGATTGGGTATGTCGTTTGTGTGTAGCGTTGAGCTATCTGCTACTAAAATTGTTCTTTTCGCTCTCAATTTTCTCAGGCAAAGATTCTGGCCGATTGCCTACAGCATCAACTTGCTTCAATCTTCTCAAGCTGCCATCATACAAGAAGCAGACTACACTTGAGAAGAAACTTCTTTATGCTGTAAGAGTGGTGCTTTATTCGCCGCTGATATCATGCAAATGTAATTATTGTTTTGTTTTGTTAGATTACGTCCAACACGGGCTTCGAGCTGTCGTAATCGCCAAAGCTACTTATGATATGCCTACTGATATAGGTGCAATCGTCGAGTAAATTATAAGAGAATTACATTATATACAAGATGTTCAGCCCTCGAAAACAAGGTTCAGTATTTACAGTATCCAGCTGTCCAACTTATAATGTTGCAGGGGATGCAGATTTCATTGTGTCGGCAGTGTAGGTAACTCTTTCAACTCAATTCCTTGTGGTGCAGAGTGCCAATCACCTGGCATATTAACAACCTTTGCCGGAATACGCCTGTCGTATTGGAATGAGGATAGTGAGTTAGTTCTGACAACCTCATGAAGGAATCAGAAAAACACGCATACTTTAATCCAGCCTGAACAAAGGCAAACAGTCTCTTATTGTCCATACACCACGGCAATCCCTCTTCATCATAAAAGATACGTACTAGGGGCAAATCGTCCACATCTAAATCACCCTTCTTGAGTTGTCTCATGGTCGTCTCAACGTCCCTGCCGCAAGCAAACCGTCTACTTATACTAGATTTCGTAAAGATCAAATCTAGCGGTGCGATCATGACCACCTTTTCTGTACTAGATGGTTTGTGCTGTTCTACAATCCGATCATCCTGTGGCAAATCACCCTCGGGAAGTATCATCTCATCCATCCCAGAATCGTCTAGATGCCATGCGGTAGCTTCATCTACGAATTTTATATAATACTGGCTTGCATCATCAAACCCCAGCGCAACAGTTTTTAGTAGACAATCTTCAGTTCCTTTGTGCTGGTCTATGACTTCCAGCACCTCAGAGTTGATACTGGCACCTGCATATTGCTTTACTTCGATCTTGCCAGATGTCGTTTGGGCGATGTATTGTCCTTTTGGGCCTACGGCGAGGAAGCGTAGCTTGTCGACACACGATGGTGATTGGAATTGTGCGAGGTATGTGGAGAGATCTGGGTTTAGTCTTGCAAACGCGACGCTGTCGTCCTCATACAAGATGCAGTACCCAGAGTCAATTAGCCAGATCTTGTGAACTGGATACGTTTTGTGGTTCTTGACGTGTTCCATTAGGTCTGGTGGCAGCCTGTCAAAGGCGATTGTTCCCTCCTCGAACCTTGCAAACCTAGAAAGGTACAAATGCAAATTAGTTCAGCTTCTATTTTACGTTGGGCTCAAGCCTTATAGATCAAAAACATCTGAAACAAACAATCGACGGGATGTACAACATGTACAGTTCCTTCTAGTTCCGAGAAACCACAAGAGTAATACCATGACTTTGACGGTCCGAAACTCAGGTGAGACATTCTGGGCTCATGCGTTGATCTACTTTGGATCAGCTTGACAAAGGTCGACAGCGAATCAAGATTATCAGTCACAAAATTGTTGTCGTTCCAACCTATTGCAAAAGCGGATTTTGGAGCAAAAGCGACAATGTCTGGCATATTGACGTGCCGTTGTCTCGCTTTACTTCGCAGCATCGTCTCTATCTGTTATTTCGTCGCTGATCTTCTGAAACGCAACCACACGAGGCATTGAAGGACACGCCAAGTACCCGAGTTTACGTGTAATTTCACATTTTTATTCAAGTGGTACATATGTATATTAATGCGATAGCTCCACCCTAGAAAGTGCAAGTTGTGTCACTATTGATAGCAAGCCAATGTTCAATGACGACCAAGTTTGTCACCGCAACCACCACAACAACTAATTTGCGCCCTCAGTACGGTATTTCTCGACATTGTAATTCCGCAGTCTAACATATTAATTTGAAACATCATCATTGGGCAACCACCACACCCACAACATTTGCCATCCGTCACTTCTGCTTACCCATTGCATCGAGACTCCAAGCTCCTTTGTAACGATGAAACCTAATACTGTGTGTGCAAGAATCAGTAAATATGGATTCAGCACACATAAAGGATAATTCTTGACAAAGAACGATGGGAGATGTGGCACCACTGGGTGATGCGGCGGAATGACGTTCAAACTGTTTAGAATTCCGCAACGACCTTTGTGGAGCACTATTTTTGGTTTTAATCTTGGCATACACTTTTTGACTCTTTGCGACATGGAAGGGCGATGAAGCAAAGAGCTTCGAAAGGGCCGGACAACGAGCATGTTTGAAAGGCAGGGATGGCATTTGAGGTCCATTTGGCCACTTACACTGATTTAATATCTAATGACAGAAAAAAAGAACAAGGTGAGACACAGGTGCATCACATACAACAAATATGGACGTACGTTTTGATACTTAATAATAATAACTCATGTCGTGTAGATAAAGGACAGGTCATAATGCACCTCCCGACTAGCGGATGGTAGTGATGAGATGAAGGAAGAAAAAAAAAAGCACGGAGTTGATGTTACTTGGATGGCATCCATTTCCGCTTGTTTGAGTGGTTTCCGTTTGAAGCGAGTGGGTAATTCAGCCTCGTCTTCATAGTAGACGGTGTCCTTTGATGCTTTGGATGTACTGCTTGATGTCGATGACGAGCTTGCACTTGGTTGTTGAGACGATGAAGCGTGTGCGTGTCCCCAACCAGCAAGAGCAGCTCTTGGGCCCAGGAATTTAATCAGTGGCGTCCTCTGATGGCGTGCGGCTGTCGATGTCGCGAATCGTCGTATCATCCTCCTAAATATATAATGGGATCTTTTGTGTCAACACAAGAGGATTGAGAAAAAGGAGCTTTCAAGGCCACGATAAACTATGGCCCAGACTATAGCGAGAGGCTAGTCACGACTGACAGGGACGCGTGCCGACTTCCACCACCGTCGTAAGTTCCTGAATTTGTTTGAAGGCCATACTGTGCCATTCGTCTTCTTGTTGTAGCTGCAGTTGTTCGTTCTTTCTCAAAGTATAGAGCTAACTCTTCAGCGCCTTCTCCTTCATAGATTATACCCTGTAGAAATCATTGTCTCACTCTCTCCCTCGCCACACATCTGAAAACTGTTTGCCATTGACACATCATCAAACACCATCCCAGATCAACCCAGTGTCAAAGTAGTTTCAACCTCTATATCGCTACTATATCCTCACCCTATCTTACAACGTTGCATTTGTCTTTGCAATGGCAGATCATGCTGCTGTTCAACGCATCCTTCCTCACGCTGATCAATCCGACCAACTATGTGGTATGCTATTTGCAACATTCCTTTTGCTTTCCATCATTTTTGTTTTCACGTCCATTGGTCCTCTTGTATTAACTTGTTCTCATCCAACTCAACCATCAGCCATATGTCAGGAACCTCTCACTACTCCTGGCGAACTACTAGGTGCCTTACAATGCCATACCTTTCACCTGATCTGTATTCAGATATGGGCTTCCATCTCCAACGCATGTCCTCTGGACCGTGTGCCCTTTCCTCTTATCAATGTCAAGGAGCGGTTGAATGGAGTCGTTGTTCGACAAATACGAGTGACTAATAGCACTCAGCCTGTCGCTGCTCATCTACAGGGTGAACTGGATCAGGATCAAATCGACTTTCCACAATTCGATCAAGCTGGTAATAGGATTTATAATCTAGATGATCTATGCCAGATATGCTATAATGGAAATAATCCGGAAAGAATGCTGCTCTGTGACGGGTATGTGCTGTCAACTCTCTTTTTGATAGTGTGTTGATTCCATCCCTCTGTTGCCATAGCTGCGACAAGGGAACGCACTTAGAATGTTTAGAAATGACGGCAGTACCACCAGGAGATTGGTATTGCTCTCTTTGCATACCTCTTCAGCCAATAGTTGCAGAAGTCACGCCATCCACATCCACTGGCGAGCCAGAGGACAATAGTGATCGAACTGATAGAACCTATGTTGATCCATCCTTTGATGATGAACCGCCTAGTAACGCACGTCCTGGTAGGAGTCGACAACGGAGCCCTCAGGTTGCCTCACATCCACGTCGAGGACGGATTCTAGATGCAATCCGAACGAGGGTTCGTGCAAGGACTGAGAGAACCACTATACCTGTTCGTCGTGAACCGTCCGCTGAATGGAGTCCTCATAATGCACAGAGAGCGTCAAATGCCGCTAGTAGTAGCAGTACCGGTAATAGTAGTAATAGACGGCCACGTCAGTCTTCCATTTCTTTCGACTTGGATGACATAGAACTGCCAGCCTCCAAGAAGATGAAACCAGATGATACCATGTCAACAGTCTTTTCTCAACTGGATCGAGAAATCAAATCTAGAGCCAAAGCTGCAAAGGCTCGAAGTCAGGTTCGTAATCTCTCGCTAGACTCACCGAGGCCAAGATCTGCAGCAGCTACTACGGGGAGGGCGAGGTCTGTCACAATAACAGCATCAAGACCTTCATCTTCTAGAACATCGATACCAACACCAATACCAGCATCAATGCCATCCACGGCGTCGTCATCAGCAATACCGTTTATAGTACCCGTAATACGTAGACCAGGAGTCCCACCACCGTTAATGAATGCAACACCATTAACACCATCCATATATGATGATCTGGACTCGCTGCCATTACCATTGACGAAGAAGATAGTCGAGCCTGTACGATCCTCTTTTAGTAGAAAACCATTCAACAGTGCTTCACGGAGTTCAAGTACTACCAACAGTAGGAGTAAATCGTCGTCAATCATGTCGAATGCTGATAAACCAACAGAACGACAATATCCCTCATCTCAATCCAAGGAAGCATCACCACCAAGACCCATATCTTCCTCATCAGCAGTGCTGATACCGCTCGTAGAACCAGAAATACCAGCATCCAATATAAACGCCCTCTTGGCTGCCTATAATGCTTCCTTGCAGATGATACCACCTCTGCCATCTACATTTGCCACACTACCCAAACAACAGACAGTACCACCTAAACTCGCCATACATCCAGATTTGAAACGGGTTATCGCTGAGGTAGTCAAGGAAGGTTTAGTGGAACCCTATAAGAGGGCTGTTGTAACAAAAGACCAATTCAAGAGTATAGCTCAAACTGTCACTCATAATGTTTATAATCAAATCAATGACAAGTCTGAAGTGGATTCTCCCAAAATCAACGATCTGGTATCAGTCGAATTGAAACGCTATCTCGCCAGTATTGTAGTATAGAGAGTAACGTATATGTGTTTGTTGGGATAACGAATAATAGTAAATAAACTAATGTAAAGATTCACCATATGTTCATTTGTTTCCGAATTTAAAATTTCTATCCAGATGAGGTCATAAAACTATTTCTGTTCATTCCAGTAGAGTCGTTAGAACTAAACTTCAGCTGCAGGAGCAACCGTCTCATCTCTATGCGATACTATCTTTGCAGGCACATCTCTGAATCTAGGCATCTTGTACAATGTCATTGGGTGATCATTGGGCAGAATTCCAAGTTTGGCGACTTTTTGTTGGGGCTTTTGAGGTGTCTTCTTTGGTATGATTGAGTGTGAGTTCTTCTTGCGTAGTTTTTCCTAGAGAGATTTTGTGTACGGATGTTAGTAAAATGTATCGATTCGCGTGTTTTTGCGAAAACGGTACCTTTTCAACACGCATCTCTTCCTCTTCTTTGGCCTTCATTGTGGCAATCCATTCACGCTGGTACTTGTCTGTCATCAAACGTGCGACCTAAGATATACAAGCGTAAGCTACAAATTCGCACTATTCGAAATAAGGCGTTCAACATACTGGGGTAGATGGCCGGACCAACTGGCCATAAGTATGGCTTGGGTTCTTGTCACTGGGAAGCTTGGGATGTCGCAGCGCTGCAGCATCCTTTGAAAGAAAACACACATCCGTGATTAGTTCATTAGCCAATCCATAGCCAACGACAACAATGCACATACTTGGGGCTCAGTCAACTTGACACGAACTGGGTTTTCAGCTCTGTATGCTTTAACTTGGCCCGGTGTTAAAAGACCTTTTCGGGCAGCGTTTCTGTTCATGACTACATAGTCTAGAGGTGCGTCAAGTGCGTTGCGGTGCTTTACGGCTTTTCCATGCCATTGCTACATAAATTGAAGAATACTGTTAGAATCGTCTGTCTGTCTGTCTGAGATGTATGACATTTTCAACACTTTGAAGTGGCTGTTCGCCAAGTGACGCAATGGTGAATATCTCACGAGTGCGCCCACTCCGACGTGTCTCCACTCCCTCATATATTATACTCGTGCAGTTCCATGTACTCACCAGACTGCAAGCAGCAGTATCATTAGGGTCTCGCTCATACGTCTTTCCATACGTGAAATCACTGTTTGGCAAATTATACACTGATCTCTTGGTCTTGCCGACCTCGTGAGGCACCAATAACGGGTTTCCGGCACGTGTGCTGCTAATAGGCATCGTTCAACAAAACCTTAATTGAATTTAAAGCGTGTTGTGTTTGTTGCGAATCTCTCGCAGATTTTTTATGTCGGAGCATTTTCCTAAACGGAACTTGAGTTTGAGTCAATCATAGAATATAAGGCGCACAATTGAAGGGTAAAATGTACCAATATGTGTCGTTTTGTATTTAACTTATCTACACTTTGTTACTGAGTGTGAGGAATTTACTAATGTGACTTTATGAATGTTTTTTACAATGGCTTTGGAGGAGATGAGTGTTTTAATTACGGGTTTCTTCTTTAGGCTCTAGTGCTAATGACACTCTGTACAAATCCGTAGCATTGACCTTTTCAGATCGTTCAAGTTGTTTGAGCAACCACTCTTGCAAGTCTACGACTTCGATGAAATTGTACCGATCATTCTAACAAGTAGTGAGATTTATTGTTAGATACTGTTTAACAAGCCCCAAAAAGTCATCTTTGAGAGTCATCACGGCTTTTTTACCTGATACTTTTGCACATCAAGTATAATCCTCGCCGATTTCGAATACTTGTCGAAATTAATGAGACGTCCATCATTCCTCTTGTTTGGGTTACCATCTTCACAAAACGTTAAATCCGTCAAGTATACACCCAAGAATGGCAGGCATGGTGGAGAGCATGTTCGCAAGTGTTGGCGATACACGGCATAGTTCTTGCTGTGGTCTGTTGATGCTTTTAAGAGTTCGAATGTTTTGCGGGTTTTCTCGGATAGCAACTTTTGATAAAGAAAGAGTGTTGTGAGTACACTAAAAAAATGTCCGAGTACAAGAGATACGTACATCCCAGGTCTTGCGTAAACGACTGATGGTGGATGAGTTGAGAGCAGAGAGGATGGCCAAAAGAGTGTTGAAGTTGTTCATGTTCATTAGCCGCTAGTTTGAATCAAGATGCTTCGCTTAGTATGTTGTGGCGGCAAGAAGAAAGTTGGGTAGAGAAGCCGAATGCGCACTTACGTCTCCAACTTTGATAAAGTATTTCAGTGTTGAGGCTCTTTTCTTGACATCATGATCCAACAAGATGCTCTCAGCCACCCAACCGGTAATCTGCAAAAATGGGTTTCATGCACGGTCAAAATTCCATACCGACAAAATTTTGTAATAGTGACCAAACATCACTCGCCTTATTCGACAAAGAGCTCATCCCTCTAACATGTATAGCACAGCTATTCGTCTTGCCCTTTGCCCACTCCTGATTTATAAGCTCTTTAGCCTCAATAGCATAAAACATCTTGACCTCCATCAATGTCAATTGTCTAGCAAGTTCCAAATGATCCAGATCGTGCAGTGTGACTCTCTTGAATGATCTCGGGACTATGGGTGTGGGACCATCTTGTGATACAGCTGAGAAGGTTTTCTTTGTAGCGGGTTTGAGGGTTCCTTCAGCTTGCTTTCGACATAGTTCGGCGAGACGAACACCGATTTTGGGCATGTGGTCTGTCATTGGTCCTTCTGCAAACTCGTGGATGCGAGTGAGCATGGGAGTGTCGGTGGATTCGTTCCAGAATGTTTCGAGCCATGTTTTGAATGCATTGTAGACTCTATGTGAATGATTTGGATTAGTGGACTTCAAAAGCCGAAAAATATAAACCAAAATGACGCTATTACCTCAGACGAATCGGTGTTTGTTTCTTTTCCTTCCAGACTTTGACTTCGTCGTCAACCATACCAACTGGTGGCTCAATGAAGAATCTCTTGATGAGCAAATCGACCAAGTCTGATGGTGTGCCAAAGGACCTGAACATCATGAGGAAGGCGCTCATGAAGTGTGGATCTACACAAGACGAAAAAAGGGATTTGTTGTTATAAAGCCAAGGAAATTCAACTCATCAAATCAATAATGCCTTCAAATCCTTACCGACTGGAACATCATGAATCGTCAACCGTTCAACCAGACTCGGAAACGTTCCACCATTAACCTGCCCCTCCATATTGAATGAAATATCATTGGACGGTGAATCATATTCCAAAAACCATGCCTTCTTTCTGATTTCCATGGAGGCTCGAGCCACGCTTTCACTAGAATCGGCTCCAAAGAAGGCTAGTAGTTTTGATGATCCAGTAGAAACGTCACTGCTGAGACTGACTTTCTTGTCTCGCAACTTCATTGTTTTGAAGTTTCCTTTACTTAATACAGATGTGGATCGACTTGACGTATCGAATAGCTCATCTTCGTCACTACTACCGTCGTAAGCACTATGTCTTCCAGACATGATTGATATATCATTTTGCGATGAGAATGCAGATCCGGGTCTCGAGTTGGAGTCTGTGTCAGTGTCTCGCGTTGGTAGATCGTACGAGCTGGCCATCGAGCTTGGTGTTAATGGTTTATGGGATGGTACAGATGGTGATCGAGTAAATGTGGATTCTGCAACTATTGATGACGGAGTGGAAGGTTGAGTTGAGGCAGCACGTCCACCACGCGGCAAGGTGAGTTTATTCTGGACTAGTGCCCAATTGACCTTGTCGGCATTACGTCGAGACGGTGAGCTCAAGAGATCAGTCAAACTCTTGAACTCTCCACTATTCAACACTTTCTGCTCATATGCCTCCTTTTGATGTATCAATGTCTTTGTCGATATGATTGTGTCCAACACTGCGTGCTGTACGGCATTTGAGATATCTACTAAATCGGCGATAGCAGAGATTGGTGCGAATTCATCAGCACATAAGCGGACTGCAGATACGAGATCATTGACCAAACTATATAAAAAGTCACGACGAGCTCGGAAGGTCTTGAGTGCAGCATTTAGGTCGGGCACTTCGACTACAGGTATGTCTTCGAGCATTGACAGTAATTGACCTATATCCGTCACTGTAGATCGGGCACATTCGGCGAGAGCATCTGGATTTATGGGTTCATTATGTCCTAGCTCTGCTAATCTCACAAGCTCTCTCAAACCACCTGATATTGCTGGCTTGAAGACTTCCAAGCGAGCAACCATTTCTACGTCAGAGATTTCTTTGCTCTCGTTAACATCCTTTTGTGGTGGCGGCCTAGGAATCAGCTTGACACCTGCTGTTTTCCCAGCATTGACAAAGTCTCTAATAACATCTAACAATTGTCCAGCTGCTTCTTTTACTTTATCAGCTGCATCCGCTGGTGGTGATATTCCAGATGCGACTTTTGCTGTTAGTACAAGTCTGCTCAATGATGGAGTCAAGTTCTTGTAATGGGTTTTTATAGATGGAAGTGATACGACATGAGAGCTTTTGGAAGTGATGCCTGCACATTCCAACATGTATCGTACCGTTGCGACAACATTGTTGGCTGATCCGAGATATTTGCCTCGTTCTTGAAGAGTGTTTGTTCCATTGAGGTCGGAGAGGGCGTGTACTATATTATCAGCCAACAGATCCCATGACATGACATTGGCAGATGTTGGTTCTTTTGCGGGTGACACTGTCGGTATTCGTGGTGATATTGGATGCTCTAGTGGATTGTTGGCCTATGATGGGCGATAATGGTTAGACGATGGTTCTACGATTCGTTGGTTGGAATATTTGATCTGTTACCTTTATATCGTGTATTCCGCCCGTGGGAGCTAGAGATGGGACTGTAATTGTGGGTGGTGGTGTCTTCTTGCCTTCCAGAGCCTTGGATTCAAACATGGCCAGTGCTTCTTTTACGGGACTACTTAGCGTCCTCTCCTTTACTATAGTTGAGCCTGACATGGCAGGACTTGGAATTACTAATGGCGCTAGTGAATCTTCTGCTTTTGGCGATGCTTCTTTGACTGCTGGTTTAGCATTTGGCGATTCAACAGTTTGTGGCGATGGCTCAGAATCTTTGACTTTTGGCGATTCGGTAGCCCTTGGCGATGACTCTGGTTCATCGACTGTTGGTTTGGCCTCCACGTTAGTCTTTGGCGACTCTGTTGCTTTCACGTTCTTTGGTGGGTCGATGGTGGTTTCCTTTGATGGCTCGACTTGTTTAACAACGGTATATTCTTCTATCGATATGTCAATAATTCGTTTGGCTGGAATAGGAGAGTTGGTACCACTCAAAGACTTTTCCACTGGTTCAACATTTATAGTCTCTGCATTAGCAATAGGTGGCAATGGCATTGTTGGTGAAGGGATTTTAGGCTCAGCGTCTGGTGCGACTACTGTTGCTGCTGTTTTCGCGACTGTATTTGATGAAGATGGCATAGAACCAGCGACGGTTTCTGACAAGACCGATATATCACCACCTCCATTCAATATTAAGCTTAGAGCTCTCTCCAACGATTCTAGTTGTAATAGTGCTGCTTCTGATGCAGGTCTCCCAGGTGCGTTTGTATCATTCAACGTTTCTCGACCCGTTGTTGCAAGCGACGGTGTGGATGTTGAGACAGGGCGCGGTAGTTCCCGTTTCTGGAAAATGAAAATTTGTGTTAGTAAAGACACTCCGAAACTGAAATGTTCAGCGTAGGAACGCTTACAACGTCGTTTGCATGTGCTGGTGGTGAGTCGTCAAGTGTTGCTAACGGCAGTGGTGCTATAGACGTCGATTCCATGCTCAGAGCAGCGAATGACGACCCTACAGATGCCAAGGAATTACTGGATGAAGCCCGTCTATCCTGATCTTTGATACTGGTGACAAAGTTTGATGGAAACCACCCTTCATGAGAAATTATGTTAGATGAAACGTCCACACCAGGGATTTCAGGCAAGTCATTTAAACTCGACAGTATACCTCTTTTCTCATTTCCTACACCATCCCACCAGCCACTATTATCCTTTGCGTAGACTCGTAAAATCTCTCCTCTCTTGAAGCTCAAGCACGAGTCGTCTGCTGATTCATAGTCGTAAATAGCTTCGACAATATCAATGTATCGTTTCTTTGATATTCTTGATGCAGGAGGCTAAGTAGTTAAGAGACAGTCAATAATGGTCAAGCAACGAATTTCGGAATCCAAATTGAGGATACATACTGGCATGGCTGTAAGCTCCTCGCTTAAGCTTGTGGTAGAGCTCCTCTCTCTCCGCGCTAGAAGAGATATGGAAACGCGTAGAAATTTTCTAGTCTCTTTCCTTCAACCTTTGCGGTTGTCGATTGGTTCAAGCAAGCGCAGTCCCCTAACCGAATGTGGCTGGCTGTCCAGTTTTTGAACCTTCGAAATTTCTATGTCCTTTAAAGCGAGTATTTTACGCTCTCTTCCGGCACGTGCGAGCGTGCATGTCTTTTGGTCGTTTGTGAATTTTTGAAATTCTTTCTTGTATATGTTGAGAACACGTGGCCACGAGGCCGAAACTAGTTCAAAGACTACCTTTAGAAATATATGAGATCTCCTAGTCAGAGCGACCGTCTAAGTTTCTACTGTGAAAAAGTGTCACCTATTGTGCATGTGTTACTGTATCGTAACCTTGTGAGATAACGACCCATGGCACCATCAGCTATTTCCTCATATATTCGCAGCCTATTCAAGCAATGCCGCACCTCGGACTCATCAGAAAACTCGGCTGCATGTCGCAGTAGTGTTGCCCCAGTCGCCTGTACAAACTCAGAACTTTCTGCGGTTGCTAGAGAACTGACAGGTCCTTCTAGGATCTCCTTTCTGGAATCTGGTCGTGCCAAACTTGCAGGCAATCCGTACACACGCGACGGAAATCCAGGTTTGTGGTTTATGGATTGGTTGTCAGTAGATTGTGATCGATTCTGATCAATTATTACGAATGAATCTTGATGATCTGCACAATTAGGTGGTATCATCAACGTGTCGTTGGCAGAAAATTATCTGATGTACGATGTCTTGCTCGAGAAGGTATGCACTCAGACAATCTTTACAGACTACGCTTTTGAACATTGATTTCAGCTTGAACGTTTTTTGATTCTTAATAGATGAACAAGCCTGGCACAAGCGATCTCTCCCCTAAGCTGTTATCGTATCAATCGTCGCCATACGGAACAATGGAGACAAGGACTGCAATCTGCAGTACCCTCACCAGAGAACTGAAGCTAAAGAATGCCATGGACCCAACCAAGATGACTCTACATGCAGGAGCCGGTGCAGTTTTGCAGAATTTCTTTCAGGTATCTTTAAGACCAGATGGAGAAATCTCTATTGATTGCTTAGATCTGATCCTTGTAGGCGGTATGCGATCCTGGTGATGGTGTTCTGGTACCAGCTCCATACTATGTTGGATTTGAACGCGACATTTCTGCTTATAGTGAGTACTGTATAGTAAACAATATCCGGATGAACGACTCACAAATGTCTTGAACATCTAGCACGAGCAAAACTGATAGCAGTTCATTTCTCATCGGCATCACTGCAAATCGATGTCACGACATTAGAGGAGGCTCGAAAGAAGGCAGAGAAAGAAGGAATCAAAATCAAATCTTTATTGTTAACGAATCCTCACAACCCATTTGGAACGATATATAACGCCGATTTGTTTCGGAGTATTCTAGTTTGGGCTGGTATGATTTCACGTTCTTGCTTCAACTTCTGGCTTTACTGAAACTACCCTTATGATAGCGTCCCGCAAGCTGCATGTCCTTGTCGATGAGGTCTATGCCTTGTCAAGATACGACCAACCATCTTCGACGGAATGGGTGTCCATTCTAGATATGGATCTTCCAGATCCTACTCGTACCCATCTTTGCTGGGCAGCTTCTAAAGACTTGTGTGCTAATGGAGTCCGTCTAGGAGCCTTCTACACATTCAACAATCCAGTCATTCTGAAAGCAATGCAAATGCTTTGCATTTTTGCTAGGCCTTCGTCATTGGCAGAAGCATTTGTAAGGAATATGCTGGCAGATGAGACGTGGTTTCACGAGTTTGTGGTGGAGAATGCAGTCAGGTTGAAGTCTGCGTACGAAAGGTGTACTAGCCGGCTGAAAGAACATAGTATACCTTTTGTCGTCGCTTCTTCCGCATTCTTCATATGGATTGGTATGTTGGGTAGCCTTTATAGTCAGGCGTTGTTGTTTTTCTCAAACTTTTCCTTTTGTCCAGATCTACGACGCTTCATGAAAACGTCTGAGCTTGGAAGTGACCCAGAGTTAACGCTTTGGCATAAAATGATTGATGGCGGAGGTTTGGCTGGTTAGGCTTTCGTATTGTAATGAGAAAATGCACTCACCATCAGCTTTCTTATAGTATTTCTTGCTCCAAGTCGATCTTCCAATGGCGAACCTGGCTATTTTAGGTTAATATTCACCATTCATTGGCAGGAGTTGTCTCTCGCAATGGACAGAATGTTTCAGATTTTAGAGCAGACTCTATGATCAACGACTGGATGTGTTAGTTACCACGATCATCTGCTGGTGCATGACTGTGTCAATGTTGGGGGTGTATTTGTATAGAAATGGGTTCATAATTACAATTTGACACCAAAATATATGATTTTGACAAATACCATACTGAGAGAGGGGTAAAATTTCGCTCTATGAGGCAGCTGTAAGGGGGGCATTCTACACTATGTAGCGATCAAGGAAGTCCTTCAAATCGTTGACCTGGAAAGACTTGAGCAACACTTCGCACCGGGCAAAGTTTTGATCTTCTGTGATAATATTGGCGGATGTGATGATGATAATGGGAGTTTCGATATTGCGGCCTACTTTGCGAATATGGGCAATAGGCGTCCAACCTAGATTTCACGAAATGTTGTAGATTCGCGTCCAAGTGAGTGCATCAACAAGGCAGCATTTACCCCTTCAACTTTGCGCATTTGCAAGTCCACTACATAAAGACTTGGTATCTGAGCATGAAAATGTATGTTTTGAAACTTACTGAAGATGGTTTGATACTTGTGTTGCTCAGCGAGATCAATAGCTTCCTGACCATCATTAGCCATGTGCATGTCCAGATCAGGCTTCACACGTTTCAGCATACATTGCAGGACTAACCGATTGACATCCGAGTCATCAACCAGCACCGATGGTTGCAAGATGATATCCAGGTAATGTTGAAGATGCGGATAGAATCGAAAGAAGCAACGGCTTTCCGTGCAAGATGCTGTTCCCATCTCGTATTGTTTCTACACCAGATATGCGACGACGATCCTCTGATGACTGCCTTGTTTCGTATTCTTGTTATACAGACATTTAGAGAAGCAGGTGAATCCCTTGGTGAACACCATAAAGACACTAGAGCCCAGTCTCCCGCAGTTTCCAACGTTGAGCTATCTGTCAGATTATCAACATGGTCATCTTTCATAAGTCTATGGCGATTTGAACTTCTATTCGATTTTTACTAGTGCTCGAAGAATGTTACAACTCTAGGAACTACATAGAAACGTTGACTAAACCTATGATGAAAGTGGGTGGAAAGATTGGGCTACGTGACTACGTCACATATCTTACATATGGTAACGATCAAGAATGTCCTTTAAGTCTTTGACGAGAAAGGGTTTGGCCAAGACGCCACACTGTGCAAAGGATTGCTCTTTTTCTGTGACAGTATTGGCAGAAGTGATGATGATGGGAGTCTCAATATTGAGGCCTTCTTTGCGAATATGGGCAATGGCCGTCCAACCTAGATTTTACGAAATGTTGTAGGGTCGATCGAGTCCAAGCAATTGTACCAAGTCAACATTTACCGTCAACTCTGGGCATTTGCAAGTCCACTATGTGAATAAACCACTGCATCAGCTCTGAATGCCGTGTCTTGATCAGGACGTATTTGCAAACTTACTGAAGATGATTTGGTACTTGTATTGCTCTGCGAAGTCAATAGCTTCCTGACCATCATTAGCCATAGGCAATTGCATATGAGGCCTCAAACGTGTCAGCATACGTTTGAGAAGGGCGCGATTGACATCCGAGTCATCAACCACAAGAGCACCGACAGTGTGTTCCTGTGTTGCATGGCTACCGCGAGGTGATGATAAAAATGTGGTCGGTGCAGTTGGTTGTGTGACTGATGGAATCAAAGCAGCAGACTCTGGCAAGATCGGATACGGATATTCTACTCCCGTCAGAGTGGTTGACGGCTGTAGTCGGCTAATGCCGACGACACCACCAGTAGAGCTTTGTGGGTCTTCTACTAAAATATCTGGATCTACCAAAGAATGCGGTTTTACCAAAGCAGGGTCCGCTTTCTGGTTTGGGCAACGACTAGTTTTTTCCCAGTATTCGAGACTATTCGTCGGTAAAGGCTTCGATTCGTTATTTTCGTCACTGATGTCGACTGTATGAATGGACGGTTGGGTAGGAACGACCAATTCAAACCAGAATCGACTGCCATGACCTTGTTGACTTTCTACTTTCAATTCACCACCCATAGCTTCGACGAGCATAGCACTCAAAGACAGGCCTAAACCTGATCCTTGATACTCTCGTGTGGTCTGTTGACTTGCGATGCTGAATGGTACAAAGAGTGTCGGGATGTGCGATGGATCTATTCCAATCCCCGTGTCCGTGACATCACACCTACAGGAATCGAGAGTGACATGATGCAACTTTTCGTATGCAGCAGCCGACACGACGGAAATACCTCAATCGTACGTGATCCGGAGGAATTGCACTGTCGCGGATATGGTGTAGATAAACATCAACACTACCACCAGCTTTGGTGAATCGACAAGCATTGGCAAGCAGATTCGTAAGACATTGCCTCCACCTATATAATAAACAGCTTTAACATGAGCAAGCTTAAATCATCAAATGGAGACATACCGTAAATCGTCAGTGTAGACTCTCTCTGGCACATCTGAATCACAATGATATTGTAGATTGATTCCGAGCGTCATAGCATGATTTGAGAAAGAGTGGCATTGGTCTCTTAACACGGCAGGTAGATTCATCCATTTGGGCTTAATATCAGACTTTCCACTTTTGAGTTTGGCAGCATCAAGGACATCGTTACATAGATCAGTCATGTATTGTGCTGCAGTGCTTGATGCCTTGGCGAATTCACTGCCCGAATCATCAATCAGGGCCATATCAGCCATAGATCGTACGATGTGTAACGGGCTTCTCAGTTCGTGACATAAGAAACTCATGAAATCAGTCTTTTCTTGGTTGGCTTTTACTAGTTCAGCAGTGCGTTCCTCGACTTGCTTCTCGACTGATTCTAGAAGTCGATTTCTCTCGGCCAGTAATAGCAGAAATGGCAACATACTATCAAACCCTTAAACGTCAATTACTCATCCTCTTCTACTCTGTTGAAATGCAACGTCAGCTTGCCTTAAGTCAACGAGAAGCAACTTCAGCGCCAACACTCGAGGGTCACAATAAAAGTCCCCTTTGAGAAGAAAATATTTTAGAGTCGGAGCGGTAAATCACAACTTTGTTACCATGCTTGCCAGGTATATGTCTTAACATCAGTGTCGCGATCGAAAACAGAAATATGTGACAGGCTAGGCCGGTATGACACAGTATTCCGCCACTGAGAGCCAAGACTGGGATCTTATTCAGAAACAATTGGTGACTCGTTGCGATTGACAATGTTATAACAAGGGCATACTTACTGAAAAAAGGACTGACCAAGTGACTTTGTACGAGGGGTCCTTTCCTGTCAAATGGGTTGTCTCGAGTACATAGCTTACAGTAAACGGTATTGCTATCACTAGAACGTCGCTCAAGTGAAACAGAGAACCATGCTGAAAGGGGTTGTGCAGTTTTACCTGTGGCAGATAGAAGAGCAGCTGGAATTGCCTTCCTCCAATTGCAGTGCAAACGACTCCCCCAATCAGTCTGAAACACTTGCAAAAGAGCGGGCAACGTCACAATAAGTCCCACCGCTTCAGAACTATGAAGAAGGAGATAGTAGTTGTTGAGCAAACAAAATGTTGAAGCAAACAAGGATACGGCCCTCGATACCTCCAAAATTCAAGGAAGCTATCTAGAGTTAATTTGTGGAATATGGCACACATAACAAGTCCAACGATTGCAGTAATAGATATGGAAAATACGAGGAATGCTATGACAATTACGGGTTCATCCAAGAAGAGCTTTCGGTTCAGCGATGAGTCCGCCTTGCTTCGCCTCTTCCATATCAAGACTAGCGAAATTGTTACAAGAACGGCGACAGTAGGTTGGGCAACCAGATACATTGCACCCTCGGCGATATCCTTATGGTCGAAAACCAGCCCTCCAAGAAACCAGGATATCCATAGAGACACTAGTTGCCAGATAAAATTTTGTAAAGAAGCTATAAACTCCTACTGTCAGTACGACATACCTCCCAGAGTCACAAAATCAAATCCTTGAGCCCACTTCCCAACCCATGCTGTTATAAGGCATCCAGTCATAAAAGAGATACAAATCTAAATTCAAATACCATGAAAATCACCATATTTATCAGGAAGAGAACTGATGACGAAATCCAGAGGGATTAAACAATCACGGGTTTGTTGTAGACGATGCAACGCATCCCGAGACAAGCTTACTCTAAACACATCAAGTCCATCACTCCAAAGAAGCTTTCCAAGCAGTGCCGACAAGCACGTAGCCACATTCCAAGCGAGGAATCGCCTCCAATCCATATTGTCCCAAAAAAAGGTGCACTTGGAATTTTAAGCAAGTATTGGCAAGATCTTGTTGCAATATCGAGCAGTTTCTTGAGCCAGTGTTTGAATTGAATGCTCTGATGAATGTCTTGCTCCTTCTTGTTGAAAGCTGGAGTTGGTGGCAGTCGATCGCTTACTCTACGCACATTAGAAGACACGAAACAAGGCATCTAGCAGTCACTGCATGTGAATTGTTTATAATATCTACATCTATATCATTGCTACGAAAGGTCTATTAATTTGAAGCGTTGGGCGTTGATCGTGCAATTCAATCATCGCTGACGAGGTGTTTTCACAGCCAACGATATTCAGTACGTTGAGAGCAGGGAGATATCCTGCGGCTCCAAGGATTCCTTGCCCAGTGATATCTTTACAATATGACAAGCTCAAGTACTTCAACGGTGGTGTACGAGGTCTATTGAATGATGAGCTTGCGTATGGAGAAGCTCGAGGCTACGGTGAAAATAAATAACGTGAGTCTTGAGGTCAAGTCATAATTGAAGATTTGGGCCTTACTGATGAAGCAGGAGTGATATACGACGACGAGGCATCAGTACAAAGGGTTTCATGTTCTTCAGCCTGTGACTTTGAAAACGCTATTACGCCTGCGTCAGAGAGTTGTATACATCCAGTCACATCTAGCCATTCTAGATGTTTCACTTTCTTCCCAATTTCTACCATAGCAAAGTCTCCCACTTGTTCGTTCCACGCCAAGCTCAGTTTTTTGAGACTTCGACAACAGTCTGCTACCTTTAGTACCACTATCTCACTACGATTTCCACCACTGATATTCAGACAGAGAAGGTTTGATAGATTCGTAGCACACCTCAATAGACTATAATTCGACACCCCTTTAGCAAAGCTAAGATCCAACAACGTCAAGGCCTTGCTCATTGATGTGGTGAGCAATAGCCTTGGTAACATTACAGATAGTCTAGAAGCATTGCGTTGATTTTCGGCTAACGTATTTGATAACGAGAGCTGACAGAGATAATCCACATATGGAAAACTAGTCGTCGTCGTTGATAGTCTAGCCAGCTTCGTTATATCTTCACTACTATGATCACCGATTATCTTTAGTGCAGACTCTTCAGCGGTATGCACAAGCTTTGCAAATCGTTGTACATCATAGATCATCGGCCTTCTCCACATTGTCTTAATAGCTGGCACTGCCCACCGCTTACATACAAGAGCTGAGGCCAGAAGAGCAGCTGAGCTGTCTCTGGGTTGATTAAGTGCACATTCTTCCAGAGCAGTTGCTGGCGGTGCAAAGTAAGCAAAGATACATAAGAGTAGTTCAACGGGTAATAGAGCAGCTGTCTTTTTAGATCCTTTGGTGTCGTTTGTATCCGTTGACGAGTCTACAGCGGCGGTGTCTGATGCTTCTGTATTTTTAGATACGTTGGTGTCGTTGATATCCGTTGACGAGTCAGTAGCGGTAGTGGCCTGTGCTTCTACTATGTTGAATTCTACTTCATTTGCAGCCGTCAAGGAGTGATCTAAGACGGGTTCTTCTACTTTTATCCTGTCGTCCAAGGTCAGGGCCTTGAATGAGCTCTCGATGGTAACAGTGGATTCCGGGGAGCTTTGAGGAGACTCTGGAGCTTCGGAAGGCCTTGTCGATCTAGTATTTATATTGGTGGATCTACTGATCCGTTTCGGCAAAGTTTGCTGGTGGTTGATGTTTGCGACAGAGTCTGAGATCTTGTCTTTCTTGGAGTTCACGGGTGTCAGAAGCACTGAAGATTCGGTCAAGGTACATCCAGGATCAATAGCTTCATGCGCATTGGACTAAGATACGTCAGAAGGGCGTTAGACGAATGATGTTTGGAAAAAGTTGTGTTGTTTCGTTAAGCTTGATGATGAATACCTTCGTGAGGCTCCGGCTGCGATGCTGAGAGCTCTTTGGGTTGCCTGATATCATTGCTAGCTTCTCCAACCTAACTTACAATCTGCACCAAAGCTTGTCACCGCAGTTTCTTTTGTGAAAAAGTACAAGTGAAACTCTCGCAGGACAACACAAAAACGACTCATTATTAGATAAGTACTATTTCATAATTATAATATATAATTCTATCAGATCTAACGTGAAACTGCCGTCTGACATGTCAGACATATTTGTGAATGTAAGTGTCTGCGGTCTACATGGCGCTATATTTACTTTTGCGATTTTCCAGATTTGGGTGCCTTAGACTTGGCACTGGACGTTGTTCTTACTTCTTTCTCAGCCATTGCAGCTTCAATTGCCGATATTCTAGCCTGAAGTTCGCGCTCTTGGTGCTGCAACCGTTTCTCCAGATGTTGCTGGAATGTTTGCATATATGAAGCTGCAGTATGCGTGATAGTCTTAGTAACAAAGTTGGGATCAATGAATGGGACTGTGATTGTCGAGGATGGGAAGAGAGTTTCTGCTTGCAGGACCGGGATTGGCGCCGTATATGGAGTAAGTGGCCTCATTGATTCTAGGAAAATTTGTTAGCTTGTAACACAGAACTCGCCTCTGAGTTCCAGATCACCTGCACTCACTTTGTTCACTAACGGGAGCTCGGGACTGCGGTATTGGCTCTAATGGTGCAATACTGACCGTCGACTTTAATATGTTTGTCTTCTCAGCAGCCTAAATCGTTACGGGTAGTGAGTACTCTCTCGCTCAAGCTTGAGCGGGTACAATACCACAGTTAAACACGTACCTGCAGAGCTTCGTGTTCCTGTTTTTCACGTTCCGTTCGTTTAACCTCCTCCCATTGATCAGCATCAATACCTTCAGACAGTGGAGGTATCACTGCATTATACATTGATCGAGTTTCAGTAGTCCTGGCAATCTCTTGTGGGTTTCGAAAAACGTATGCGATGAGTTTCGACTGCTGGACATAGCTAAAATTCATGGTATAGTTTAGCATTTGGTAAGCGAGACGGAAACAAGGCCTCAGGATCCTAACTTGATAGTAGTACCTATTGACATGATACGATGCTAAATTCTCAATCTCCTTCCATGTGAAAGGGGTTATCGGCTTGAGCCCTTCAACGAGATGTTGTGGAATCGGTACACCAACAACATACTGTTCCATGACAGATTGGAAAGCTTGTGCACTGGTTTGTGCATAGTCAATACTTGTAGACTGGTGCATATTCGCAATTACGTCTGTGAATCGATCATGCGATGCCTTCAATATTGTAAGCCATACAGATAACTGAAACGGATCCAAATCCAATGTCTTGTGACCGTGTAGTAAGGCTTCGAGCGAATACTGTACAATCATTTCTCGACGTGCATCAGAATCCTCAATATCAGAAGTCCGTTCCTGTGGTCGTAGTGATTCTGATGGCGAGGCATCTGTGGCTGGATCATACAGTTTGCTCATGTACGCCCTACGAATATATACATAACTCAATCCAAGGTCAGTGGTTGTTGATGTAAACTGTGCCATACCAAACGGCGTCTGTTTCCTTTCGTTGCAGATGCTGCTTGATAGTGACAGCATTAACTTGATCCAATATCAGGCCTGTATAAGCGCCAACGGGTATCTCCTCCTTTATCGAAACCTTTTTCAAGATTTCAGATTTCACAGCTGATGCCGTGGTCGGGCGAGATAACGGCTTGATAGATCCTCGCCTGCTATTGATTGGTGGATTAGGATTTTGTACCATGGCAGACTTCCTTGCTCAGTTCGGCGCTGATCTTGTTCACAACAATCACAGTAGCGTTTATGGAATTTCGAACGTGGTCCACGTAACGCTACAAGCAAGTGTTACAAATACCCAACAAATACAGAATGGAAACAGTCGCGGAACAGTTCTTCATTGTCGTCATGATTACTGTATATTGAGCTATAAAAAAAACTCTCTACTCTGCTACTACTGCCTCGGTCGTCTTTCTCAAAGGTATGTGCACGATCATCATGCAAGCCAAGTAGCCTAAAGCACATACGCACGCGCTCGTCCACCAAATGGTGCGGTGGCCGTCTATAAATGCCTGAACAACCACCAGTCTGGTAGCATCAGGTAATGACTTGATGACCTCTATGTCGAAAGAGTTCCCAACAGATATAGTGCTCAGTGACTAAGGAGATGGAATGAAATATAAGAAGTTGTGTACCTTAGTGTTGCTGGTGATGCCGTTTGCAAACAATAACGTTACCTGAGCATCAATAGAATTCAAGAGACTCGTCCTCCAAACATTATTCAAGATTGAACCCATAACTGCAAGCCCAAGGACACCACCAAACGTCCTGATGAAGGAGTTTGCTGATGTTCCAGTAGCCAGATCAGACGGCCTGATACAGGCTTGAGCCACCAATAGCATTGCTAAAAGTAATCCAGGGGTGTTAAATCTAATGCCTGCACCTAAATAATACAGTGGATTTATAACTAACGTTGTGTGATTCCTCCAGCTGCAATTCCAAAGATCTAAAGAAATAAAGAGTTAACACACAAACATCGTTGTCAAATTGCGAATACGGGTCTAAAATGAACCATTACCAGTCCAAATCCCAAAATCTCGCCCAGGCCCGAGTTACCATCCCATCGGCTGATTAAGTAAGAGCCAAATGTTGCCATGAGAGCACATAGTTTCGGGTACTCTGTATACTATGAACATATAGAGAACGGAATGATTGACAGACAACGGTAGGCTAGAGAGTGATTGTATATACTTACCCTTCCCGTTCTCATGGCAAGGACACCAGCGAAGATAGAACTAAGCAAATACCCAATCATCAGTGGAAACATGTACAGCCCACTTGTCGTAGCTGACACATCCTTCGCGACCTACAAAATTCCATGTTACCACGACAAATCGTAAATTGCAGATGAGTCAAAATCTTTCAAAAGTATACTTGGAAGTAGTAGGGCAGATAATCTACAAAGAATTCGCATCGTTAGTCCGAAACGTTCTGGTCTTGTTTAAAAGGCAGAAAACGGACATACATGCAGAAGAGTAGAAGGCAAATCCACATGTGAAACACGTAATACTAGAAAGAACATAGTTCCAAATTCCAAATAGTCGCATTGGTATGATGGGCTCTGCAGCCCAACGCCACTCGACCACGATGAAGAGACAAAAGAAGACCACACCACCTGAAAGCGATATCGAGAATTAGTTGACCGTCACAAAAATAACAATTCTGAGATAGCAATTACATGCGAGTACTCCAATAACTTCTTGAGAATTCCATGCGTAATCTTGACCTCCCCATTGCAAGCCAAGTAAGAAGAAAACTAGAAAATATTTGATTGGCCTTATGTGTCCCAGAACCAGATATATTAGGATTACTTACCACTGAATGCAATCAGTATGAATGCTCCCAGATAGTCAATTCTTCGCAGCTTTTTCAATACACGCTCCTGTCGGACAGGTAGGTGAAGAAAGAGGACAATCAATGTGACCGGGAAGACACCGATGACCAGATTGATGTCTGAGAGTTTATTATGTGAGACCTGTTAGAATTCAAAGAATAGCAACCTTGCGATGTCAACTTACAGAAAGCCCATCTCCAAGACTGCACATTGGTTGAGTAAGAGAGGTAGATTAGAACAATTTAGCTACAGCGCTTTATAATCGGGGTCTAACTTTACCAGCTTGTCAGTAAACAGTCCTGAGGTTCAATACGAAATGAGGGTGTCAGGATTGAATTTCACAAAATATATCAGTAAAGCACCCACCTCCGAAGATTGGACCTCCCAACAAAGCGATAGCCATCACTCCTGTTAGTAAGCCTTGATATAGGCCGCGCTCACGTAACGAAACCAGCTCTGATAATGTGATCATAACTAACGACATGAGTCCGCCACCCCCCAAACCTAAAAGCAAAAATCAGTATAAGCCTTTTAAATTGTGCGTTGTGACATTCATACACACCTTGCACGGCACGGAACACGATGAGCATGATCTAGAGGCTGGTTAGACAATAGAGTCATCAAAGGTTGGAAAAACTGTACACACCATGTTTTGACTCGCTCCACACAACGCCGAACCGACCTATAATAAGTTCATGACGATGTAAGCAAGCCGAAGGAGCACAAGAAAAAATGACAGGTCATACCAAAAAGATGGCTATCGATATCAGAAGTATAATTTTTCTACCAAACACATCAGAAAGCTTCCCGAATATCGGGAGAGACACCGTGGACGTCAGCAGGTACGACGTAGCAACCCATGGCAGCTGCGTCAGATCACCCAATTGACTTGCGATTATTGGTAAAGCGGTAGCAACAATCGTAGAATCAAGTGCAGCCATTAGTATCGTTAATGCCAGAGAAAACACCAGTAGTAAAATCAAAGCCTACAAGGATAAGTATCAGTCCTCTTATTCGTCGTTGCGTCTGCTCCAAGCAAAGACACGGCACCTTTGACTTTGGTTTTGGTGCCTCATCCGTCTCTTCATAGCTATTCAGCTTAACACGCTCACTATGCCATCCATTCTGCTCAATGTGATCTGGCTCAATATGGTCAGAATACTCGGGTCCTCTACGCTGCGACATTTCTCGTTGTCCATAGTCGTTCGACATGGTTCGTGGTGGAACGTTATCCACCTTAGCCACCACAATTGGATCCTGGATTGGGTGGTATACATCGTGTTCTACGTATGGTCCTTTGCCCTTGTCTAGAGGCTGGAATGGATTGTAATCCCTGTAATAGTTGTCGTGGGGCGTATACGACTGCATCTTGACTTTTGAGCGTAGGTACTCGTCAACATCGAATCTTTCCGGGTTATGAGTAAAGAACTCGCTCGAATCTCTCGAGGTATCGGGTATGGGAGCTTGCGAGTAAACTGATGCATTGGGTAATCTAACTGATTCCGGTAGGTATTCTCCATTCTCAACAGGTCTCCCGTCCTTCTTCACAGTAAAATTCTCTTCAGAATGGAAGGATTTCGGTGATGAGGGCTCCTCATATTGTTGTTCGTCGTGGTATTGCTGGTGGTTGGAAAAGTGTGGTTGTTCGTCGTCATGTTCGTCATCTTCCTCTATATAGTGATATTGATTACGTAGCGGGCTGGTAGCAGCAGCCCTGTTTGATTCCATATTGTCATCAATCAAATCCCTTCAAGTGTTCGTAGTCGCCACGTTTAAGCTTTTCTGTCGGGACGAGATTAAACAGATTCCGAATCACGTACGTAGCTAACCGCAAGCCTCTATATATAGTGACCAGGACCAGTACTCACGATCCATCGGCTTCCTTTTAGTCAATTCTGAAACAAAATCACGAGAAACCTCTGGCCAACTGAAAAGCGACGAAAAGGTTGGATTACATCTAAGTTTCATATCGGTCGCCTGCCACCCAACGATGACAATAGATAGATCACCATCACCCGAACTCAATCCTCTTGACGTAGACCTGGCTCCCGACCAAGAGGTCTCACGAATAGGAACATCATCAACTGTCAAGTTATTCAACATTGATCGTGAACTACACATTGCAGAGGACGCAAGTGGTGGTAATACTGAACTTTTGCAACACTTTTGAATGGATCCTGAATCTTTCTTTCAAATCAGGTTGTGGAGGAAAGACATGGGAAGCAGCTAGCATGCTCTCGGATTATGTCTGCTCCAGAGATGCATCGTACTGGGAACATCGTACCAAAATAATTGAATTGGGAGCTGGGACGGGTGTGGTCGGATTCACCATAGCCTGTGTATTGGAACATCATCAGACGCCATCATCATCAAAGGTCGACATCACTGATTTGCCAGTAATGGTGCCTGTGATGGAACTCAATGCTACCAAGAACCTGTCATCATCGGAGCTATGTAGAATGCATATAGGAGATCTATCATGGGGCGAACCGTTAGGTGAGGAGTATACTCGGAGCAAGCCATTTGATTTGGTCCTGTGTGCAGATTGTGTCTACTTGGAAGCAGCTTTTGAGCCACTGATACGAACGTTGCTTGAGCTTTCTGATGCACATACGGAGATCTTAATATGCTCAAAGAAGAGACGGAGAGCTGATAAAAGATTCTTTACAATGTTGAGAAAGCAGTTTGTCGTGAAAGATGTGAGTTTGCGGTGGTATACACTTTTTGCATCTTGCCTAGTCCAACCTTCGATCATTTCTATTTAAGGTCACCGATGTTCCACATATAGAAAGCTACTCAAGAGATGGCCTCGCTCTACTTCTCGCCACAAAGAAAACATAGTCAAGCTACTGTAAAATAACACAACAATGGTACATAAATGTAGATAGATATAGTCGTGTTGAGTTTTTTTTTTTACTTTTTTGTTGCATATGAAATCCATTCATGTGTGGCAAACTGCAAATGACCATTTCTAAAAGGACACAAATCTCATTCATAACTAATGTTTACATCACCGCCTGAGGCTGGTGCATCCAAGTCAACGTAGCTGACACGTTCTCGCGGATCGACATATCTAGTGTTGAACAGCAATGTGAGTCACGAGAACGAAAACAAGAGCTCTGGTATAACTGAAAACTCACGCTCCAACAGGGGGTGGAATGTCAGCCATAGCCATTCCTCGGCCACGACCACGTCCACGGCCCCCACGATCATTGTATCCACGACCTCTTCCACGAATATAGGGAGATCCTCGTGCTGCATATGCACCATCAAAGAACCCACCATCAGCAGCCACGCCATTCCATCCATTAATACCAGCAACGCCTTGACTTGAGTAATTCCCATATGACGCTGATGATGGTGGTGGTCCTCCAAATCGTGTTCCTTCGACTCGAGGTGGATCATTCTCATGTACTCGATTAGGATCACGAGCATAATTGTTGATGATTATAAATTCTGCTTTCGTCTTTTCAACTACCTCTCCATGCTTTACTCGAATATGCTTACGTACAAACTCGTCTCCTTTAAAGAGCTTTGTACACACCAGACATCGGAATTTACTATCCTCGACTTTACCAATGGTGGCATTGAGTGACTTGTCAATTTCAGCTTCGATTTCTTTACCACCTGATGCTCGAATATAATCCGATTCCGCAGGCTTGGTGATTCGATGTTTATGTCGGGTATCAAGTCTTTCAAGGAAGCGAATGTAATTGGGATTATTTTGTTGCTCGGCTGAGGTGGCTGGGTCAGGTGCTCGTCGAAGACTTACAGCTACTCGTCGTAGAAAGTCTTCGGGAGAATCACATTCGATACACGTATAAAAGTCGTAAAAGTGGACTCGTTTCAAATACTCTATGTGCATGTCCAAGTCCTTTTTGGCCTAGATGAAATGGGTTGGGTCAGCATTCGTAAATATTTCCAATTCATTTCCACAATTGGATTCTATCAGCGTGCTATAGGCACTGAATTCAAACCGCTAGGTCCCCACATGAAAAATGACAACTCACTCTGTTCAATTTCGTTTCCGTGTCTGGCTCTTCGACGTCAGGACCTAGGATCACATCAAGACGGTTGGTCACAATAATTACCCCATCACCATCTTCCGGCTTAAATCCACTCTCTTCATCCAAGACTCGAGCCAAATCACGTGCTACTTTTACTTCATCTTGGATGCGACCCAAATTATTGGATTCAATGGGAATTGGTCGAGGTTTATTAGCATGAGGTGCAGATACATTGACATGAAGAGTGAATTCAGTCAATGGTAGCTCGCCGTCTGCTTGTTTTGGCTCAGGATCACCCGCGAGCTTGTACACCTGTTTCGAAAGTAGATTGATACATTAAATTCGAGCCTTTTGTTTTGATGAATTAGAAATAATAGCTAGTCTATCCAAGACGCACCTTTTTTCCAGAGAGGACTTTCATCGCATCTTCTGGATTTGAGTCATCTTGCAATACGATCCAACCAAACCTCGAATATCTCTTTTGTGGATTTGGGTCGCTCAATTCCAGGTATTTGAATCCAGGATATGTTTTCAAAACCTAGAAAGCAATTGGGTTGAGTTCCAACCTTCCACTTCAAGTAAACTGCGGGAACACACCTCTTCAATCTCAGCTCGTTTGAAATTTGGAGGAACGGATCGAATAAAGAGTGATTGACCAACTCGAGGATCTGCGACTATGAATTCATTTGCAGATATTGACGGTTGTACTGGCGGTTGTATTTGTTGCGTTGGGGCAGTAGCAGAAGTTGCCTCCTTCATTTCAGTATCAAGTTCTGTTGGCTTATCAGCTGGTGCTTCCACAGCATCTGCCAGCTCCTCATCTATGGCTTTCGCTTCACCATTTCCTTTTACAGGCGAAGATTGTTGCTCGGTTGTGTCTGTCTTGGAGGTAAGATCTATGAATACTTGATCGAAACTAATAGAATCCAGCTTGCCAGCTTCCAAATCTTCTTTGAAGAAGCGGTAGACTTCCGTTTTACGTTCTTTCACTCGTTCACGGAATGGACCACATAATGCTGCATTGTACTTTTCGTAAAACCTGGTAGCAAAAAAGTTGGGTGAGTCGTAAGTTGGTTGTGGAATACGGTTATAATACCATTCTTCATGCTTGTGTTGATCATAAAACTTCTGTGTTTGCCTTCGAGCAGTGATTTCCTTGTATATATCATATCGACGTCTCATTTCATCATCTTCTATACGTTTGCCACCCTTGCCTCGTTCCCATTCAGCAAAGTGTTTGAACGAGACGACATGCTCTATCTTATATGGATCAGGAGCTCTAATAATAAAGAATCAAAAGCATTCGTGGGCAGCTTGGTTCCAAAACGACCTGCAAACCCGACTGCAATCAGCCGATACCTTTCACCACGCGAGTATCCGTAGCCATCATACGAGTACTCATCAAATCGATTATTGTATCCATTGTATCCACCAGGCGAATCCCAATACCCTCCTCTTCGATCTCTTGGTGATAAAGAACGTCGACGTTTTGAGATGGGTCGTCCTATAATTTTTTGGTGAATACTTTGTTGCAGATACGCACATCTCTTCAAACAACAGACCATCATCACGTGGTTCAATCGAGCGACTTCTTGGTCTCCTCCTCTTGTTGTCTGGCTCCACATCATCCTTCATCTCCTCGTCTCTTGATGCATCTGCCATTTTGATGTTTTGCTAAGTGAAGAAGGCTAGTAAGAATGTGCAGCTAAAATAGAGGACCCATGGCATATTGATGTAAGAATACAATGCTCTTCTTAACGCTGATATAGCAAAATACTGCGAATTTGGCGACGCAGCCAATTTACACATTTTAGCAAGCTTATTGGTTTTAAAACATGCCAGACCAAACAACAACGACCAAGACAAGTACCTAGCTGTAAGGTCCTAAATGGAGCCAATAAGCTGAACTGATGACCTTACAAAAAACCCCCGACTTCAATTTGAATCACAATCCCTCGACTCTAATCAAAAACGAAGGTCATTTTGCAGCAATGCCGAACAGTTCAAATAGTAACAAAGTCCTAGAAAAGAACAAGAAGGCCCTTTGTGCTGATGACCGTCTTAGAGAACTCAATGAGATATGTCGCGAGTAAGGATATTTTGGACGTGATTTTACGTGATTCGCGAACTAAACATACTTAAATCTTAAATCACGTTTAGAAATCGCATTGGAAGCCTTGTAGCTAGTTGGCAAGCAAAGAAACCAGTTCGACATGACAGGGCTTCTGCAGAAAAGTTAGTATCTTGTCTGTAATGTTACGACGATCTACCTTAACATCAACCTTCTAATCAGAGGCCAGATGGAATATCTCAACCATTACGAATTGCTCAAGCTAAGAAGAGGCCAACTGTCAGACTTGCTGACACAAGAGGACATTGCCTTCAAGAAGGAGCTAGTAGCCAAAGGTCTCGCCAGAGCATAAATCCACATGCAAAGAACCAACCAAACCAAATCATTGTATGCAAACTTATATATAGTGTACCGTATGTGCTAGAATCAGCAAACAATAAAATACATCACCTCTGATGATAAAAGTTGACCTTTCTCTTCTTTGGCTTATCAGCTGCAGCCTTTTCAGCAGCTGCGGAGGGTGGCTGGAATACGTAAGCATCATCCAAGTCATCTCCACCCATTCCTTGACGTATAACTCCAACAACAGCCTCTGGCTCGTCAACAGTCTTCTTCTTGACATCACAATCGTTTGCTCTGTGACGCACACTACCACATATTTTGCATCCTCCACCTTTTATATACAAGCCCTTGGCATTCTTTGGACAGCTAGAAAATCAAAGAAAGATTGAGCATGACAAAAATGTTGCTCAATTCAAGCCATGTACGTACCTTCCAGACACATGACCCACTTCTTTACAAACAAAACATGTAGCAAATGGATATGGATTGGCTTTATCCAGTGGTTTTGGGCATGCTGCTAGAGCATGAGCATCAGATCCACATCGATAGCAAATACTAGCTTCAGAAGAGTCACCAACTTTGGGACAGTTTGCTACAGAATGACCTCTTCTACGGCATCGAAAGCAGGTCTAGATCGAATAAAAAAAGAAACCAATAGATCAGCAAACGTAGTTGAGGCAGTGAAGGCAAAAAAAGTCCTTCGACAGCACATGTCACTGTGAGAACGAGCCGTACCTTCTTGCGATCAGCTGCAGACGTGCGACGTAAACGACGCCTTTCGCTGTTCATTGCCTTCTTTTCATCGACCTTGCTGAGCTTTTTACCACCCTTTTGATGTTGCTTGAACTCTGCCTGACTAGCACTTTCAGATGATGGTTGTGCGTCTTCGGTGCCTTCTGGCTTCTTACGATGTCGAATCTTCTTCTTTTTGGCCTTGACGGTGCCTTCATCAGTCGGTGCAGCGTCAGTGTTATGATTGTTTTCCATAGGCTTTTCTGCATTGACAGTATGCATTTCACTGTCTTCAACAGTTGAGTTCTTCTTTGATCTCTTTACAGGGGCAGGAGCCGGAGCTTCCTCCTCTTCTCTGGGCCTCTTGTCCTTCATGTTGCGTCTTTGCGTGCGAGATTTGCGCAAAAAAAAGTGATGATCAACACGTCAACTTTACGAAAGGAACATTTATTTCGCTTTTTCAAGTAGATACTTCTGCGTAAACATAATTATTTCCCAAAAATCCCAGTACCTGCTCTCAAACGACAAACCCATTTGACGAACAACAAGCCAATGAGACAATTAGAGATGCCAAAGAAGGTTTATGCACTTTACAAAGAGTTTATAAGAGTCAAAGCTTAGTCGAATAAACCGAAACCCATGTCTTCATCAGATTCTTCCTTTGGTTCTTCCTTCTTTGGTGCTTCCTTCTTAGCATCCTTCTTTCCAGCATCCTTGGCTGGTTCAGCTGCAGCTGGGGCAGCAGCTGGAGCAGCAGCGACGACTGGAGCAGCTCCACCACCTGTTATTGTTTGAGTTATACGTTAGAGAGATAAGGTCAAAAACGACACCGAAGCCACTACATGATCCTTCTAGTACTTCGAGAGGCAATCTGGACTCTTAATACCGCTCAAAGACCACACTGATAGTCTCGATCCGTACTATTGGCACGAGACACGACATACAACACTCTGTTCCACACTTACCAACATTACTCAAAATCTCGCCCAAGTCCTTGCCCTTGAGAGCCTTGGCAAAGAGAACTGGCCACACGCCTTCGACTTCAACACCAGCAGCTTCGATTAAAGTGCTGAGCTTGTCGGACTAGATATAGGTTGAAAGAATGTCACTACATTTGCGTTCTGCAGACGAGACTGCCAGCTCATCCATGAGTAACAGTGAGAAGAGTGATGCATCCTGGCATAAATCCACTATATCTACTGATTTGCATACCGTGACTTCAATATCTTCATCGTGGAGGATGAGAGCAGCGTAAACGCAAGCAGCTTCGGCAGTTGATAATGACATTTTTTAGGATTTATAAAAGATTGTGCGCTAGACGGTAGGTTTGTAGTTAGTATATTTGGCAACATTGACTCTCCTTTTTTGCCAAACACAAGGAAATTCAGAAGTATTATGTCCTTCTGACTGTTAAAACAAGTTGGGCATCGCATCCATCCATTTCTACCCCAATAGTGTATAGGAGCAAAGGGAGGAACAAGACGATTCAGACACTTACATTCAAAAGAATTGAAAGCTGTTTAAGACCTTTGTCTGCAATCAATTGACGATTGAATTGTTTTGTGAGGATGTGCGTTGCTGGTTTGATTTTCTCAAAACAGGAGTTGAAATCGCCAAAAAGGATGCTCAAACCAAGTAGCGAATCTCAAGGAACGAATCCTTTATCATTTATAAAATGGACGTATCGCGAAATAATGTATTATGATACACGAGACCTTAAAGTCATAGATCGCAAAGACGTTGAAAATGTTTAATATCTCCCAATCGACAATGGAGATATCAGAACGAGATAGATCTGACTAGATTTGTTTAAAAATACTCGCCATCCACGATAAACCATCCTCTAGTCTCCCTGAACTTGAGCAGCAAACGACTACATCGTCTTGAAAACTTTAAAACTTCGCAAATCGCCAAATATCACACAATCACAACCAGCAGCTATATAATGTATGGAGAGACTGCCCTAAAATTGATCCGAGATTGTCGCCGTAATCCAGATCATCCGTCCCAATACTCTGAAGACACTGTCCGAGCAGTAATCACCGAAATCAAACTCTTGGCCAACGAAACAAACCTCCTCGTATCCGAATACGTCCTCAACAATGCCAGACCACCGCCTCCCGTAGCGGCCGCCGTAGCAATGCACACTCTAGCCATAAAGAGATCAAAGAGATGTCTTCTAGCATACCATCTACATCGAATCAAACTCGTCAAGGAATTAGTCTGGACGGTGGGGAGCATACCTGCAGACACGAGACAAAAGTGCTCGCCTACAGAGATTGAATTCTCGCAGGGGTATAGGAATGCTCTGATGGCTTACAGAGCGGAATTCTTGGATATAGATTTGACGGCTGCGCCTGTGCCTCCTGGTGATGTCTTCGTAGAGGTTAGAGTACTCAAGGATTGTGGAGAGGTGCTGACAGAGTCGGGAACTATACAGTTAGCTAAAGGTACCCAGCACTACGTAAGAAGGACGGATGTGGAACAATTCATAACTCAGGGGTACTTGAAACACGTCGAGTAGTTGCGTACCACAGGCCAACGTTATATATACAAATACCTAGTTTTGCTGTAGTGTTTACATAGATTCACTGTAAATAGATGGATAAATCATTTTGCTCTTACAATGGTGCGCCAGTTTACGCGTCAATGTTCGGTCTTCACTGTCGCCATTTAAACATTTGATATAGATGAGATATTATTATTTTTCAGAGAGGTATTACCTGCACACCCATTAGATTACACGCCGGTCCATCAATGTACCCATGTTAGATGACTAGAAGAGGAAGCAAAACTCCTGCAACCAAACTGCTACCATAACCAGATCCAACACGAATGCCATCACTCTTGGAAGCAGCTGTAGCGGTGGCTACGACGGGAACAGTGGTGGCGACAATAGTAGTGGTGGTCGTAGTAGCAGTTGCAACCACGACTATAACAGGAGCAGTGACACAGGTAGTACAGTCCAATCCTTGACTTGGCTGCCATTGCGAGAGGAAAAAGTTAAGAGGACCTGTAAAGAGCTGATAGACTCGATTTGAACACTTACCGGTGGAGGAACTAGAGTTTTTACGTATGTGGGAGCAGGAATCAAGGATGAATGGGTATTAGTGTTCTGAGGGTTGGGTGACAATTGTCGAGGAAGAGAGTCCGCAACACCGGTGTCGAAGCCTGGGCCATAGTCGCCTAGTTTTTGACGTGATTTTGAGAATTGCATTCCACTTGAGTCAGCTGCTTGTGATTGAATAAGATACCTGGTATAGCCACATTGCAGCCACTTTTGGTTGAATAAAGCGGAAGTTCCAGTAAGTTTACGAGAAACAACAAATTCATCAAGAAAGAGCCAAAACACCACAAACATGAGGTAAACCCTTACAAGAAGTCGTTATCGCTTTTCGAAAAATAGGTTGATTAGATATTGCAGATGTTTTAAGCTCAAAGACTGAGTCACGTACCTGTTACATCCTGGGTATGTGCTGGCACAAGCTTGGATGCAAAACTGGTTGTTTCCTAACATTTCACAACGTTGATAAGACCTCCCAGCAACAAATGCAGGGCTCATCCTTGAAAACAGTACCAACTAAGGAAACGTATTCGGCGTAATCCAACATCTTTCCGGAAGGTGGTGAATTGACCTGCCATTGACCAGTTCCCGTGAAGTCGTACTGTCCGCCAAAGTCTGTGTGTAAGAGGCAACTTAGTGGCTGAATAGTGCGAAAACATGTATTCTAATATCCAACCTCCAGGTTGAAGCCACACTTCATTCAGAGTTCCTGTGATTTGAACGGTGCTTCCATCTGCACTCTTGACAAAGTGTGCTGATTTGATCAAGTTTGTAGGCATCTGTCTAGCTCCTGGAGCGATGCTCGGGTTGGTACTAGCAAAAGCAAGTGTGAGGGTTTATTCGTAACCACTTTGTTGCACAATGTTGCTTTGTCGCCATTCCACAGATAATGAACTGCTGACTTGTAGAAGCCAGATCACATCCGCTGATTTCACTCACCAGAAGACCACAGCATCGGTCGACTGCACACAATTGTTTGGCTTGCGCGTGCACCATGAACTTCCACAACACCCTTCTGAATCGTAGATTGACTGATTTGCAGTTGGTGGTAGCTAGTTAAATCGAGTCAGCCAATGTCGATCACTGATACAAACCGAAAAGCTCTTGTCCAGACTCACGAAGAGACAAAAATTGTTCACTGGAGTTTCAAACGGTAAGAGTTAGCCTCACGGTTCAACATGTAGCCTAGTAACAATTCGATGCGATGATCTTACTATCTAAAAGTGAGAATCGTTGTAAGTCACAAATTCAACAAAATGTTTGTTTCCAACAAAAACATACCGATGATTCGCAGATCTTTCCCGTTGCCTCCACTCCCACAGACAGGCAAGATCTATACGCAGAGTGATGCATCAAAACCAAACATTCTCTGACGATAAGCGACCGCATTCATCAAAGAGCTCGAAAAGGCAGGTTTTAGGGTGGCACTCTTTTCAGCTTCAGTGCTCCTTCATCAAAGAACAAGGTCTCACCGTGGCATTACAGTAATCAGCTGCAGCACTTTTCAATAGAGCCAAAGCTCCTACTCCAATTAGAAGGCCCTTCATCGCTCTAAACCTGTTGCTGCAAAAGCTAGGGCTTGGAGTGACACTGAAACACGCCAAGCAAACTCATTGACACTTTACCAATTCGCACCTGGAATTCATTTATTTACTGATTTTTTGAGCAAGAGCGATTACAATACTTTAAGAATAATAGCAAGCCTAGAGCGTGGATGGAGCTAAAGAAGTAGAACTTTCGTCAAGAAGTTGTTGCGTGCTTGGGAAAGCGATGAGGCTTCTACATACCAGAAACAGAGACACGTCCGACAACAGTATATTTCTTCCTGTAGTGAGCTTCCCACTTGTTGAGTGTGTCCATCTACGTGGCAAGGACGGTCAGATATCGGATTTGCCGAAGTTTCGATGAATCAGGCAAATGAGAATTCTGATAGTCACATACATCTTCAGCATCCAGTCCAGAGTAATCAGCAATACAGTCTTCAGGTTTCAACGAGCTCATACCCAGAGCCTAGCAAAGACATGTGTCAAAAGCTGTCATGACGCAGGAGACCAAGAACTAGAACTCTTGCGGCTGCATGATGTAATAGTGCATATTACCTTTGAAGCGTCCTTTCCAGCAAAGACATGATAGCCAGCTCCCGGCTTGTACATATCTCTTGCAGTTGTGACATCGAACACGACACCCTTGATTGCGAGATAGATCGGCAAGCTGTCATTGGTACCATTGTACCTGGTCAGTTCAGCAGGACTGAACACTTTGTCTCCAGAAGAAGTGGACATTGTTTCCGAATGCGGTTTGGAGGTTGATGACGTTTGTTGGTTTGATGTTGTTGTGGTGCGGTTTGAGGGAGTTGGAGGCCTTCTGCCAGCTCTAATAATCAGTTTGTAAGGAGGTAGATTAGTTTAGCGACACACTCGGCAGTTCATTCAAGTCTCTGTATGTTAAGTTCAGCTCCTACACTGCGTTGCTGTATAGGAAGAGAGTGGCGGTCAGGACTAATGCAATTGGTAGCCAGTAAGTGGTGACTAGCTCTGATGCCTTATTGAGAAGTGTTGACATGAAAACCGTGTGGTAATAGGGTGGTCACGAAAAAAGTTCTAGATTTGGTTGGTCGAGTTCCCGAAGTCATCAAAGTTGTCTGGGATATTAAGATATATTCAACATCTGAGACGCCGTTAGAATCCTGCTTGCTTATTTGGTATTGCGATATAATCAGCATACCGTGAGCCGACGCGTGGAGAAGCGTTTAGATATAGGATCGGCCAGAATGCGAACTATCTTCAAAATTAACATGATCGTTTGAGCGAAAAAACACGGTTGCGAAAGTTTGCTGCTCTGCTTTCACTCACCTAAAAAGCTCAAACTTTTACGACGACAATCAACTACATCTCTCGGTCAACTTGAAAAGGGAGCTGACAGAGCACGTGTAGGAATTAGAGGCACACACCCTCGTTACACCTTTCCGTCCGTAAAAGTCTCTGTTGGAAAAGCTTGAATCTTTAAGCTTGTCTTGAGTTCTGACCGACTCTGTCAACGAGATGCAAGGAGATTCCGCCGTCGATGCATCATTCGCTTCACTAAACAAGCAGGTATGCTTTACTGAAGCCTCCTTTGCCCTTCCTTTCGATCACTGAGAGCTGACATCAATTTCCCGAAAAAAGGTGACGACTGTGAAATGCGATCCGAGAATGCCCACGTAGACCGACATCGCTGACATTCAACAACGTTTCCATAGAGATTCTATGGCTTTTCTGCCCTCTTCATGTTTGTTATTCGCATGGGAAGCTACCCAATATCATTGGTCAAGACACGTCAGCAAGTCGCAAATCTAGATGAAGGACGAGGGACTTTCAGAATTATGGCGAATATATTCAAAACTGAAGGTCCTCGTGCTCTTTGGCAAGGGTTTCCAGTCACCATTATTGGAGCAATCCCGTCACAGATACTCTACCTCACGGCGATGGAGACTTCTAAAATACCAGTGACCAAGCTGTGTAAAAGTTTTGGATGGAACGATCATCGAACAGCTGTATTTGCCAATCTCATTGGAGGAGGTTGTGCGTCTTTGGCTTCACAGGTGGTTGTAGTTCCTGTGGATGTGATATCCCAGAGGTAGATACAACCTTGTCGCAATGATTTCCATGGGACATTTCTATTCACACTGTAACTTTTACAGAATGATGGTACAAAAGAGATTGCTCGCGACTGCCAGCATACCGCAACAGACAGCAACGTCAGCAGCACAGGAAGTTACTTTATCAGCAAATAAATCAAAGCCACTGCCATCAGCTCCATACACAAAAATACCCATTCATGATGTTCCAGCTCGGGGACCGCTTCCGAATATACCACATAACATAACTATCATACCGCCAACGTCCTCATCGTCGTCGGCTCATCTCCATCTAAAACCATACTCTTCTGCAGCTGCTGCTTCAATCGATCAGCCCTACTTTCGAAATGGTTGGGAGTGCGCCAAATACGTTATCAAAACCGATGGAATAAGTGGACTATGGTATGGATTTGGTACATCTATACTGACCTATGCCCCATCTTCAGCTGGTGAGTCTCATTTCAACTGTGAATCTCTTTGAATCCCTCACACAGCTAGTTTATAACTTTGCTCATGTAGTTTGGTGGGCAACTTACGCGGGATGCAGAAGAATGTACTCGTCTATATTTGGTTTGGAACTTACTGGAGGAACATTGGGCTTGGAACGAGAAAAGAGTCTAGCAAACTCATTTGGCGTAGAGACTTCATATTTAGTCGGTCTCCAGGGTCTAGGTGTTTCAGCGTTGAGTGGAGCTTCTGCTGGAGCTACTGCGGCGATCTGTTGTTGTACGTGTCGCACTTAAAGCATGTTTGTCAGGCGAATTGATTGAACAAAATCACTCACAAAATTATCGTCTAATAGGTCCTATGGATGTAGTTAAAACGAGAATTCAAACAGTGAATCGATCTGCTATGAAAGTGAAGCGCTCTGAATTCCAACTGCTAAAATCTACCATCACTGAGCTGTATGAGAAAGAAGGTTGGCGTGGATTTTTCCGGGGTGTCAGGTCTCGAGTCTGGCAGATGGCACCAGTATCCTGCTTGATGATATTGTCGTATGATACGGTGAAGAGGCTGGCTGTAATACGTGATTAGGGCACTGTTAATTTGTTATAGATAATCTTATAGACCTAGATACAAGATACCTCAACAAGAAAATGTAGCCAGCGTACGCGAAAATCAGACCTCGTTTAGTCAGCCTACTCTGCCAAACACCGATACATAGGCCAAGGGTCTGTGAGGGCTTGGATAGAATTCGCAGATTTCTGTTACAAACAAGGATGAGCACCCGGAATGCATAGACTAATGATTTTGAGTATTGGGAGCTTACAACATGGAGCCAAACCACAACTCTGCTGATGGTGCAATCTCCAAACCAGAAGAACCGGATGCAGCCACGGGTAGTGATACGAGCCTTCCCGTAATGCCAATGCCTACATCGCCATCTATGTATCTCCCTAATCTATCTAGTACATTGCTACAGTTGCAATCCCGTTCATTACACCTGCAAGGACAGCACGAACATCGGCCCACAGTTCAAACTGTTGATGAGGATAAACTGCGGTGGAGAGTTGAACACAGTCAGACGCAGGAGCAAATAATAGATTTCGAATCCAAAAGGTAAGTTGCAATTCTTCTTACGGGTTTGGTAGGCCTTATCGGCACCACGGCTGCTCACCAATCACACACACGTGCCTGCAAACCTTAGACGATACGTGTGCGACTATCCAGGATGCTTGAAAGGATTGACTACCAAGTATTTCATCGTGGAGTTTTTCGTCGTGATACTCGTTGAACCAGTGTCTGATTCAGCATAACGGTTTAGGGGCCATCTAAGAAGGCACTCGAGAACCCACTCAGGCGAGAGGCCTCATGTCTGCTTCATCAAAGGATGTAAGGCAAGCTTTGCTAGGCAGGATAACATGATGACAGTTAAGACATATGGTGTCTTTTGTCAACACAAGCAAGAAAGTAACATTCTTATTGATTTTCAAATCCAAACAGCATTTTAGAGCTCACGCAAAGAGTCTGAATCTTGACCTGAGAGCTTATGGAGTTGAACCAAGTACCACTAGAACATCTCGCTCACAGAGTTATTCGTCTGAAGGAGCAGGAGACGAAAGAAGTAGGCATGATTATAAAAATGTATATAGCTCCGCATCGACTGATATCCAGGATTGGGTGATAGAACAGAATCAGCAGGGACACAATTTTCATTCGGAAGAAACAGTTTATAATGGTCGCACCCGAAACTTAAAACGTAAACAACAACACACGACTTCTTCAGCAGTCTCCCAACCTTCGAGAAGGGACAGCAGTAAAACTTCTATCACTAGTACCGTGACAGACTCTGACGAGAGCTTCATTTCAGCGGCTGCTGACGCGGGGGATTTGGAAACCTCGATTGCGTCCGTTGGTAGTGGAACTAACAGTGGCACCTCAGAAATTACTGCAACAAGAACAGACCATCTACAATATTCATCGAGCATATCACCATACTACGAACATTCACCCCAACACTGGCCATCTCGCCAAATAAGCTACCCTTACAATACGCCATTCCTGCCATACTCATCAATGCCACCGCCAATTGTGCAACCACCAGCAATCCACTCAACAGGAGGTTTGGCCTCGTTTTTTAATACAGCATCGTGTAATACCAGTAGTTCACGTAGTAGGTCCTCGCAGCAGTCGCTTGTACTACCACCATCAGACCCACATACGCATCCATCATTGCCATGGCACCAGAACATAAACATGCTTGGGTTGTTGCCAAGGGGGATACCTACCAACTATGATAACCAACCGTATCAGCCACGAAATCGTCAATCACCGACTACATCGTCATCACAACCAAGGTCGCCTCAGAAATCAGATCAGCCATCAACGAGCAGAACTCGTGTTAAAAAACGTAGATCTCGATCTGTAGGAAGTGCATTACCATCAGATACAGTTGCTCCTATACATCTGAATGCGCCGGGACGACCGAGAAATGGAAGGTCTTTATACCAACAAAGTCAAACATCGTGGCATGCTGGTGGTGGCAGTAGTGGGTATTCGCCTGTTGCTTTAGAGCATCCACAACCATCGTCGTATGCTGAAATGGACGAGCAAGAAGAGCCGCAAGTTTATGTTCATCCACCACCACACCTTCCAAACATCTTTGATGGCGACCTACAGGAACCGAGGTGACGATAATCGAGCTCGTATAGTAGTAAAACAGCGTGTTCGAGTTTGAGTATTAGTAGTTTTTGTGTTTAGTATAATATTGAATATTTCAAATTGTATCATTGTAAGTGTGTATTCTTTATTACGAAAAACCAACATATTCGTATATCGACCCACTCCATTGAAAGTCTTTCATTGCAACCCCGCATTCCATTTCAGCCCAATAGAAGGTTTATGCGACTATTACGCGTTTCATACAGCGTGTACCTCCTTGCTTATTATAATAGGAGGTATCTTCCCCATTTTGACGCAGGCCCGGTATTCCAACCACCTAACCACCACAGTCTTTTGTTCCGCAGGGGTAAGGCAGGTTAAATTGGATCCTTTCCGATACTCGACCTCGCGCTGATCGCCTGAATTAGATTTGGATCAGACGTGAAAATGAAGAACACTAGAAACTTATTAAGGCTTGGCGCAGATTTTCTCAAGATTTTCGCCAAAATTTACGAGATCTGCACTGATACGTATAAGGCCAGTCAGGATAGGCCCCTATCACATCGTCGGAACACTTCACTGGTTCCAGTGCCGGAACATCAATCCCAACAGGGACCGACCCTATATTTCCCCTTGTGATTTCGCTTAGTAATCAGTTTCAACGTTCCAGCTCTAATTCGTACGCACTCATTTCTGTTGACGCTGTGGTTCTCTACTCTTAATTTTGCCAAATGGGTAAGTGGTTGGTAGTGATTGCATTGTTGTTGATTAAAATCTGATCTAATCACCCTAGTCCTTTCTTTCGATGATCACGCAGATGGAAGTGACGACAGCATCCCTTCTTCAGAGGCCGATACGACTACTTCCTCAGCGCCATCATTACCTCGCGCTGAGCCCCACTCGACAAAGGAATATTATTCGAATTTCAACAGCGTCGACAACAGCCGAGATGGAAGCAGAGAAGACGCCCTGGGCATATCTAGTCCGTCCGCACCAGGACGACCACGAAAGGCTTCAGAGTCGAGAACTAGACCCGCTTTGGCACTATTATTCGAAGCAACTCGAAAACGAAATAGTTATGTAGCATCAATGAATTCGAGGGCGTCTGCTGATGGCATAGAGTTGGAGCTCTCGAATGATGATCTGGGACCATTGCCAAGCAGTCTGTATAGTCGCTCAAACAGTGTGGATGGTGCACCACGTAGCTTTCCTCTTCCAACCATCCCACCGACTGCTTTTGACAAACTGCTTGACTCAAACGCTTCGTCAGACCGGAATGTTCATTCTACAACATCAAGTCGATCTTTGGCTCGTGATGGACACACCTCTACTCACACAACATCAAGTCGATCTCTGGCTCGTGATGTGAGCGGCAGTTTTGCTCAAAGTCTGGACGATACTTCTCCTACAACTTCCCGATCGGCATCCGTACATCAACGTTCTGGATCTGGAGATGCCATCTCGCTACCAATACGACGATTATCTTTTCCGAATGCTGGATCATCTTCTCTTAGTGCACCTCAAAATAATGTTAGGGTTAGGCCTCAACTGGTGTCTGAAGCCACTTTGACCAAAGGAGCAAACGAGCCAGAACCTCAACCTCAAACAACAAGTGCCACTAGGACGGCAAGCGTAAATTCAACAAAGGAGTCAAGCAAGTTGACAGAGTCTTCTCAGACTAGTCCTACCAACACATTGCCCAAAACACCAGCAAGGCAGCTTCCCCAACACATACTGAAAACAGCGGCCGCTGAAGATATACCATCACCGCCGCCAAACCCTGCCGTCACAGTGGCACCCACTCCACAAGCAGTACCGCCAACTTCGGCGGCAGCATTAACGCTCAAACCTTCCGACACACGTCGAAAGCCACAAGCAGCCTCCTCTTCGTCACTACCAGAGAAACCGAAAAGTCGGTTGCAACTCTTTATTTCATGAGCTCTAGCAAGGTTGTTTATAATCACGCCTGAATCCCGTTACTGGTTGTATTGGTGCTCCATGATCAATTTGCTACACGTTAGTAATGTTCTTGTCGTACCACTTATATTTGGATGGACTGAATACTTTTTACATTCCGGTTGGGTGGCCTTTTATGCCATGGTTGATGTGATCATGTTGGTCGACTGCTTCCTCCAAGCTCGAGTATCATTCAATAACAAGTATGGAAGTCTAGTGCGGGATAACAGGGCCATGTTTTATAACTTTGCTGTGACGAATCGTGGTTGGTGGATTATCTTGACGTCACTACCTGTGGATTTCTGCATCGAGTTATCGAGTCCTGTTTTTACTGGAATGCCAACTGTGTTAATTCCATTCCTTGACATAATGCCCGATGGTGGCAACAATTATGATGTGTTGCAACTGTATTGGAGGTATAAAATCTGGGCTGCCGTACGATTCTTCAAAGTGCTGGCACGTTTGCCGTATCGTCGTTTGTATGATGCTAAAATTAGTGGTGTCGCAGCTGTGAGTTGCTCATCATTCTGCGTCGTCTTCGTCGTTTTGTGAGGTTGTTTAACTTTTCGTTTCTCTGTTACAGCCTGTCTCTCGATTAACCAAAACGCTTGTAATTCTCATGTGGATGGGTCATCTGGACGCATGCATGTTCTGGTTTCTCGATACCTTCCTCCCTTATGGCGCCCGATGGATTGATACCCAAAATCTTTTGTTCTATGCAGGAACTACGAATGTAGTGCCCTTCTCTACCCAATACCTGATATCCTATTTATCAGCAGTCCGATCTCTGGTCTTGCGGCTTCGTGAAGTCGAGCTTGATCCAGAAAATATTTATGTATTGGTCGAGTTCGTTGGTGGTATTCTGGCTTACGGAACTGTTTTTGGTAATCTGCATTCCATTGTGGAAATGCTTGACAGCACCGCTGCTGTCACTCATGCAGGTTGGTGCTATGATTGAAACTCTGTCATTTCAACGAGGCGATCCTCATTCCTTTTTGGCCATCTTAGAGGAACAACACAAATTCGAAATGGGCTGGCTACGCACGTATATGAGAGATAAGGGTCTGGTTCCTGAATTACAGAAGGTTGCAATCCTCTTTTGTCGCTAAACACTGGTCAACAGCTACTGACGGCTTGACTCAAATCATAGATGGTCAGCGCTCACAAAGAGTTACAATGGCGAAAATCACAGGGCACAGATGAGGCGCACTTATTTGACGATATCCCGAAATCTGTACAACAAGAAATCAAGAACTTTTTGTATTTGGATTTGGTGCGAAAAGTACCATTGTTTGTGGGAGCGGATGCTGCCTTCCACAATTCAATCACATTCAAAATCAAAGTAAAACGGTCAATATTCAAAATCCAGAATAAATGTCATACAAGACTAACACTTTTTATCTGAATTTAGCCATTACATGTTTTGGACAAGTGGTTTGTCTTCCAGAAGGGTGATGATGGTTCAGAAATGTATTTTGTCAAGACTGGATCTGTAGAAATTGTGGGACCTGAAGGCCAGATTTTCGTCACTCTTGGCCCAGGAAGTTTCTTTGGAGAAATTGCTCTCTTTGAAGGCAAGGAAGCATTCTTGGTATCTCGTTGAATTGTCACTAAACGGCAGGTTATGATTGTTGTAGAATGTAAACGTACTGCTTCAGCTCGTGCCAAAGGATCGATAGAGCTCTGTGTCCTAACCAAGGACGACTTCAATGGGATCTTACGACAATACAGTGTCGTTGCCGAAAGAATTAAAACTACCATCGCCGAACGTAAGGCCAATGAAGCTCGATTGAAGGCTTTAGAAGCTGAAAAGCAAGCTGCAGAAGCTAAGCGAAAAGCTGAGGAAGCTGAAGCAGAATCTGCGAGAAAGGCCCTCCAAGAAGCAGAAAGGAGGGCGAACGCTTCTTCTTCTGGATTCAAAAGTCGTGCTCTATTACAAGGAATGACAAAGAAGAACTTGCTTGGTTCTCAACAATTGGCATCCAATAATGGTGTTTCAAAGAGCATTCTGCCATTTGGAGTCTCTAGGGCAGCTCTGCCGTCTGATCCAGAACCTCAACCTCGAAATGTCAATGGATCTTCCAATTACCTTCGACTAACAATCAACCGTGCTCCTCTGACTCGTGATTCATTTGTACCTTCCAATTCTTCGGCAGTGCCTTCCAGGCAAATCAGTGTCGTTAGTGTATTTCGTCCGGAACACAACCACGGAGCAACTTCTCCACCACGCAATGCTGAACATGCAGTTGCATCAAACACCACTTCGAACTCGACATCTTCCGATTCCATGAATCAAATGCCAGCCGTTATTGCCAGGACACTGAGCAATGCTCTGCGTGGGTTGGCGGATATGATCTCTGATCCTCATCTTGCTTCAAACAGAGCTTCTGTTAATCCTTCTCCTTCTGCTTCTGCTAATGGTAGTATGAATGGATTGCCAATGATGACACCACCAAGGTCACATTCAGCCTCTGACGTCGTACCGATGTATACCCATGCATTGCAGCATACGCAATTGTCACGAGATGGTAATACGTCAGCACGGTCTCATATGCCTCCCATTAGTCGACTAAGAGAGTCCATTGTGCCAACGATGGGAAGTGGCTCTTCAGTCCATTCGATTCCAAGCAACCCTCCGTCCCCATCCATGCCACGCGCCTCGGCACGAACAGACTCATCCTTATTACGCCGTAATCTATCCTCGCATAGCCGAAATCCATCGGGATTGAGCATTCACACCCCACCGACAGACAGCGTCAACGCATTGACAATAGCACCAGGCATGACACGCACGTTTACGGCAGACATTATTGCAGCTACCTCACGATGCCCATCGCTCGTACCACCGAATTCTTCTCCATATCTCGACAAGAGTGTTGGTGACTTACCGATTATTAACTTGCGAGCACCATCTACCGTTGATTCAGATCCAGGATTGCCAACCTTTATAAGTGATCAATTGTCACCTATAGATAGTAGTCATTCTTTGTCGTCACGTCCCAATCGCAATCGGGCCCTAAGCCGTGGATCGAGTCGTGGTTCAGTGTCGTCTGTCAAGAGTACTCTGGATCCAAGCGTCATAAGAGGGCCGCGTCGTAGAAGTATTACTGACTAAAGGTTAAAGTCTTGAAATGCTGTCTGTAAATAGAACCGTGAAGAATCAACAAAGGTTAATTAGAGAATTTGGTGCAAACTGACTGAATTTCGCGAATTTTCGCGCAGCGAAAGGCAGTGACTCTCGTGATGCAAAAAAACAACGATCTTTGATACGTGCCAATATGACTTCAGTACGCATAAATTGTAAAATTGTATATCTCGTCTTTATTTACCGTTTTTGTGAAGTCGACAGCGAAAGACCTGGGCAGGAACCGAACTAGCATAGGAGATCTTGCCAGAACACGCTAAAACAATGCAGGTGCTACTCCCAGTAACTAGAACGTGGATATTTGGTCCGTTCTTAGAAGATGTTTCGACGTTACCACTTCGAGTAAGCTTCATGTGACAATAATGATGAGCGGATCTTAGCCGAAATCGAGCTTCCAAACGATTTAATAACTGCTGCGTCTTGTTAGGTCAGTGCTCTGACTTGGGCCGGTGTGGATTCAATCAACATCTCGTTGTTGAAGTCGCAATGTTATACTTTTATATGAGTTACCAACCGTATACCATTTTTGAACTTTGTTAGGCATTGGCTGGGTAAAGGCATCTCTTCTGCTACAACGGAGGCTTCCGATATCGCTCAGACAAGAGATCGACGACAACGATCGCAGAATGTTCGCATCATACCATCTGGTTGTGGCATATTCTATGCTTCGGTTTGTGAGATTTCAGGTATAACATCTGGCTGAAGATGCTTTTTTGCACTCCAAGTCTCTTTCGGTTGAGATTTGCACCTGGACGATGACGTGGAAGCTAACCAACCAATCCGTTAAAACTTCATTTTTAGATACCAACATCGAAATCTCGGTCTGTGCCGCTATCGGCTTACATGTCTGTATCCTTTCTTCTGCATTTTGGCTTCTTACACGTACTTTCGACGCTTTTGGACGAGGTTGGAGAAACTCGCTGTAACCATGAACGGCTACCTTTCGCTTACAAATACATTTTAAAATAGATTGCGCATCTGTCGTTAGCATTCTTGCTATTACCTCCTTCCATAATATCGTTAAGGGGGAGACCAGCACCAGCAAACGTGTCATCAGACGATTGTTCGATTTGCCTTGGAACTGGTTGTGACGCAGATGGTATAGAATCCGCAGAAGTGCTAGTCAACTTTTGTAAATCTCAAAATCATGTTGCTCATATTGGGTGCATGGTCGCTTGGTGTAAGTTGGAACAATGTTAAATAAGTATCTCATCGCATTCATTTTACGAAACCCATTCTACAACTTGAGAGCAGTATGTATCTGAAAATCCTCAATCTAACTCGTCTCTTCCGTTACTCAGATCGATCCAGTAGATCTAGGAGGAAGTGTCCGATATGTAGAGGCCCTCTCATTGTGGAGGTGGTAACAGCAGAACGAGTTAGAAGTGAACGAGGTGTTCTAGGGTCTCTGGGATTCTTTTTCCAAAGGATTGAGTGGTCGAGTGTGCTGTACCGCTCATTGATATCGACAGCTTGTGCTGCAGGTGTGTATACTACGTTAGTGCTCAAAGCTGCTCTGGAGGAATTCAGCACGACAAGATCAAAAGCCATGAAAGTAACGGCAGCAGCAGCGACAGGCAACTTGAAGTGATTCAAACACATTGATGTTATGCACATATTGTTAGTTTCGGCAAACTGTAGTTTCGTCGTAGTAATTAAATTATTAGTAACGAGTCCATTAGCCTAGTCATCAGAGTCTTGATCTGTGAAAAATCTTTTATTCCCACAAATGTTCCAAAGATCCGTGTTCTTTCGGCAAAAGAGTGGTGCATTTGATTTTCTCAAAAAACAAAGCAAGGTTCTGGTGGTTTTCTTCCTTTCACACAACTAAACAGGAAGTGGAGACGGCAGCCGTCAAAGAGGACCAAGATGGGCGTGATATACCAGATTATATAACGATACGCCCCCTAGTATACATAATCTAGAGACCATTCCACCCTATTCAGTCCTCCTGAGAACCCTTGTCGACGAATCGCCCTACGAACGAATTTCCCATCCAAACCGTCTATAATAATACCTCATCCTCTCCGACCCAAGTGCATACATCAGCATGGCTACCTCCGCTAGAGCTGAAGTTGGCCGCTCTTCCATTTCAACGGTATCCACGACCTTTTCATTCACCCTAAGCAGGAAGCCTAGTAGTGTCTCTCTCGCAGAACGGGACGCTGCCGTATGCTCTACCACCAACTCTCATCGAAAGACATCATTTCTGGAACGAGTCTTCAATCACCCTCTTTCGTCAAAACAGTCTCTCGACAGCCTTGTTGACAGTAACTGTAATTCGCTCAAAGCAAAGTATGGCAAGACTAGGGCACTATTAGGCAAAGGATCTAGTGCCAGTTGCTATGTAGTCAAGCGCCCTACAGATGACAAAACCTTTGCTGTCAAAGAGTTCAGGAAACGCAAGGACGGAGAATCTGAAAAGGAATATCAGAAAAAGCTCACTGCTGAATACTGTATTGGAACACTCCTAGTAAGTCTTGTTCGTCTGGTATAAAGGATGCATTTTGTGGTGGTTGAATAGCCGCCGGATGCACGACTCGTGTTACAAGGGCTAACTGCCCTTTAGCATCACGAAAATATTATAGAAACTATAGACATCATATTCGAAAAGGAGAAGGCATACGAAGTCATGGAGGTAAATATACATTCGCAATCCTGTTTTGATTTGGATGGGGTTCTAACTGAAATTTATGGAAGCTCTGCACTGGTGGTGACTTGTTTGAAGCTATACAAGAGAACACCATGTCAATTGCCGAAATCAACTGCTGTTTTGCTCAGTTGCTTCACGGCGTGGATTATCTACACAAGATGGGTATTTGTCACAGGTAAGTTTACAAAGCTGCCGCATTGGACCCCGTGGATTGCTAGTTTAGCCAAATGCAGGGAAGTTAAACAAACCCACCTCGTATATAGGGACTTGAAACCTGAAAATTGTTTATTTGACTCCAATAATCATCTCAAAATCATCGACTTTGGTTCCGCAGATGTTGTCAAGTCTCCATTTGATAAAGTCTGCAGGAAATCTTATGGACGATGTGGCAGTGGACGTAAGTTGGTTGTTTATGCCATTACTTGCTGTTTATGCTATAATTTGTCCTTGCGGAGTACATCATTCAGCACTTTTTCTAATACTGATTGTTGTTACGTTTAGCCTATATGCCACCAGAAGAACTCTCGGATGCAACCTATGACGGAACAAAAGCAGATGTATGCAGCATTGGGGTCCAGATACGAGCCAGCACTGTGCCTCGTCTCACACTCCGTGACAATTTTTTGTTAGATATGGGCTTGCGGTGTGATTTACTTGGCCATGGTGTTTCAAAGGTTTCCTTGGCAGACAGCCTCTCCCACTGATGCAAACTTCAAGGCCTATGTATCTGCCAAGTGTCAGTGCAAGTTCTTTGATCGCCTCGCAGATGGACCCAAGAATATCATCAAGTCAATGCTGGATCCAAACCCAGATCTTCGACCCACTATTGCTGAGATTCTCGAAAATCCTTGGATAAGGTGAGTTGTGTACTTGTGATTCATTGTCCGAGAGGAGACCAGCTTCCTTAACATATCCGTCCCATAAAATAGATCATTGGTCGTATGTGAAGCTTGTGGTGGTCGAGATGCTAGTGTTATGCATCATCATGGAAAGCATGGAGTCAACAAAACAATGTCAGTCTCTACTGCACCAAATAAACAATAAAGTTAGAAGTTTCGTACTTGTTTCAATCTATACATGAATATATCGAATTATGCCTTTAATTATACTGGTTTCGTCTCTAGTGGACTATATGTCGAATTGTGCTTTCTAAATTGACCCGTTTTTCATATCATTCGGAAGTCGAAGTCGGTGCATCAAAAAGTGCAGGAACTGGCAAGTAGACAACTTTCGACGTCGACAAGGGTGGACGTTATCAGCGCGTCATACAACCAACCGATAGAGACGCGTCCCTAACAACGGTGCTGTTGGACTGTCCAATATTTTGGATCTGCCCGATTATATAAGTTCAAAAATTCGGCCCAGCAACTGTCAAGCGAGGAAAAGGTCTGAGAAGACGAGGGAGGCTTCAGGACGCCCGCAAGACGAAACAGTCGATATATAACTTCCGTTACTACCTCCACCGGACGTCGTCAAGTCGCATTAACCACAAAAACACACTGGAAAATGAATCCAGAATCCGAGGAGATACAAGCAATCTGGGACCAAGTTGTAAGAATAAGGCAAGTGGATATTGATGTATTAGGCTGCAAACTCCACCTTAAACACGCTGCACTTTGGGCTGCATGATGTCTTCATTTGAAACATTGGGGGCAGAACCATAGGCACAAATATAAACCGACCTAATTTCGGTGATCCTTGTTTTTTTTTACATAATAGGACATTCCTGTCGCAGCCAACGCCAGTCATTCCAAATGATTCTGCTCAAAAACTACTACGAACATGTGAGCACTCCTTCTTGTCTTGTGACAACAAACCCTGGTCGTTGTTGTTGTTGACAAATCTGGTTTTTTTTTGTTGGTAGGCAACAACTGCTACATCAGCAAGCTGAGTTGTGATAGAGGACTACCGATATGTGCAGCATGCCAGCGGAGAAAGGTATTATCCCCATCCACCAAGTCGTCATTTGATGTGGAAAGGCTTGTGGCTCAGCTCTTCCGCCCATAGAGAACTGATTGTCGCTATCCAGAGATTGCTCCATCCAAGATTGCTGCATCCACCAGACTCAGGAGAGGTACCCGGAACGAGTAAGTGTCCCTCCTTTCCTCCTCGAACGTGAAAAAAACGATGTTGTTGGGAAGCTGGATATTTATTTGGTTACACCGTTTCTGACTTTTTGACCTTAGATACATCCAGACCCTAGAGAATCAGTTGAGACGCTCTGAGGAACAACTAAGAGAGCTTCTTCAAGGATATGAGCTTCGATTGCAACAGCCTTATGCTGCCTTCGGCAGTTCTAGACAATCAGTCCAACCGGTGGACTCGCCGTGGTCACAACCACATACAAAGACAGAGCCAGCACCATCATATAAACCAGTCTATGATGCACCTGCACCTCCGTATGTTCCGACACGCCCACCACCACCAGGTTCTCACTTTTTCTTTGATCCTGCCGAATTTGTATCACCTGGTCGAGGACCAAGACACTTCTACCCAGACATGAATCTACCATTTGATGCCATAGAAGGATTGGTCGAGGACTTTTTTTGTGGTCAAACTACTATCGTAAGCATCACTCGTTGTGTTTGCTGTTTGTGGGATGGGTTTTTAAGTTTTAAATGGGAGGCTTTGCCAGCTCTCTTTGTCTTTTGCAAATCCGACCTGGCCCTTTCGGCACAAAGATTCTTCGGAAAATCATGACGTTCATTACGTTCGGCCGCATTCACATCTAACATATTTCGTGATTGTTACATAGGTTCGCAGTATTCATAGACAAACGTTTTTGGAATCTTTCTATGCTGGTTATGTATCTCTTGCAATCTTGAACGCAATGGCAGCTATCTCCGCAAGAATGTCAAAGCATCCGGCCGTATGGGGAATGTGTCCTGACCCGTATCAGAAGGGGGTGAGAGCTGCCTCACACGTCGTAGGAGATCCATTCTACAAACGGGCACGTGATATGGTATTCAGCACAATGGATCGACCATCTTTTCATGTATATATTGCACTGATGTTGATTGCTGAGTACTCTGCTTGTAAGTGATGACTGCTTGGGCTGATGACTGCGAAGCAGGACCTGACTTTTTGCTCGCCACAATGTAGCACGAGAATCTACGCCATATGTAGCATCACAAGCGGTATTATGTGCGAATAGGATTGGACATTCGATGGCTCTGTCACTAGATATTGATCCAGACTACTTGACTCACATGAATTATAGTGGACCATTGCCAGTTACTTACGTCGCGAAGGATATGCGAAGGAGGCTTTGGTGGGCCAACTATTTGTATGAGATCAACTTGACCCTCTTTGGGCAAGCTGATCCATCTAATGAAATATCGACAATATTGGCACCTCCATCGCCTCTACCAGTCAAAACATCGTCCGCGTCATCCACTGAAAGTAATAGCAGTAGTAGTAGCAGTCATAGGAATAGCCCTTTAGGATCAAACTCGGAATCATTGTTGCCAAGTCTGCCAGGTCCAGAAGCCGACTTTCAACGAAGCTTCTGGAGCGATTTGTATCCGCCTCCTACTATCAACGGACATGTACTACCACCATTCTCATCGCTGGGCTTGGATAATGGTCGTCGATCATTTTCTAGGCCTACGGGTCCTCCACCATATGACGCGCATGGTGCCATAGGATATCAACCACATCCCTCATCAGTTGGTAACGTCAACACACCCTATGATAATAGTATCGTCAACACGCCCTATAACAATAACAATGGTAGAAATCATCCGATAAATTATAATCACCATATGGGAGGTATGCCTCCTCCCGCTCCTAATTACTCCTATCCGAATTCGACAATGAGCCCTCAAGCGTCACCACGACCACCTAGTCTGCCATTATCTCCACGGTCGCACTCAACACCATCACTTCACGCATACCGTGGACTACCACCGCATCCGTCTGCAACAGGCCCACCGCCAAGTACTAAGCAATTGAACAATGACCAAACACGATCTTGGCCCGATGGGTATCTAAATTTGTTGCAGTTATACAAACTCATCCACCACGGACTGGATATAAATGTAGAGAAGCAAAGGTTGAATAGGAAGTTTCCTACCAGCAAGGTAGTGAATGGTGAAGAGGCTACTGAGAGAGCAATGTTGGCTATTCAGTTGGATGAGAGGACTGATAAACTGATTTCGAGCATACGAAGGTGAGCTTTATTTAATTCCAGAGGTTGGAAGTCGTTGAGGACTTACTGTCTGGTTTTATTAGTTGGTTGAACTCTGTACCGGAAAGTGTATATGAGTTGACTTCAGATCCAAGTCAAATCACGAGTGATTGTGGTAGCACCGTCAAGCCGTCATTCATGTATTTGCATTCTATCATGCTTGGACACTCTATCCTCATGTGGTTGTATCTACGATCGTGAGATTCACAAATTCTTTCATTGCCGAACGTATTTGGAATTCTAATAACTTCACTTCTTTTGCACAGGGAACAACAACTTCAAACGAGTTATATGAAAGCGTCTCGATTATCGCCACAACACCAATCCTATCAACCAGTTTCCAATATTATACAACTCACGTCACCGCAGGGAACATCACCTCCTCCCAATACATCATCATCGGGGCACTATTCAGCACCACCGTCTCAGTGTGTCCCTGATCCAAGACATGCACCGCCACCAAGACCTGTATCAGAGTTCTTGGATCAAAAGCAACAAAACGAACAACAATACAAGGAAAGGCAGCAACAGAAACCAAACTTTCAACCAACAGCACCACCCTATATGGCTCCTCAATCACCACCCAAAGTAAAGAATGAACGAGGAGTGTCGGCTGCTGTTGCTGCATCACTAGAGTCTGCTTGGAAGGTGTCTTGTATACTGGAGGCCTTGATGATGCGAGACATGTATTTGAATGTGTCGCTTGGTCCTGTGGCTATTTGGACTAGTACGTTGGCTGCTCATACGTTCTGGAGGTGCTTGAATGTGGAACCTGCGCAATGTCGTGAAGGCATGAGGAGGGCAATGAAGGTAGGGCTGAACGAGAGAACTTGCTTTACCGGGTTTCAAAATGTATTTGTTAACTCTGTTGGTCTTTGCTTTGTATTAGGCTACGAGATTCCTATCTAGCAAATGGGCACTAGGAGAAAAGGCATACCAAGTAATGCTCTCACTCACGTCCAAATCTCCTGGCTTTACTCGGGAAGAGCTTGAATCGTTTTAGGACATGAGCATCGCAACCAAAAACGTGTATTTAGAAGAAGATATCTATGAGCGGAATTATATAAATAAATTTACCAAAATAGCAACATGGCGGGGTTAATATTCAATTTTATTCTATAATCGTGGAAGAGGACCTATCAACCATTCAGGGTATGTAGGCCAGCTGGATTCAGCTCCAAGGCTTTTGATGGCATTCACCCATTGATCACATTCTGTGGCTGGGTCAGACTTGAATTGTTCAAAAGCGCCATCAGTAAACGTGATGCGGAATTCTCCTCTCCCACCTCCAGTAGCGGCACTTCTCTCGGCAGATACGGAAATCATGTTGTGTAGGTCTACCGTGTTGCGGAGAGTCAGGTTCCCGTCAATCTCAGCATATGCGTATAGTCTGGCTCCACGCAGGACGAAGTATCGTTTTCGCATAGCCTATTGTTAATTAGAGGTCAGAAAACAACTTTCCAATCATGATCAAAACACACTGCGATGACAGCACTTACACGAACATCACCAGTCAAATGGGAGAGGAACCCCGTTTTGGTTTCCTTGGTCCACCAATCTCTTGCATCCATAGCACGGTAAACTTCGTCAATGCTTGAAGGCAGGGCCTGTCCCTGCAAGCAGAAAGCGTGTAGAATCGTGACAAACTGGGGTGATATATACTCAAGACATACCTTGCTAACGTCACTCCTAACAAAAGCTACACGAGCTCCAATAGAGGCCAAGATAGACTGTCCATCACTCACTTCAAGTACACCATCCCATATATCTCCAGAGACTGACAAGTCTGCTTGACGAGCAAATTCAATTGGATCTGCGTCAAAGGTACCAACCACACCTTCGTTTGGTAGGAATCCTTGCTCTCTTTGAGCGGTTTGAGAGGCGGAAGCGGAGGTAGCAGGTTGAGGAGTGATGGCATTTTCCTTTCGCGAAAATGTTGGGAAGAATCCCTTCTTTTGTTTTGTTGGTTGATGTTGGGCAACTGGGAGAGGAATGGCTGGCATGAATTTAGCTTCCAGATGTAGTGGCAAGTCTCGGATTAGCTTGGTGCTACCAAACAGAGTTTGTGATGAGCAATGGGAAACATTGGCGGACTCGCAAGCACAGTACAATTACTTACAAGACACAGTCCTGTTTGAATTCAGCACGACGGTTATCTTGAATGTGGATGGGCCGTGTTGTTGCAAAAACAGCGTTGCCGTGACTCAATGACAAGGTAACAGTCACGCCTCCGCGATTGGTGAAGTTAACACCCTGAATGTCAGATACTAAAACGATGCAAGTGTAAGTGTAAGAACACGGACTTGTTTTGCTTATACCAACACCGCTGCTTACGTTCAATGTAGAAAGTCCCTGTAGTCTGAGAATCGTTTTTGGGTAGAAAGGCTTGCGGGGCTGCTTGAACCTGAGGTTTCACTTGTTGAACGGGTGGCGTAACAGCCTTCAATGCTCCTGGTAAAGACTTGGACGAAGCATTCGTAGCTTCATCAGATGGACTCCTCAGTGGTTCATCATCATTCAAATCCTGGAAGAAACTCAATCTGTTAGGCTTGCTTCCTGATATCTAACAGGCTTGGAAATTTGCATCTACCTCGAAGCGAACACTCTTCGATTTCCGAACACCACCAATGGGTCTTGATTGTGTGGTTATCTTCTCAAGCTTGTTGTCAACTACAAGGGACTTGTTTGCATCAATCACTTTGGCCTTGTTGGCTGCATCGGCAGCTTCGAGTTCAGCGAGCCATGCATCGATCTGAGTTGGACCGTCAACGACAGAAGAGGATGCAGGAGGGGATGGAAGATGATCAAAAGAGATAGATGGGGTGAATGAAGCTTCTCGTTGTACGGGAGATGTCACCAACTGTTGGACTGGTTTGCGAGATGCGACTGTCGTCCTGGGTACAGGTTGGGTGGACTCAGCAGCCTTGACTGTAACTTTGGGTTCTTCCGGTTTGGTAGCAGGTTTGTGCTCAGGTTCTAGCACTGGTACCATCAAGGGCTTGAATTCCTCAACAAGAGGTAGCAAAATTTCCTTTTTGACTGGTGTTTCCGTCTTGACTGGGGCTGCAAGAATCTTAACCTCAGGCTGAACGACCATCTGAATAGGTGCAACCTTTGGCTCAAAAAGTTGAGTATCTGTTGAGAGCCAATCAAGACCAAGTTGTAAATCAAAGTCCAGAGTTACACTTGGCATCTAGCAACGTTAAGATCAAATCAACAGTTATTCATGAGGTTTAACAGAAATTGAATCTGACCTCAAATTCCAATTGCTTTGGAGCAACAATTGGCAATGGAGCACAGCTTTCGGCAACTTCTTCTCTCTGTTCTTCCAATTCTGGGCAGACTTCCGTATCAACGGCGCTTAAAACTTCATAGATTCTCAAATTCTCAATAGCGTCTGCAGCTGGCGCTACGATTATTGGCGTACCTGCCACTTCTTGTACCGTGACTACTTCGTCAACGATTTCGGGCGTTGACACTTCCATTACCGAAAGCTGAGGAGTAACGACTCGAGGTAGAGGAATTTCCTCAAGCGCCTCAACCTTGGCAATGGGCTCTCCAATGGATTGAGGTTTGAATTCTTCGATGACTGCAGCTACCGCTATAACAGCTACTGCTGGTTTCGTTGCAGCTGGTTGCGACAGTGCTGTCCGTTGAGCAGCCTTTTCAAACATCTTGTCACCCTTATATTCATTCAGCAACTCCTTTACGCTCTTGAAAGTTTTGAGCTCTGCGGTTTTGACGATTTCTGCTTCATCCTCTACGTGACCTATTGGTGTTACAGGTATTGGTTCTATGGTAGGTAGGCTGATGACTGGGGATACGTTGGCAACGATAGTCGGAGGTTGCGAAACGACAACTGGTGCACTTGGTTTAGTCCAAAGTGTAGGAACGGGGGCGCGAGCTTGAACCGGTCTACTATTAAGAGTAGCTGAGCGGGTGATTGGCAACTCTCCAGTTTGGAAGAAGCGACTATTCTTTACACCAGAAGAAGTGGAGGGAGTAGCAGTAGGAGCGGTCGTGTTGGCTGATACACCCAGTGCTTGTTTGAGATTGTTGACCCGACTTGTAGATTTCAGGAATTCCAAATCCGCTGATGTCGTCATGGCTTGTCGAAGCGAGTTGCGAGCTTCGTCATCGGAAGGCACAACGACATCATGCTTACTAGCACCACACTCTACTACAGGCTTGATGATTTGGGCAGTTTGAGTTGGCTCCACCTTTGATGCTACTACTGGTTTGACCACGATTGATTCTGATACTACTGCGGGCCTGACAGCGATAGACTCTACTATCCTTTGCTCTACTTTCGGCAGAGATTTTATTGGTTCAACTCTTGCCTCTTGTTTGACTGGAGTTGGAGCTGGTGATGACACTGTTCGAGGTTCAGCAGCTGGCGCCACGGCTTGGGTCGAAGGATGAGGTGCTTGCTTGGCGGTTTTCGGTAGTGGCAATGTATTAGTCTTGTTGGCCTTTTTACGCTCCTGAGACTTTATGGACCACCGTATAAGTTCAGCGATCTCTGGATCAGCGACTTCCAAAACCGTCCTGCCGGATGCATTCGTTACGTTGGCCAAAGCACCTTGACCCATTAAGCTGATTACTGCACCTCTCAATCCGAGAGATGCGGCAAGATGCAGGGCAGTATTTTGATTTCCAAAACGCAAGCCATTCAAGTCTTCGCCTGAGGGCATAGTCTGCAATGGGAGTTAGCTAGGTTTGTAAAGCTGCTCATAAGGGCAGGCGTGATCTAAGTAGCACGAGACGCGAGCTTGAAGAAACACACACCTTGAGGAATACATTGATGACTTCCATCCGCTTTTTTTGATCACTATCCGACTTGCTGGTGGAATACATGGCCAAAGCAGCAGCCAGTCCCGTCATTCTTGTTCCGTCACTGCCCAAGATGTCAGCAACATGCTCGTCGAGCTCAAAGTTATCTTCACATTGGACTAGAGAAAGTGCCGGGTTCTGAGCTAGGAGATCGGCTATAGTATGCGAGTGGCCCGCCTCGACAGCATCGAAGAGTGAGGTTAACTGTGATGCGGATAATCCTTCTACAAGTTTGAAAAAAAGCTCAAGTTTAATGTATCGTCACAAACCCGGTTGGTTTGAAGGTAAACAGGCACGAGAGGCAGCGGATCAGCTAGAATCTATATATGATCATCGACTGAACCGACTCCTTGTCCTCCAAAGCAAAAGGAACTGGCGTGTGACGACTTCCAACCAAGGACTTACCGCTCATTGTTTAGAGGTTTAGCAAGATTGCTGGCAAGAATCTAGCTTGATCCTGGCACTGGAATCGATAATCAGGGATCCTTGGTGACTTGATGTTGTCTATTACTTGATTCTGCTCTGATCTGCCAGATTGTCGAAAGTGTGCTTGTTGTGTGCGTTGCGATGATACGCTGTTTTAAATCCCGGCGAAGTCACAAGATGCCAAGCGTCTCAAAACTGGACGATTCCCAGTATATAGGACGCCGTATGATGCTGAACGTGAGCTTGACTGCTTTGAAGAAACGCGTAGAGCTTACGAGAGCTGGAGGCGCAATGTTTCTAGGTGGAGCAGCTCGGATCCGTGAAAGTCGTTCATAAAGTTAACTATAAATTGATTTAGGATTGAGGAGCGCGTCGACAAGGGTTCCTTGATGCGAGAGCCTGCAATCTCTTTAACCTTGCTTGAAAGTCAATAGCCACTACGATAATGGATTTTAAAGAACTCCTGGCCGAGGATAAGAGGATTAAGCTTAGCGGAGCCGATATTGATGGTACTACTAGAGGAAAAATTGTGATCAAGGACAAGTTTCTCAAGAGTCTTGACGGCGGTTTTGGTAAGCTGGTGTTTCAAGCCTTGCTGCTCATTCTTGATAAAGTTTCGAGTTGTAACGCACTTGTTGGCACGATATATACTGCAAACTCTTTTCGCCTCAATCTATTTGCTGTCGTTACCTTCACGATCACACATCACACACATCAAATACAATACATCTCGTACGTGGAAACTGACTCCCGTCGCAAACTTACTAGGCTTTTGTGACGTGATTTTCGGTTGGGATATACTGGATCGTGTATATGATGCGGGCACGAATGCAGTTTCGAACGCTGAAGGAGGTACGTTGTCTGACTGCTTATCACAGAATGTGTACTTATCACGGAATTCTTGGGCGATTGTAAACGATTGTAAACGATTTAAACCTTAGGCTTCCAAGATGTTATCGCAAAGGTCGATGTGAATACCATGAGAAGAGTTCCTTGGGAGAATAATGTGCCACACTTTTTAGTCGACTTCCATTCACCAACGACAGGCCTACCACTTCCACAATGTCCGAGAGGACAGGTGCGTTTTCATCGAGATGAATCCAAAACTTTGCTGATATCCAACGTTTTATTCAGCTTAAACGTGTCATTGCCGAATTCGCACAACTAGGACTTAAACCTATGTGTGGGATGGAGTACGAGTTCTTTTGTTTCAAAGGTATCGTTCCATTCATTGCCAAGAACGAACAAGAAATAACTCAGTGCTCGTGACCAGAAACGCCCGACTCTCTCGAAGATAAACAAGGCGTCAAACTGCAAAGTTTGGATCCAGGAATGTTTGGATACTCATTTCTGCGGCCTACGCTGGTTCAGGACTGGTTCTATGAGGTATATGATAAGCTTGCCGAGTATGATATTCCGATAGAAGGATGGCACACTGAAACTGGTAATATCTGAATCGAGTCTACATGCTGGGCAAGGCAACGCTCACAATCTTCAATTTATTCGTGTAGGCCCAGGTGTCTATGAAGCAGCCATACAATACTCTGAGGCTCTCTTGCTGGCCGATCGAGCACACTTGTTTAAAACAGCAGTAAAGCAAATATCTCTGAAACATAGCATCATCCCATCTTTTATGGCAAAACCATTTGCAGACCAGCCAGGCTGCTCTGGTCATATCCATATATCGCTGGCCGATATACATACAGGAGAAAACAAGTTTGTCGCTCCAGATTGGAAGGACCACATGGATGACAAGACTGGAATGAGCCGAATCAGCCCTATTATGAAGCACTTTTTAGCAGGACTGTTGGAAGGAATCCCTTCTATTATGCCATGTCTTGCTCCGACTGTAAACAGGTATGGTTTGGTTCGTGTAACTCGCTTCGAAAATTGATTGGTGTAAATCACTCAGCAAACTGACGCATTCATTTGCCTTTACATTATAGTTACAAGAGGTTTACTGAAGGCTTTTGGGCGCCTGTTACTGCAACATATGGATTCGAAAATAGAATCACGTCCGTGAGGCTCATTGGTCCCCCATCGGGAGGTCCTGGAACTACTCGATTGGAACTCAGAATTGGAGGTACGTGCGAACACTGTCTTATTTCATATAACAATGCGATGAATATTAACTAGTCTCGAAAAACGACAGGTGCTGATTGCAATGCATATCTCGCATTAGCTGCTGCTTTAGCAAGCGGGCTACGTGGTGTGAAAAAGCAACTAGAGCTACCATTTCCACCTGCTGGTGATGCCTCCGAATCGTTGCCTGATGCAAAACGTGGTGGTCGTCTACCCAAGAACTTGAAGGATGCAACCGATGTTATGATGAAGGAGGGATCTATCGCGCGAGAAGTCATGGGAGATGAATTCATCGATCATTTTGGAGGTACGCGTATATCAGAATGGAGACTTTGGGAGGGAGCTGTGACCGATTGGGAGATCAAACGCTATATGGAGACGGTCTGAACTGCAATCAATAATATTGCGTATGTTTTGTCGTTGAAGTTCAGAGTAATAAAGTACTATCATTTGCTATGGGTTTGGGACACTTAATGTTTTATCGCAACATGCCCCTTACGTGAAATTTGAGATAGTGACATTATTCGCTGTTGCATGTTGTAACTCGTCCAACGCGGGCTGGTCCTTTACAAACTTTACAAATTGTTGCGCGAAGAAGGCCTAGCACCAAAATTTTCACTATTTGTTACCGTTTTGTTGTATGTCCACAACCTCCAAATTTCACAATTTTAAGAACAATCGAAAAAATCAATAACTACAAACAAACTATAGTACCAGTTTTAGCACTCTGCACTTTGCCTAGAATACAGGTAAGAACAACGTTGTAACTATTCAATCAAGTAACATTTGCCGCACCTCGTCTTCGAGCTTTGCCTAATCACACGATTTACGATTTCTCGTCCTTCACTTTATTAAATTATACCGCCATCTACCTAGAAAACAATCATATCAACCATGCAAACTACAGATCAAAGCAAATTTATGCTCTCCAACTACATCGCTCAATTCAAAAGCACTGAACGAGTTGGTGATGAGGATGAACTCAAGATCGCTCAACAATCTGGAAAGGAATCTGCTGGGTGGATTACCTTTAGAATGATTTCGAAAGATAGTTCCCAAGTCAAGTATCTGGCCTATGAGTCTGTGTTTGAAACCGTCGTGACAAACACATCGCTGGACGCAATCTCTGCAGGTGTCAGGAAGGTGCTCAAGGAGGACTCGATCATTTGTCTCAGCATGGTATGTTACGTGAATCAGAATTCGTCAAGTTTTGCTTCTATGGTGGTTCCGGAGTCATCCGGTCGAGTGCCTCTGTTTGGAAATCCCTTTTCAAACACGATTCCTGGTGATTCAATACAAACGTTCTAAATATCTGTTATAGTTGGAAAAGGAATCCAATATGAAAATTGTCTTGTATTCATGCAGCCAAATCAATTCTGGAACGATACTTTCGAAATTGGTTTGTGATAAATCGTTACTTGGCCGCCTCATCGAAATCTTTGTCGTGGAACAGGGTATGAGCCTTGTCATCGATCGTGCCATCAAGTGTATGGGTCGTCATGATACTCGTGAATTGGCTCAATTATCAGTCTCTGCTGATGGGTTATCTTGGATCTTGAAAGATGCTGAAGCCTGGCATGATGGTCTTGGAATTGTTCCCAATTATACACATGCTCGTCAAAATGAAGAAGTTGAGCTTCTTGCTGATCGAGCCTTTGGCCTTGTATCTCGTTTGTTGTCTCGCTGGAATATGCTTACTTCTGCTGCCACAAATGGCATTGAAGAATGAATGCAATATCATCATGCTGTAACGCAGAACGTGTATATTTGTTGGTATGTCTTTGTGTATTGATCTCTATGTGCTGAATATCTTTCTTGTGTGTTAAAGGCCTCGATAAATAGATAAATTACTTCTTTTGCTGTATACAAAGGTTTTACATTTCCCTATCTACGTTCCTGAATCAGTTTTTCTATGAGCCTACATAAATTATCAAGTCCAAACAGCGCCCCTTGATCTGGTCCAGCACCTTCAGGTTCAAAGTGAGCATGAGCAAAATCAATCAAGCGGACTCTAGGCCCCATTTGATGATCTGTGGACCCTTCATATAGCAGCAATACGGATGATGCATATATTCGAGCTGTTGATTCAGACAGGTCTTGTCTTATGGCTCTCAAGCTTGCCAGCAAGACGTCCAACACTGAAGAATATACTTTTGTAGGCAAAAACACTCGCAGACCATCTATTATCGTGTCTGGCGTTAATGACCGACCCAGAGATTTGTCATGCGATGTGAAATTTCCAAGAGTTTCATCGTAAACCTGTCAAAGTCTCCTATCAAAATGTTGATTTGCAAGAAAACAACACGACAACAACTGATACCTTGATGCCACAAATTCGCAGCCCGGTACTTCCAGAAGTAGTATTTTGAGCCTGATACTCCATCCGTTCCTTCTTGGCAGATGTAGCATCCTCTCCATATAATCTCGTTCCAACTTTGATGTCAGCAATGCATGGCTTTATATAAGGCTCAACGAGGTTTTCAAGCACGACATATCTAGTAAATTCATGTGGCTTATGCTGAGTCGATTCGTTGGGAGACTGATACGGAATAGTGCCAAAGTATTTAGGCATCCAAGCTTTGAGTTTGGTGTTTTGGGCTTGTTCGTAGAATTGTACTTCGATGGAGGAGCATGGTTTGGCTAGTTTGCCAGCTTCGACGTATACTATTTGATCGTGTCCTGCCACTTGGTGCTCAAAGTTGCTCATCGTATGTTTGCATTATAATAGCTAAGTGGGAGAACGACTGACGCAAATACCGACAACAATACCGCAATACAGTATGAGAACAATAAAATCAAGAAAAATCGCATACCGAACCTGTAGTCTCGCAAGGTCTCGCTTACGACCAAAAAGCCACGTAGTACTTCATAACAAGGTTCAATATTTCAACTACTACAATGAAGCAGTTGGCTCAAAAGGCTTTGGAGCTCTCAACATGCCCAATTCTTGACCACCAGACAATGGAATGATGATGCCGGTAATATGAGCAGAGGCCTTTGAAGATAAGAATAATGCTACTGCGGCCATATCTTCTACTTTTCCAATTCTCCCCATTGGCTGATTAGGTGCTATTTCAGGATTTTTTGCTCCAACTAGCTGATATGCAGTCATTCCAGATGGGAAGGTTGCGGGTGCGACGGCACTAAGTGATTTCGGTCAAGTTTACACAAGCTGTTGTTGCGATTTTGACAAGTAAGAACTTACTTGACTGTTATCGATCGCTTGGCAAGCGTCACGGCCATGATTCTTGTAAGGTGATTTAAAGCAGCTTTCGATGCTCCGTATGACCAGATTCCCTAATTTAATGATGGTCGTTCATTTTCTGCATTCCAATCAGCGTCAAACCAACAACTTCTTACAGCAGGGTGCATCTCCTGGCCAGCTTTTGGATCAAATCCACCAACAGACGAGATCATAATCACTCTTGCTGGATCAACTGCTCTGACGGCAGCAGCTTCAAGGAGGGGTAGGAAGGCCACTGTTAAATAGTACGGAGCCTTGACGTTCAAAGACATGACTTTATTCCAGCCATTCTCTTCAGGGAAGTCTTCCATAGTCCCGCCCCACGTCACCCCGGTGCTAGAAACAAAAACGACGATTCGTAAGTGTTCTGTGTTCTAAAGTAAAACTCCAAACGTTTCACGTACTTGTTGATCAAGATATGTACTTTGGACTCTTTCTTCTTGACCTCTTCATATAATGCATAGCAAGCTGCTTTACTGACCAAGTCTGGAGAAATTTACGCTTTAAACGTTAGACCGTGACGTCAACCGGCGCAAAAAACAAACAGAATATGTGACCTCACCAGCTACAATATACTCGCACGTTCCAGGTCCAATTTCATTCAGCTCCTTGCACGTTGTTTTGAGAACGGATTCCTTTCTCGAAGCAATGTACACTTTGCATCCGTTTTTCACTAGCCCAAGGGCCATCATTCGTCCCAACCCTTGGCCACCTACACTCGATATTCAGTTTTAGAGGTGAATGCAATGTTCAAAACGCAAGAGAGCTCGCCTCCAGTGACCTAAACGAAACGAAAACATGGATTTAGAAATTGTGCTTGAAATTATCAACTTTAGGCTCTACATACCACAGCGACTTTGTGCTTGACACTAAAGAGGTTTGAAATCGACAAATCTGTAGACATCGTTTCCTTCTTAATTCTTAGAATGTGTTAGTTCTGAGGTTCGCACCGTTGATGTAACACAATGCACCAGAGCACCAAAACACGATATTCGGGTCATATACGTGATTGTCAGCTCTTATAGGTCCTTTAGCTTATAGATAATATAATATATACTTATATGCACCAGTTTTACAAACACTCCAGTAAAAAATAATATGTGAGAGCGCGTCATTCACGAGTCTGGGCTGAAGCCATCATCGAAATCTATACCATTCAGCAATGCGGATATGTCATCGTTCGATTTTCGTATCTCTGCAACTTCTGGCTCAATTACATCTTCCACTGCATTCACCACTGCAACCTCTGGTTCCACTACATCGTCCACCGCATTTGAATTTCGTACCTCTGCCACCTCTGGCTTATTGACATCTTGCACTGCATGCACACCAGTTTCTTCTACGGCATCAGCCTTAGCCTTCTCATCAGCACGTAGTTTAGCATCACGTTCCCGTTCATAGTCCACCAGATTCCATAGTTTAATTAGTATCTTGGTCTCGTAATCTTCTATTCGAGATCGTTGTTCCATCAAGTGTTTGTGCAACACCATACAGGCATAGGCATCGTTGGCGGCGTATCGAATCTGCTCATCAGACAAGTGCACAGCTTCCCAATCTGATGTACGAACCGTGCCCTTTGACAACGACTTGGAGAAGCTAGTAGCAAGAAGTCTTGAGTTAGGAAACGATTCTTTACGTTTACTGATCTGGCACTCACCAGCATCCAACCAAAGCCTGCAGCGATGCCATACCAGGACCCATCTTATCAGGAATTACAGCTTTCGCTAAATCAGACAACTCACACCAAGAGTTCATCTTGACATTAAAGTTTTTGTCCAGCTTTTGGGCATCACCACGAATATTCACCCCCGTCTTGACGATTGCCTCAGATTCAATCAGATCTCGCAGGCATTTAGGTAGGCCTGTTTGTTTTGAAGTTGCGTTAAGAGAAATTCTATGAACTACATGCAGTATTCGAGCTTTACTGTTACCGTTCATGTGGTGAATGTGGAGGAGGGCGACAATGTTTTCATTACAGACTTGGACAAGACTTGTCGGTCTTGGTTCGGTTCCCGTCTTAAATAAGACCTTCCATTCGATATCAAATCCAACTACAGAAGAGTTTCTAGGTGGGGTTTTGTGGTGTGAACTTGTTAGCACGTGTATAAAGGTTGCGGGACTTGGACCATCTCAAGCAAGTAAATGCCGGAGAAAAAAGACGATGCAGACAAATATAAAGAACAAGAAATCGATTATGAAGGGCTCAAATCCATTCTCCTCAGCAAAGTGTGAACGAAGGCGTTGATTGTCAAAGTTCTTACGTACTCCATTTGTGCTAAAACAGCTTCAGCATGCTCAACCGTCTTGCAGTACTTCAATGTAGGAGGCTTTACATCATCTGTATACTTGAGCAATGGATAGTTGGCTGGATCTGGACGATTCTGCCATGGTAAGCTAGCAAAGACGACATGTCAGTTGATTGATGTTCAACAATGCCAGCCATACGGTCGGTAAATCTTAAGCATGAAAGCATGACTTACGGCCTCTTTTTGAGAGGTGAAGACGATGATTGAGATGCCTCGGCAGCGTCAGTATTCGATGGATCGTGTCGTACTGGAGTAGTTCGTCGTGGTTTCTTCGTAACTGGCTTCTTTGATGGAGATGGCGCTGATTTAGCGGGGCTGGGAGCCAGTGAGACTTGCGGAGCCTCTTCTGCTTCCATACTTGGGTAGAGCATAATGGCTGGAAGGTGTTGCGAAGTAGCTATCAGTAAGTACAGTTGCTGAAGACGCACGCTGCAAGCTGCGTGACTGGAGCTTTCGCGTTGTGAGAGCATAGTGAAGATCTATCGAATCAAATGCAAATGATTTTGTTTCTGAAAGGGGTATTGAAGCTATATTCATCGTGATATCACAGCAATTTTTCGAACATGCGAGACATGATGCAACTTTGAGATCAAGTAATAACAAGAGAGCTCTCATAATAAATAACCCAGTAGGAGCTGCTTATTCGCTCTTCTTGAGCTTGGGTGGTTTGTCATATTCCGCATCCTCCATGAATGCGACTATGACAAAAGCAATGAGTATCACATTCACCACGACCACAGCACTGATGGCAGCATATGTCAAGTTCCCTACGATATGCAAAAGTTAGCTCTGCAAGTGTGCGGTAATAGAAGCTACTAATGTACCATCGAATATTTGATGTAGCGTGTAAAAGTAGGTTGCAACAGGAATGACGAATATAGCAATTGAAAAGAAGAGTAGCTTGAGCACAGTTTTCCTATATTCAAGTAATAATTAGAGAGCAAGTCTTCAGAATGCGAGGCTTGACTAGTGAGCGTACGTTGGGATGATTGGACGTGATGGTATTGGTTCATTTCCTGTTGTAGTAGTTGGACTGGATGGTACTGAGTCCCTGTCAGCATACACGCTTCGTTTGGTTGCCATCTTTGTATCGTCTTGTTCACTCTCTGCTTCAAACGCTTGAATGTTTGGAAAAAGGAAGACGGAAGCTAATTCGATACGTTTCCAGTTAGAATTGTGACGTGTTGTTGAGTCATGAGCAATCCTAGGACATTCTTTGATATTGAAATCGGTACAGAGAAAGGTATGCGAATTAAGCTCCTTTGTTGTTTGCAAAGTGGGATGGACCGACGTGAATTGTTGCCTCTAAACATTGTGTAGAGCCATTCTAGTTTAGTTTTACTATCATTTGGACTTACCGTCTCCTTTTTCCCCTGCTTCCTTAGCTGGAAGGTACTGCAGGCTTCAAATCAACATCAACCCCATTTCACGTATTGACCAAACATCCTGTAGAATCGTATTCGAACTCTTTGCAGACTCTACTCCCAAAACGGCAGAAAACTTCCGAGCCCTTTGTACTGGAGAGAAAGGTGCCGTGCCTGTCTCACTTGTCACAAGACCGAGCAGATCGCTAAATGAGCTCTTTGCATTTTCTTTCCACAGGCTCTACTCGAGATGGAATACCAAGGCATTATAAAGGCAGTACCTTTCATCGTGTCATACCATCATTCATGATACAAGGTATGTATGTCTTCATGTGATCTGTGAGCTTGCAACATTGTGTTGATGACCTGGCAATCCCCCCTACTAATTTAGGTGGAGACTACACCAAGGGTGACGGAACAGGAGGTTAGCAAAACGATTACTCTCGATTGTGCGATTACACACGATCTGGCTGGAGCCAGAAAATTAGCATCGAATACGCATCCAAGTTTTTGGTGTTTTGCTCACAAGCTCGGGAATGATTTCCCTTTTTATCGGGCATTAGGAGAATCCATCTTTGGTGAGGAATAATAGAAGCAAATCTGACACGACAAGTCTATACGGTTTCCTCTATTATATCTGACCATATCTATGCAACCAAACACAGGCTCAACTTTTGAAGACGAGAACTTTAAAAGGCGTCACAATGAACCATATCTACTATCCATGGCCAACCGGGGTCCTGCAACAAACGGCTCTCAATTCTTCATTACTACTGCTGCCACGCCACATCTCGACAACAAGCACGTTGTCTTCGGTACAACTCATTTGCGGTTTTCGTCGCCTTGTAGACCCTTTACCAGATTTCTCCCAAAAGGTCGAGTGGTGACTGGACAAGATGTTGTCAAGACAATTGAAAATCTGCCTGCCAAAAATGACAAGCCTTTGGAAATGGTCGTTATCGCTCATTGTGGTGAACTTGAAAGGAAGAGTATGTAATGCAAATTACCCATATTTATAAGCCATTTGGAGACACGCATCGCTCACGCAATTGCTCTGTCTCTTATCTTACTAGAATCCACCAAACAAGATGACGAAGACAAGAAGAGTGATAAAAAGATCAAGAAACGTCGCGATTCATCATCTGAAAGTGATTCCAACAGCTCCGATGATGGTGACAAGAAGAAGAAGAAATCTTCCAAAAAGGTATGACCAGCTTTCAAGCCAGTTATTTTGTTGAACTGCCACAATCCAATAAGCTCAAAACAATTCTCCAAACAGCACAAGAAGAGACATCATTCCGAAACTGACGATGATAGTGAAGAAGGTGCAATTATCAAGCCTAAAAAGGAGAAACGAGATAATGGTGACAAGAAAAATGAACGAGCTGGAAAACCAAGTCTTGATATTCCTGAAGAGTTCCTGAAACCCTTGTATGGTCATCATGACTGTATGTTGTGGCATTAATCGTCGCTGATTATGGGTTGAAAGTATATGACCGATTTTATTTTCAGGGCGTCGAAATCCACAAGACCGAAAATATGACAATGATTCACGCTCACCACGAGATTTCCGTGATGATCGAAGACGAGATGATGATCGTGATTTCCGAGGAGGTGATAATCGTGGCAGCCCTTATCATCGAGCCTATGATGATGCTCGAGGTGATCGTGGATATCAGAATAGAGGTGGTGGTGGCGGAACAATGTCTTACATGCGAGATGGAGAACGAGCTGATGAGAAGGGGCGTCAAATCAAGGGTCGTGGAAGCACTGTAAGTCTTCATAGACAAAAAAAACCATCAAAAATTCTCTCATGCAAAGTACTCACCAAAACCATCTCCTTGCTTAGCAATATCGACCATCATACGTCTCACAGAAGAAGACTGAAGAATCATCTGAGAAAGTGACTGCTGGTGAGACAAAAGCGCAAGAAGAAGACACCACTGGACAACCTAACGCACTAGATGACGTCGATGAAGAAGTAGTTCAGGCATAACTATAGAGTAGTAGCAAACAGTTTGCTCAAAAGAAGTCGTTTCAACCCAAATAAACATGGTGACGTATTGAGAAGAATTGTTATTGCTATTCATTCTCCTGAAAAAAGTTGTGCTGTTCTTATATTTGAAACGAAACAAAGCTACCTAGAATCGTATTTGAAACCATACCCGTTTTTTAAAAAGTCGAAATCAATCCAATAAACACTGTTGTATTATACTATGGAAAGACTACTCTTGGTTCTACACTGTTTCTACCCAAAAAGGGGGAAACCTACACAACCTACGTTTATAATTTATTTGGGAGCTACTGCGCCAAGAAATTCACTATTCCTTGTCTGTACAGAATGGAGGATGTTATCAATCGTGAGATTTTTGATTCCTCGTGTCATCTCGTCTGTGGCCTCGAGGGCCGGAGATGGTGGGCTGAATGCAGGTCTCAGCAATGTCGGATCTGTGATGAGCAAACGTGTTGACAAATTAATCGATTGTGGCGAGCGCTTAGGCAACATTGAAGCACAATACAACTAACTGACCTTGCTGAATGAGATAATACTGACTTCTTCCCAAAGCTCTCTTCAGCTTACTCACAACCTCTTGCCTTTCATTCTTGATTGCTCGTCGTTCATTATCATTACTCAAAGCCCATCTCCTAAATTGTATAGCTGGTCGAGTATACTTTGCCCAAGACAATGGGTTTAGGACTCGTACATCAACCTTTTCGCCAAAAGTATCCAAAATGTGTGCAAATTGACCTCCAGCATCTAATTCCAGAATTGTACGATCATTGAAATTCACTATTATACGATGATCAGAGTACGCTGTGAATTTCCCTGCTTCGGGTATGGTGATTTCTACTATTAGTTGTGAAGAGTATGGTGTGGGTGATGTTGATGCTGTTATCGGAGTTGGTGAGCGAGATGATCCCGCGGATTGAGTTGATAATGACAAGTGGAGGTTTGTATATAATCGTAGTAATTCATCGACGATCGTCTTGAATGGATACCTAACGTGATATTAGAAAGGTGGATCAACATACAGAAACCGAGGCGATTGTACTGTGTCGACCGTTTCAAATCCGAATTCTCGAGCCAAAAACAAGTACACTCACCTACGACCAGTGATAGAATTGTGCACGCTTTGTGGACTATTTTCCACTGGATACATTTCACAATCATGCTCATTTCCAGCACGAGCATCTCCACGTCTTTCTGTGGTGAATAACGTCAGAAACCTAAATCCACCACTACTTTGGAAGAAGGCACCATCAGCATGTATTATCGCATACAATCCATCTTCTTCATCTTCGTCCTGTTGAGATTTCAAGAAGCGTGTCGAGTCGGATACGTAGAGAGCGATGGGAGTCCATATACAACGTATAGTTTTCGGATTGGATGGATCATGATTATGTGCGTGTGATGGATAGAATGTTGAGTTTGATATATTGGATGGTGAGATGTTTTGATTGGAAGCTGGGAGAGGTATTGATATGTGACGAGTCGAAGGTGTTGGAGGCTTTGGTAATGGGAGTAGATGTGATACGTCACCTGGTTCATAAGAGTCATGAGTTATTGGATTGGAGATTGCGAGACAAAGCAACAGTAAGACGAACCTCCAGCAAGCGTCATTGCAAGCCACAATGGATACTTCCAACATTCAGGTGGACTCGAAGTCACAAATCGTTGTTGTACGGATGTATATACATATTTGAATCGTGCATAACTGTCGTCGGCATCACCTGTAGATCGACTCGCTGCTCGTATTCTAGCAGCTCGTTCATCAGGATCGTCCACAGCGGCAGGGTACTGAACGACAAAAGTTCGTCGGTGTGATGATAATGCAAGTGTTGCTGTACGATCTAGCGACTTGATTGTCACGGTGCCGTCTTCTGCTATCGCGTCTCCAAGTGCTTCAAGATCGGAGGGCAGTGGCCACCTCGCACATTCCATAGCTGTATTCGTCTTTGAAATGAAGCGAATTAGTTGGTTCAATATGCATATCTGTCTTGTTTACTAGCGAAAGCCAAAACAAGAGACATTCAGCGTCATTACCAGCGTGGCACGTTCTAGCAACTGGTCTCCCGTAAGCCGAGCAGTAAGATAGGTGTTCTGCGTATAGGCATTCCTCAATAATATTATTGTTTTCAGGGCGTCGATGTGCTTGCTCGTGACCAGCGAGCTCAACTGCTTGGTCTTGCCAACGAGATGTGATTCAATTTCCACACTACTCGACTTAGGATATTGCTGAGAGGGGACATCTCGTGACAATGCCAGAGTTTTCAATGGTGATCCCTTTTTATCAGCTGTTTCATTAGAAATTGGGGCTGATGACGATAGATTCGTTGTTTCGACGGTAAAGACTGCTCCAGAGGGGGATACATGATACGTGGATAGATCCAAGATGGCTTCGATCGAGAGATCGTCATATATATACACAGCCTCGACACTCATCGGTAGTTCCCTATTCAATTTCGATTGCTCTTGTGGACTACCAACATGTGTATCGTGTCAGTTGATACTATTGAAACCCAGCTATACAACGAGCAATATGAACGCCATGAACCAGCCTCAACGTGTCAATGGTCTATTGATTGAGCTCTGGAGTATAATATTCAACTACCTCTCCGCAAAGGATCGCAAGGAGTCGTTGCGAGTTAACAAGATCTGGTTTGAGCTACTGGTTCCTACCATCTACGAACTTGTTCGGCTGAATGATCGAAACGTCGCTGCATTTCAGAAGGACTGTCTCTCGTCTACCAACCCATATACGAACTACGGTGACAACCTTGTTGTAATTGCATCACAATGTGGGACCACATAACCAACACCCTTACCACGCGCAGGAACCCTCGTCAAACGGATATGGCTGGACGATATTCGCCTAGGAAGCTCATTTTTGGAGCTAATCACGTCGAAATGCACCAACGTTGTGGAGTTGAAGGTCGACTTGCCACACGAGGTATTGTTGTCTGGTTTTGCTGCTCAATTCAATGGAGGAAAGAATCAGCCAGAGCTACAGCTCTCGGCTTTGGCAAACATGGCCAATCTTGAAAGTCTGGAGGTGTCGGGATTTCGTGCTTTTGGTGGACAAGTATGTGTGTCACACGTTTCTTATGTCTACCTTCGATCATCTTGCTCACCGATGCATCTATAGACTATGGTTGAACTGCTCCAGAATATGAGCACAAAGTGCCAAAAGCTCAAAATCCTAAAACTCCGTGACTGCCCGTCAGTCTCTGATTTTTCACTTGAGGCAATCCGTGTGCCCTCGCTACGACATCTAGAAGTAGTAATACCATCACGAGGACTCAGTCCAGCTTCCATAGTAGCCACCGTCACTCGTCACCCACTATTAACTACGTTGGTACTTGTCAAATTCGGCGTACCAGGCAATGGGTTAAACAAACAGGCGTTAGGATCTCCGGCACTACAGATAGATCAGTTCAAGACTATTCTAGAGACGTGCTCATCTCTACAAGAGCTGTCTGTAATAGTTGATGGTCCAGGAATGAAGGAAACCGGATGGTGGAATAACGATATTGGAAACGCTGTACCAGCCTCGCTTCCACGGGGTCTGAAGAGGCTTTCTGTGAGAGCTCAAGGAAGAGCGCCTTATGCTGGGTAATAGTGATGTCTTGTTTCGTTGCATTTAGGTCAGCGTCGGTGGGGTTGGTTTGCTCACAACAAACCTCACATTTCTAGGTTCGGGTCTGCTCCAGGAGTATGGTTGGGAGGTACAAATCTTGGTGATATAGCAAGGTTCATCAAGCCAGGCTTTGTATTCGATGACACCTTCATCAAATGGTTGATCTCATCCGGATTCGATGACTTGTCGGTTCTCCATCTTTGTCCTGCTGATGCAATAACTGAATACGGCTTGAATATGCTGATTGAAAGATACACTAGACTGAAATCTGTAACATTAGAGTGCTTCCAAGAGATGTCACCGACTTTAGCAGACCTTTTGACATCGTCGTCGCCATTAGCTCTCACATGGGATCGTCCACAACGATGACATCCAAACCCAATGAACCGCCTTTAAATGCTTGAAGATATGATACATTAATAAAAAGTATTGTTGAATACACGAAACTGAAAAACTGTGGAATGAACTACTCCGAAAACATGCACATTTTTTTCCTTCCCTCTCAACCCTCAACTTTTTCGACAATAATTGCAACATGGGCCAAGATTTACAGTACGCGTGCATGCATTCAGAAGTATCAACACGTTCAACCGACACGTTGTTTCTTGTTACCTATATTGACGAATGTAAGCAGTTAGTTCACCTTTGCGAAGTCATTTGGAGAGCAAAGCACCATTTACCTTGGTCTTCTTTGAGTGTGACTTCGCTAATGTTATCTTCATCTTGATCCAAACCATGTTTTAATCCAACTCTTGAAGTGCTTTCTGCATTGGTGTTTGGGACAGCTGGGGTGTCATCATCGTCATCGTAGTCGATCAGCGTGTCATCATCTAACGCTGAGATGTACACTACTGATTCGGAATCTTCTATTTGGTTTCGGTGAGTGGAGTTTGGTTTTAAGTCGACGTCTGACGGTAATGTAGTCTCGTCTAAAAAAGGTGCGATAGCTTGATTAGTACGACAAATCGACAACGAGTCGGGGAAAGGAGCATGCGATGGCTCAGTGCGCTCACCAGTGGTTAGTTCTTCCTCATAGTCTTGCTCAACTTCATCAGCATCTCCTACCATCACATTTTGTTCTTGGTTGGCTTGCTCTTCATCATGATGGACTGATGATATATACAAATTCTCAAGAAAGTTTAGTTGCTTTTCTAAGCACGAAGTGTGCTAACGAGGATATGACGCGTTAGCAAACATTAGAGCAACGTGCGCAAATGTTCATCCCTTACCTCGGTGAGCACTACGTGGAGTGGTGAATGTGACTTGTTTAAACAAGAATGATAATCGTACAATTTGGACACGGAGAGATCAGAATTATAACTCGCCTGGAATTAGGGGAGAAGTGAGGAGTTAGTCAAGTTGATATTCGCAGCAAAACCAAAGGGGTGACAGCATCGGCAGAAGACTACATACCATCGGGATCGAGAGATGCAATTGGGGGACATCTAGCGTCACATCATTTGAAATGTTGAATGAATGCTTTAAAGCAGCTACGAAGAAGGTTAGTTGAGAATCAAACAAATTAAGATCCGTGGCCGAGTCATAGCCTCCAGCGTATAAAACATCATCACTTCTATCTTGTCGAGCTATGCTATTACTAGATGCGACACCAGAAGTGGGATTTGAAGGTGAAGACGGAGGTGGAGAGCCCGGCAACGACGCAAAACAGGGATAATAGGACGATCCATATTGCAGCACTACACAGGGTAGCTCTTGCATCGCATCATCCTCATACAATTCGTTCGAGTCTACAGCCAAGACGTGTGATAGTACAGCCGAGTCATGGGATACATCGGAAGCGACTCCGGCCTTCGTACTTTCAACGACGACTACTGGAATTACGTCCGTTGGGTCGTCGAAAAAGCCATCATCTGTTTCGTCTTCTTGATTCAGTACCGGTAATACCGTGTTTTCAGCAAACGTGGGTTTGATGTCAATTGATTCAAGTTGAGGAGGAGGTGTTATACCGTCCATAATAGGGTGATATGATATTGAGAATACTTTTTAAAGTTGTGATACTACTAATCCTCCTGTGTGTACTATGCTCCGGAAGTGTTTTTCGAGTCGATTTCGTGTCGACTTGTGTGATGACGAAAAGGATGGGGATGAGACTAATAAAACTATGCCTTCCTTCGGTTAGTTGCTTGTTGTTATGACTGTGATGTGAATGCTGGTTGTCCTTATGCTTGATATGTGCTAGATGTTGGTTGCCTCTGTGCTGTTATGTCGGTGACGGACGACGGAATTGGGACTGGAGAAAATTGTGATTGACGGGAATGACAGTTTTTAAAGAATGCGAATTATTATAATCTTAACGGAAGCTGATCTTTTTATGGTGTTTGACATTGACATATTGAATGTCCGCTTATATACATCACTCTGGGGGCTAATCAGTGCATGGTTCAGTCACGTTTGGTGCTCTTGCTTAGAAACGCACTGTGCAGGAGTCGTGAACATTGCAACGGGTTACGATAAAGAATTAATTGGATCGCAACAGCAAACTGCTTTCAAACACTCGTCCGCTGCTCAGGAACAACTACACAGCAATCTCGCTGGCACCAACTTGAGGAGGTGAGACACCAGTTCTGGTTATATTTGATACAAACGAACAGCACTGTGTATAAAACGCTCTACCTTGTCGTTCAAGCCCATCTATCGATCAGTACGTCCATCATCGTCTCCCTCGTATTCAATCTTGCCATCGTTTCAGACAACTGACTAAATCTCTCAGTGAGCGATTTAGAGGAGGAAGACGATATCTTCATGGGTGAAGACGAAGAGGTATTTGCTGTCATATTCCACTCCTTCCTTAACTATCAAACCAACATTTGCGCACTTCATCAAACACATGACTATTCGACACCTAATATCAAAACTCTTGATGTGCTAGAGCGACCAGGACATGGAGGAGACTAACAGTGATCCTGATGTAAGGTCTGACGAGGGAATGGATGATAATGCTAGTGATGACGACGATGAAGACTATCCTGAAATGGAAATGTCCTTCCAACCTGTCGTCTCTGAAAAGGACCAAACTAAACCATACGAAGTCGAATACACTACCCACTCACGAGCTGCCATCGAAAAGACTCAGCAAAAGGAAATATCTCTCGTCGCCGGAATCCTAGGTTGTGCCGACCAACATGCTGCTACACTACTACGCTACTTTAAATGGAATAAAGATAAGCTCATGGAAAAGTACATGGACAACCCCGTAGCCATATCTGCTGCCGCTGGTGTCATCCTCGACTCGACAAAGCAACCCAGATACATCCCACTAAAAGGCTTTGTCTGTGACGTGTGTTGCAACGACGAGGACGGCCTGCAAACGCTAGCCTTATCTTGCAACCATCGATTCTGTCGCGATTGCTACGAACAATATCTCACTCAAAAGATTTGTGAAGAAGGTGAATCTCGTCGCATCCAATGTATGGCCACATCATGTAAACTCATTGTCGATGAAAAGACTGTCGAAATGGTCGTCAAACCCCAAGTATATACTCGCTACCGTGAACTTTTGATGCGAACATATGTAGATGATAACGAATTCCTCAAATGGTGTCCTTCTCCCAACTGTGAATATGCCGTAGAATGCCACATCCCTCAAAACCAACTCACCGAAGTAGTACCATCTGTCCAATGTACCTGTACACACCGCTTCTGCTTTGGCTGTGGACTACCTGATCATCAACCATGTATCTGTGCTCTTGTCAAACTATGGAATAAGAAGTGTGAAGATGACTCGGAAACTGCAAACTGGATTTCTGCAAACACGAAGGAATGTACAAAGTGCAACTCTACTATCGAGAAGAATGGTGGATGCAACCATATGAGTAAGCTGAACACATTGTTGATGTCATTAGACGAACTGGATGGTTTTTTATTTTTTGCTTCGTCAATCAATGTCTGACTCTGACTGATATCTTCTTGTTTTAGCATGCAAGCGATGCAAACATGAGTATGGCCTCGTCATTTGCTGATCATATTATCCTTCTTCGTCACTCCTCATCACATTCTAACGTTTATATTTCAACTAGGTTTTGTTGGGTATGCATGGGTCCATGGCAAGATCACGGTACGCAATGGTATAATTGCAACAGATTTGATGAGAAACAATCCATTGATGCTCGGGATTCACAAGCCAAGTCGAGGCAAGCCTTGGAACGATATCTGTTTGTAAGTGTTGAACTGTTTTCAAATTTGACGTTCTACGAGGACAAGTTGGAATAGTACTTTCGACGTTGTCTTCACTATTTTCTCTGTCTTCATCAATCAAACCATCTCAATCCCACTCTCGAATTGTCCCACAATAGTACTACAATCGATTTGCCAACCATGATCAATCTGCCAAACTCGACAAGGACTTTTATGAAAGGACGGAACGAAAGATGGAAGAGATGCAAAAGAGCTCTGAACTGTCCTGGATTGAAGTGCAATTCCTACGCAAGGCCGTCGATGTCCTCGTTGTTTGTCGAATGACACTCAAGTGGACATACTGTTTTGCATATTATTTAGCACGCAACAACACCACCGAAATCTTTGAAGACAATCAAAAGGACTTGGAAATGGCTGTCGAACAACTATCAGAATTATTAGAAAAGCCTATAGAACCTGAAAAGATTGCCGAGCTCAAACAACAGGCGAGTACTGTTCATCGTATCATAGTATATGAAAGCCCGTGTTGTTAGTTTATCCAAAATCGCTCATATTAATGCTCTCCTCCCAAATTAGGTCTTGGACAAAACCGTCTATGTATCAAGTCGAAGAGAGGTCCTCTTGACTGATACTACAGCAGGATTGAGTGAAGGAAGATGGTCCTACAATCCCGAGCTCACAGGAAAGTTGGGTGGAAAGTTCAACACTACGAGTGTTGCTTCTTCATCGTCAGCCCCATTATAATAGTAAATAGTTATTCAATACACTCTGTCCAAGCACAATCACCAAATAAACTTTTTCTTTCATTGCTGTACTTTTTGCTTCGAGTATGGTACCAATCTGGTACGTCAGGTCCGTTATTGTTTCCTCTCCTTGTCAGCTAATGTCAAAACGAGCGATGCCTTCACAAAAGAAACAGAGGCTTCCAGATGGTCCTGCGTACAGGGAGCCTCCGTCCGCAAACTCGGCAATCTCATCAGAAGGACCCAATCCAAGGGCGACTTGGGACACGATCTCGATAAATTGGAGAATCGAGTCTGAAGATGCTCTTGGTCCATTACCAGCCGATTATCACAAGTCCGTCAGTAAAGATGGGAGATCGTACTTTATTCAGTAAGTGGACTGAGTGTCGGAAAGTTTCTGCAGTTCGAGATGTCCATTAGATGCAAAAATATGGAGAACATCGAGAGTTGGGATTCGTGTGTTGAACAGAGGAGAGAGAAAGCGAGGAACTAGTGGAATGAGGCTGAATATGATAGATCCACGTTGTAAAGAACCGGAAATTCTGGTGATCTTGTACTAATCTATCCTTTTCGTGTATTAGTGGCAAGACGACAACGTAAACCCATTTTTTTGGATTCCGAAGCTTTTAAGAAGATGCACAATGACCTTTTGTTTGATTGTTAGCTGGGTTGATCCGAGGACAGTGGGTTTCAGGAAGTGGTCCATAGATGAGATTGTACAGGGAGAGGTATGGCGCTTTCATTAGAGCCCAGAAAGCTAGGGAAAGATCACTCACCTTCTTTGCATTTTAGTTACCATATGGGTGGGAAGAAGGTAATTTCAACTTTAGTGCCAAGGGACGAGCATTCAGTAAATCTGACTTGGATTTTTTTGCTGTGTAGCACTTGACGAACAGGTTGGAGTGTACTTCATAAACCACAACACGAGACAAACGTTCATGGAACCGCCATGGTCTGCACTAGTCGCCGAACTCTCGTCATCTATGGAGGATCGTTTGTTATCCAAGTTCTCAGAACTTCGTGTAAGTCTCCGAACAAGCCAACACAAACGCATGAATTACTGAATATCACCATGTTTCTCCAACACTAGGAAATGAAGGATCTTCTCGCATCAAAAAAGAACGAGTACCTGACCTGCCGTAGCAAACTAGCACAAATCGAACTTGAACGAGATAATCTTGTTCAGAATCACGCTGCAGCCAGTTTTGCCGACAAGCTATCATCTCAGCTAGTCGCAGAAGCGAATGTTCTGCAAGCTGTGCAAACCGAGATTGATGAATTGTCGAGCCAGACACATGAACTGTCTGTTGAGATGGGTAAATACAGGACTCTGCATGTCAAGATGTCTAGAATGGATGGGAGTGAGTTTGCGAGTCAGGTTGAGTCGATGCGGCAGCAAGTGGCGCGTGAAAAGAATCGAATTGGGAAGGTATGGTCGAGCTAGTTGTGTGACTTGTTTTGACACCTTAGTAAAGTCCCTTCTTTTCCTCACAGTTTGAAAGCGACTTGCAAGAAGCTAAAGATGATATCGGAGAAGCACCTCATGTTCGTCCAGTAGGACCAATAAAGACGCTCACCACAATTGAGGATAACGAAGAGGAGGCTGAGCCGGATCTTGAGAGTGTCAAGCAGAAACTGGATAATGGGATCGCTAAAGGTCCACCACGACCTAACGTAGGTGATGGGAGAACAGATCCTGCTGATGGTGGGAACGAGTCAAACGCTGCTACGTCAAAGAAGAGTAGTAAAGCTGGAGATGGTTTAAAGTTGGAGGGTGTGAGTAAACCTCCTGCTGGTGAAGGGCCGAAATCACCGACTATAAAGAAACTTCCACAAGCTGCTGTATCCAGTGGTAGTCCAACCAGGGAAAACAACCCATCACCAACCAGAATACCAAGTAAACCGTTGCCTGGTAAATCACCAAAGTCATAATAGTGTGATAGTGTTGTATTAGTGCTATAAAGAGACAGTCTTAATTTATCGATGGTGATTTATTAACACGTGGGTAAAAAACAACAGTATGCTCAATAACAATATGTTCCATGACATCTCAAACACGACACATCTGTCCTGCTTGTAAATTCTACTAGCGTCCATGTGATGAAGGTGCCTAAAATGATACTTTGGTAGGCTCAACTTTAATAGTTCATTCTTGGACGACTAGCAAGCCTCTCGTCATATTGTTGAACACCACCCAACCCCAGCAGCTGAGTAGCCATCCTCCATCTAGCGCGTATACGTTCCAGTATCTCTTTCCATTCAGCATCGGGTGTATTCTCAGTTGGGAATGCATCACATAATTCTACAATGCCTTGTAGTACTTTTGTCAACCTGTAACAAGAAGCACACGTCAGACCCGTGGGCAACTTGACGATCAAACAATTCGGGTACCTCTTTGGATAAGAATCAGGCCTCCTATCAATCAGATGAATCCAAAGTGTTGCACCAGATTTATAAAATCCAACTTCACGACCCATTTCAAATCCTTGTTCGAGGCCTGCGACGCGGCCTTCGTGCTGGCCGTCCTTGATGCCGTCCTGGATGCCATCGTCACGACCCAGTTCTTCAAACCTACAGAGGGTATCCAAGGAATACAATGTCCATTTTTTTTGTTCTCGTTAAGCTTTATCAATTACAGTACTTACATGTCTTCTAAATGGACTAGATCATCTATTTGGAAGGCTTGCTTGCGATCGTCTGCAGCACCGTCTGAGCTGGTTGCCTCTGTCATGACCTACTGGACGCTCTTTGTTTTGGTGTTTTGAGACATGGAAACTCTTCAAGGTTCAACGAACGGCTTCTAATTTCGCGTCCTATAGATGATGAATGTAATCAACATCGATTCTACACTCTTGAAAACGCGTCTGTCCCGCCAACGACTCCATACTAAATACATCTTTCAACAAACCAAACCAAATATACGCTGGAAGGATGATGGGGATGAAGGAGGAAGAGTCTGCGATAAATGCAGCACTGAACAACTTGAACATGTCGGAGATTACCGACAAACTAGCTGACAAAGCCAAGGAACTATACAGAAAGGCTACTCACGTTGCATTCAAGTCAAAGAACTCGAGTGCTCTGGAATATCTATGTTTACATGCTATTTGTCTACAGTATGTATCAGACATTTTCATGAGTGCAACGCATACATATTGTATCATGCATCTTAACCATCTACACGTACACACCAGATCAACAATCCCATTCGACGTAAAGATGGCAAAAGCGAAATCTGGTCTAGCTTCCAAATATGAGCAGACTTTTGTCAACCTTTGCAGACAACTGAATATCGATTACTGTCCTCCTATCTCTGCAGCGTTAGTGAAATATGGATGTCAGACTGGCGCTTCGCAAGCCATCGAGGAGTTACTTGAATTAGTGGAAAGGAGGAATGCTGGAGGTGTTGATAGAGGTGTTGAAATGGCTGCTGTCTTCTTGGCTGCTCTTGAAGCTTGTGGTGTATGTTATTGTAAAGTACTTCGCAATTGAACTCTACACTCACTTTGTGATGTTTTCTTAGGAAAATCCAAGCTCGAAGCTAAAGAGCAATATTTGTAAAGACTACTTTTGCCAAGTCCATGTAGTGGAGGCACGTATACTATGGATCAAGACGACATTTGGCACATTCTTGGCTGAAACGAAGCGAGAACATAACGTGGCAGATGATAACGATGAGGAAGTTGTCGTAGTTGAAATGGGAAGAGCACCAGTCATTGATACCACATCCGAATCCACAAAGCCTGTAACTAGAGGAAAGTCAAGTACTAGGAGCGCTACAAAGAATACTCCCGCTACTACATCACGTAAACGAACACGTAAAGCAGCAAATGATGATGATAGTGATGGAGGTGATGATAATGACACAGAAGAACCACGTACTCCACCCAAAAAACGTGTGAAGACCGCCAAATCAACTGATACTGTCATAGTTGTGCGTGATGAACCCGAAGCTGCTACTCCAACCAATCGCAAGAAAACAGAGAGGAAGGCTAAAGCAACTCCTAAATCAGCTGCTCAAGTCAAGACTGTGAAGAGGAAGAAGGTGGAATTGCCCTCATATTGTGGTTGGCACTCATTTGTAAGTCCATGGTTACCCTTATTGATTTCTAGATTTTCACAAATATCAAATGCTATATCGTAGGTTGATGATGATCATCGCCCACTGTATGAAACGAAACAATGGGCTGACTATGAGGCATGGAAGATTCAAATTGTGAAACAGATTGCTTTGCATAAGGCTGAAGTACATTTAGAGCAAGCTGAAAAAGGCGGTGATGATGAAGAAATAACGTTGGCGATATGGGCTGTTGGACAAGCTAAACTGGAGTTGAAGGCATAATCCTCATTGAACATTTTGGACATTTGCTTGTATATCTCTAAAGATCATACGGACTATGATTGTAAATTGTAAAAATGAATGGTTGGAAAGCTGAGTATTTGATGGTTGTATTGATTGCGCTGAATGTTTGCGAAGCAGCAACACCAAATCATGGATATAGGGACTTTGGATCCTTTGGACCCATACGATTTCCTACCTGTTCCCTTGCCACTACCACTAGAGATTATTTCCGCTATTGCATCATCAAATGTCGCAGAGCTTGTCTCAAGAGTCACTTTGAAGAACGATTGGCTTGCCGAGGATGTTTTGAGGGTGTTTAGTGTACGAATGCTAGATGCTCATGAAGTAAGACTGTGATCTACATGAAATTCATTGTTGTTGGAGGTTCTCATTTCCTTCTATTGTATAGAGAACGCACTGCGTCACCGAACATTGGCTTCCTAAAGCACTTGACGCGGCAAGAGGACTTGATGCGTCGTTTAAACGGACTGGAACACGGTCAGGAGCTCTTCATGGAGTGCCAATTGCCATAGAGGAGGTAAACAACGTCTTGTCAAAGACCTCTGCTTCAAACCTCGGCTCCAATTTCCTGATTTGTTAGAATGTGGAGTACAAGGACACTGATTCCACCATGGGCTTTGATAATCTGGAATCTCACCAACCTGCCAGATCTCATGCTTATGTAGCCCGGATTCTGGAGGAATTGGGTGCTGTTACATCTTGCAAGACTAATGTTGGACACGGTTTTATGTCGCTCGAGACTCAGAATCCTGTGTATGGAGCTACTACGCACCCAGATGATGCGAGGATGAGTAGTGGTGGTAGTTGCGGGTATGTTTGCAAAGGTTGGGTACCGTGTTTTAACGTACCTCACTGACTCGCATTTCAACACAACAGAGGCATGGCAGCTCTCATCGCATCAAGAGGTGCTCCTATAGGCTTCGCAATGGATCTGAATGGCTCTATTTCAATGCCTGCATCGTTTTGTGGTGTGTATAGTCTGCGACCATCAAGTGGCCGATTGCCCACTGTCGGAATACGACAGCCTATACCTGGCATTATACCCAAAGCCTCTCTAGGATGCATGTCCAATAGCATTGAATCTATACGATACACCATGAAGGCCGTCATCCAGCGTTTGGAAACCTTGCCTTCATATGATTGTTATGATCCAAGCTTTGTACCGATACCGTGGAAATCTAGTCATGAACAGCTGCCAAAGAAACTCACGTTTGGGTTTTATTTGTCTGATGGGTTTGTGAAGGCAAGCCCACCATGTAGCAGAGCGGTGCTAGAGATTGTGGATTCGTTACGACGACAAGGACACAGTGTCGTTGAATTCAAGGTTCCAAACGTGTTGGAGGCTGTACATATCTACTACCAACTACTCGCGTTACGTATTCATTGCGAGTTCAATCTCTCTAATGTATTGACTCAACCTTTTTCCCAATAGTGCGGACGGGTTTAAATCAGTTTCAGGTACACTATTTTAGACATGATCCTGTTTGATCTGCCTATGAGCTCATACTATTCGGATTACCAGCTCTGAACGGTGGACAACCTCTGGATCCAACAATCTCATCACTCATATCCTTTGCCAAAATCCCCAACTTTGTCAAATCACTCATGGCATGGTACTTGCTCAATATACGGAAGCAACAAGGCTTCGCATCGCTATTCACTGCAATGATGAGCATCAACGTCACAGAGCTATGGAAGGTTCATGGGCGTCTACTGGAATATCAACAAAGCTTTGGGGAGGCCATGCAGAGAAGTAAACTCGATGCCATTATAGCACCGACGCATGTCTTGCCCGGTTTTCTTCTTGGAAGCTCGTCGAAACTTTCGTTTGCTGGATTCTACTCTGCGTAAGTTCACGTGTAAGGCTTCTTTATTTAAGGGCAAAAAAGGAGAAATTCGAATTAAGGATCGCACGAACAATTCAAGCAAGCTGACACGACCTCTCTCAGATTATATTCTCTATTAGATTTCACTGTCGGAGACGTACCAGTAACTCGAGTAAGATCGTCTTTGGACGTGATCTCACACGGAAATGAGCAACACAATATGCTTGAGCAGCTTGCACTCAAGCACTATCTACCTAACGCGTTTGATCAGCTGCCCGTGGGTGCACAGATCGCTACAGGTCGATATCAGGAAGAGAAGACATTAGCTGTGATGGAGGTTGTACGTGATGCTCTAGCTAATAATAATGACCACGTGTATATAAAAGTAACATAGCCGCATAAAGAATTCAACAGTTTGAATGTAACGCGTAAGGCCTTTCTTGCTTACTCACACTACCAAACGCCTTGCCTGCAACCTTTGGTGACAAGACAAGGACCAAGATGGTAAGGGACACCGTATGCATACAGAGCGTTCATATTCACAAGTATTAACAGGTTTTTCTCCTCCTAGATCCGCTTCATCCTAGTCCAAAACCGACAAGGCAAGACACGACTCTCAAAGTGGTATATGCCATTCGAGGACGACGAGAAGCTGAAACTGAAAGCCGAAGTCCATAAATTAATTGCTGCTAGGGATCAGAAACATCAGTCTAATTTCGTTGAGGTTTGTCCCCTTTATCAATCTTTACCGTGGCATCTAAAGATTCGAAAAATTGAAACATCCCTTTCTTTTGATAGTTCAGGAATTACAAGATCGTGTATAGGAGATACGCAGGACTCTTCTTTTGCTTTTGCGTTGATACGAATGATAACGAGTTGGCGTATTTGGAGGCCATTCATTTCTTTGTTGAAGTGCTGGATTCATTCTTTAAGAATGTTTGTGAATTGGATCTAGTGTTTAATTTCTACAAGGTATTTGCAGTTATGGAAAGATGTTTGCTGCTGAATATCTGAACTTACGCTTGTCTTCCATATTCGAGGTGTATGCAATTCTCGATGAAGTGTTTCTAGCTGGTGAAATACAAGAGACAAAGTAAGGTTATCAACCATCTGCAGTTGAAGGATTTTTTCCCGCTCATTAAACACAGTTTCTGATTCTCTTCACCTCTAGCAAAACTCTGATACTGAATCGACTGGACTTTCTCGACAAACTTGAATAAATAACAAGCACACACACTTTGTCCATATCCTCGTCTGTATTATAATGAGCACTATCACCCACATTCACACACACCTCGTCTCCCCCTTCTACATACAAATCTTTCCACCATTTATAATGACTATTTTCCATGTAATTATATCTCTAAAAGAGGTCTTGTGTGAGAACGTGTCGTCGTCGTCCCAGTATTTCTTCTCCGCTAACTTCATTCAAGTTTCGATACGAAGGAGGTCGTCGTAACCCAGTGCTGCTCGTACTTCCAGGATATCGACCATTGGACAAATTGCCATTACTGTTAGATAGATTACCATTACTACTAGTCGATCCTAGATAATTATAGGAATCAGCAGCCAAATGGACTCGACGGTTCAAGTGCCCATTGGAATGTCCATAACCATTCGACAGTCCATTCAAAGAGGTTCGTGTTGTTGCTAATATGGATGTCGGAGTATTTCCAGGAGATCCATGTTGAGCTGGTATGGTATTATAAAAGCCTACATTATGCTCGTGGGGTTGCTCTCGTGTTTGCATGGCGTTAATCACGGTACGTGTCATTTCTCGTTCGATATCGGATGGTAGAGTCGACTCTAGTGTCTCGTCAGTAAATATCTCATCAAACCATCGTCCAGTCAATCTCACAGCCTGTGCAGCTTCAGGTAGTATAGCACCCATTTGGAAGATACCATGAGACATACCGGCCAATATTTTGAAGCGGACAGAGTTATTCGAATTACGAGAGAATGGGTGTTTGGCGTAATCTTCATCTAGTATATCAGGTACTTCACTAATTGCTGGTGAATTAGCGAATGATGGTGGCGTGTATGGCCCATTTGATGACTGGGAGACCGGCGGTAATGACGTATCTATAAATGGAGGCATGACAGATTTATGATCACCATTTAAGATATCAGACCCGTTATCATTGCCACTGTTCGATTCGGAGTCGTCCGAATCATCTATACCAGCTTCACTGTACTCTTTACCACCATTGCCACCAAACAACCATGTCCTAGCATTATTTATCGGTTTCAGTAGCCTAGCATCTATTTCATCGTGTATTCCAGATGGAATATTGGAGGCAATCACACTAGGAATCAATGCAGTCAAAATGGCTCCTTGTGTTTTACCAGGGGATATGGCTTGTGGTGATTGTTGTCTTGGAACTAGTGCCCCATTCGTTCCATTCAGTCTGGTCATGGATTGCAACTGTTCGTTATCTGCTGCTTGTTGCCATGCCATGGTAGCTTCAGCTCGCGCTCTATGGTTACGATCTCGAGCTCGACGCAATTCACGTTGAGCTCGTAGCTTGCTATCCCTTAGACGACTGGCAAAAACAACCGTATCATCTACAAATGGATCCTTTTCACCACAAATCAAATAACATTGTGGGAATTGAGCGAGCAAGTCTTCTGGAGCTACTACAGGACTCAAATAGTAGTCTTCTTGGAAGTTTGGTGGTGATGGTGATGTGCCCAGATACAATAATGCCATTGCTCGAATCACTAGAGTATGAGAACTAGATGATTAGTACCAATTGACGGAACTCACACGAACCCCCCAACAAACACAAGAATGGAAGTTCCATACCTTCAGGTGCAATAATACGATCTGTAAAATACGACATTCGACTAGTCATTGATAAGGCGGATGGAATATGGATTCCCTTTTTAGGCTCATCGTCAGCCTTCCATCGATACCATGAAGGAGTACGATCCACTTTATCAGTCAAAATATCAATTTTACGGGGAGCACTGGGTACAGCTAGAGGAGATTCTCTTGCCAAGTGGTTTTTGGCTGAGGCCAGATCGACTAGTGACTTGCTCGATTCAGCTCGAATCATACGAAGTTGATCTGGCTGCATCCAGCATGCCATATCGAATGATAGACATGGGTATATGAGGACGACTCCACGTGGAGGTGGATAGTCTGGATCAGACAAGTCCAATAATTTCAGGATAACACCTGTTGCGAGATTTCCTCCACTACAAAGAATATACATCAAAACCAAAAAAAAAAAACCATATCGAACGGTATCGGAATCACTCACGCGGAGTCTCCAGCCATTACAATTCTAATGGGATGTCTCCTTCGAATACTTCCATCTTCACTCTCGACTTCCCAACCAGCCATACCCAAACAAGCTCCATTCGTTTCAATGACAGTCTTGTAAGCATCAAATAGCTCTTCAAGAGCCCATGGATATGGAAACTCTGGTGCCTTGCCATAGTTTATTGCAATGATGGGTCGATTTGTTTGTTTGGCCCATTGACTAACATGATTGTCATGACAGGTTGGAGGCATGCACTAAGTTGAAGAAGGGCAGGTAAATGACTTGCTTTATATAGAATGAAAGATGTTAAAAGACCAGGACGCCAAATTCATGATAATTGATAACTTACAACAAAGCCGCCACCTGGAACCAGAAAAACGAGATCTTCACACTCCTTCAACTGTGCAGGAGTTCCAGCATAAAACACTCTAGCAGAAATAGCAGGCAATGGTACATTTGGAAACGACGATTGAGAAACTTTGGCAGGTCGCTCAATCGTTATATCCTTTCGTATTCCAAGCGATGGGCGTTCTGGCCAAGTAGCCATTCGAATGATAGGATTATCTGTTTTTTCCCATGACATTCGCATCATTTCCACTGTTGCCATGGATCTGTACTTGCGAAGCTAGAACCACAAAAAAAAGTCCTATCAATGTCTGATGATATGTTGACAACATGTTTGACGTTGCTTTACCTTGTTATCAGCAGCTTCAGCGTTGAACAGATAGATGAGAGAGAAGACGACAGATAGAAGATCACGTAATGGTTTCGGTCTGATGTTCATAGCAGTCAAAAAGCCAGCATCAAGTGCTGTGTTGATCCACGTTGCCCTGTAAAAGCTTCGCGTGTACTAGTGACAAGCGTGTGAGAATTAAGATCTAGTTGAGAGTCCATATTGATTTCATGAATTACCATTCGAGCTAATGGTTCAGGACCTGTAGAGAGTTGAATGAGTGTCAAAACATAACAGATGCATTTAGAGGCTTTTTTGGCTGGTTTCATACCTTGCAGAAAGAGAAACAGCAAAATATGCTTCATGAAAAAGCCCAACGTCATGGTTCCAAATACGAGTTTCCAAGCAGGAATGCGTTCTATGTTTCCAGTTATGCGTCAAAAAATTCGAAATTTGCGGAATTTGATGCAAAATGATTTCCAGACAGACCTAGCCTCGAATTCAGTCCATGGAGCCATTGAACAGGAGGCTGGGCTCCACCACGTCTCAATACAGCAATGCTATTAGAAAGGAAACGAGAATCAAGTCAGACATTGTACAAGACATGCTAAATATTCAAAATTTCGCAAGAAATGAATTTTCACGTGTTCTTCCTAAAAGCGCTTGCCAGGCTTGAAGTACTTACGCGAGAAGAGTCAACATTATGGCTTCTGTCCGCCTCCATCCTGCAGATGGTCTTCCCAGTATATGATCGATCATTGAGTGTGATTTTGGCTTGTGAGTAAAGAGGGGATGGAGTTTGCCACGTGGAACAGCTTGTAACCAACATTCGCGATGAGTTCATGCTAATTTACATGTATTTACGCGAAATAATACCCTGAAGAAATAACAACAAGCGTGTAAAACATGCAGACATAAGTCATCAACGACGTCTAAAGGATTCAAAACGTCAAGAATTTGCAAGAAAAAATGTCAATAGAACACCAAAAATACCACATATATACCTATCACGATTCCTTTCACGATCACGACCACTGTCACGTTCTCTCGACCTTGATCGTGATCGAGATCTCGAACGATGGCGGTGCTTTTTGGTCTTCTCGGTCGAGCGATACTTCCTGTCACGATTAGGTGAATTCGATCGTTTTCTGCTCCTGGATCTAGATCTAGTTCGGGAGCGACGTCTCCTCACTGGCGACGGTGAACGTCGACGGACCTCTCGTTCTTCAAAGATCGGCGACCTTTGCTTTGAAACTAGAGGTGATGGAGAGCGAGAGAGCCTTCTCCTGCGTGGTGATGGAGAGGGAGAGCGTTTTTTACTACGGGGTGACGAAGACCTCCTTCTACTACGTGGTGAAAGGGATCGCCGTCCAGCATCCTTTCGAAAAGGAGGAGAGCGATGTCTCTCGTTCTCTTCCGTCTTTCTGTCTCGTCCCGTCACATCCAAATGCCAAGAATTTACAGCTGAGGCTGATGGTACAGAACGAATGGGTTGATTGTATATTCTAAAGCAGGTGGAAAAGTAAACACTTGTTGCGAAAAAGGATCATAGATCAACATACCCTAATGAAAACCCAGCATCACGTTCAATTTGAGATTCTTGCTGCTTTTGAACTTCCTTGATGTGCTTCTTGACTTCATCTCGTCGACCTAACGGAAAACTGTCAGCCAGACATTCCTTTGAGATTAACAATGCCCACGACGGAAATAGTTTGATGCCGACTTTCTGCGGTTAGAGCCAATCTTGATCTCTCCTTCAAACGTTCTAAAGCCGTCATTTTCTTTACAGGTGCTGCTAGAGTTGGTGCTGGAGGTAATATCGGAGTTCTAAAGAGGCAAGATTCATGAGACAACAAATTCAATTGGAGTTATACATGCTATACAGACCAGACCTTGGCAGTGGGTTGGGACGATCGTCCTCGTCGTCCAAAAATCCTGGCTGAGAATCAGCCAGTTCCGTAGTTCTCACAGACAGTTCAGTAATAAATTCAGCTTCTCCATCATCAGCTTCAGAATCAGACTCATCAGATTCGTCTTTTTCTTCAATGTCGACTCCCCTGAACGACATAAAGCTGAGAAAAGCTGTGATGTAAATAGCAGAATGTTTGAACTCACTTGAGATCAGACGAACCACGTCTATTTAGTCTCCTTTTAGATGGACCCTCAGCTCTCTTCTTCTTCGTCTTCCTTCTACTCTGTCCCCTTTCTTCCTCTAATGCATCTTCCCTCGCGATGGCATCGTCGGCTTCCTCTTTAGCCCTGTTCAGCTTTGATATTATATTACGAATGCCATAATCTAAAGCAGAAGCGTTCAGTGCTTCAACTTGATCGTCTGTCATGATGGCCATGAATTGATAAACTTCGTCTTCATCCAAAATATCACCGGGGAGTGGTGGTTCATCTGCATCAATCAGTCGAGAGGATCGTTTCTTCTTCATCAGCTTTTCATTCCATACAGAGTCCAAATGAGACAAGAAAGCTTCATCGTCGACTAGAGGAGGAACGTGTGAGAACCGCGTGTGTTTTCCCAATAAAGGCGACAGACAGTACCTTCGGCTCGTTTCAATTCAATGACGTCACGGTAGCGCTCGAATTGTATTAAATCTTGATCTACATCCGTGTCGGCTGCAGCATTTGGAATATCAGGTGGAATAAAGTCCAAGCTTGCTCTACAATCGAATCTGTCGATTCTGGTGTCACCATCGCCTGGCCATAGCATGAGATTTGATTCCTTTTCATGATAGTAGTATTGGTCACCCTGTCGACAAGGAAATGCGCCAGATGTCAGAACAAGCCTTCAGGTCGAGTGCTTGTATCGAGATGCTGTTGGAATGACGCTTACGTCAGGATGGATGGGCACAGCAGTACCAGTCAATCTGAGAGATTGAGAAGGATCAGCGAGCTGAGAATTCAACCATTCTCTCTTCTTCTTAATCGAATCCTTGATTTGAAGGCCTCGTTTGTGCAATTCCTTTTCAAATTTGCGCTGCAGTTGGAATGTGTCCATGAATGGGATTAGTTGCGACATGAGAGTCTATCGTCTGATGAATTCCAGGAAATGAGCTTACAGTTTGTAGCCACGCCATGGCCTAGTAGCACATGGGAAGTTTAATGTCAGTCTGGTTTTGCAAAGGGCTCATACAAGAATGATGAAAAAGGACAGAATGCGATAGATTTCATATCAAGATATTGAAAGCCACGAAATGCAGCTTCAAGCAAGACTTACCTTTTACAACAAGATCCAATTGTCCAAAAGAAAACAAAATGAGGTAGCGAGAAAGTGGCGAGATGATGGCTGCCACGTGAATCAGTATGTCCAAGTGCTAGTAATGGAGTTAATATTTAAGATCTTCCCTTTCCTGTGTCGTGAATTCGCACAGCCTTTGCCTGAGCTGTACTTTGTTCTCAAAACATTCAATAGTTGCAAATAATTGCAGGCCTCATCGGAAACAACGCAGAGGAAGAGGAATAATAAGTAATACGTACTTGTCGCGCTAGTGAGCTTGATACTCTGGATATTTATCTTTGAACAATGTTTACTCCGGGAGGAGGTAATAAATTATTTGGCAATCTCAAGCATCATCCAAGTTCAACCGCTCATTCATATTCATCAAAAATAGGATTCGGTGCTGCTCCAGGTGGGGAATGTCGCGGATTGGAATTATTAGTTTGGCCCGAGTTCCCTTCAATTCAAAGGCATCAGATAATTAAACTGTTACTACATTTCTGACTAGCCACCCCGTTTGGTCAGCAAGCACAGCAGCAACCTCAAACTCCATTTGGCCAGCCAACTCCAATGACTCCTTCTATATTTGGTACTCAGCAACCAGCTGCACCTCAATTCGGCCAACCTCAACAGGTATGAAATATTTCAGTCTACCATCATGTGGCCCAGTATCCGAATGTAGCAATGCTGGAGGATCGAGTAGCCATTCCTCGGAGCTGACTTGTTTCGAGCAGTTTCTACGCATTACGAGTCCTTTAAATCGTTACTTTTGTCACAGCAGCAGCAGATGGGATCATTCGCAACAACACCAGCTCAGGCGCCACCTACTTCTTTATTTGGTACCGCGCCTACTAGTGCTGCCCCTCAGTCTTCTCTTTTTGGTGCCCCTGGTACCCAACCTCAACAACAGCAGCAGACAAACTTATTTGGTGCTGCTCAACAACCTCAGCAACAACAGCAACAGACCAATTTATTCGGTGCTCCTCAGCAACCTCAACAACAGCAACAGACAAACTTATTTGGCGCTCCTGCGCAACAGCAACAACAGCCATCATCCTCATTATTTGGAACACCAGCTGTAGTAGCTTCTGCACCTGGTTCATCCTTATTTCCACAACCCGCGGCTCCCGCAACATCGTCCCTATTTGGTGGTCAACAGCCTGCAGCTCCTCAAGCAGGCGGATTGTTTGGTCCTGCAACAATTCAAGCACCTCCGTAAGTTTCTGAATTCTAGGACATATCATTTGACAGAGGCTGATTATTGATTTTGCAATGTTGCGTAGGCCTGCCCAAGCAGGAGCTCCAAATCCTTTGGATGCGTCCAAAATCAAAGATTCAAAGTATCAGGAATTGCCAGAAGAGTATAGGAAATTCATTGATGAGCTTGAGTAAGTGACGTGTTGCTGTTGTTGCTGATAAGGTGACTTCCACTTTATCTGATTTTATTGGTACTTAGTGCGCATATCAGAAAACAAGTGCACTTGGCAAACGATGTCAGCGTAATGGCTGCAAACAGCTCTGACGAAGTGAAACGATCTGAAAGCCAAATCAAGGAGTTAAACAAGGTAAGCACAAAAAGATATACTGGGAACATGAATATCGCTAATCATCTCACACCATTTCAAGCGGGTGTCATCTGCCAAACAGCTGCTTGCAAGAGATTCCTATCTGACTGATGAGCTAAGAGAAGATGTTCGGAAAGCATTGAGGAATGGCGAAATGGTGATGCGATTTGTGGATCGTGCAAGACCACCAAACCAACCTGTATATTTGCCTACTGAGGCTGAAGCTGCCCGAAGGTAAAGTATTGATGTGCGTTGTCCATCTTTTGGAAATGGCGAAATAGGTATCCAGTTTCCCTAATCGTTGATAATCAAATCAGATACTTTGAATCTTTGGCAATTGGTTTGGAAGTCAAGTTGCAAACGTGTTTGCAAGCCCTTGAAGAATTGGAACAAGTAGTGCCATCAAGTATGCAGAGATCTACTATGAGTATACAAGGTAAGTGTATGTGATATTCCTCTCCTCGATCTCGACGAATCTGACCGAAATCTCTTCCAAAAGACATGGTGGACACATTGGAAAGTCAGCATGATGTATTCATGGGTATAGCAGCGCAAGCAGCGTCTATACATGAGACCATTGAAAGACATTGGGAGGAGGTAATTACAGTAGTCTCGATCTGGTTCATCATCCAAGTAGATCTCATATATCTTTCACACAGTATCGCAACTTCAAAAGAAATTACCTGAACAGTGATGTTTCAAGCCGAAGGATATCTTCAAAGCCCTCAAATGGTGGTGATCAAGGTTCTCTCGCTGCTTCAATGCTTCGACCTGCTTCCGTCAATGCTGCCAATGCTCTCGCCGCTTCAGGTCAACAACAACAGCAACAGCAACTACTACAGCAGCAAGCAACATCACAATCCCAACAAGTTCCTCAAATGCAGACTTTCTTTGGTAACTTTTGATACTTTGAGCTTTTGGATTGTGTTGATGAGAATCATCTGACTCCAAACAATAGGTGCTGCACCCGTGACAGCTGCTAAAAAGACAACAAGGAAGACAACGAGAAGTTGATTGTATGTAAATATAAAAGCTAGTACAGTTAGAATAGAACGTGCTCAAGGTAACTTGATGAAAGTGCTTCTCGTTGGTCGGTACCCGATTTTCGTAGAAGATCAGTACGAAAAAGTGATTATATACTTGAAACAACCTTTCTGAGCGCGGCGCATACAAACGGGCGTACTTGAGTATGTTTTGGAGCTTGTTTTCAAAAATTGGACAGACGCGCTTCGCTTCAAAAGAACCCAACCTTTCGCCAGTGAACGAGATCATGCTCAGAGGAGAGCGAGTGAGTGTGGGAGGATATCAGATCACATCGGATGTTGTAGGAGAAGGCTCATATGGCCGGTGAGTGATCAAGATCAAGTTTGTCAGACATTTCGACCTTGCTTTACTACCTTGATTTCCGTCCTTCTTGCAGGACAATTACATCGTTTACAGTTACAATACGTAATTTTATTATGTGCATATCTCATATTTCACTAGTGTACATATCGGACTCAAGCCATCGACTGGAGAAAAGGTTGCCATCAAGATGATTCCTAAACAGCACGGAACAAACGCAATGTTGCCATACAAAAAGGAGGCCGTCTTGCATAAAAGAATTCCCGCTCATCCAAACATTATTCATATGACCGGGTATGAAGAAGACACAGAATGCATGTACATTATCTTGGAGTACGCTGGTTCTGGGGAGCTGTTTGATCGCATAGGTGGGCTTTGGTAACATATTGGCTTGCCGTTTGAAGCGAAGGATAATCGAGATTCTAATCCTGGCTGACTTTTTTCAGCTCCTGATGTCGGATTAGAAGAAAAACTGGCACATTTTTACTTTGTTCAACTGGTCGCTGGAATGGTAACATCTTGGTACTGCTCGCATGACAACCAAAGCACATCCAAAATGTTTGGCTTGTACTAGGAACATCTGCATGCTAATGGTGTCTCGCATCGAGATCTTAAACCTGAGGCATGTGTCACTGTTTGGTATTTTTACTTTTTTTCAGCTCACACTCTATTCAAACGGACTAGAACTTGCTGCTTGATGATGACGGTACTATGAGCTTACCAAGAGTACATGTCCTCGAGTTTTCATAACTGATTTTTGAAACTATCACACCAGGAAATCTGAAAATATCAGATTTTGGTTTGGCCACCATATTTTACGCCAATGGAAATCGGAGAACACTGAATACACCCTGTGGAACACCACCCTACGTTGCTCCAGAGGTGAGTGCCAGAAAGTAAAATCAAAATTGTTAACATTTAAACTCATATGATTCATATGAGTCAGATACATTCTGGCAGCTACCAGGGCGATGAAGTGGATATATGGTCGGCTGGCATCATATTGTATACACTTCTTGCTGGCAGTATGTCACAGTGCTACTGTATTAGTCGCATTTGTCTCGTTTGTTTTTTGTTTTGCCCAACTGACCATCCATCCATATAAGACACACCATGGGCAGAACCAACAGCACATGATCCTGAATTCATGTACTTTTGTGAGAGCTATCCCGAGCTAGATTACCCTCCTTGGAACCAGCTTCCAGAGGGACCATTAGGTGATTTGCACATATCAAGATATCAACCATCATTAAAGAACGTTCATTTTGACTCTTTACCCACTTCTCTAGAATTGCTTCGAGGAATCTTGAATACGGATACGACGAAGCGTTTCACCGTTGATCAGATTCAGAAGAATCGATGGTTTGCAATGTATGCTCGAGAGTTATTATTGTATGTTTGAAGCCGAGGATTTTCTTCTCATGTCCTTTTTTGCAGACCGAACGATATGCTCACAGATGGTAGTCCATTCCATATGCTCAATTAGGTTGATTTCTTTTTGCTGACAGTTCTCTCCATTAGGAAAATGCAACAATCCTATGGCAATAGCTGAATCTATGATGGTCACTTTAACCCAATCTGGAGATTACACAATGCATGATCTGTCTCCCCAGTAAGCTCTCGGATACTGAAATTGCACTGATTTATCACCTACGTCCTTTACCTTACTTTCTTGCCTTAGATTTTCATATACTCAACCAGAGGCGTTTCAACCTGCTGAAAACACGAGTATGGACATAGAACCGATGACGAAGCGTTCTATGTTTTCATTCTCGCAACCTGCTGTCGGTCGTATTGTGATTGATAATTCACCAACGAATGATTATGGGCAGGAAACTCTGGTGAGGAATTCTTTCATTGCCTTTCTGCTCTTAGTCTCCTGAAGCTATAGCCGAAACTTTCCACTTTGTCACACTAGTCACAATTCAAGCGACAATTCAAAGAAGCACTGCCAACTGATCGGCTGACTCGTTTCTACACGGAGGTGGAAGCCAACGCGTTCATGACGCACTTGTCTTCTCTTCTTGCGTCATTCTTGGTACCTCACAAGATTTATCCTATGACGGTGAGAAATTATCCTTTGGTTCACACTGCTGTCTTTAAGGCCAATATTGACACACCAACACCTTCATTTATAGTTGGTGTTTACAACAGTAGACAAGCGAAAGTGTCCATTGAATGGGGTGGTTGAAATTCAACCAATGTCTTCTAGTCTGAATCTTGTCGTTATTCGAAAATCCAAGGTGCGGGTTCTATGCCATTTGTTGGAAATGCCCAATGTTTTTGCTCACTAGATCTTGCAATCCCAACAGGGAGATTCAATAGAGTTCAAGCGATTCTTTAAGAGTTTGATGGAACACCTAAAGCCTCTTGTTGTTGCGGACAATCAACACTAAACACCTAAGTCTGCTTATATGTGGAGTTGTTTATTCGGCGTATAAGCGCCAGCGAATGTATATACAAAACATTTTCACACCGTATTGCTACCTGCTAGTGGTGTTTTGGAAATTGGCACATCAGTCGTGGTTGTCTCAATCTGATTTACTATGGGTTTTTGAGTGTCAACCAAGCTACTCGAGACAGAATTATTATGGTAGCGGTGGTTCATGCCAAGTCAAATACGGAGCTTGAATTTCCTAGACAGGCTCGATTCAAGCAATTCCTTTTTTGAAGGAATAGTTTCAACCATGACGGTGGGCAATTCAGCGACGACTTCTCAGTGGATTGGTTGTAGTTAGACTACGGTTTGGACCTAGTTGATATGCATGTGATCGTACAAAGGTTCATAAAGTTACATTGCGGCAAATGTACACTTTGGACGAAGAAAAACGGTGATCTGAAAGTTGATGGAAAGTGACGGGGCTAGCAGCATCAGATTACTTGAGGATTGGTATTGTGATCATCCTCCTTCTAGGCCAGTGTGTTGTCCCTGAGCAGCCAACGACACAATCCCGATTCCAACTTAGACGGCCAGCGGTCCCAGTGCCATGTTTTAGTTGGCCAACCACATAGACTACTTAATGCATTGCAAAGTTTGTATATGGGCTTCTATTCACACTTGCATTATATGGGGAATGGAACATTGGAAAACAGAATTGGCCATGCACTATGAGCGAGAAGTGAAATTTAAACAGCTGGACTCCCCTTTCTCCTCGCCCGTTTCTTGCATTCGTTGAAATAACGCTCAACCTTTCGTAGTACATTTGTCCAGTCATCAGATGCGCCAGCAGATGCAACAAGTTTAAGTAGATGCAAGTCCCAAACGCCCACGGAGACATGAACTTTGTTTGCGTCGCGTTTGGACTGTTTGGAAGCATTGGTAATCCGTTGCTTCGGACTATGGTTTTTCTTTAGCGAGGGAATTCCAAACCACCATCAACAGGCGATTTATGAATCATATACTGTAGTATTTGGATTGCCAGTTGGATATACTGTAGTATTTTTATCGTTAAATTATTGAGATCCTTGCGTAGGAGCTTATAGACATCAACTCATCTGTCATCTGGCTAGACATGGTGCAGGTAGCAGGCGGGTTGGAGATCATCGCAAATTGCAGTATACTTCTTGTTTGGATATCAAGCACAGTGCAGTTTGACCAGAAGGCTATAACTATTTACGGCACGCCGCCAGGAAAGCCAATTACGGTGCCTGCTACATTTATTTCCAACAATAATAATGCACAGATTCTCTACTTTGGTAAACAGCAATGTGCTGATATGACGTTTCATTAAAACGCAATCATGCTAATTTAAGCTTTTATTAGCCGTATATCAGGTCGATCCATCCTTTCAAGAGTATGTTTTAGGATACGATATCGGTGGAAGACATGGGCTTTATCCAAAGTCTGGAGCTTTGACCTTGAGCTCATCATGCTCTTCTGCACGTGCAAGTGGTACGTATCGATCATGATGCCGGGGGTTTCTGTGTTTCTTCCTCAACTTATCAACATTGATTGTTGACGCATGTCCTTTAGCTGCCGATGCAGTAGACATGTTGGGTGTGGCAAGTGATATATCAATCACAATAGCCTATATCTGGATCCCGATGGAGCTCTTGTACTTCTCAATTCGAGCAAACGAATTGTGAGTGTGTTCGCGATGTGTTAGGTATAATAATGCATGCTCAAAACTGAAACACTCTCAACTTTTTTTTAGCCCATATCCGCATATAACCTCACTATTCATATTATTCATATTTATGTGCGGACTGACACACTTCATTAATGCTTGGATGATCTGGCCACTTTCTCTTCACTGGATTTCAAGTAAACATTGATGTCAATGTCTTTTAAGCAGTTTCTTCGGATGGCTGAGAGAAGTCAACATTTTACTGAATTTTTTTTTTGTTTCTTGTTTTAGCTGGATTAAAGCTGGTCACTGCTGTCATCAGTTGCTACACCGCAGTGGTTTTGTTCTTCACCATACCTCATGCTCTTGCGTATCCCAAGTAAGTAGCAAACCTTTATCAAGTGTCTTGGCCTAACAAATTTTCCATCAAGATACATCAAGTCAGTCGAAACTCAGATAGTCCAAAGGCTCCATGCGGAAAGAACCCTTCTTGGTGAATTCAACCATGTAAGAATTTATATTTATTAATTAGAAGATTTCGTATGACAGAGACAAATTCGGTTTGCTCACCTCATGCACACACACACACAATAGATGAAGCTCTTTCGTGACATTGTGCACAAAATCCGATACCCATAGTGCACACACCTCACAAGAAGCAAGAGATCTTGAACACTGCCGTAATGGAAATCGCTTCAAAGATAGAAGGTGGCCGTCGATGCTTGATCTTTCAACCAAACCATGAACGGATACTCGAATGCATTGCCGAACACGTAGTAGAAGATGCCAGTGACTTAGGCTCGGACGATTCGAAGATTGATGACGAAACCAGACTTCTGATAAACCCCGTATTATTGGGCACAATCCCACCTGCTGAAATCCAGGAGGTGCAAATGAGCTTTGACAGATTGTTGGAACCTGTTGCTATATATGGCCGTGACGAGACTCCATTGTCGCTTTACTTTGGGTTGACTGTTCAAGAACAAGCTTTAATCGTCCCAACAAATTTGGGAGACGATCAGAATGGACTGCTAGTTTTAGTGTGCAAAGAAAGTACTGCTTTAGATGTTGACGAAGAGTTTGGTACTGCTACTCTACTACTGGATTTGGCGGAACAGGTGTCGATTGCCAGAGCGCAAGCAAACCTGATTGTGAAGGATCGATTCTTGATTGATCAGTTGGAAGAGCAAAATGCCGATCTGACGCGGGCGAGAAAGGAAGTTAAAGTTGCTCAGGCACAGAAGGATTTTACAGCCGTCATGTCTCATGAGATGAGGTAAATGGCATTTTCGCACTAGTTTTGGTAGGAATCAACTGTTTCAACCAAGCAACTGACTAAATCTGTTTCTTCCAAAAGGACACCACTGTTTGCCATATCATCGCTCCTCGCAATGATCTCAGAATTGGAGGCTCTACACTCACCCAATTTAAAGGAAGTTGTTGAAATGGTGCAACTTGCTAGAGGCAGTGCGGAAATGTTGGTGACCATTGTGAACAACATTCTCGACTTTGCCAAATACGAGGATGAACAATTCCATCTGGATCGGTCTCCGTTTTCCCTGAGGGAAGCTCTTGAAATGGCTGCAGATGTTGTCGCAGTTCAAGACGGTGATGCCAAATTCCCACAAATTATATTAATTGGGCCGAGCCATGACATTCCAGTTGTTGTTGTTGGGGATGTGACACGATTCCGCCAAATCATGGTCAATCTTTTGGCTAACGGATGTAAATTCACTGAAGCGACTGGTACTGGTAAGTAAAATAAAGCATGTCGGAAGTGTGATCGTAGTCTCATGTCTTTCTTGGCAATCTAGTGACAGTCCAAGTCAAGATGATTCCTCCTAGTGCTCCTGGCAAAGTCAGTATCCGGCTGACTGTAACAGATACTGGCATCGGCATCCAAGGCGATGCCTCTCGGCTCTTCAAAAAATTCTCACAGGCGGATGCTGTAAGTCATCTTTGTAAAAAAAAGCACATCTTGGGCAACCTCAGACCGTCATTCCTCCTACAGAGTCATACACGAAGATACGGTGGTACAGGACTTGGGCTAGCAATCGCAAAAACTCTTTGCCAGTATATCCAATGTTGTTCAGTATTTCACTTCCCCCTGTTTTGTTCAACATTTTATTACGTTCTTATCTCGAAACTAACAACCATTTCCCTTTCGTTAGGCACATGGGCGGCTCTATTGAAGTTCGCCCAAATCCAGCTGAACGCGGTACTCAATTCAGCGTCGTCGTACACCTCGACGAATATCGACCATGTGAATGGGAGACTCCAGTCGCATTTTCGCCTGCACTACCTGACTCCAAGTATAATAGTATCAGAATTGGCGTTGTGGACTCCAACCCTAACTCTCAACATGGTTTAAAACAACTTGGTAAGTTGTGTTCCCTGTGTTTCCGTTCGGCACAATCATTCTTTTCTTTCGAAAAAGCAAGTTGACCATTCTTTGTAGCATTACACTGCTCCTCAAACATGCAAACCTACTCACACAACAGTATACAAGAACTCTTGGACGCTCGTGTCTCTCTAAACGGCATAGTGATCAACATGCCAGCACTCCCTACTACATATGAGTTAGATTTGTTGGGCTCCCTGTCCGCAGTATATGGCTCTCGCTTCCTGGTCTTGTACGGATTTGTAGCACATAAGTCACGCCAAAGTGTAGTAACTCTTCCTGAAAGCAAGAGAGCACTAACAGCACAACGGCCACAGAAATTGGGTGAATTCGCACGATTTCTAGAAGTCATATGTGATCAGTCTTCGATTGTATTTGCCATGCCAACGGGTGGTCAGACGACTGAAGGCACATCGGAAGCCGAGTGTCCTCCTTCCTCCGCAGAGCCATCACCACAAGTACCATCGGCATCTGTTAGTGTCACATCAAAAGCAGGCGATGAGGATCATCCTCCGATGCCATTGCGCATCCGAGCAGTCTCATCATCATCTGTACATGGTATACCGCCACTTCGAATTCTGATCGTGGAAGATAACAATATAAATCAAATGGTGATTACCAAGATGCTCTCTCGTCTGGGTCAACGAATGACAGACATTAGCGTAGCAAACGATGGTGTAGAAGGGTTTGAAATGATGCAGGCAGATCCAAACAAGTATGAAGTAGTGTTGATGGACATCATGATGCCACGAAAGGACGGATATGAATGTACCAGGGCTATACGAGCCAGGTATGGAGAACGACCATGGATTATTGGATTGAGCGCGAATGCATTTTGGGACGATCGAGTCAAGTGTAAAGAAGTGGGAATGCAGGATTTTGTGTGTAAGCCGGCTAGCGTGGGTGATTTGAGGCAGGCGTTGCAAAGATATGTAGACAAGAGGCAATTCTGAACAATGACAATCATAGTTTGTAAAAATAAGGTTTACTGACACTAGTGTAGTTATTGCTGTATACAAATATTTTGTGGCTTGTAAGAGCCGATGGAACGCTGTCCTGTAAATTGGTCAAAAACGTGAGCTCATTGAACAATTTCACGTGTCATCCACTTGCTGCTCTCATTCAACATGGCGTGGTGGTGCATGTTTCACGGAGGTAACAGTCAAGCATTGTTAGAGTTTTTTAGCAACTCTAAAATTTTGAAAGGCTCTGTCCATGCTCCAGATCACGCCCTAATTTGCTTGTCCTTCCGGTCTACTATAAGGTAAAGGGACCATAGTTCAGTATCACCTGGTCCACCGCGGTACTCGGATGCCTTTTTTGGAATATGATCGAACTCTGACGTATTCGAAAATCTGAATAATTCCAGGACTTTAATGATAATTAGAGCATAGCAGTGCGATCAAGCCAAAAATACAAGCAAAAGGTGAGTACCGTTAACAGGAAACTGTTTCCACCCCTTTGGTCAAATGCGCTAATCTCTTTACATTCCCACTCACTCTAGTCGGACAATCGACAAATCAGCATCGAAGCATAAATGGATACTACAGAAACAACGCAGGCTTCAAGGATGCAACATTCTGAAGGATGGCCTGGCCGCAAACCACGTCAAAGGACAAGAGCTGTTGATGTTGCTGTCGAAAATGTCCCAAAGTACCTTGAAAAGCTTCAAATGCCTGCTGTAAAAGATGCTGGAACAACACGATCTATGATGATGCTGCTGATACGGCAACAGAATGTAATCTCAACTCATGCTCTACTCACGGATACTCAGTATCTCTGATCCATAATTGGAATGCTCTCACCGGGCTTAATCTGTAAAACACAATCATCTCTCGCCTCGCTCGTGGCCCAAATACCATGTTAAACTTCTCTGCAATAGCACCCTTAGACGTCGTTTAGTAAATATGTAAAAGAACAAAATTTGCTTGACCTTCAATCCTATGAAATACGATATTTACAATGTACGACATTTATGTCAAGGTTTGAAGCTTTTCCTAAACGGGTTGTTTGCTTTTTGACCTGAATGCAATAGGAAACAAAGGAAGCTATGGTGCGACTTCTCTAGAAATAATCAGTATTCATTGTAGAAAATGAGCTACGAGTTGTTTCGCTAACCGAATGAGCCTTGTTCACAGGAGTGTATGATATTGCGGCATCACGTATTCGTTGTGTAACTTTTTCTGACACTGGTTTCTTTCAGGCTGGCGTAGTCACTTCTGGGTTGAGAATCACCAAATCAGGTATGCGTTAAACGAATCTGTATGCTGATCTTTATGCTGAGACAACTTTTGAGATGTCAATTTTTTGGGATGGCAAACCTTCCAATTTCCAAGCCGTCGAAAACTGGCACCGTCACAAAGAGTAAATTTTACGAGGATAAGACCATAGTTGACGCCTTCGGAAGAACGTAAAGACCGCTTATATTCTAAACCGCTCGCTTAACCATGGCAGCCTCAAGGGACATAACAGTGGGGTTTCAAGAAATCTAAATGCTTAAACTACGTTTCATCCCGCAATGATCCATTCAAGTCTTCTGTTCCTTCCGACTTTTGCTCGTTGATTTGGTAGAGATTTACACTCTTTCAACGTGGTGTCAAACTTGTCACTACTACCTGTGTTTACGACAGAGTGAATCCGACACCATATCGATGGGCTGGTTCATATTTTTGAAGTTTTACTGCAGTAGACTAAAAACTAAACTATATTTCATCTGACAAAGGTGAATCTGAGTGGTGTGTATTCACAGTCTCGGTCGCTTCTGTCCTCTCTCTCGTCCCCTTTGGCTTTCTGCCACGTTTTCGATTCGATTCGGCAGAGAATTCACACGCCTTTCCACTCCTCCTACATCTAAAAAAATCAGCAAGATGGGGAGTTTTTGTTGTTAGAAAGCTCCCCTTTTGTTTAAGGTGCTAGACGGCTTTCTTTGCTTTGCCTCAACACTGAATCCACTTACGAGGAACAAGGTAGCTCTCCATTGCATCTACAGTGGAAAGCGGGTCAGTTATCGGTGAGAAGTGAGAGAAAGTGAGTCAAAACATCCAATTGGTTTCTGAAACTGCTGATAAAACCTACTTCAGCTTTTTAACGCGACAGTGCATACAGGCCTTTGACACTCGTATCCTCCTAGTTCTGCGGAATGTCAAGTTTTCGAATCACTGCATTGCGGTTTGTCGCAAACCGACAACTTACTTGTCAGGCTCCGGGTCAGACGAATATTGCTGAACTGGTGGCGATGGTGGCCTTAGTGGCAGACGAGGCGTTATCCTTTGATATGACGAGGTTGGCTGATGATATACTGTATAATCATTATTCTGAGGAGGACGGGCGGATAGATAGTCATCAAATGTGCGTTTAACCTCAGCCGACTGATAATTTTGGCTCTGAGAATACATTGGGAATACATCTGTTTGGTAAGTAAACATGGGATCTGGTGCGTGGCGATACTTTGGTGCGGCCATTGTTGGTCGATTTTCAGGTGCAAAAGTGCTAGCATATGGAACGTGGATTGGTGGAGTGCTATAATTTATATCTTGCTGCATATTATGCCTTGAGACTCCTGTAGCTGGTAATAATACTGTTTGGTGGCTATTAGTCGGTTGGGACGGTAAATATCCTTGATGCCAGGGGGTTCCGTTAGAGTGAGTTATTGGGATATATGGCGATACTCGAGCGGGTAAATGCTCCTCTAGCATGAGTGGTGGCAAGGGGATTTGGTAGTCTATTCGTGATGGTAGCGATTTAGAATGGAACAGCGGAATATCGAGTATTATGGGCAGGTTCAGTTTCCAGTCCTGTGCTGATTCCGAGGTCCTTTTAGAGTATGGTGGACGTCCATTGTTGGTTGGCTCGTCCTGGGCGACTTCGGGATTGAGCAACCAGCATAATTCCATGTCTGTGAACTCTGTCCCTAATACCAAATCAAGATGATCGTGGTCTAAAAGGCATCCCATAAATCTCCGGAAAATTGAGTGATTTGGGCAACGTTTCCGGCCGTTTGGATTGACAACGTTTATTAAGCAATTTTCGGAATTCTACAAAAAAGTGTCGCTCGTATGGCAGCCTGCTGCACGGAAGTCTGATCAAGCAGGCAGGGGCAAGCATAAGTCACCAACGAGAATTGAAATTTCATCTCGGCACCGCTGCAAAGTCGATTTGCGTCCGATAAGGTTTTGAATACCTTTCAACGACTACATCTCAATACAAGTGTGTGTTTGTCGACCTTCATAGATAAATTATGCTGAAAAAGAAACTCCGTTATCCTCTTCATTGATCTGGGCCAAACACAAACGGAAAGGAAACCCTTCTTGTTTATATTGCGAGTGATGTCATCTAATCCATATACCAAGTTCCAAGTTTATTGCTACTTGCTCCGAAATTCTGTAAACCTCAAAATCACTTTGTAAAGTTTTGTAAACTTGATTCTCCCGCTGTCTCAAGTTTATATATGCGTTGAAAGGTTGTTTGCCGTCCCGTCGTTACCTTCTTCTAGCTCAATCTGACAGATTAAGCGGTACCAAAATGGTGATCAGGGACAAAACTGTTCATTACTAGTGCGATTCCTTGACTTTTCTTTGAAGAACTGGAGCAGATCAGTTCAGATCTCATAAAATTGTAAGTTGACAATCTTGGAGGACGGGGATACGCCCTCGTTCAACACAAATCTTTTACAACCGCCGTCAGCACACTTATACTTGACGGCGCTCGAGCAATTTTCGTCTTATACTTAACGGCATTAAAGATTTATAAAGCTCTACGGGATAGCATACACTTTTGATCAATTTACTTTCCTCGCCCTCCCCGCTTCCATTGCTCGAAATGGCGATTAAAAAGGTGACGCGATCATCCCGGCCATTCCACCCATCTCACTCGTGTCCCCGCCCATTTGCCAGCTAGACGGAAACCCAATATTTCCACTCAACACCTCACCTCCTAGCTCGCCCCCAGTCCCAATACCAAAATCTTCCATGTCATCGTCATCGCCTAAATGTGCTAGTGCATCCCAAGCATTGGCAAATACAGACGGCTGAGTTGGAGGAGCCAGTCTATCCCTAACGGACAACCCTACTGCCCGTAAGTTTTGTGCATATGTGCCAGCTATAGACCATATACGTCCAGCGTCTTCAAGAGCTGGAATCAATATAGCTGTTAATGGTTCTACTTCCTCACTTCCACCATATCCACCTAAATTAGCTACCACAGGTGTACTACGTATAGCGGTGCTACTCCCAGAGGCTTGATTCAAGGGCGTCGTCAGTATGCTTCGTATTACCTTAACGGATTGATTACTAGCTGGTTGCGTGGAGAAAATTGGTAATTGTTGCTCTCCTGTTGATCCACCGGTGCCAGGGCCACTACCGCGACCACTGTTGTCATGACCAGTTCCTACATCATTATTTATATGGGTTGCAGCTCCAAATACGTTCCAAGGATCTAATCCATTTACCATTATCCTAGAATATCGACTTAAAGACAATAAAGCCGCAGCAGGTGGTAACAGGAAAGTTTGCAAAAATGGTGTTGAAACAAGTTCGGGTGGTGGTGCTGCAGACAGCGACGGCAGAGTGTTGTTGTAAACACGGTGTAGAATGTGACAGTGTGCTCGATATGCCATGACCACTAGATCCGTGGGAGACAGTACTTCAACGATGGGCTGATACTGGTATAATGCACTAACCACCATTACTTTGAAGATCTTGTCTGTCCCGTCTGCGTCACTTTCTGCGCTACCGGATGGATCGGGTGAGGCTGATTGGCTATTACTCGGAATGGCAGATGGAGGTGGAGTAGACGAAGACGGTGATTCGGCTGCTCCCCGTGTATGGAGGGATGCGAGGATGGCGAAGAAGATTATGTTTATAGCAATAGCGGCTGGGCTAGGCCGTGTGCCTGAGCTCTCTTGGTACCAAAGACGTCCTGGTGTTGTCAGTACCTGCAAATTCGGGAAGAGTTTCAGAGTGTTTGGCAGAGCATCGTAGTAGCGGATGAGAGCATCATGAAGCATGACAATATCCATGAGCAATACATTCATTGGCGGAGGTTTTGCACTATTATTGGCAGTTGCCGCGGGGCCCTCATTGCTGTTAGGCTTTGGTGTAGGAGGCGACATAACTCTTGCTAGTCCCAAGACTCGTCTGCCCAAGAACACCAGTTGCACTAGTGCTTGGGTTTCTATTCCATCAGATATCACACTACGACCGTCTAAAGTTTGCGGTATATTCGACATGATTTTATCCGTCCACGCCATAGCTCCAAAATCAAAGACTGTTTGAGCATCAAATTGACTGAGCGCAAGACACCATGGAGAGATGGGATCTGACGGAGTGACTGCTGTTGTTGGGGCTGTCAAGGCTGGTGTGGTAGAGTACAACATTTCGTTTAATGACGGCACAAGACCCGCTGCCATACATCCGTGAAGCTCTAAAAACAATGACAACCACCAAACCCTATTTGAAAGGTAAAGAAGACCGTGTAAGACCCAGGTCTCATAGTTGAGTAACAATAAAAATAGTGAACACCAGCGAACAACTCTTGCAAAACTTGCCTCTGTCTTTGACTAGGAAGTATAGGTGCGTCTCCAAGTAGACTTGGAATCCCGTGTCTCAAAGGCGACAAACGATCCTGTTCAAACTCGTGCGCGATATAGTTTCCCATAGCTAGAAAAAGGATGATTTTTCAGTCATTGGTACATCAGCAAATATTGCAGGTTAAAATGTATAACTTACAAGTCCAAACGGCAGATTGTTGAGCTGCATCAGACCCAACTTCAAATACACTGAGCAATAACCTCGTTTGACAAATGGACAAATCACTCCATTGTCCAGCTGGCATGTTACGTTCTCGCTCACGAGCTATATCTTCGAATATTGAACACCACTTTCTGCCTCCTCCGTCAGACAAGGCCGGATGTCTAGTGTAGATGGAACCGATGGCACAAATTGCTGCTATCAATGCTGGATTGGTCTTGGGCGATATAGTTGGTAAGATTGCACTGAGGAGAGCCGGTTCATCCAGGACGGGAAACGCTGGGTGGAAATATATGAGAAAGTTCTTAAATAGCACCAAGTACAGCGATGGAGGTAATGGTGGAAGACCTATAGCAGCAAAGTCAGGCGGCGTAAATCTGGTAGGGTCATTTAATGATTTAGGAATTCGACGGTGTTTTATATAGTTTGACATGGGGAATGGGATGGTCTTTTGACCGGTTTTGCGAGGTTGAGGCACAGTTGTGGCAGTATTATTACTGGATATGGGGGAGATATTATTGCTGGATATGGCTGACATGGGTACTTGCATTAGATTATGACAATTCGATTGGTCTTGCCCCGAACGTTGCTGGTTTTCTAGAGTCAGTGTCCAAGACAAGATATCGTCCAGAGTCGACATGTCGGATTTTGGTGTAGCTACTGACGATACAGAAAAAGGAGTGTGCTCCTTATCGGATGGATGCCGCTGAGACGAAGACTCACTATCAGTGTTGTCGTTGTCGATACGTTCGTTTGAAGAGGACCCGTATCCCGTCGTCGGACTGTCATTGCTACTACTCGTAAATCCACCAAAGCTATCTTCAAACGATCCGTTATCTTCTGCAAATAATCCAGTGTGCATCGACGGCAGAGGACTAGCTAATGGCGATTCCTCATAAACCCAGTCAGATATCACCATTGGAGGCAGCAGCTCTTTGACAACCGTTCGATACATATCTAGTTGAGTAGATACGATAGCTTCTACTCTGACTTCCTTCCTTGCAGCAGCCAACCTAGCTTTCGATACTCCAGATTGAGGCTTCTTTGGCATTTCTTCAGCTTTTCCTTTATTGGCAGAGTCCTTACGACGAGCAACCGAGCCTGGAGCTGGTCCTCTTCGTTTAGGTATGACTTCATATGTGCAGTCACTTTGCGCCCGTTCACATGTTGAGCAGGGTTTGAGGCCGTCACACTTCCTCTTCTTTATCTTACAACGGTCTAGCAGATATGAGAGAGAAAATGTGAGTGTTTTATAGTCGAGACTCGAGAAAATGAATACGGTTCGGTAGATAAAAGATGCGGGTGGTTGCGGGGTGCAACTTCAGTTGGACTGCCGACATACCACAACTGCGAACTTGCTTCGGCTTCTCATATGCCTGCAATGGATTCGAGATCTCTGGATGAGAGTAGTGTGGTTGTTTTGTTGGGTGGTAATCATCATTCAAATCGACGGAGCCTTCCGTTGAGTCTGAATCCTCCATTTGCGTATAGAGGTGCCTTGTTAGCTTGGAGCCTGTGGCGAGAGCAATACAAGCAAGAGAGGCAGGAGTTTATCCACTGTCGCCTGGGGATACAGAATAGTAACGGTGTAGTGCACTCTCCATAAATTTTGTGATTGGTTTTGCTCTCGGCTGGAAAACCAAATCATCGCAGATCGTTGATGTAACGTTGCTTACCAACGGTTTAAATCAGGGTCCATTCCTGGAGGAAGGTAATTGATCTACCGATCTGCCACAGAGGTTGCTGATCCATCATTTCTGAAGTGCTTGCTACACGACGCAAACTGCATCAACGAATTCATCGCAACCTCAACAAACTTCATCAACGAATTCATCGCAACCAAGGAACGGTCTAATTTGGGAACAAATACTGGCAGCGATGTGACCTTTATATATTGTTAGGATTTGCGCTCTTTGGTCGGTAATCGAGAGGGTCAGTGCTTCTTACTCTACTACTATGTACAAACCAATATCCAAGTTTCGGGTTTCCAATATGAATGTGAGTGTTGGTTCCTTTTAAGATTAAGGTTGGTATATTGAGTAAACCAATATTCCAGAACTCGGTAGCCGGTAAATCTCCGGCACTGTTTGTTTGAACTGTATCAGCACAAACAATGTCCTTCCTTGCAGATGTCACATCCGTCAATCATACATTGTGTCATTCGTCCCTGGACGTCACCCACGACACCTCATTCGCCTCATAAGTCAGCTGATTAACGATCAATGCAAGCAGAGGAGGAATAGCCTCTTGACGTGTTGGACGTCTGCAGGGGTAATTATCAACAAACAAGTCACTCTCTTTTTAAATGTTGTGCTTCATATTTGACATATGTGTTGTCAAATGTATATACAAACTGTTTACACTACATCACCACTTGGGGCCTTGATTCAGTCAATTACAGAGAGCCATGCTGTAGGGACAAGTCCTTCTGCTCCGTTAGCAGCTACTCGTGTCCATCCTCCCATATCAGGCTCAATAATGATGACAATGTCATGTTGTCGAACATCCACATCATCATCATTAGCCTAGTTCGATTGAATTTAGTCAGACAGCAAGAGTGTGCTCAAGGTCGAGAAAGCTTGATGTAATGCATTTAAAGAATCACAGCTGTCTGGATTTCATACCTTGGAATAATCATACAAGACTTTGGCACGATCCTGGTTTCCACGACTCGAGACATCTTGTTGCTTTTGTTTTATTGTCAAGTTTTTGGTTTTGGATTCTTGAATGCTCAACCAGGAAGTTGGTATTAATCCAGATTCACCACCAACTGCATTCACCGCGACACGGGTCCATCCTGACACATCATCCTCTAAAACAGTGACTATGGCACCTTGCTTTACGTCGAGCTCATCATCATTTGTCTGAGAGAAATACAAGTCAGTAACGTTTCTCTGATAAAACCAGCTAAAAACGAGCTGCATATAAATAGATACCTTGGAATAATCATACAAGACCTTCCCAACCTTCTTTTCACTAGTACCATCAGCCATTTCTATAGGTGACGGCGTCTTCCATCCATCAGTAGACTCTTTAGGAGACAGCAATCCCAATGACGACGGCTTATGCGATATGGTATTTGGTGCAGCTTGTAAATTAGGAGCAGAAGACGAATCGGTAGATGACGCAGTCGACATTCGTAAAGACGAGAATGAGGGTTTGGATGATACGCTGAGTGATCGAGTTTGTCGTACTGGAGATCCTTTATGACATGATGGAGGAACACGTAATTCACAACGTGCGTGAACGTTGGAATTACATGTTTGACAGCATAAACCTGAGCCTACACCCCAAATGTTTGTTAAACATAGATCACATTGAGTTGGTATTGAAAAGGACGCTGAAAAAGAAATGGTGGTGAGTATTGATGGTTAGACGAAAAAAAAACCATACAAATTGACTTACATGTCTTCCAGTCATGCCACGAGATATTTGCTGGATCTTCGCCAATAGAATCAATCACTGTTGATATTTGCGAAGCAGTAATAGCATGTTCTAATTCCACAATGCGTTGTTCTCGTAATGATTCCAGCATGTTTTCATTCACTTGATGAGCATCTCCCAATAAAGGATTCTCAGTATAAGCATTATGGAGCTTTTCCAATCCTTGAACTTCCTTTTCTCGACGAGTAATCTCTCCGTTTAATATAGTTTGTCTAGCTCGAAGTTTATGAAGCTAGTCAAAGCAAGTATGGAATTAAAAGGGCTGTGCAAAGAAACAATTTGTCTACAGAACTGAGGGGTAAAACATACCTTGTTACGCAACCATATCTTGCTATGCTCATCAGTAGCAATCATTCCATTCTCCTTCCAAAGCCCTGATGGTTCAAAAAAGAACTCGGGAACGGGCTCAGCGGTATTCTTGTTTGGTCGAGATGGGACTTCAGCAGCTCTCATACTCATTTTAGCAATATCGTCAATATCAGATAATATGATATCCACATCCGCATCGTGATCTTTGAGCAGGGTGATGTGTCGTTGTACTGCATCTGATACGAATTCAACTACAGATTCATTCACGTTCTCCAGGCCCTTTTGTGATTAAAAGAACGGGGTTTGGTCATTTTGTGTAAACATGAGCATTGTAGATCTCGATCTTCGCAGAAAGGAGACGAATATAGCGTACCTCAATGACAAATGGAAATCCGCTCTCTGATAACTGATGGCATAGAGCGTTGGCAGCCTTGATGGACAGCAAATACGTATTCTTGGCACTATTCATTTCTAGTATCTCTGCATGCCATTGCTTTCTCATTTTATCTTGAACTGTAGAAGTTGCACCAGCGTCACTCTTTACTCGAGCGACTTCAACAGCGTCACAACGTAAATTGTACTAGAGAGTTAGAAACAGTGTGAGTAAGCTGACGATTCAAAGATAGCAAAACGAACGCGAATCTTTATGCTATTACCTTCTCTTTGGCCTTGTCCGTCTCTGCAGCTGCCTTTTCACGTTCCGATACGAGACGTTGAGAGAATGCCAGTTGCTAAGTGAACGTTTGAGATAAGTAAGATTCATACTTGGGCCAAAAATTTAACAGATTCATCGGATACCTTGCGTTTGGCCTCCTCAAAAACACTGCCCCTTGATCTCAAATCATCAGCCACGTCACTAGACAATGAATCTCCCAAGACACCTCTTCTTTTGGCAATTTCTTCCGTCTTTCTAAGTATCTCTTGCCATGCTCTTCTTGCCGGTCTACATTCAAACGATGTCCGTTAAATGACGTGGCCAAGGTACTCGTCAACGGAAATCATCGTATTTACATGTCATCAGTTGAATTCAAGTCGACGACAGTAGATCTCTTATCCTTTTCTCTTCTTGTAGAGTACTTTCGACACATCAGCTCCAACTTCTTTGAGTATTCTCGTTCTAGGTGTGATCTCTCAATCATGAATTCCTTGACTGAAATTGGTGTGGCAAATGTTAAATCAGTTCACAATAACAAGAGTAGCATACGCAGAGTATGCAGAGCGGTAGATACAATAGTTCGCATTGTTCAGACTCGGATCTGCTCTCTTTTGGCACCTTCTTGCTCGTCCAAAGCCCAACAAGACCGAGAAAGTGAATTGAGTTTGAAATTCTTACCTTCATTGGCCCAGTTCAGCTGGTTTTGAATTATGGAATCAAGCTTCTGGAGGTGGGCGAGACTTAAAAGGGAAGGCGGTGTCTCGCTCGTCGTACTCCAACGCAACATTTTTAGATCTGCGTGAAAGTACAAGAAGAGCGGAATGAATCACGCTTTGATTCATACACCTTGTCATTACATATGCTCAGTTTTCTTTGCCAAGATCAGTATCACCGTGTGCTTGCGAACGAAGAAGACACACTATTGCAACTACAAGGACATGAAGTATATGTGGGAGCATTTGCTCCAAAAAACAGTTGTACTTGCTCTGGCGACATGGAGTCTTCCCTTTAGAAGTTGCAAACATTGATGATAATCTATTTTTTAAACACTACCACTGCGCTGTATAGCTGCAATGACTGGGGGCTAGTACTTGAGCTTCTTTGGCTTTTCCCAAGAGAATTGTTCACGACCTATATAGTAAACCAACAATTGCGTTATTGTTCATCCGAAGTAGCGTCTTCTAATCAAGTGCCAGTTCTCTAATCGAGGGCCAGTTCTTACCAAAGTGACCGTAAGAAGCGGTTTCTTGGTAGATGGGTTTCCACAAGTCTAATTCTTGAACAATCTTTCCTGGACGCAGATCAAAGTTCTTCTTGACAATGTCGAGGAGTTCTCCGTTGGTCTTCTTGCCGGTTCCATATGTATCAACATAGATGGAGACAGGTTCAGCAACACCGATAGCGTATGAGAGTTGGATCAAACAACGTTTGCATAAGCCAGCAGCGACGAGGGATTTCTATTCAGAACAAAGAAAGGGGTAATTGAGTTAAATTCCCAACAAGCCAAATCTTGCCACTCAAAAGTTGAACCGCGACACAATCATGATTATGATAACTTACAGCGACCCAACGAGCAGTGTAGGCGGCAGATCGATCGACCTTGGACCAGTCCTTGCCAGAGAAAGCTCCACCACCATGAGCACCCCAACCTCCGTATGTGTCGACAATAATCTTTCGTCCAGTGACACCAGCATCACCCTAATGACACGAACATGAATATATTAGTATGGCCCATTCATATCATCTCTTGATTGCTGCATCATATAAAGTAGTTTAGATGCTTACTTGCGGACCACCAATGATGAAACGGCCAGATGGTTGCAAAATGTACTTGGTTTTCTTGTCCAAGTACTTAGCAGGTACTACAGCCTTGATGACCTTGTCTGTTAACTCCTTTTTAATGGTTTCGTTGTCGACTTCAGGAGCGTGTTGAGTGGAGATGACAATAGCGTCTACACGTTGAGGGACTGGGACACCACCTTCAACCTTGTATTCAACGGTGACCTTTTGAATGGAATTGGAATGCACGAATGTTAGCGAACAGGTGGCAAACAAAGGTACAAAGACAGGCTGTCTACATACTTGAGTCTTTGAGTCGGGTCTCAGCCAATCACAGACACCATTGTTTCGCAATTCAGTCATCTTCATGTTGAGCTTATGTGCGAGCATGATGGTCAAAGGCATCAGCTCGGGGGTTTCATCGCAGGCATAGCCAAACATGATACCCTAAATGATTAGGTGGCGGTGGTGATGAGTGGAGTCGGAAAAGTATATCACAGATGCAACCATACGTATTTAAATGTTTCAACCAAACTAATGGTACCATCAACATTCAATGGCATTCAGTTCAATTACCTGGTCGCCAGCACCAATGTTATCAATGTTTCGTTCACCAGAAGTCAAACCTTGAGAGATATCAGGCGATTGCTGTTCAATGGCTACCAATACGTTACAGGTCTTGTAATCGAAACCTTTGGTGCAATTATGGGATATGTTGTTGAGTCGGAGGGCGAAAATGCAAGCACTACCACTGCAAGCATCTACCTTTTTCGGAGTGGTCATAACCAATCTTTTTGATGGCATTTCGAATGATTTTTTGGTAGTCGAGTTGGGCTTTGGTGGTGATTTCGCCCAAGACCTGTAAATGAGCAAATAACAAATTAGATGTGAATATGGGATGGCGAGTGTCACTAAGCCACTTTCAAACATGAGACAGCGAGAGTAGGAGCATCAGCATCATGTTGTTCACAAGTTACATACCATGATCATACCAGTCTTGGTGGCAGTTTCACAGGCAACGCGAGAAAATTTGTCAACAGCCAAACAAGCATCCAAGATGGCATCGGAGACTGATTTTGTGTTGATGAAGAATTGCAACGGTTAGATAGAGAAGAAGAAACGTCTAATACGTGGACATTATGCGAGTAAATAAATGGATGGTTGATGAACAATTGTACCTTGGTCGCAAATCTTGTCTGTTGTTAAAGGAAATTGTGGAGAGTTAGTACTCGCATTTGTTTATGATATAGCGAGAAGGGAGGATGGATGCAGGCTTACCTGGATGGCCTTCGCCGACCGACTCGGAAGTGAAGAGGAATGTTTCGCCGTCAATCATGGTTGTTTGCTTGTTTTGAACAGTGGTTGACGCTGCAAAAATTTTCAAATTGTGGTCGATGGATGGCACAACAGTTTGACAGGTTGAAACCAGCCAGAAGGGAAATGATCCGACCCTAATAATTGTAGATCATGTAAATCAAGTATAGAACGTGAATGACACGTCTTTCCTCAATGCAAGTCGTGATCTCTGTATTGAGCATATGCATTGACGCTTCTTCGTGTGGACTGATTCTCTCGATTAATTGCTGATCCAATCTATCTTGAAGATGCAACCTCACGCTCGTCCTTGTTCGGTTACGGTACGGAAGTTTTAGGCTTCGAAGTTGCCTCTCAGGTTTGTACCTCCAACAAAAAAAAAGAGTTTCAGTTTTCTTCAAAGGAGAGTCCTAGTGTTAAGTGATGTTGTCTCGTAGGAACGTACTCAGACTGGCATGTCTCAGCAATCAACATGCTCGAGGCTGTAAGCTCCTCTTTCGAAATTGTCGCAACAATACATTTTGCCTCGACTTCGTCATACTAATCAAGAACACATACATTTTATATAGATGCTACTGGCAAAATCCAAGTTCGCAATCCCATTGTCGAGATGGACGGCGATGAGATGGTTAGTAGAGTGGTGCTGAACTGTTTTCGCCAGAATAGAGCAACAACAGAATCTCGAAGTTTGATCTGGAAACACTCCAATGGCGCCGCTGCATGGCATACTTCTGACGCATATTCCACCATAGACACGTATCATTTGGAAGAGCATCAAGGACAAGGTATTGCATTGAGCCTGCTTTGGAGTTGTGACGAAATGCATACAGCTCGTGGACTCCCGCCTTACATCGTACTTTATTTCAATTTATTAGCTGATCTTCCCATTCTTGAACGTGGACTTAAAGTATTACGATTTGGGAATCCAGCACCGTGATGCTGTAAGTAGAATGAAGCTGTTAAACTCAATCCGACACGCTTTGGAACTCTTGAGAGGTTTTTATCACATCCTAACACTCCTCAACTTTTAGACCAATGATCAAGTAACAATCGATGCAGCTAACGCTACATTAAAGTACAATGTCGCCGTTAAATGTGCTACAATCACTCCTGATGAAGCCCGTGTGGAAGGTATGTTGGCCGTCGTCACACCCCATGCTCATTGCATACCCATAACGTATGTCTATCCATTTAGAATTCAAACTCAAGTCAATGTGGAAAAGTCCAAATGGTAAGCAGGGAGAGACAGCTCATCCGTAATAATATGTTTCGCTGACACCTCATCCACAATAATGTGTTTCGCTGACACCTCATTCCTACCAATCTTAGGTACCATTCGAAATATCCTAGGTGGAACAGTATTCCGTGAGCCAATCATGCTCAAATCTATACCTCACAGTGTTCCTGGCTGGACTAAACCCATCATTATTGGTCGACACGCCTACGGTGATCAATATCGTGCCACTGATTTGATCGTAGACCAGCCAGGATTATTGGAATTAGTGTAAGATTGTGACTGCGTTCTTCTGAGGGTCATTCTATAGATACATTGACTTTGCAAATCAGATTTACCCCTAAAACCGGTGGGCCCGAAACACGATGGAGTGTACACGACTTCAAAGGTCGTGGTGTTGGTATGGGTATGTTCAACTCGGATGAGTCCATTGAAGGATTTGCTCGAGCCTGTTTCAATATGGCTTTAGCCAAGGGCCAGGTACACGTATTACCGCATGTTTTTGTGCACAGAGTGCCACGTCATCTCACCTTTTGCTTACAAAACCTAGCCACTGTATCTGAGTACCAAGAACACCATCTTGAAAAAGTACGATGGTCGCTTCAAGGACATTTTCCAAGATATTTATGATGCCGAGTTCAAGACCAAATATGCTGCTGCAAAAATTACTTATGAACACAGGTGCACGATGATCGGTCCCTCTCAGAACCCTTCCCTTTACTAAAGACATCTCTTACCAGATTAATTGACGACATGGTCGCTTTTGCTCTTAAATCACCTGGTGGTTTCGTATGGGCAACCAAAAATTACGATGGAGACGTACAAAGTGACGTTTTAGCACAAGGTTTTGGTTCATTAGGGTGAGTTAAATGGAATGAGAGTATATATTGGTGTCATCCCATTGCTCATCTCTCTTACTTTTAGTCTGATGACATCAGTACTCATCACCCCTGATGGCAAGACCATGGAGAGTGAGGCTGCACACGGAACAGTTACCCGTCACTACCGCGAATTCCAAAAAGGACGATCAACGAGTACCAACTCAATTGCGTCCATCTTTGCTTGGACACGTGGTCTACAACACCGTGCCAAATTAGACAACCACCCTCAATTACATCAGTTCACTATTGATTTGGAAAAGTCTTGTATTGATGCTGTTGAACGTGACAGAGTAATGACCAAGGATTTGGCCTTTTTACTTCATGCCGACCGGTGAGCGTCGTGCTATTTTACATGATAAAGTAATACTTTGATTGCTGACGTTCTGCTGGTGAACCTCTTTTAGAATGAAGCCCACAGACTACGTTGACACTGATGGTTTCATATCCCATGTTGCCAAGCTGATGAGTAAGATCCGAAAGCTCCCAGAATAGAGGAGAGCTAGCATGCGCCGAATTTTTAGACCACAGGTGTTTCGGTAGCAAGTAAATATAGCTCAACACCATAGACACTATTTTACTATTCAGAATACAAGCTTTTGTGGTGAAAATTCGTGGTGATCGCTTAACACGGCTGCAACAAATGTTGGGCGTCATTTTTGCAACGAAGTCCTGTCAAAAGTGAGACACAGAACGAGGAGACATGCCAAAAGTAAAACCTTTATCCTGGTTAAAGGTACCTAAAACATGCATTAACACACTTTAAACCGAATGGGAGCCTTTTCATTTCTCATCAAGTTCTAGCTACAGATCGAGCTCAAAATTGCAATTTCGAACCTTTGCAAACAAGCTTGAGGGTGTCAAATGTACCGTAATCAATCAAGACAAGGTGGATTGCAGAAAGCTACTTTATCAGAGCCGCCAGCGTTGTACTCTCATCCAAATCAACTTTGGTCTGGTGATTATGTTGGTGATCTGGGATTTCAAGCTCATCTCGCTCGAACATCAAGCCGCAGGTGAGATTGTAGTATTTATTGACTTTATCTGGCCATTACGTTACTGGAAATGGTTGATTTTGGGAGCTCCACGATGGTACGAGCTGATTTTAAAAACTTGGAATTTGCGAAACTCTGAACAGGCCTTCAATCTCACAATTGCCATTTGCACCTATGATGTCAGAACGTCCGTGGATGCAACAACAACAGGCCGGTACATGGCAGCCTCCATTTTCTGGATCGTTCGGAGGAACTGATGATGTCGAAAACATGACGGCGCAACTGAAGCACACACCATTTGCTGAAATTCTCAATTTCTACGTAGGTCCAGCTCCACGTACACAAGGACAACCATTTCGAGATTCATATCATGATTCAGACATGTATCAGAATGAGGATCACTGGCGCTCTGTGGAAGGTGATTTCCAAAATCACATACCGTATAACCTCCCCATTTCGTTAAATTGATGATAACTATGCATTTCAGTCATGTACGATTCTCCGTCAAGTTTAATGTCATGCTGAAAATGCTGAATGCTGAACTCATTTATGTCAGGGTTTTGATGATGGGCACAGAGCACCGCCATTCAACAGTCAGCCTTCATACAAAACTCAGCCTCCACCACTACCTCCTGCTCGATTCCAGCCATCAGTAAGGCCAGAACAACCACCATGAACACAAAGCTATCCGCCATGTGCGCAAAACGATGGCACTATTTATCGTGAGAGTGATCGTGACGGCAGACTTAATGACGTGGTTGCAAGTAAGAAACGGCATTGGGTTCTTCGTAATCAAGAAGGCTGCTCCAAAGGTCTGGATACTATCTTGCTTTATGGTCGTGACCATAGCGATCATATTTGACAATTTACGTTTGGCAATTCTAGACGCCTCTTCTTCCGTTGCGGTGTGCAAGGCAACGCTCAACTCTTACCGATCAGCTGAGGACAGCATTGGAGCAACAGAGCTGACTTGAATATAGTTAGCATGTCGGTGGATGTTGTTTGTTGTTGCGAAAGCCTTTTCGTTTGCTAGAGTCGGAGAGCTCATTCCAGACAAATCACGGAGTCCACTCAGGTCTATCATATATAAAGTCGCACGCGGTGATGTGGGCATTCGAAATGGTGAGAGTATGACGGTCCAGGAAGACGCCGATCAGCGGAAATGTGTTTGCTTTCCAGGCGCGACCACCTGGTTTCCAGTCACCAGTAAATATAGCTCAACACTGTAGGCCGTACTTTTACTATTCAGAATACTTATCTTTTGTGTTGAAATTTGATTTTCGGGGTGATCGCCTAATACTCATTTGAGAGAGGCACAGAACGACGGGATTAGCGAAAAGTGAATTCTTTAGCGTGTTTAAAAGCACTTGAAACAAAAATTGACTGACTTTAAAGTGAATAGCAGCCTTGTCATCAAGTTCTAAAGCTCAACATTGCAAACATCGAATATCAAACAAGCTTGAAGGAGCCAAATGTACCGCAATCAATCAAGACAAGGTCGATGGCAGAATACTGCGTCATCAGGACCGCCAGCATTGTCCTCTCATGCTGCTCCAAATCAACATTATTGGTCTGGTGATGATGGTGGTGATTTGAGATTTCAAGCTCATTTCGCTCGAACATCAAGCCGCAGGTGAGATTCCTGAATTTCTTGACTTGATTTGGCCCTGAAATTACAGCCATGAGACGAACCCACCTTGACAACTTTGATCAAACTCTGAACAGGCCTTCAATGACACAATTGCCATCTCTACCTATGATGTCTGAACGTCCTTGGATGCAACAACAAGCTGGAACATGGCAGCTTCCATGTTCTGGATCGTTTGGAGAAAATGATGGTGATGGTAAAACAGAACCAGCGGGTCTGAACTGATCTTCTCAACATCTATGTAGGACCAGCTACGAGGACACAAGGTCAACCAATTCGAGATTCATATCATGAGTCAGACATGTTTCAGAACGAGGATCATTTGCTTACTGTGAGTGGAAGTTGATTGCCAATAAACCTCTCTTTTTAATACCTTATTTCCGCTTTGTTTCTTTAGTTTGATGATAACGATGCTTCTCAATCATGTACATTTCACCGTCAAGTTTTATGTCACGCTGAAAGTGCTTAACTTCTTTTATATCATGGTTTTAGATAATGGTCACAGATCACCACAATTCAACAGTCAGCCTTCATACAATACTCAGCCTCTACCACTACCTCCTGCTCGATTTCAGCCGTCAGTACGGTCACAACCATCACAAAAGTATCCATCGTCTGCTCAAAACCTCCAAATGCCTCCTACTCAACGAAGACCTACGCAACAACAAAATCCAAATCGCCTATACAATCAACCAACACAAACCTATCAACAACGAGCATCATCGAATAATTATAATGACCTTCAGCCTTCCTCACAAGCCTCTCAAGCTCCTCGTCAGCCAGTTGCTCGAAATAATACCTTAAATCGACCATCGTTTCCTCAGCAACAACCACAGCAACAGCAACAACAATACCAACAACAATCATATCCAACTGCACCTTCACAGCCATTGCTGCGTAATCATGCGCCTGTGGTGCAAGGAACAGTGTTGAAAGCAGTATCTGAACTCGGTATGGCCAATCAAGCGTTTAATGCTTTCTTTGTGAATGGTTGATTGTTTCCTTGGACGTTTGATAGGTGAACGTTTTCGTAGCTTGTTTGCTTTTCCATACTTCAATTCGGTGCAATCTCAGTGTTTCGACATTGTAAGTGTTGAAATTCAGTCGCCAGGTTTACAATCCTCGACAATTTTCCTTTTTTTTTGTGTTATAGGCTATGAATACTGACTGCAATCTAGTTGTTTCTGGTACCAATGCAGTGTTCCAATTCGACGCCATAGTATGACTGAATTGGCATTTCCGAATAGCACCTACTGGTTCCGGAAAGACTGTGCTTATGGAGCTAGGTGAGCAGATTTTCTACTTGGAACCGGCGTATTGGTTAAAACTCATCAGCGTCATCATCATCACAAACCTTCATTCAGCTATGATACGCTTGTTTATGAGACCTGATGGTGATCAAGCCAAAGTCGTTTACATGGCTCCAACAAAAGCGTTGTGTAATGAGCGTACAGTTGACTGGCAGAAGAAGTTTCGAAACTTGGGCATCAAGTGTAAGTGACTGGAACGGTGTTTCATGAAGCACAAAATCTAATAATATAGCTCTTAATCAATAGGCAATGAATTGACTGGCGACACAGATTATGTCAGTGTGGCTGAAATCAGAAGGAGTAATATCATGTAAGAACACACACCCACGTTGACCTTATGTTATCATGACCCTCATTGAGTTCTGCTTTCTAGTGTCACAACTCCAGAAAAGTGGGACTCTATTTCAAGACGATGGAGAGACCAGAAAGCATTGATGGGCCTGTTACGGTTATTCTTGGTAAGGTTATGATGCACACGAAAAATACCGCATGGTGTGGAGCTCACGGCTTCGTTGCGATCTTACGGTCACAGATTGACGAAGTTCACCTGTTGAATGAGTCTAAACGAGGAGCCACGCTTGAAGTCGTGGTATCAAGAATGCGCACTTTAGGATTAGAGGTTGAAAGGCAGAAATCGACTAATCTGGATTCAACACAGCATCAACAAATTCGTTTACTGGCCTTGTCAGCCACTGTTCCCAACATTGACGATATTGCAGATTGGCTTAAGAATTCAGATGGCACACGAGCTGAGATCAAGTATGTGGTTTGTATTTGTTTGTAATTTTTGTTTCTCATTTGCATATTTTCCACAGAACATTCGGCGAAGAGTATAGACCAGTCAAGCTTCAGAAAGAAGTTATTGGATATCCTCCAAAAGGCAATCCTTTTGTATTTGAACAATCTTTGGATTACAAGTAAGATAGTGGAGCATCTCCTGTTTTGGATGGTAAACTAACAAGTGTCTACAAAACAGACTTATGGACGCCATTTCAAAGTATTCACAATCAAAGGCTACAATGATCGTGAGACAAATTTTCTTTTTGTGGTTAACTTGATTGAACGCTCACAGTGTCTCGCCAACAGTTTTGTTCCACTCGCAAATCAGCACAATTTAGTGCAGACACAATTGCCAAAGCTTGCTCAACAGTAGTTACAGGAGGATTTGGTGATGTTCATCCTTTCGTCAAGACCAAGAATCAGTATGAGAACTTGAGACATCTTCGTACTGGACTGAAGGACAAGAAACTTGGAGGTGGGTAGTCGCAGTCACCAAATGTGACATTAAATCAAGGGCCATTTCCTGATATTATCTTCATTGACGTAGACGTGGTCATATCTGGTGTTGCATTTCACCATGCTGGAATGGCTTCTGAAGATCGTCAAAAGATTGAACAGGGATTTCTAGCTGGAAATGTTATTGTGATTTGTAAGTTTTGAAAGTCGGCTTTCGCAATCACATCTGATTGTTCTCACCATCTAAAAATAGGTACTACATCCACACTTGCAGTTGGCATCAATTTGCCTGCATATCTGGTGATTATCAAGGGCACTCAACAATATACGAGTACTGGGTATCAAGAGTATCAAGGCTTGGATATAATGCAAATGATGGGTCGAGCAGGCAGACCCCAGGTAGAGTCGAAGCGGCATGTCCGCGATAGCTATTCTCTACTGACAAGACTACCCAGTTTGAAGACTCTGGGGTCGCTCTCATTATGACAGACAGTGAACAGAAGAACAAATATTTACAAATGGTGGCTGGAACAGAAATCATCGAGTCGAGGTATATAGTTGACTTGAAATCGTCGTTTTGCATATCTTGGCTCACCCATTGTTTGAACCCATTCGTCAAGTTTGCACGAGAATCTGATTGAGCACTTGAATGCTGAGATTGTGTTGGGAACTGTCACCAATGTTGGTCTTGCTATTGAATGGCTCAAGTCATCGTTTCTTTATGGTAATTTTGCTGTCAACTTTCTTCAACGCACTTAAACATTAACTTGCTTCGTTGCTGATAGTTCGTATCAAGAAGAATCCAGCTCATTATAAGTTGAAGAATACAACAACAGTTATTGCCAAATTGAGTGCTGAGAAACGTCTGGAAGGTGGGAGGGAGCCCCTCACTAGCAAAAGGGTGCGCTTGTTAACAAAGTTTTGCTTTTGTAGGAATATATACTACGGATATGGACTTGTTGAGAAAAAAACATCTTATTGCTGTCTCAGATGATGGACATGGCCTTCAACCAACTGGTTAGAAAGCTTTTTTATCATTTTGCAATTTTCAGAAGGCTCAAATTGATCAGTTAAATCCCAACACTCCACACACCCTTCTATAGAATTTGGAAAGATCATGGCAAAATACTGTCTCAAATTCAACACCACTGTTGCCATACTTCAAGTTTCAAAAGCCGCTCTCAAGGACGTGTTGACATGCCTTTCAAAGGCTGAAGAGTTTGCTGAAATTCGATTTCGTGGTGACAAGGGCGAATTAAATGCCATTAGCAAACAAACACGTTTTCCAATAAAGGGTGGAAAAGTAAAGGACGTATGTGATAAAGTGACTATATTGCTCCAGGTAAGTGACCATCGTTCAAGCGGACTGTAAACTATGTGCAACCAGCGGGGCTACCTCTTCCTCACGTTTCCATCCCTCAACATATCAAAAAGGCTGTATTCGGCTCTATCTCGCTTGAAAACCAAAAGGCCTCCACGGAATTCTCAATGCAGACGAATGCTATCTTTAATGCTGCTCCAACCGTTGGACGTGGTGAGCAGTATGAATATGTGAATACCGAGAGGTCTATTTATGCCTTAACGAACTCGTTTTGCTAGCTATGATCGAAATTTTTATGGAGAAGGGTGATGAGATATCTGTGCGCTCCTCTATCACTCTCTATCAGTGCATCAATGCTAAGTCATGGGAGAGTGCTGACGGATTAGTATTGAAGCAAATCGATGGCATAGGTGAGTGGCCAGTTGTACTGAATTTTTTGGGCAGTAGGAGTCGTTTTGCTCATCATCGGAACTAGGACCTCAAAGCGCACGTATTCTTGCCGCAAAAGGAATCTCTACCATGCCACGTATATTGCGTGCAGATGCCCGCGAGCTGGAACTAGCTTTGAATCGAAATCCACCATTCGGCAACAAACTCCTTGATGCTGCCAAAACTCTTCCTCAATTTACGATGGTAATCAATCAAAACAAGGAGAACCCACGAACGCGACAAGCTGACTTGCAAGTCAAACTGGCTTTGGCAAACAAGGACACTTGTAAAACTTCCGGTCGATCTCCTCCTTCTGCTATCTTTCTGGTGACAAGTTCTGATCATCAATTGATTGAACACCGTCGTGTAATGTATGCGAAACGTTTGCCAAACTAATCAATCTGAATTACCTAACCTACCAATCCAATCAATCTGAATTTTCTATCCATTTGTCATTGAACAGGATCTCGAAACTCAAGGACTCGATATCTTTCTCTCTCTCACTCAATGCCAATCAGCCTTCTATGCATATCATGTGCTCGTTATTGTCCGAAGATTACGGTATGTATCGCAATAGCACAGTGTAAACTCTTAAAGATGAGCATTGAAGCCACTTTCTCCTAGTTGGAATTGATGTTCACAGTCAACTCGTACTTGAAATCAAGGGTCCATTTTTGCCAAACAGAAAGGAATTACCCAAACCGCCTGTGAAGAAGCATCTTGTGAGTCTGCGTCACCTTTTTACTGCCAGTCCAGAATATAACTCCTAAATGGACTTGTTTTGCGTGTAGGATTTAACTCCTATCGAACCAGTTGATCCAGATGAAGATGACTATGATCTTCCATTTGATGAAGCAGAGTTGTTGCTCGTGGATGAGGTACTCAAGGCAAATGGTCTTGAACCAATGGACGAACCACCTCATTCAGATCAAGATCATGCGGATATGATGGAGACTGGATTAGGCAGTGGTAAGTAGGTGTTGTGTTTGAGATAACTCGAGTCTGTGCTTGTCTCTAATGCTACTCCATTTGAAGATACTCAATTTGAAGAGACGGTTCAGGCAATGATGGTCGATGATAAGCAAGTACAGCAAACAGCTCCACCTCGTCCTAAACCTGAAGATATCAAGAATCGCTTGCTTCAAGATGGCGCAGCTGCTGGGCTGGCCCCTGGATTGGTGCCTTGCGATCACAAGTGCGGTGAAAAGAACAGGTAAAGATCAAAAACAAAAAGATAATACGAAACATGAGCACCTTTTTTGGGTTGACGACGACTTTTTAGTTGCAAGCACTTATGCTGCAAGACTGGAATCCCTGTGAAGAAGGCACTAAAACGAAAGATCAAGCCCTCTGTTGAACGCGATCCATCTTCCTCTCAAGCCGAGTTCTCTTCTGAGGGAGAGGACTCTGCTATTGTCAAGAAGCCAAAACACGCTGAACCGAAAAGGAAGGCTTTCAGTCGACTAGGCAACTTTGATGATGATGACTCTGATTTTGAATCTGATGTTGAACAACATGTGCGTCCCACAGAAAAACTTTCAAAAGTTGCATCCAAACGCATTGTTCGGGATTCCCCAACAAATGACGATAGTAGCATAGATGTCATTGATCTTGATACAACAACTCCAGAAAATGGTAAAGAAAGGGTTTCCCGCATTCGATTAATGACACTGACCAAGTCCTGCTAGGTCTAGTACTGTCTCTACCATGGGCTGAACGTGATAATCTCAACAATTTACACAAAATGACATCAGCAACAGCCCGAGTCTCGTCGCTCAGACTTGCATTAACATCCACTGATGTACCGTCGCCTATAACGTCACCCGGTACGACAATGTCTTCAGTATCACGACCTCCACTCAGCGTTTTCTCAGCCATGTCCAAAGTGCAACCACAAGCACGAAATGCAACGCTTACAAACCAACGTATCAAAGCAACCTTGGACAATCTCAACAGCCTACACGACAAGACTGTGACGAATCGAGTCGGAAAGTCATCTCTAAAGTCTTCTTCTGATCGTAATGTGGATGGTCAGAATGATAGAGTAGACATCCAAGAAGAAGGAGACGTGTCGCAAATGCAAACAGTGCCTGATATCGCACCCAAGGAAGCTGAATTCAAAGCAGCCTGTAATAGTTTCCTGGACTTTCTCAACAATCTCCAAGTTGATGAGAACGGTCACATGCATATGAAGAAAGACGACAAGCCCCAAAGGGATGATGATGCAGAGTTTTCAAAGAGCCTTGAAGATATTGATTCGTTGTTTATGTGATGTAGTATAGATCTAGTTGTACTCTTTCAGTCAAATGTAACCAAAAGGTATTTAAAATATGAAGTTGTGTCCTGTAAGCAAACAGAAACCGCCGAGTTGTCTCTTGACAGACTTTTAGTTTAATTCAACCAACTTGTTTTTGGTGCGTTTTGCAATTCAGTCACGACGAGCCCGAAATCCGTTTGCACTACTTCATCTACTGCATAATCGGTTCAAGAAGGAAACTCGAATCATTCCGCTGAATCAATGTCTGGGTACGCATATTTCAACTTGTCCTTCGTCGCGTTTTGTTGTGGGTAACAGGTGTTCCTCGAAAGAACGCAATAGTGGCAGTTACTTCCAACGGACTTGCAGGTCAATTGTCAAACAGCGCGAATTTACACATCAAAAATTGAAATTTTGGTGGTTCAGAGCCTGCTTGAATCGTTTTTGGGTGAGAGATCATGTTTGCGGCGATCAAATATATTTGCTCCTTGAAGGGTTTAATACTACAGGCAGAGTGTCAGAAAAGTAGTTGTATGCATGCATAAACATATGATCGAAGCTATCGCAGTAAAAACGTTACCATCGCGAAGCCACTGCAGGCAGGTCATCAAGCTCTGTTTTTTCGTCAGTTCACGAAATCACGAAAGTTTGCGACATCAAGAGCTTGATAATACGGGAGTAGATTTGGATACAAAGAATTTCAAAACTTTCGCCTAACATCTATCAGATCGATTAAAGAAACTTCTAGATCAAATCTTTCGGACGCGGTTGGTCTTGGCATTGCGGGACAAAACCGCACACACATTAGTGGAGGGCACGAAAGACACCACACTTCTTGGCAGCGCAGTTTTATCACACTAAAAAAACCATATTACTACTCTCGTCACCCGTTCATTTCCGTAAATCAAACAAGAGCTGATCATTAAAATATTGCTCAAGTAATCCGAGTATTGAAACATAACACACCACAACAAAGATGTACAAGATCATTGCTGTAGCACTCGTCCTCGGACTATCCGTTAGTGGATCTGAAGCATTGAAAATCCCAGCCGTCCGGTTTGGTATGTTTCCATCAGTGTGATATTTATTGACGCTTTGCTGAGGAGATTATGATTCCTCGGGACCCAGCATACGGGCAGTAAACACTTCTAACGAATCTTTTTCGCATTATAGATGTACCACACAATGGAACTGCAATCGCTGCTAGACACACTAATACGATGAGTATGCTTGTCACATTGGAGTCATTGGAGCAGAGTCTGTTGTTTCAAACCTGACTTAACAATGTGTTCAATCTACTCTCTGCAGGTCACGGAACCGAAGCAACTCATTTACCAAGGACTCTTGAAACTCATGCACCTAGGACGTTGGATGGCACCAAGACTTCTGATGGCGTCAGACCTACTGGCACCATGGTACCAGACCACGACAAGACCATTTCTGGTGCCCCTCCAACTGGAACTGCTCGTCCACGTGGAAGCCAACGAGGAAACTTCCACCCTTGAGCCGATCAGTTGATTCAACCATATGATCCACCTCATTTGAAACCTACACTGACTCTCATAGTTTGAAAATATCAACTGAAATACAATTTTGAAAAGCACGTCCAAACGATCCATGTCTATATACACTAGCCTAATAGATACATATACCCTTTTTCATGCAGATTGCTTTTCAACCGCCACCAGCACCCTTCCAATTAATCAGACAGCGTGTTACTTCAGCAAGCACTTCCTTAGCAGAAACTCGAGTAATTCCGACGCCGTCACTAATACTACTGGTTTTACTCTCTCTCTTCTTGTCAAGCCGTTGAGAAGCACCAACTATAGACCCTGCTTCTCTAATAAAGTATTCTAAATCGTCATCATCACACTTGTTGGCCAATCGTGCTAATCTGGCTCTTGGTGCAGCAAAGACTTCGTCCAAATCAAATAGTTCTAGAGACGGTGGTGGCAGAGCTCGTAGATCTGGTGAATGAAGTGCTAGATGTAATGGCGGTAATGGTGTTTCAAACTCTGGCGGTATCAGTGTCAATGGCTCATGTTTCAGACCCAAGTCCTGTAGTTTGGTAGATATTAATTATCTAATTTCGTTTTTGCATTGAAACACCTTACAGTGTAAACTTTGAGAGCCTTTGGCAATAGATCTAAATCAAACTTGAATAGTTGATGATCAAAAAGGCTCGTAAAGTCTTTTGGTATATCGTCGCTCTCCTAAAAACAAGATTTAGGAACTGCGAGGCTCTGTGTTTCAATGGTAATCTTGCCTGCAAGCAGACACGTAAAGAATCAGCCAGTTTCCCAACATCAGGTGTGAAATGATAGTCTGATATCTGGAAAAAAAGTTAGCTCGGATAGTACGACAATACTTTGACGAGAATTGATGACGCTCACTTCTGGTTCACTGGCATCAATTGAGTTTAACGTGATTCGATCTAAGTCAAACGAAAATTGATTTGGCTTCAAAATGAAGAAATCAAGAAATCCAATCAATGCGACAACACACCTGTCGTCAGGAATCGAATCAAAACATCAAACAGTTTCCCATTCTCGTCCTTGTCAATATACTCGTCCGAAAACGTGTATGCGGATCCAACCACGACCAGTTTACCACGACCGTCCTATTCGGCACAACATAAGGTTGAGCACAAAAAAGAGACACTACAATGATTGATCCATACATTTCCAGCATATGCAGATCCTATCGGTCTATTCACTGGATATGAAACCGCAGATGATGACAATATCGGCACAGATGGTGTCTGCACATTCAGAGTCGCTCCGAATGGAAACACGAATGAGAGAGATCTAGTTGTCGGAAGAACTGTTAGGGGCGAGTACCATCGCTTTTCTGGTCCATTAATACTCACGACGGATTCTCCTTATCATGAAACACAGCATCATTGTGACGTCCCGCACCACCACCAGCAGATCCAACTCGTTTCCCTGCCGCTCGATTCAATTCTCGATTCAGCACGCCATTCGTTATCAAGACTTCTTTAGGGTGGTAGTACTTGTAGTACATTGTTCGAATGACGGAATCTGAATTATGGAATGTCAGTCGTGGGAACACTGTGATTCGAAAGCATCAAGTATGTATAACTTGCCTGCATTGACAACGACGCCATACTCTTCCAGCAGATAATTAAAGTTGGTACCCAGTTGCGATTCACCGCCTTCAGTAGCGAGATATAATACAGATCCACCACCATCCACGTATGATTTAAGTGCTCCAAACTATATGTGATAATGCTTCAGGCTTGATTTTTTGTTGTTGCTCAACTTCCCAAAACAAAACCTCAGCAGAAGAGAATTTATCTCTTGGAGCTCCAAATACAACGAGCGATGATCCACCCAGTTTCGATTCCGTTATGCCGTCCTTCAGCCTAATTAGCCAACAAAAGGGGAATAAACACAACCGTCTTCATGCATATTCCTTGACTATGCCAAACCGTGACATGTAAATGACAAAGATCAAGCACGCATCAGTTAAAGCACTCCAAACCCCACCAATCCCTCATGCTACCATTCCACGATCTACACCACATCAACCCTCCTCCCACAGTTCACAAAACAACTTACGTTACAACTTTAAATGATGTTCTCAATCGTTTCTGTAAGGACTTGAATCCATTCGTCAAGGTGAACAATTCACCTTTACAAGCACTGAACAAAATAGTAGTGCCTTGTTGTCCTTCATTGGAAGATTCATTTTGATTTCTCAGCTCATTTCTTGATAATAGATTTGACTGCGAAGTACTATTAGATGGATTTGATCCTCTACGATGCTGTGCGTTGGATTTGGTGGGTGATGCGCTACGTTGCGCTGGAGATGTCAGCATTTTCTGTTGTCCGACTACTACAACGTTGATTTTCTAAGGTGTGTCGTTGACTTGGAGGTGACGGACATCTGGTGAAGGACGATATAGAAGAAAGCACTCAAAAATCAACCAACCGAATGATGACAGTACTTTGCTACGTGATTCCACGCGCTACATGGCTACGTGAACAAAGCATCTGACTTTGTGCGAGATACTTAAACTTATTTTACAAGATGTTTTGCTACAAGCGAAGATGCCTCTCCAGGTCCAACACATAAATAATCCGCTACAAAATGCATATTTACGCAAAGTGTCCCTATTTTGAAAAAACCAAAAGCATAAGTAAACATCGACACTGTCACAAAACAATGCTCGCGACCAGATTACCTTTAGTCGCAAGCACCTTAGGATCTGGATACTTGACGCCTGGCCGCTCATCTATAATGCAATGTGTGTAATTCTATGAAGAGAGGTTTGTTAGCCTGAGACCAAGAAAAATCTACAATAGATTGTCAAAATATGACATCCAACTGTCTCCTGTCTCAACAGCATTGCAATGCACACACATACCTGCTGCTCCATAGTATTAAAAGGTGCTTTACCAATAGTCGCAATTCCACCTCCAGCTCTTATAATCCTAGCCAACGGATCTGCCTTTTCCGGTGTAGCAACCAGCAAAACATTCCAAGTCTGGAATGCACCATTCCGCGGTGCGGCCAGATTAAGATAATTACCAAGATGCTTACGCCACCGAAATCCAGCACCTACACCAGACGAATTCGAGCCAACTGGAGGCAAGTACTCGTGAGGGTCAGGTTCTACTAGTCGACCTTCAGCTTCACAAGCTTCCAAATAAGACGGCTTAAGAATCCAACTACCGGATGCACACGCTGCAATATACTTTTCTGTCTTGTTTGTGTTTACTACTACGAGATGAGTACATTCCTGAACCCATGCTTCTGACTTTAATGCAATACCACCCAATCGAGTAATCATTTTAGTGTACTTTTCTCGATTTGGATTCTGAATTCCAGACATCAAAATCTTTGGCTGATTGTTGCTAACAGTAGTAGTCGTCGTCGTCTTCGCAGTCGTACCAGCAACAGCAGAAGTAATCGACATGGTCTTGGCAGTATGACTACTAGCATCACCAAGTTCAGTGGCCGATATGGATGCAATACCAGCCGACTTGACCGACGAAACTGCATCTGCTGGACGATTGTTTCCATCTATGGGTGGTTCTGACAGTCTACTATGCCTTCCATGTTGTCTGAATAAACCTCCTAGATTGCTTGACAGACCAACAGTCTCAACAACTCCTTCACTCATAAGACTACCAGCATCACTACCAGGTTCTTCTGACGACATTCTTCCACGTTTACGAGTTTGGAATTGCTCAATCAGCTTCCTCTTCTCCTTGATACCTTCTGTATCTTCATATGCCACAAATCCAGCATCAATACTATGGGCGACGGGCATTTGGGATGGCATTATATCGATATCCATGGGTGATTCAAGTAGTGATGGCTTTCGACCAGCAGATATTAAAGGTCTAGGACGCCGCCTTTTATCAATCTTTACATTAAACAGCTCGTCGACCTTGGCTGCTGCAGCTGATGACACTTGAGAGCTCTGCGATTCTTCTGGTAAAACAGGAGACACGCCACTTTTCGTATTAGTGGGCGAGTTGTTGGGTGACGGTTCGTCTGCAATCTGGGGCCTGAATACTGGGGGCTTACCGATGACGATGCTTGGGTCTCGATTGATACTTATATTATACGGTATGATTGGTTCAGGGGCATCATTGCCAACCGAAGACGGATCATCGCCCATGTCAATTTCGATGGTTTTAAAGTCCTTTGCTGCTGGTGTGAGAGCCTTGACAGGATTATATGTGTGAGGAAAGTCAGACTCGGATTGTCTGATGCCAGTTTCGAAGCACTATTGGTAATTCAAAAGTGTAAAGCCAAAATGTTTTTGAGCCCTTGACAAATTCATCTGATTGCCCTACCTTTTCAAGCCAAAAGGGAGACACAATAAACTTGTTCTTCAGCTTTGCAGACTTGAAATCCTTGGTGGTTTCATTTTGTCGATTTCCTTGATGTACATAATGAGTACATTGGTCTGAATAGGAAGGGATGGTCGTGGCACCCAATTGATTACATATCCGATATAGTTCACTACGACGATGCTGCTTGTTGCCATGTTAGATTGGTCTCGTAGGCTAAAAACCAACTTCTTCAGGATACATAGCTCACCAGCAGCTTTTGACTAACACAAACAACGACACCATCAGCCAAAACTTGCGATAACTGACTTGACGATGGTATTGGAACTGGAACTTCTGGCGGTTGAATGAAAGGCTCCTCTTTGACTGCACTGATGGGTTCTATAGACATTTTCGATGTATTCTCTTTTGCCTTTAGTATACCAGAAGCGAATGCTGATTCTAATGGAGAGCCCGCTGATACTAACGAGTCTAATTGTAGGGCTACGTCAGCAAAATAAAAAAACAATAAAGAGTCTATTGTACCTCGCCTGTCAATACCTTTGGCTCCTGTAGGTGATAACAAGGCAGTCATAGCATCTGAAGTATCAAATCTTGGCTTGAATTCTAATATCAAACATTGCTTAGCTGAGAGCAAAAATGTCTCAAAAAAAAATGATCCAACCTGGAGGTTCAAGCGGCTTTAGAAGGTATGGCTGTATATCAGGCATCGCACCCTAAGAACAAGTGGGTCGTGTTATTATAACCAAAGGCTCGAACAACCATGTTCATCATACATGCAAGCAAAATATATGTATGTACCAATGGAACAGCATCATAGAGCCAATCAGGATTCAAAATTGGAATCTTCCATCCACGGGCCTTTTCAAGTTTGGCAGAGTTTCCATCGCCATCGGGTTTGTACAGGAGATGAGTATTCTTCTTTGAGAACTTGAGCGTAAAGGTGGCACCTACGACAACAAAGACTACATTCAGTTCTGCGATGGTTGCATACTGAATTTTTATTAAAGTGACATTACCAATCTTCGTTGTGACGACATCAAGCAGGTATCGTTCATGGTCGTTAAAGCCTGTTACAGATATGCATGCGTTTGAAAATCCTAAGCAACAATATGAGGGAAGGTCAGCAACCAACCAACTATCGAAAGCTAGCAATGACATACCAGGTATTGGAAATGGAGCTAAGGTCGGTTGAAATATCTTACAAGCACTCAGAAGTGGAAGACGTTGATCCTGGAAAGGTGCCAAAAAAACGAAATTACAATTGAGATTATGAGGAATGTCGTTCTCATAGGCGACATACCGAACACCATTGATCCAACCACATTTCAGTAACGAAATAACAATCAACTGGGGGTGGTAGATTCAGTCCATGTCTAATAAATGGTTCAATCAGATTTGTAATTCATTCCAAGCAAAAATCTAGCGACCTGACATTGATAATGGAACAACCACAAAGCGAGTCCTTGAGTTACTAGTAGGTGGCCACGCTCTCGACTTAACTAGTACACCACCCTTTCTCACAATCTCGGCTTCAATAGCCCTTTGAACCTATTTGAAACAGAAGGCGTCTATGAGGATCTTTTTCAACAGGAAACATTTTCAACACCAACCTCCTCGGCGTTTGAAAACCCTTCACATGCAAAAGCGTATCCCTTGAGCAGACTCTCCCTAGTTAGAAATGTGTCAAATGAAGCGCAAAAAATGTTTCTCCACCCGTCCAAGTATCACTGTCAGAGATACATACAAGACAGCGGTACTCATAATCGTATCTGCAATCATCGTTCCAGGAACACAAGTACTCATGACTTCATCAGCTGGCTTTTCAAACAAGTCAGTCGGCAAAGTAGCAGCACCAGCTACATTATTAACAATAGGTGGAGGTGCTATGATGGTCGATGGAGCTGGATTGTCACCTGCATCGACCATGTTGACATCATCACTAAAATGGACATCAATGACCTTTTTGCCTGCTTCTATTGGCTTTATCTCTATCGGTTTTGAAACAGCCACATTCTCCTTGTTTGGTATCGAAACAACACCGAGAGGGTTGCTTATATCAAAGCCCACGATTGGCTCAACACTGGGATATATTCCATCAATGTTTAATGACGATGATCGGCGTCGATCACTACGAATCTGCACCTTAACTTTGGTGACAGCGACAGGTTCAATCCTTTTCGGTATAGGCTCGTGCGGAATGGGTTTCGGATTTGCTACATCGACTGGCTTTACAACGAATGGTTCGATATCGACTAGTGCTTTCGCATCGACTACAAAATACATCTTATGTAGGTAAGGTTTTTGTTGCAGATGGTCATTCTCGAATACGAACATTACCACAAGACTGTAACCACTTGTCTGATACTATGGGTATTGGCCGGGATTTGATCAAATCCAAGGTACTATAGGATGAATCAATCAGGATAATATGGGACAAAAAAAGTGCCGGAAAATTACGCAAACCCGTCATTCAAGGCAGTGATTCCAACAACGATATGAGTAACCAAACCATCTACAAGTTTAGCAGTAGCACCGCCATAGTCTCGAACAGTTTTTCGACAATGTGCTAGTTGATTCGTGGCAAGACCTTCTCCAAAGTAAATGTTGCATCTGAATGATAACGGCTTCATAAGAAAGCGGTCATATGACAAGTATGCGGGGGACTACAATACCGATCAAATAGGGGCCCAGGACGAGCTGCTGACAGTAAGCTTGTCGTTTCAGCTGCAGAACTGGCATCGCCTGGTTGCTCTTGTGGATCATCCACGACTGGATACTCTAATTCCTCCAACCGTGCTAAAAAAGACGACTTTAGAGAAAGGTTTTACGATATTGAAAGTTCCTAGCGACTCAATTCAACTAGTGGTTACAAACCCTTCTTTTGGACAGACTCTTCCAGCCACACAAGAGACACAATCATAAGCTTCCACTAAAAGACCAAACTGAGTTATGGAGCTTTGCAAAGAAACGATATACGTGGCATACCCTCACAGCAAAGTCATACTTTTTGCCAGTGGGAGCACTGGCAACGAGATGTGTGCAAGTCTTGAGCAGATCAGCACTGAATACGCCTCCATTGTCCTCAATGAGCTTCTTGATATCGGAACGTTGAGCTACTATGATGAAACATGTGTCAGACGTCCGTGTCGTAATTCAACGAGGTTTCCTGTACACACCACCCGTGAAGCCCGTGACACATATAACTAGACCTCCAAATGGAGGGAGTCGATATTCGTCCATGATCTAACATCAATCGACGTGCTGAGTACGATGATCTGGCACCAAGTTTCAATGACAAGACTTACACTCAGCGCATCAAAGGAAGGACTTGAGCGACATTGATTCCAGCACACTTCAATCCATTCTGGCTTTACAACAGGTTTCTCCAGTTTTGCAGCATACTATAATCAAAGGTGCATCGTCAGACCAAAAAAAGCAGATATATGAAGAAGATATGTCTGTTGCCAACCACCATACCTTGTACTTTGGAGATACGGTAGATAAAGCGATGAGATGTGATGTGTCTGACGTGAAAGCAGCACTGTATAAGGAGAAAGAGCAAAACAGATCAGTTTCCAGATGTTGTTGCAGACAGTGACTCTCTTTTGTGCTTGTTGATCCGATGAATGCAAGGCCACCCACTTGTATTGACCGCCCATTTTTACAATCCTATCAATCATATCATCCTAATCAATGGAATTAACATTCTTTTACGTGTGGAACTGATGCAAAACAGAGCTCTAACGAAAGCGAACATACTCTGAGTTGGTTTGCAGGCAGCCCCGTTGAGCAGAACAGCATTCCCTCTAGACACCGATACCGAGTTGCCATGTATTCTCCCTACTCTTTCCATAACATGTACTTGATCGTATTGTTGTTTGCGCTTTTGACCAGAAGCAGCCATTGAAGGCCGAGCAGCTGCCCGCGCTCAAGATTGTATGGATTTTATTCTTGTAAATTATATTATCTACCATTAAATAACACGTAATGACTGTGCTGAAATCATGAAAACACGCTGGAAAACACGCGACTTCGCCATCAGTCAAACACACTGAAAAATACCAGTTACTTACGGAGTTAGAGTGTCTCAGATCTGGACAATCAGACTAGGAGAGATTGACAGCTTTTTTACATTATGGCATTCGCACCACGGCAGACTGCCACTAGAAGGACCACACTAGCTCCTCCTGCTTTCGCAAATCGAAACTCTATTCCTACATCTCGACCTACTTCTGCAAATCCTCTTCAGCAAAGAGGAAGAACACTACTAGGCTCATCAAGAGATTCGACTTACTTTCATCAAAATGGTCTTCCTGCTGGTATGCCAAACATGGCCTGTGCTTTGTGCTTCTTGTTACAACATCAACACTCACATATTGAACGATAGTTCTACCAGAGACACGACCAGATCGAACCACGTCTGTATCGCCAACACCCTCCACTGCTACTTCTGTAGCTGATTCAGACATGCAGAGAGTCAAAAAGAAGGGCAAGTCCTGTTGCAGTAACGGAATCCATTGGATACAGCTGACGGTTTTTTGTCCCATACAGCTGGACGTATTGTGCCTTCGAGATACATGGCTTCTCTAAACTCTAGCTTGAATGAAAACGTGGCTCCTGCTGCAATAGTCGCAAAACCAAAGGGGTTGACCATCAACCAGCCAACTGCAACCAGTACTGCTAGTAAACCACCTTCAACAGCAGCAATCCCTCCTCCTGTAATAAAGTCATTTGACCCAGTACCCACTCAACCATCGCATACCAAAGACAAGGAAAACGTGGATAGAACAAACGAAGAGCACATACAAGCCACAACAAGACCAATAAAAGAACGCATACATGCACCTCACAAATCAGCAAAACAACATACCCAAACCCCTTCCAAACCAGTAAAAGAACATGTACAAGTCCCAACCACCAAACCACCAAAAGTTGAACCAATAGTCAATGATCTTCTACCAGATGGCACCATACCAGTCAAGGCATCTCAACAAGAAAAGCCATCACAACCACAACCTACACAATCATCAATAGCATCTTCACCTCTCGAAGACATACTACTTGTAGAAGCACGGTATCTGCAATCAGTAGGTTTGAATCTGAAAGCACATAGAGAGTTTCAAGTCGCTCGGAAACAAGCTCACGTAAGATCAACATTTCAAGACTTGTGGTTTTTTTTGCTTTCTCTAATCATCCTTTTTGTACGTTAGGAACGTCTAGAAGCTGATCGAATCACATTAGCGAAAAAGCAAGATGAGTTACGACTCGCACAGGCTGCGTTTGATCTGAAAAAGGAGAGAGCACAGCCTTTGCTGAGTTTGTATAAGCAAAGAGATGCGCTGAGGCATGTCAAGGACGAATTACAATCACGAGAAGTCGTTAATCAAGAGGTAAGTGTAGCTTTCTGATACCGCTCAGATCAACTATAAGGAGTTTTCTGTCTTTTTTTTGCCAAATAGGACCACAATATGGTTGCTACAAAGCTAGACGAATGCATCAAAGTCATGGATCAACTCACCATTGCTTCCGCCATCCATGAATCATACAAGACTCAAATAAGACAAGTAACGATATAGTCGAATCAGTCCTTTATGTGTGTCATGCAGTGTAAATACATATATATATGGTCTCATGGTTTATACAATATTTGTTGCCTTATCTACCTCTCTACCTTCTACGCTCGATGAGGTCTAGAGCCCAAGATGCAAAGAAGCCAGGTATGGATGACTTTTGTTTGACCCATGCCACCACAAGCGAATCAATATGCTGAGCTCGTGCTCTGTCTCCCTTCACAACTTGTATTCCTGTTCCATCACTTGATATCACAACTGATGGTTCCCCTTCTGCATGCATGGGTACGAATCGAATGCCTGATTCTTCCAAATCAACCTTATATCCCAGATACTTGAAGACAGCTTCTCGATACTCGGTTGCTTTTGCTTGGTATGCCTATGTTTAAAGATTTGGAACTTAGAATTGAATGCCCCCCAACCCCAAAAAAACGTGTCCTTCGATCGTGTCGATACCATTCTCAAACGTTGCAATTTGGTATCACGACCAACCAATTCCTTTTGCAACCTTTGACAGTCTTGTTCAACTGTTTTGAAGCTCTCAATGGGCAGGCCTGCATCACTACGATTTACTAGACGTTCTCGTAATGACTTGTTTTCGGCTTGGAGTGCGTTCAATGTGGCTTGTCGAATAGCAAACTCGTCAGATTCTGGATTATTGCGTAGTTGCAACACCTAACATGAGAATGTAGTATGTTGAGAAAAGAACGCCATTGGTCAGATGATGCCATATGTCACGGTGAATGAAGGTGCCTACCGATGTGGTAGCTGTATTGTATTCACCCCTTCCTAACGCATTCTCCAATAACCGTAGCTGTTCGTCTGAAGCGGTTAATTGTTTCACAAGTAGAGCATTTTCAGTCTGTAAGGTTTCCAAAGCTACCAAAAGAAAAGAGAAAATGAGACGCGAAAGAAAGGAGTGGCTGAACCCGGAATTTACTCAAAACCTTTCTGAGCGGTCCTCAACTCTTCTGTCAGCTCTGCAGTATGCTTTTGCATAACCGCATTTCCTACAGTCGCATCAGTCATGTTGGAATCTCCATCAGTATGCTCAGATTCAAGGAGCCGTATCTGTTGTCTATACTCTTCAACCAATGTTTCCAATGACTTGATACGTTCACTCTTGACTGTATCAAAGTTGGCTGTCAGATTCTGTTCCTCCAAATCATATGATTTCTAAACAAAGGTGCAAAGAAGAGTCTCGTAAATCTTAGGTACGAGCCACACTGGAACACCTGGGCGCTTACCAACTGATCTCTAAAGAAGTCGACTTCCTTTTGTGCAAAAGCACGACTTCTTTCGGTACGCTTCGAGGTCTTCAATTCAGCGTTATACTTTTCTTCCAATACTCGTAACTTTGCATCGGATTCTTGAGCCTGAATAAAAAACAAAGTGAGACGCGCACATTGTGAGGACCACATGGAGCGTTTTTTTGCTCGATAAATTACGTACCTGCACTTCAAGCTGAGCAATATACTCATCCTTGGCTCTAATCTCAGCATCGTGCTTTCCAATACGATCTTTCGATATAATCAAATCCAACCGATTCTTAGCCAACTCTTTTGACAGAGCAAATGGGGAGTCCATCCCAGTGTTATCTTCCTTATCCAAGAATGAAGACCATCTCAGCTTCTCTCCTTTTAGCTTTGATAATTCAGTATCGAGTTCAGCACATCGTTTCCGTAGATCAGACATCATAGCAAGCTGAGATTCCAGAGCTCGAGTCTTTTCATGCAGTTTCTCTGTATTCTCGTAATGTGATTTTAGATACGTATTTTCGGCTTGGAGTTGTTTATTGGATGATTCTAGGTTTTGGATGTGTATGATTTGATCTAGAGTGGTAGATAGATTGTAAATGTTGGTCAGCAAAAAAAGTATCAAACCGAAAACAATACCGTGAAGTTGTTTTTGAAGGACGAGAGCACTATCATCATCTTCAGAGTTGCTCTGACTGGCTAGTAATGTCTTTGTACGCATTAATTGAGACTGAAGGTGAAGTAGTTGAGCCCGCTCTTGTTGTCTCGCAGTCACGATAGTTTGATACTGAGGGCACGAAGACGAAGAAGGTGTTCAGCACTAGCAAAAAAAAAGACTAAACCCCTCTACCATAATGGACGTACCTCCTGTTCCAGCTCTGACAACCTCCTCTGAGTCCTCGCAGATGTCTCTTCCAGCTGTTGATTTGCAAATGTAAGGTCTGCTATGGAAGCATCGTTCTCTGATGTCTTTAAAGATAGTTGCTCCTTCATTTCTGCATTTTCGCGTCTCAATTCACTAGTCGTTCGTTCAAAAGCACTCCTTGTTGAGGTCGACTGATTTCTGATTTCCTCTAGCTCTGTAGAAGCAGCCGTTTCTCTCTGCATCAAGAATTTACGATCTGATTCCAAGGACTGCATGATATAGTGAGAATAAAGGGTGAGGCATCAGAGTGGTGCGTACAGATGTCTCAAACAACGCTCCCAGGCAAACGTTTCGGGATTTTTTTGTTACCTCGACTCGTTGAGTAGCTTCAACCAGCTTAGCACTCTGCCGACTATTGACAAGCTCCATATCAGCAATCTGTCTCTCCAGCTTTCGTTGTGTCTCTCTTGCTTCTCTACGAGCGTCCTTCAACTGCTTCTTGAGTTCAAGTACATCTGGATCTGCATAGATATCCATGTTTGAGTCTGTGCTGGCTATACTTCTACGACCAGGAGATGAGTCTGGAGGCTAGATATGACATGTTATTCAAGTCAATGAGCTTGTACGAATTCAAAAAAGATCCATGTGCCAAATGTTTGACAACATACCATGGAAGAAGGAGTTTTGAAATTAGCAAAGATAGATTCTATAGATTCCAATGTCTTTGAAGTGTCTCGTAAGCTGGGAGTGCCATTTAGAACGGGTCGGCGTAGTGTCGAAGAAGGCAATGTGTTGGTTGAGCCATACACACCATGCCCTGTAAGCCCAGTGAATGGAGTCATGGGAGGTTCTGCTATTGATGGTCGTGCATTGCGTGAAGTAGATCCTGGTATCGCATAAGGATGAAATCGCTTGTCTGCCATAAGCTGTCCTTCCTGTGATTTTCGGTTGGTCAAAGGAGCTGCCGCGTTTTGGGCACGATTTGTACTTTCAGCTTGAAAATTCGCGTAGTAACGTAGTAATACGCGTTTATTTTCATCTTTCCATCCTATCTTCTATACTCTTCTATACATGCTAGTTCTAGGCTATAAGTGATTTGACGACATGGTCGTTGTACACTAAAAGCGACTTCTATAGACGTGACAGCCAATGTTTCCTTTATTAACAAGTTCTTGACGCTCCAGGAATCTGGCAAAGTCTTGGTGAGTAAAAGAGTCGTCAGTGGGTGCAATGCGCGTGCTAGATTACTTACCAGAAGACTAGAGTCACAAGAATTCTCGTTTGTATCCGTTCATACCAATACCTACCACTAAAGTGAGCAATGAGCCCTCCACAAGCTCTTCTAAAACAAATCAAGAGTCAGTGTGCTTTCATCAAATCGAAGATCAAAGCATTTGTGTCATCGCTAGACTCACAGCACCTACATTCACAATAGAACAAAGAATGGCCAGCTCCGCATGCCACAAGCTTGCATTTTGAAGGCAGATTGACGATACCAGGCTGGTGCACGTCCTTATTGTTTCCAACACCACACTGACCATGTTCATTCCATCCCCACGATGCCACCCTTCCATCTTGCAGCAAAGCCAGAGAATGTTCAGACCCAGTGGATATCTCACTTGCCTTCTCTGGCAACGCTACACTTTCAGCGTCAGCAGCCCGTCCCAATTGGCCGTGATCATTACGTCCATACGAGTATATTATTCCTTCTGTAGACAATGCCAGAGTATGAGACCATCCAGTTGACAATGAGTCAAATTTACAGCGTTCCTTATTAGGCTGACTGAGCTGATTGTGATTGTTACGTCCAAAGGAATGTATTGTGCGTTCTTTTGCGATTACAGCACCGTGATATTGGCTCATACTGACATGCCGACATCCTTCCCATGGTGATAACGTCGGTATAGAGACAATGCTACTAGTACCTCGATCTCGTCGCGTTCCTGGCTGCTTTACAGTAATATCTATCTTATCTGGCAATCCTAAAGCCTGATGCTGATTACTACCACATACATACAGTCCATCTGCAGTGAGTACTGCTGTTGATCTAACACCACATGAGATCTCAATAGCTTGACTCAAGTTTGGAAGTTTCGTCCATTTTGTGACATTAACGATGCCAGAGTCGAGTCCCAGTTGACCAAAACAGTTATCACCAGTCACCCAAACACATCTATCTACATCTATAGCTGCTGAATGCTCCCATCCACACGCTACAGACCGAAAGAGCACGGGAGTCTCAATAAACTCAAATGTTGTTGATGACTGGTTACTCCCCAATTGACCGCGACTATTGAGTCCAGATGCATATAGTTTTCCATTTGCATCAATTAAAAGAGAATGATTGCCACCACCCGCAATACATTGAATGGGGTGCTCGACACTGTTTGGTAAATTAACTTTGGTCGGAGTTGCCGTGTCCTCTATCGTTCCATTGCCGAGTTGTCCATGAGCATTAGAGCCTACTCCATATAGGGTCATGTCCTCTCCCTTTTATAATCTTCAAGCCTTCTATAACCTTTAAGATGATTTTGCGACGAAATGGCGAATGACGCATCGCCGCTTTGACAGGAACATAGAAACAGCATTAGATTTGCATGTTTTGAGTTATATGCGTCAACGCAGAACTGCTTCTGGCAAGGTCAAGATTAATTGACCACATGAAAGCGCTGATAAACGTCAACTGGCGCAAAGGCTATTTTCACAAATTCCCACCAACAAGTTTCCGCCAAACATGCGTAGAGCATACAGAGATACAGTTCAGATCCACTACTTGATTGAGTGGGAGATCCCTTTACATGCTTCGTTATAGATGCTCTTGATATGGCCCAGCAGACTTTGCAAAATACCCACTATTATCAATATTAGCCAGCAGCTCGGAAAACATCCTCATGTCTCTCTTCTTAGCATTTTTAGACGTTGCTGTGTCCTTCTCAACCAACTTGGACAACCCCATCACAAACAACCCAACTGACATCCTGAACTTTTTAAACAAGTCCACGACATTCTCATTCGTCATGGTATACGTCACCCGACCAGTTATGAGACGACTAAAAGTTAGTATCGTCTGTAGAGCAGCAGAGAGACACTTCATTATAGGTGCTTGTCGACGATGCAACAAGAGCCGCCATACAATCTCGTCCATGGTTGTTATGTGTAGCAAATAGAGAGATTCCAAATCAAGAGTTTGGATGTGTTTCACTCGTTCAATCTCGTCCATGAAGGTCTTCCATGGGGTTTCAACACCAACATCAAATGAGTACCGTATCAAACCTCGTACAAAGTGAGCAGCTTCAAACCTAAATCGTACTACCACAGTAACAATATCGGATGGAATATTATTTGATCGGTGGTCCTTCCACCATGCCGTGTTTGTGATGCGTGACAATGCTTCATCGGTTCGTGCTAAACGGAGGAGAAACCAAAAGCATTTTTGATAGTGGTTTTGGACTATAGATGGAGTTATAATGATATTGATGGGGGGTGGTGGTGTATACGCCAGATTCAAGAAGTCTAGAGCTTCCAACGCTAAAAAAGGGTTCTGTATTCAACCAGTATTGTCAAGCATTACGGGATTAAAAGACAGGTTTTACCTGCGGGATCCATAATATCTTGTTCTGTCTCAGACAGCACAAATCTCAGACATTCGCTCAATTTATCCACCCCATTAAGCAGCCGTTTGGGCCTTACATGGCCGTTTGACGAAACAAACCCACAACGTTCAGCTTCTCTAAATACAACTACATCGTTCAAGGCGGCTAGAAGAGCTAAACCTGCAGGAGGCCATGCTAGGCACCCATTGATACCTACTCCTGAACCACCATCGCCAACAAAGATAGCGTCTTTCACACTACTTCTAAACATACCATCCGATAATAGCAAGAATGACTTTAGCACTTCTAGGTGTGCTTGCAGGCCTGCTCCATGCAACAGGAACCGTATGACACAATGTTCAATACTATTAATCCTCGTTTGCAAGGCGTAATGTAGAGTGTCTTGTACTAGTGTCGGTAGTGGTGTATGGTTGATGACTAAATCCGCCTGATTATCGGATTCTGCCATAGTCAATAACTCGTCCAGTCTATTCGGGAATGATAGCGACATTGACGTAAATGTGCACAACTGGCTAGGCACTGTATGCTCGTTTAGATTTAGAGGTGACAGCGGCTTCAAATCAAAGAAGAGCTTCTGTACAGCATTGACAGTGACGTCTACAGATGGAGATATGGTCGGAATAGTGTGAGACGGTGGAGCTATGACCAGCTCATCGACCTTTACTTCCGCTGGCGCCACTTCTATTGGCACCACCTCTGCTGGGATCTCTTCATGGTCTACGTCATCATTTAAGGGTGCTATTGTCTCAATCGGAGATTCCATCAAGGAACTTTGCATGACGGGCATATCCGGAGAGCTATGAGGTGACTCTAATGGTTGACTACTACTATTATCAATATCTTTTTCATCGACCCGAGACGGTAGTGGCTGCTCCTCTAGAGACAAGATCACTGATACGTCTTGGTTTAGGGTTATCTGATATGGGACCTCTTCGTCATGATTTTCAACTGCATCGACAAAGTCATCCCCGCTATCAGCCATGGATGTATCTGCATCGGTGGAACCTGTTTCTGGAATATTTATTGGTTCTGTCGTTGTACTGACTTTGATTGAGGAACCAGGCACTAATGATTGAGGTGCATCTTCTGTTAATAGAGCTCGACGTTTGTCGTCTAATTCTAAACGAAGACGTCTCCACTCTGCTACTTCTTGTCGTCTATTGAGAGCATCCATAGCCGTCTCATAGCGGGCGACGAGGTCACGTTGTTCGTCTTCCTTTAGCCTTTGCCATTCTTCGTTTTCTTGAAGTCTTCGTGCAATCAGACGAGCATCCTCGTCCAATTCTTTACTACGTGCTGACTCTTTCTCGTCCGAGCGTTGGGTCAAAAAGGCCTAAAATTAATCTCAGATACAACTAAAAAAGTCCATTTGCAGAAAGAAAAATACCTCGATGGATTGTTGAAGCACCCTCTTCCTCTGTTGGACCTTTTCAGCCTGCATTTGTTTCGACAATGACATGGCTTCAGTCTCGGAACGAGCCTAGATGTTGTGAATTTAGCACTCAACCATTCACATAGGCAGATTCGGCTTTTTTTGCTACCTCATTTCTACGCTCGGTGTCCCATAATTGGATCTCAACCTCCACTTTCTCAGCGTCTAGTGCTCCTTCAAGTTCTAAATCTTGTGTAGCACTTCTAACGTGCTCATCTAATTCACGAGCTACAAGACGCATTCCATCAACTTGGGATGGCGTCAGAGTCCATGCACAATAGGAAATTCCCTGTGTTGATGATTTGAATATCGGATGGGATGGCAAGGATGACTGAAGGAGCCGTAATGCTTTACCAGCACGAATGATGCCTTGCGCCAGCACTTCAGGTATAAAAGTTGGTGGTGTAGTCGATTCACTAAGCTGTTAGAAAGTGTCAGATGTAAGGTCAAAACCTCGTGTTGCTTTTCCCAAGAACACGTACTTGGAATCCACCACTCCAAAATGAATCACCAGTCGTCTCAAGAGTTTCAGCGGGATCCAAGTCAACGATAAAGAATTCTAGATACGGATCCAATTCTCTGAAATCAACCGTGAACTGACTCTTGTCGTCAGCATCATGGGCTTCTCTGACTATTCCCAACCGTGCATCTAGCCATCGGAAGAATGGCCATGATGTAGACGAGAGAAGACTCAAAATCAATGCTCGTAGCAGTTTATCATTTTGTGTCATATCTATGGCAGCAGCAGCCTCATACAGATACGAGAGGAGTGCTGTGCCGCGTGGCAACTTGCTGTGACCATCTGATCTGGTCTGCGTGGTATTGGACGTACTAGGTATTAGAATTGACTGAGATCCTGAGATGGATTCAACATTCATACTTACACTGAGAAATTCAGTCAACATCTCCATGACCTTTTTTATTGGTTCGACTGCACAATAAATCTCTATCAGATGAAACCGTGGACCAAGCATTTCGGGTAGTCGGACAACACAAGACCTCACGAAACCCAGATACGAAGATAGTGACTGCGCAAGAGCTACAGCAGTCAGACCATGAGACCTGTACGACAATCATTGAGCTGAAGCGGTATGCACGATTTAGAAACGAACTTACGGAGGATCTGATTGAACTCTATTGACAAAGTCCTCGAGAGATCGAAATCTTGAGCCGCAAAGAGCCAAATCGTTCAAGACACTAGATCAGTACAGTTCAGGTCCGCGAGCATAAAAACCTCAAAGCAAATCCACACAACACGTACCTTCTTGTACTCTCACAGCCGAACGTTTCACCACGAACCCATATCTCCGGTTTTACTTGCAGAGTCTTTGCTGATGAATCAAAAGTAAAGGTTTCAGATGTGACACCAACGACGACGTTGAGTGCATCCTAGTTGGGATTCTTTGATGAGCAAGCCAAAAAAACGAAGAATGACAAACTTGGCATTACCCGCAAGAGTCGTTCATCACTAAGCACTTCTTGCTTCTGCACATCACGACCAGTCGATGCATTGAAATAGATACTGTGGGAGGGAAAATCATTAAGTTACAGTACTCAAATGATGAGAGACGCAAACTTGAGTTTACCTTTCATAAATGGCTCCAAAGACACTTCTATCAGCCTCAGTTACAAATGGAGATGGCATCAATGGTGTTCTATGAGTTTTAGAAGCACCAGTATCCATGAATCTGTTGGCCTCCGGCCTTGTGGTCTCAAAGCTTTCCCAGCCTCCCAGAGGCAGCTACAGAGACAAAACAGTCAGCGCCAGCCAATTGACCGATGTCGTTTGCGACTCACCCAACGAACATCATCTTCCTGGCCCACTTGATCCCAAATAATAGATATTTCTTTTGATGAGCCATAGCCACTATCTGCCAATGATCGTGATGGAGATGTACTGCTTTTTAAGGAGCTGTATCCATATGAAGGGGTGGTTAACGACTGCAGGATATCGTTTGGAAAGGCTGGGAGATCTGGCAAGGACAATTCGATAGGCGTGTCTAATTCGGCTGTTACAGAACTACCTAAGCAAAATATGTGATTGGTTGGTATGAGTAATGCCAGAAATTAACAAGTTGAAAATGCAATCTCACCATGAGAGACGGCATAAAACAAACTATCCTTTCTTTCACGAGAATATCCATCCAAATCAACAGGATCTAGATAGAGGGAGCTGCGTACATTCACTTGATTCGTTCAAATTAGTCGGCTTGTTTTGTGAGATTCGTTGAAGGAATGGCTTCTTACCATTCCATAGATCAACTTGATCAGAACCGAAATCTTTCTTTTCAAAGACCTCATCAGTGTATTGCACGTAGAATGGATAGCTTACTGAGAATTCTGCATCAAACATCTTGGAATCGGCATATCTCAAATCGTGTTTGGATGGTAGTAAAAGTGATGCCTGTGAGTCAAGCACGTTAAGGGTTGACTCGTGCAACACGATCTGAGTAGTGGCATCAATGAGACGTCTATGAAAGATGTGTGAGCCGTGTATAGCACGAAAAGAGTTTTATCCAAAGGGGACAAAAAGAAAAACACCTCTGCTTGTCAGTGATCTGATGACCTTCCAACGCAAACAGCAGCACCAAAGCATCTTGAACACTCTTTGATAGATCTGCATCTATACCACCAAGTCGCTCCAATAATATTTCCAGTGCATTGGCTCGATCAAACTGACGAGCATCACGCCAACCAAACAACGTGGTGGCAGAAGACTGCGAAAATGATGACGAGGAATGACGATATGACGTGTCTAAGAATTTTGTGAGGGATGGCGAAGCAGAACTGGGCTGTCCTGATCCGGAAAGTTTGGAGAACAGAGTTGCAAACAATGTTCCCAATGAATCTGATTGAGCTAGCTGTACGAATGAAGTTCCTTGCATGATTTAATAGATTCAATTGATTTGAGATCACGTTTGTAGATTAGATCTTCTAGTTGGATGATGATAATTAGCGTTCATTCCTATTGCTCGTCAACTCGAAACATTAAGACTAGACAACAAACTCAAAACGACCAACCATCAAATGGACGAAGAAGCTCCTGAGACGACTGCCGAGTCACTGCCTACGACTCGAGTATTGACGGATAAAGATCTACTTTACTGTGGAGGTAAGCTAACGGCAATTATATAGTGATTCGTTGTTGAGGACCAATTGAGGAAAGATAGCAATACTGCAGTGATTTCCTGCAACAGATGCAATCAGATCGAGATGACATTGACTGGTACTCGCGTCGCAATCACGAAGAATGTTTTGAAACGGGCTCAAAATGGACGCGACATTTCCACATCGTTGACATCTGAAAGTTTTGGCAAAGTGTCTTAGAAAGCAAAACAAATATACTAATCACTTCTACCACTACAGTTTGTACAGTGCCTCCAGAAGTATGTGACTTGCAGGGTTGCATTGACCTTCTTATCCTTGAGTTTTGTTGAGTGTGTTTTTTGGTTGTGTCCAACAGTACTGTGAATATGGAGCAACGCCTGCCCAATGCAAGCAATGGCTCGCTCAGCATCATCCCAATATGTTTGCCAAGATATATCCTGGTGCATGTATGTGACTAGCCTCAAAGTCAGATCGTCACCACGCAACCACTGATCAAGCTTTTGACCCTACACTAGCTCTAGAGGAACAAGTATCAAGTCTGTCGCTTAACGCTGGATCTTCACAGCCAGATGGCGGCGAATCCAGTGACAGCAAGCCAGAAAAATCAGCTGCTGAAGTCAAGGCGGAGAAGGAGAAACGCAAGAAGGCTGTACGAGAATTGAATCAGTTACAAAATCCGCTTGTTGAATCGCATTTGCTCATACAATTTCAATATAGTCACAGCAGAAACTGATTATAAAACGGGTTGAAAGAACCAAGAGGAAGTGTGTCATATGTATAACAGGGCTGGAAACATTTGGTAACCTCTGGCTACGTGATGCTCATGTTGTACAACTATCTAACAATCTGTTTAATCATTCAGACATAGATTTGAAAAAGGCAGCCAAGGCTTTTGCCACCAAATTTGCTTGTGGTTCTTCAGTTACTAAGAATGCTGAAGGCAAAGACGAGATTGTCGTCCAAGGCGATGTTCAAGATGATATCTACGAGTATATTATGGAGACGTGGAAGGTAAAGGAACCTATCATTCAATCCAAGCATGAAATATGTGAGTTGTCTAACACTGAACATTTAGGTGCCAGACGAAAAGATAGAACTGATCGAAAAGTAAATCGATCGCTATCGCTTCGCATATTGCATTGTCAATTCTCTGAATAAATAAATCATATCGCCAAACTACATATGCAGAGATTTTTATTGCAAAAATGGTGTTATGATTGTTATTGTTATACATCATATTCATGAGAAATCTGCGCTGTTGTGCTCATATGAGCAGCGAAATTGGTCACCATTTGCCTCCATAGTTATGATTTCGACCATCGGAAAACATTCCCATGCTGCCCTGTGGGGGATGACCATATTCAGGACGAGGAGGACCTCCTTGTTGCGAAGATGCACTTGGGGGCTGACCATACTGTCCTGGACCTCCTGGACCAGGTGGACCTATTCAAAAAAGTTTAGTGTAAGAAGTGTCCAACGACATTCAAAAGCAAGATCACATACCACGATAGTATTGATCGTATTGGTAGTAAGGATCTGGAGCATATGGAGGAGCAAAGTAGCCTCTATAGTCATATCCACCATAGCCATGGCCTTGTTGTCCATATCCGAAATCGCCACCATATCCACCACGAGAGCCCATACGATCTCCATGGAAGCCACCTCTTCCTCCACGACCACCGCCGCCATACTGTTCACCTCCTGAACCACGTCCCGCAAACTTATCCTAATCCACAAAAACAACCCAATTATTACACTCAAACCACCACACCAATTCAATCAACATGAACGAGCTTCAAGGGCGGGGAGCACGAAGCTGCTCGACTTTTGATAGAACTAACGACACCGAAGCACCACAGTCCAACACAAGCATCGAAACTTGAGAAAACGAAGCCTTCAAGCAAACCCCAACTCCACTTGACGAACACAAAACGCAATACTGATTGACAGCCCACCTCTCGAACTTCCAATTTGCGACCACTCCAGTCATAACCATCATACATCTTTATAGCCCGTTGAGCACTTTCAGCAGTATCAAACACGACGACCCCACAACCCTTCGAGCGACGAGTATCATCTTGGTGAATGTCAGCGCGAATAATGGTCCCTACACGATTTAGATGAGGATTAGTCCTGGTTACTAAATAAGTCGAACAATGATAAAATTTCTTGCCTGCATTTCGGAACATATCCTTCAGGTCTTGCCATGCAACCGAATAAGGGAGCTAAATTCAACCAATGACAGTCAGTATCACAGAGAGGCGGAAAGTAGCAGTGCTGAAACTTACGTTGTTGACAAAGACAGAACGACCAATATCACTGGGACGCGAAGGAGGAGGTCCACGAGGAGGTCCACGTCGGTCAAATCCACCACCGCTGGCACCACCACCATAACCTCCACGGCCTCTGGATGAATACGAATACTGCCCATACTGCTTTTCAGCTTCACGATCCTGCGATAGATTACAAGGACTGTTAGCCTAACAGGACACGCATTTCTAAGCGTACGATATGGATTTACCTCCCGAACAAATATAGGACGATCCATGAAGCGTTGATCACCCATTTCCTTGATTGCTTTTTGAGCTTCCTCAGGAGTGGAGAATTCGACCAAACCACATCCCTAAAGAGGTTTGATTAGAATGCTGGTGCAACGAGATGCTTTGAAAACACTGTATCCAACATGTAACTTCGTCTGTAACTGTGTCTAGTTGTCTGTACCTTGGAGTTGCCATTGGGTTGAGTCAGAACATCGGCGTAGACGACTTCACCGACTAAAACAGGCAGTGCTTGAGTGAGTATCCAAAGTGACAGCCCAGAGACGTAGAATATCCTGCAGTTTATTACCCCGTCGCATAAAATCCTTTAAGTCCTTCCATCCACATTCATAGGACAGGTTTCCGACATAGACACGGCATTCTTTGCGAGATGGTGTGGAAGGGTCTCGTTTGCCCATAGAGAACTTGGATTCTTCCTTTACATCATTGCTTCTACTAACATCCCTGTCTCTATCTCGGCTACGGTCATTGTCACGGTCTCGTTGTCGTGATGAATTTCTTTCTTCAGATGGATTGTATTCCCAGTCATTGGTACGAGGTTTAGGTGAGCGAGAGCCTCGCCTCCGGTCGTTGTTGGAATCAGATGGAGAAACAGAACGACCTTTTTTGCTACGGATGTCGAAAGGAAGCTTGATGTTAGAATTGCAGGCAAAAATAACACATGTGCGTTTTTGGGAGGAACTGGCAATTAAAACGATACTTTCAGTCGAGTCTTCATACCTTGCAGGACTGCGAGGACTGCCAAAATCTTCGTCCGTGGCGTTCATCCTTGCTTTTCTCAAGGTTAAATGCTTTTGTTTGGACGAAACTGGGGGACAAGCTGACGAAACATAGAAGCGCATAGAAACGACCTAGAGAACGACACCAGATGTATTTCTTGATTGATTTTATTGGTAAGATCACAATATTGAGGACGAACATCTAGATCTGACGCGTGGCTGACGACTTGTGCCACCAATATATTTGGTTGTTGGGTATATGCGGCTGAAACCGACAGATCCTCAACGAAACCACCCAGCACCAGTCTCAAGCAGTTGTGCTATGACGTTGGCTTACTTTGACCACTCTTTCATTAAACATAACGGAGATATCGTCAGAAACTAAACGATACAACGTGGTGCACGCGTTCAGTTACCAAGCCACAACAAGAAGGAGGTGGGAAAAGAGTGGATTCAGTTGATATCATGTCAGACTTGCCTTGCCTGTCCTTCCCTGCAGTTCATACGTTCCTTGTTCCATTGAGGTCAAAGTTTTCAAACACAACGTTGATGTTGTTTGATACAGGGGATGCCACAACCCTTTAGTACCACGATCAATAGTAATTTTTGACTCTAGAAATCATATAACACGCATAGAAGCAGTTTCCGTACCAGTTTTCTTCCATTTCCTCTTCTGTCATCGTTAACGACCAAGGTGGCTTACTTTTGAGTTTTTTGAGTTTCCTGAGGAGTCCACCAACAAAAGGAGGCAACTTCCAATAAGGGAAACATGTCTCAGCAGCCAAAACAACGCGGAAGAAAAGGCCCGGACCTCCGTCGATCTCTCGTTGTCTTGAGATGGAATGATGTTGCGGATTTGAATGAATTGCACAGTTGGAAACGAGTTGCAGGCCTATCAACTGGCGTCGAGAAGGAAGAAGAAGAGGTAAGAATTCGAGTGATGTCGCTCCCGCCTTCTTTTTGCTATCAAACTTCTCCAAAATCGCCCTCCATACCCTCGGTGGCCCCCGAGCAGAAAATTACATAAGCAAAAGCACTCAAGATATTATTTGATGAGATGCTGAGGAATCGGAATAAGGATTGACGTGATTCCCACTAAGATGGATGACTTTTCATTCATGTCTTTATGTAATGACGCGCTCCTTAAGACCTAGTCTTATAAGTGGCATATGATGCACAGCAATTTCGAATGACTTTGACAACTGATTGCAACGAAACGAACCATTTTTACGACGAATTACTAACCTTCAATTTCATTTATAGGAGCACCATTTACAGGAGGCATTGACCAAGAACCAGCTTGGAAATAATGCTGCTCAAGTATACATACCTGTACCAGACGCGTCTGTTATTCGAGATGACGCAGCTCGGTTCTACTCCAAGATCTTCCATCGACCAAAGACCATGATACGCTTCTCAACCCAACTCGAAGATTGTATCGGTTGCCCATATAACTTGGATGAGGTTGATGATGAATGGCTCAATTCATATAACGCATCAATACAAATGGAGAACCTCGAATCAAATCTCAGTGAAGACATATTCGAGAAGCTTATGTGGGTCCTGGACAAGCTTTGTAGTGATAAGGTATGCCTCTGTCTGGAACAAACACGTCAACCGTGTCAACACAGTTCACGTCAATGTTGAAGCTTTACAACATTTTGAGTCCATGAGCTGATAAGTCTCCTATAGGTCATTGGTGAACCGCCGACTCTGGAAGAGTTTGAAGCCGCCACAGATTCTGAGATTGCTCGCACCGATGCCATATCAAAAGCAAGACCATTAGTGTATGAACATTGGAAGAAACGGTCGAATGAACGAGGCAATCGACCTGTGAATGCAACCTTGAGGGTAAACTCTCACTCATGACAAATGACACATTCAGTACAGAATACTTAAAGTAAACCAACAATCATCTTTTAGGGCGAAGAGCAGAGTCTCAATCCAGACACAGATCCATATGTTTGTTTCCGTCGTCGTGAAGTCAAGCAAATGCGCAAGACTCGCAAGACCGATAATCAGTCTCTTGATAAACTACAACGGCTTCGGAAGGAAATGGAAATGGCTAAACGATTGATCGAATTGGTTGCTCAACGTGAAGTGTTGCGGAAAGACGCCTTGAGCTTTGAGCACGCTGTCTTTGAGCAACGAGTCGTAGTTAGAAGGCTCAAGAAGAAGCTGGGTCTACCTATTGATAGAGATGAACGCAGCCCAAGCAAGAAACGAGAAAAGTACGTATCTGTATATACAGTGGTTTATGCCTTTTCGCGTCAGTTTCCAAGATTGTAACGAACAATATTACCACTACATCAAATCAACCAGGGCTGGGTACAAGCTTATGATACCTCTTGGCAAACTTAGAAGAGCAGGCGAAATGTCAAAATCCTTGCAAGATGCTGCTGGAGATTACTATCAACCTGGACAGGAATATCAAGAAGCCTATGAAGTCTCCAAACGTCAAAAGCTCGATGACGAAGCTGGCGGTTGGTTTGATGCCAAAGAAGAACCATATATAGTACCAGCACCAACACAAAATGTACCTCGACATTATTGGGTAGATGACCTTCCAGTTGCCCTAGTAGAGAATCCTCCAGCCTCGTCATATAGAATACCGAGAGGTAGAAGGAGAGTTGGTAGAGGTGGACGAGTTATGTTTGATCGTCACGTCCCTCGATCTGAAAGGATATCTTGGGATGAACCACCAGTTCCCGATGCTTTGTATGTAGATAATGATAGGAATGTAGAAGAGGAGATATGGAGGAGAGAAGAAAGATGGAGACATGATAACTTCAGCGACGATGAGGATGAAGAACCACAAGAGATTGAAGACAACCCACAGTGAGTACCATTATGACAGTCTCTTGTCCAGCTCTTTTTTGTTGCAGTTGATCTGGTCTTGATGAGTGCATATCATGCTAAGATACGCAAATCTCAACTTCTAGTAATATGGCATATCGTGCCTTCTATTTGGGAGCTACAACGGAGATAGAATATCGAAATCTTGTCAATCAACCAACATTTAAAGCACAATTCTTTGCATCACCATCAACACCAGCTGAACGGGCTGCTATAATTCCACAACCACCGCCTCAAATCATAAAGGCGCCATCTGCTACAACGGGGGTGACTGGTAACTCACCTGTACCAACAGGATTACCTCAACCTCTTGTAGCTGCTCAGAAGAATCGTAGACCAGGAGTTGGCAATGGTACTAAAGGTTCTACACCAACACCCGATATTCCAGTCAAGGCACCTACTCCATCACCTCAGAAACGTGGAAGTACGAAAGCAGGATCTGCACCACCCCCAGAACAGAATCTTGATCCACGACAACAAAATGTACATGCTATGCTAGCTGAAGCTCAACGTCGTGCTCAGAATACAGCAATGCTATTACAACAATACAAATCAGTAGGTGGAGCTCCTGGATCTCCTACAGTAATGACGAGTAACACTCCTCTACCTCTTACCAATGGTCCGTCAACACCTGGAGCATCAAATTCACTAGTATTGGCAAATGGAGGTGCACCAGGGAGTCCTTCAGCAGGATTGCCTGTAAAACAATCTAGTGATAATGTAGTTGGCAATGGTGGTAATGTTGTTGGAAATGGGAATGCCAATAATCAAGCAAATATGATGACTACACAAATGGCAATCCAGCAAGCCCAAATCTTTGCTCAGATTCAACAACAGCAAAAGCAAGCAAAGATTGCTCAATTACAGCAAGCAGCTGCTACACAACGACAAGGTGGATCAGCATCTCCTCAACCAGCACTGAATGGTTTGGGGATGTCCCAGGCACCAGCAGTTACAACACAACCGGCATTTGGTAACTTTGCTAACCAGCAACAGTATCTAAATGCCTTATTGAGTATGAATCCGGGTGGAATTCCTCAACAACAGCAACAACGCCCCAATAATACTAATAATACTCGAAGTGGTGGCGTACCTCAACAACCGCAACAAGCAGGTGGCTTCAATCTCCAGAACGCACTTCTCAACAATCAATTAAAAGCTGCCTTGGCACAGCACACCATGCAGCAAGCTGGTATAGGAGTAGGAGTAGGAGGAGGCCCATCAACACCAGCTCCACATCCACTACAAGGCCTCTTGATGCAACAACAACAGAAACCAATAACAACCCCACAACAGCAACAACAGCAAGCAGCAGCTCAGGCTCAACAAACCCGTAATCTCCAATTACTCTTCCAACAAAACCCAGCCTTGCAAGCAAATCCGGGTATGGTGTTTCAGATGCTTCAGCTTCAGCAGCAACAACAGCAACAGCAAGCTGCAGCCGCCGCAGCTGCTGCTGCTGGTGTTGGTAATAATAATATAGAACAGGTTATGATGCAGCTACAGAACATGGCTGCACAAAATGCAATCCAACAACAATTGCAACAGCAACAGCTTCAACAACAACAACAGCAGCAACAACAACAACAGCCACAGCAACAACAGCAAACTGGTGGTGGTGGTGACGATGATGGTCAAATGGGCTCATTGCCACAAACACCCACAGCCAGATCTGCTGCTTAAGAACTTGGAATATAATAAGGAGAAAATTGCATTGCTTTATATTGATATATTATCAGGGCCTGTATTTGTGGTTTGCTGGGAGAATGGAGGGGCTTGGAGGAGACTCTATGGAGATTGCTCGTATTACACCGAAATGTATACAAAATCCACAATAAAGAACTGTAATTAGTTTCTGTATTAAACGAAAACAATGGCTTATTTGAACATAAAAAATGAAAGGGTGTTTTTGTTATTTGTTTTGGAATGTTACAGTTACAGAAGGACGATGAGGACAACATAAATTGAGTGAACATCGTTGCTCCAATACAGAGAAGTCTCTAAAGGCATAAGTTTTATCTGATCACGGTAAACCCAGCATCGAGGAAAGCCTTAAGCTCTAATAACTCATCGATGACCAAGTCAGCTTCCAAATGTTGATTTGTTGGATTTCTCAGCAATATGGTAACCGATGCGGCCGCCCTGCCGCATTCAATATCGTCTTTGCCATCACCGATCTATAAGAACAAACATTCGGCAAAGTCAAAAAAAGATATCACACCAAGAAACATGTCGACGAACATATGTCATGGATCTACGACCGGTCACAAGACACTTACCATAGCAACTTCTTGAGGCATAATCCCCCACATCTGAGAAATGTGAAGTAAGGGATCCGGCCAAGGTTTAGCAGGCTGGAATTCACGCGTCACGACCGGATGAAACTTGAATGGAATGTGATTCTCCAAGATGTGCGACACGCTTGGCAGAGCATTCCGCGTCAGTATCGCTCTTGGAATTGTAGGATGCGTCGTGTCAAGCCAAGTAAATAGCTCTGTCAAGCCCGATTGAAGTTCAGTCTTCCTTAATGCCTCTACAGAGTAATGGACATGAGCGGCGGGTAGAAGCCCTTGATTACAGAGTTTCCAAGCGTACCTTCTAAGTAGGATATGTGAGAATTGGAGCAGTCGAAGATCAAGCGTCAATGTAAACCAACTACCTTCCATTTCGCGAACAATCAAATCTCCTGTGTAAGAGGATAGCATGAACACATCATTCGTTAGATTTTGAAAAGATTAAGAAAATTCTCCAAGGAGCCAGTGACAGACCTTGCTGTCGTTTTTCACCAGACCACGAAAACAATGTTTGCACAATATCTTGATCAGGAGTGATGCCAAGTCTACGACGCATCTCTTGAAAGTCCAGATACGGTTTCGTCAGAGTGCCGTCCATCTATCAGAAGGACAAATTCGTCAATGTCAGACTGTTGATAACCAAAAAAACCATCAACGAGAGTTCGAGTGTACATCAAAGACAAGCCCTCTCAGCAACCTTTGATGACTGGACGATAAGCCATGTCCAATACTGGCCAGCTTGCATGTGAATGCCGTCGCCATCTATCTCTTTCTTGGGCTTTGCGTGAGTTTGACAACATTGTAGCGAAGAAGATACAAGAAACGCATTCAGCATGCAAAGATAACATAAAATCTAATATTCTTTCGTTAAATATACAAGTAATCGCGACAAAAACAAGGGACCCTTGACTTTATCTCAAACAGCCATATTTGGTCGTACTCCTGTATTCGAGCCAGGAGGACCACCAGGACTTCCAGCAAACATATTCGTGAATCGTGATGTTATAAAGTTGCCTATAGCACCTTGCACCACTGAATTTGATGCGAAATCCGACATTTTTTGTTTAGCGTCCTGTTTGATAAACAAAAAAAAAAAACATCAGGTCAACTGAACCACGTTTTCGTCTAGAAACGGTAATCAGCACGATGGTTATACCTTTTCACATCTCCAATACCCAGACAAATTAGCTCCATTGAGAAACGAAGCGATGACAGTGACGAGCAACCACGTCACATTGAATTTCATGACACATAATAGAGCAAAAACAATCCATATCGCACCAGTAGCGTATAGTGATGACCAGAATATCCTTGAGTCGACTGCATTTACTTGTCGGTTCTATTCATTAAAATACGTTAGGTTAATTGTGATTGAATGCTAGAGGGAGCCAGATGAGGATCGTCTTCTTTGAGAAATATAGAGTACGGTTTCCCTTCTTTTTTACCTCTCTACTCTCAAAAATCCAAACATTGGATCCATCGTCCTTGATTTCATTCCACCACCTCAGTCCAACAAGTAATCTCCCAGTAACATTCTTGACAGTCCAGAAATCAAACGCGAGTAGTAATACGATGATGACAAAGGACAGGATAAAGTTGACACTGAATAGCCATTCGAATGTATAGTAAAGGATTGCAGCTGTTCGAAAGAGCATGTGGAAGACTAGTGCTGTTGGATGGCTGATAGGACAAGGGGATTTCGTTAGAATTAATAGATTGGAATGAGATTGATCTCGTTGGTTGTGACGTTTGTAGTGTCTTGGCGATATGTCTCAAACACAAGTGTGGATTTGATTTCAACAGACATGCGTGTACCTTGATAATTGAAGTATGCTAGCCTGTGGTTGCAGAGGTTGCTGTGCTGTCTGTAGATTGCCATCAAGTAACGAATTATTGTTATTATTCGACGTCCCCATTGGTGCTGCAGATGAAAGCAGTCCCTGTCTGTCCCCCTATAGAGATATGAGAGGCGTGAGAATAATGCTCGACAGCGATCATGAAACTGACGTTTTACCATGCTTGCTATTTAGCTCTAAGCTCTCAGAAAAACTATACTTCAAAACCAGCTGTTTTGTGGGCCGAAAGTGGTATGTGAAAGCACAAATTTCTCGTCAAAAACACGTCCCAGATTGAATGAAAACATCAAACTTTCAAACTTTATATATTAATAATGCTACTTGCTACTTATGCTTGTGCGTATGTACAGCGAACAAAAGCTACATCATGCCTCAACGGCAAGAATATGCTTATGTCGTTCTCCATCAGTCTTCTTTGTCTTCTTTCCCATCACTGGAGAATTACTGCTGTTTGCTGCACCAGCTTCATCACCATCTTCAGCAACAACACGTCGTTTCTTTTGCGAATGTTTACGTTCATTCTCTTCTTTACGTGCTCTAGAATCCAACATGACCTTCTTTTTAGATTGTGCGCTGAGAATGGGTTTGGGAACATGACGGTGTCTAGAAGAGAAAATAGAAGATACTGTTGGCACAAACGTCGACTCTGGACCTAAACACAACCAGAAACTTGATGATTGGAACTTACTTGTCAATACGCTTGATCTCTGGCATATTCTTGTATCGGTTCTTGACTGCTTGTTGGTAATGCATCGAGTTTTGTGATCTTGGTGCTTGCTACAAGAAGGAAAACCCCAATCAGACAAGATACGGCAATAGCTCCAAATCCAACTACTCTCTTACCACCCCCAAACGATCATTAGACTGAGCCTTCCATATTCGAACATTACCATCATCACTTCCTGAAATGACAAACTTGGAATCCATAGAGTATCGTACACAAAACACCCTAGTTTAAGGGAATTCGCAATTAGCATTGTCCATGTTATGATCGAGCCAGAAAAAGGTATCAGAGTCTTTATACGTACCTTTGCATTCGTTTGGTATGATACACTTCACGACTATTCCTTTCTCGAGTATTGAAGATACGAACACTTCGATCATAAGATCCAGTCACGAATTCAGCTCCTGTTGGTGAATAATCCAAATCCATTCTATTTGTAAAGGATTCCAACATTTGGTGTGGTTCGACAAGGGGCAGAACGGCAAAAAAACGTTGACTTCAATGACTGAGCACTCACACTGCAGATACGTGATCCATGTGAACTATAAGAGCAGCATCCATCCTCCTCATATCAAACGTATAGCATTTGTGATCTTCATTGGCAATAGTGAAGTGGAATGCCTCCATTGGATTCCAAGCTATAGCATTCGTTCTCATCTGTGTAAAGCGTGTCAGATCCCCTGAACGCGAAAAAGGGTCCTCCTGCAACTCAATTACCTCCATGATGATACGATTCAACGGCGACGTAGTTCTCAAATCATATAATGCCACAGTCCGATCAGTTCCACAACTAGCCAATATGTTTGTCTCTGTTTGATTAAATTTGAGCGATGTGACTGTTTCAGCACCCCATGAGAATGAGTATGTTGGTTGTGATCGTTCGATATCCCACAATTCCACTTGAGCAGCTGATGTAGCGAATATGTTCTTGTTTCGACTGTGATCGATTCCACTGTAGCAGTGAAAGGTTGATGGGTTAGCAAAAAAATCGGCATCAGCAAGAAATAATGATGGCTTGGGAATCAGGGTGTGTTGATACGTACGTGAATGCGAATTTTGATAAGAAGACATTCTTGGGCTGGGATTGGCAGTGTCAGCAAAAAAACTATACATATTAATGCTATAGTGATTCATACCGTTGTAGAGCTGACGTCCCATATCTTGACAGCCTTATCATCACCACAACTTAGAAATACAGGAGTATTTGGATGTGTGCATACTCCACGAACAAACCCTTTATGAGCTGTAGGTACATTCCAAGTAGCTTCTTGATCAGCTAATGACCAGTACCTGACCTCTAAAAAACCGTTCAAGATATAAATACGGAGACGCCAGTAGCAGAAGAAGTTGAGGTGGTGTAGCTGCTATTAGTAACCCCCGTCGCTCGGGGGTGTTTTTTTTGCATCTGGCCCAATGTGTCAGACAGATAGTGTGCTGCCCTCTTGAACCACACAATACAGACGCTCTGTCATGAATTGCCTCCAGCTGGCGACCAAACCACAAACACGTTCTCTTCTCCTTTCAGCTTACCTCCATCGGCACTGCCCGTGACGACGACATCTAGATTCAACTGATGTTTAGCCATGCAGTATACACCATCGACATGACCAGAAAGAGCGCCGATGAATGGTTTGGCAAAGAGTCTCTCCAGCTTTGTAGCATTCAATGCACGAGTGTATTCTCTTGCACGTTCGAAGGGATGCAGTTCAGGGTTCAGATTTCGTTGTAGTTTATGGAGATCGGTGGATCTATCTCGTTCGTAGTAGACATCACTGCGAGAGAGTGTCTTGATTTTCTATTTTTTGACGTTGAAGGTATTAGTATATGAGCTCTGTGAAGTTAATAGTGGTCGGTGGAGATTAGGCTACATACCATGATCTTATAGTGTAAGAGATACAACAGCTATGTGACGTATCTTCTTAATACGCTCCCCTTCCCTGCTATTTGCTACTTCCAAACTGAAAAAAATGATTACGTACAGTTTACATAAGACTAGACAGTGTCAGTATCACGTTGCCTCAAGCAGAATGTGGAGCAAAATGTACAAATTAGTGTGTACTTAATAATATTTGAGTAATCCTGCTTTCCCTCGACGTGATTTCCTTCCTCTGCCGTCAAACTACATTTTGCAACCAAACGTCACGCACTTTGTTGCATCGAAGGGAGAAGACTACTAGTATCATCCATTAATCAACTCTACATATATTATAGCAATGGATATAGACAGGGACGTAGTTGGTTTCTTGACCAAGCAAAGGTCAACTGCTCCTGCTCAACTACGAGACACGTTTGCAAAGTTACTCGACCTATACGACAAGAAGTAAGACCGGCTGGCTTATTATTCATTGATTTATGTTGCAATATTCTGCTTCATCCTCCTTACTTGAGCCTCACTCATCCCCAGGTTATGGCATCAATTGACTGTGGCATTAGAATCCTTCTTGGACTTGCCTGGAAGTGGCCCATACTTAATGCCACTATATCAGGAATTCATCATTGACTGGGAAAAGAAAATGAACCAACTCTCCCTTGTCAGATTCACCACTAGAGCCGCCAAACAATTATCGGGTACGTCAAAGAACGCGTCACTCACTCATCATGGACTATAGATGTGATTCGACAGTAACAGCATTCGCATAAATGCCACACCCCTATCATACATTCTCAACTCATATAAGATCACTAACATCCATACCACCACCATCAGATCCAAAGGAATCTCTAGCATTCTTATCTGCTCAAACAATAAAACTAAAGGAAATCCCTGATGCAACAGATGCTTACGTCCTCGCTTCCATGGAAGCTGCTCACTTCAAACTCGTCTGTGGCGACTTGGATGGTTGTCAAGCTGCTATCGAAGAGTGTGAAAAGCTATTGGATTCATTGTCTTCTACCGATCTCACCATCAATGCTTGTTTCTATCGTGTTGCTGCTGATTACTACAAGGTACTATAGGGATGCAATTGCGGAAAATAACTCAGCGTTAGCGACAAACATTGAGTGTGGCTCTCGACCATCACTCACAATCAACACTCGTTAGTTGAAGGCTGCATTCCCTCAGTATTATCACAATGCTCTTCTCTACCTATCATCTGTAAATCTAGCTGATTTGACTAGTGATGAAAAAGTATTACGAGCTCATGATTTGGCTTTGAGTGCTCTATTGGGTGAAGGTGTTTACAACTTTGGTGAATTGGTATGAACAAACTGTTTTCTGCTTTTTGCTATAACATGTTGCTGATCTTGCTGTCGATATTTAAGGCAATTTCTCAATATTCGTTTTCTTTAGTTGATGCATCCGATTCTCGATGTATTACGTGGCACACCTATTGAATGGCTCCGTCAGCTCTTGTTTTGCTTCAACTCTGGAGATATTGATGGCTTTGACAAGATTATTGTTACTCCTGGTTTCCGATCAGAGGTAAGCACCAAGGCAAACGAGAGGCATACCCAAGTTTATGCATGCTCAATATGTCCGATATTTAACTACACACATGCTTACATAAACAACTTCTTCAACCAAACAGCCCCTGTTGGTAGCAGCTATTGATCCAGCCAACAACCAATTATCTGAAAAGTTGTGTCTCATGACATTGGTGGAATCAGTCTTTAAAAAATCCAAGGAATCACGGAGTCGCATTCCATTTAGTGATATTTCGCGAGAGACTCGTGTCCCTGTCACCCTTGTGGAACATTTAGTCATGAAGGCTCTGAGTTTGGGTCTCATCAAGGGACAAATTGATGAAGTGGATCAAATCGTTGAGGTATGCAGTTTTCTAACTGCTTTTTTGCGTTCCTCACACAAGAACGAAACGCAAATGATTTTCGGTACCAATTGACTTGTCCACAATTCATCCCCTTTTAAAACCTTAAACCCCTGTTCTAGATCTCATGGGTGCAACCTCGAGTATTGGACAAGAATCAAATTGCTACGATTGCTACTCGATTAGCAGAATGGACGACGAACGTTCGTGCTCGAGTAACTGGTCTGGAAAACGAAGAGTCGGCCATGGAGGTCTTTGTTCAATAAGGAAAAAAGAGATTTCAGTGTACATATCATGTCGCAAAATAGTAAAGAAGATAGTAAAGATGATAATGATGAGATTGTTCTGTATTTTCACTAGACATCTGCATTGACCGATTAACATACCACATGCTCAGCCTTTCATAGTGGAAACTTAAGCCGTGCTGCAACTTAACCTTCCATTGTTCCCTCGTTTAGCAAAGGGAGGTTGTAGGCGACACATCAAGTAGTCTCAAGGCTCTTTCTGGTGAGTATCTGCGACGTCGTGAAGGAGTTATTTGCAGCTGTATTGTTGGCCGAAAGTTAAATGCTTTGCACCAGTTGCAACCCCCTTTCTCATGTTTCACAGTGTCATGCATTTTGAACCAGAGAAGCAAATGCACACTCATATCATCTCCATTTCATGCTAGAACGCCGGTCTATGTATGTATCGCTGGCCAGTTGCTACTAACAATCAGGTTTCTGACCCCAACATTACACAAGTTTGACAACTTTATAAAAACACACTACTATTCGCCATCAACCAAGATCAAACCTCTTCATTCCTATTGAATGGCTGCTGTCTCTAGCATGTCTGACAACCAGATCCCTCGCCCGACACAGACCCAGTGGGATTTCGACCTTGTCGAACAGTCGCACGTGCCGATATCACAACCTATCAGAACTAGTCAACAACCCGCAATCCCAACACCAGCACCATATTACATGCCTCCGCAACCGTATCAATACACGTATGGAGTCGGACCACAACCACCATATCCTTATGCAAGCCAATACTATCCTACTGCACCACCACCAAATGGCTATGCTCCATACCCCGTCATGTACAATAATCATAGTAGCAGCAGCATGTCACCGAATGGAGGTGCCAGTCATGGCGGTCTTAGTCCTCGAGCGTTACCCAGACCACCGTATGGGTCAACACTGAGTTATATGGCACCTCCGGCTCCTAAGACGTTAGGAAGTCCCATATTACCTGGTAGACCATTACCACCGCCGCAAACTTATGGTTATCCAATGGCTTCGGCATCGTATTACGATGAAAGGTATTCGTATGGTGGTTTAGCGAGACCGATAACCAATTCAGCTGGACTATTACCACCACCACAACAACAGCATCAACAGCAGCATCAGAATGCCTTCCCTACGCCAGCAGCAACACCTCCATTATCACCGTCACAAATCAGCCGATTTAATAATACGCTCGAACCACGAAACAGTAATAACACAGGTTGGCCATCGTCTTCAATACCTCCTATCGCATCTAATCTGTCTCCATGGACACCTTCATCAGATTGCAATCCTCGTCACCAAACAATCCTTCCACCAGTCATCACAATTCCGCTACCACAAGAACGATCGCATACTAATAGCATCACCAGTCTCAACGGTTTCACCACTCCACATTCGGCACCAAGTGAGGGTAGTCAGCCATATAATGATGATTTACAGCATCCTATTATGAGGAGATCTTCATTGGATGGAGTGGCTCATGCTGGTTTAATGAGGAGATCGTCATTGGATGGAATGGCTCAGTCTGGTAGCATGATGAGGAGATCATCGATAGATGGGATGCTTCATCCTGAAATGATGAGGAGATCATCAATTGATGCATTAAATCATCCCGCTATGATGAGACGAGAGTCGATAGATAGTAATAGTACAAGTCTTGATGCCGCTACGATACAACAATACCCTCCACCGCCGCAACCACACCCACACCAACAGCACCATCAGCCGGTGACATTACCATCACTTATGACACAAATACCGCAAAAGCAGCAGCAGCAAGAATTAAATAGTGAACCACTAAAGCCTAGACTGGGACGTCCTTCATTAGCTCAACGATTCGGTCTACCTTCAGACTCACGTAAACCAGGTGTTAAATCATCGTCTTCGTCTTCGAATAATAGTGTGCCGCCAACTTCTGAAGTTGATATATCTGGTGATGGTGAAGCAACGACAGGAGCATCAACGCCGTTGAGTGAAAGAAAGTGCTTCAAATGTCCTGTTGCAAATTGTGACAAGTCGTTCACGAGGCAGTATAATTTGAAGGCGCATGTTAGAGCTCATTCAGGTACGACTAAACCTTGATTTCTTGGGAGTAGTGACTGTATGCTGTTTTCGTGCAATCATCCATTAACACATCCTGTTAATTTGTCAATCAGGTGAACGACCATTCGCATGCGACCACTGCCACGCCGCATTCCCACGCTCACACGATCTCCGTCGGCACCTCCAGTCGCGACATGAAGAAGCACGAAGGCACCGTTGTGATCACTGTGGAGTCACATTTGCACGCAGTGATGCACTACGACGACATTTGAAAGCCGCGACTGCTAAAATAAATGCTAGAATTGCTGCCGGAGAAGATATTCCCGATCATGTTATACAGTCGCTTAGACCATCGCCTAGGAATAGCAATGATAGTGGGTATAAGAAGACTGGGGGACGTCGTCGGCGTGCTGTAGGGGGCTCGGAAGGTGATGGTGATGAGGATGGTAGTAATGCGGATGCTAGTGGTGGGAGTCGGCGTAGTAGTCTCAAGAGACGGGCGTCAGCAACACGCAATAGCAGTAAACGACGCAAGGCGAAGGAAGATGATGATGAGGAGGAGGAGGATGATGATGAAGACGAAGAAATAACTGATGATGAAGATGGAGAAGGACAGGAAGAAGAAGATGAAGACGAAGTCGAACACGAAGTTGTTGCAGCTCCTGATAAAACAGGTCGCAAGACAGGTGAATCTACAGGAGACGAAGAAGAAGTATCTCCGGATTCTGATGATGGTGAATTCGTGCCTGGTCGTCAGAATTCGGGCGTTGGTACTACCGATCGTCACGTTTCTAGTACGACTACTGGTCGTCAATCTGCTCGACGTCGACGAGACAAGAAGGATCAGTAATGAATATTATAGTATTTTTTTAAAGTTTAGGTTTGGATCAACCATTTCGGTGGATGCTTGGTCTTCAGATTTAGTAATGATTTATACCCCCGCAAAAAAGGATTCATATTATGTTATGTTTTAGCCATTTTGAAGGCCGCCTTGGTATATATAATAATATGAAAAATAAACTTGAGTTTGAAATAAAGTCTGGGCCGAAAACAAACGTACGCAAGATTGACTAGTGCAACAACAGCTGTACTCTGCGAACGTGGTCTATACTACTATGCAAAACAATATCAAATTCAAAGACAACTATAGGTCATCATCATCCTCTTCATCATCTTCTCCCTCTCCATCGACCTCACCAACACCTTGATTCTCCACTGGCTCATCAAGTGTCATGGCATCCATATCATCCAACAACTCTTCGAGTGAAATTTCAGGCATTTCACCATCATCTCCATAATCTTCATCCATGTCTTCATCCATGGCATCTGGTAAAGGTTGCTGTTGTGGTATGGTGCTGGTTGGGTCAACAACATCATCTGTTTCCATGCCAGTTTTGACGTTGGTCTTTTTAGGTGTGATACGCACAGGAGCTGTTCAAAAGGGAGTTTGTGAGTTATTATTGCTGAAGGCTTGCTGTGGGATTAGCAAAAAAAACAACGTCTACATCGTCACAATCACGCTGCCAAGTGATGTCACAACAAACGACCCATGACATACCTTTATACAAATTAACCATCCCTCTCAACTCTGCATCCTCTTCCAAATCCCTCAAAAACAATTCATAGTCAGCTTCAGCTCTAGCTTTATCAATTTTACCACCAGCTTTAGCATCATCGACCTCTTTATCAAGTTGCTTGAGCTTCCAGTTTCGACTCGCTTTGCCTCGTGCTTTGCGTGCTGGATAAGATTTCCTGACTAGAATCACGTCGGGCAATTGTTGGGTGCGAGACGACAAGTCGTCCCAGTTTGGGTTGTTGAAGTTGGTGTTTACGAGATAGTAGCCTAGAGCGTGGTCGCCTGCTCTAAAGAGGTTGCCGAGATGTGTGCGGATGACATATGTTGTTGAGAGGTCGTTTGTTAATGCTACTTCTACTGTTGCTAGTCCGTACTGCGGTGAGGGAAAGGAGAGGCGTGAGTAATGAGCAAGTTATATTGCACTCCGTGACCAGGTGGATTTTTTGGCACAGATGGTCTCTTTACTCAGTGGGCATGAAGAGGGAACAACTCACCTTGCCATTCCTAACACGTTCTTGTTGAACGTCAATGACATAAAACTCTACTAAATCCTTGGCATCACATAATGCAGAGAAAGGGGAGTCCCAATATTGCGTTGTTCTCATTTCCACGACTAGATGCACAAAAGAATCAATATCTGAGGAACTATAGTGCTAATGTTGCAAACCTCGAAAAAGTCTGGTGATAACTCACTTTTCAGTGTATTCGGATCAAGCAAGTTGATATTTGATCCCACACGATGACATAATACCAAAGGACTTATATCAGATAGTTGTCTAGCAGATTTGTAGGGTAGACAAACCAAATCATCACGACAAATAGGTACGATTTCGACGGAGTACGAGTATTTAAAGTTGGCAACGTTTGATTTCTTGTCAGATGAAATCAATTCTTCTGATTGCTTGATCCTGGTGAGTGAAAGGCATGTCAGCTCAACATTTCACGATTTATATCACAGCTCTATGAGTGTTTCATGTTTTTGCGGACAACTATTGACTGCTCCAAAGGGCTCACTTGACCGGTATCACAGCTTGAAGGAATTCGACCATTCTGAGAGCATTTTCACGTCTTCCATAAAAGAAATCTAGACCATCTTTGACTTCTTTAATGTTTGTGGTATGGTTGTGTGCATTATGTTTTAATATCAGTTGTTCCAAGTAGAGGAAGGTTCTTTTGTGATTAACCTTTGTTTGCGTGAGAAAGTGTGATTAGAAAATTGTGAGGGAGCACAAAACGAGAATGATATCTTGCTGCAGGACAAGGTCTCGTGTATGTTACCTTTTGTCGTACTTGTACACAAGCCTTCCAGGTCAATTGAGCAGCAACTCGAGTACACTCGTCGCATTGAGTACCCAAGACAGTGAATTCTACAACAAACACTTGTTGCAGTATGGTTGATGCGAATACCTATATAGATCAACGGTGTGAGTACGTGCCCTTTTTTCCTCAGCACCGTGCCAAAATTTGATCCTGATCAGCCTGACCCTCTTCTACTATAACACACATAACTATCAAAACACGTACTTCTTTTTGGATAGTCAGCTTGAGCTTGATTCTCCTTGAATGTGGTTCAGTCCATATAAAGCCGGCGTCGACGAGTCTCACTTTACTCAGACCACGTAGTTTCTTTAAACATAAAGCCAGTAGTTCTCTGGACTCTAGTTCGCATTGAATCCAGCCCTGGGGCGGTTGTTGGTAGCGATTGCAGTTTCGACAGAAATGGACTATGGCTTGCTTTGGGATGCCTTCCGAGACATCTACCGAGTTTCGTATGCAATTGACACATAGATTTGCAGGATTTGGGGCAATGACAGTTCCACATGAAGCACACAGACTAGAAAGGAGGGAATGTTTGATGTTGAGCGTCAAGAAAAAAACGAGTTGTAGCAAGAAAAGCCGTAACAGCTGACGAAGCAGAGCGACATACATTCTCTGTTCTGTGGCTATAGGCTCGTAGTGCTCCATTGTCAGCATATGGCCTGATCGTCCTTGTTCTTTCACTGTTTAATCAGCTCGACAAAAAAAATGTGTGTGAAGACAAGTGAGATGAAGTTGATTTCAAAGCGAGTCAAGTCACAAAGACAAACGCGAATTCAGGCAAAAATCCAGTTTTTATTCTTCTGTGCGCGACGATCACCGTGTCCAACCCCTCCAACAGGCCAAAGTTCATATTCTGGATTTCGACAGTCACGGTCTGATCTCGACAATAGTAGCTGCCCACTCAAAGAGGCGCCCGACTACTTGGAGCTTAAATTGTTTGCCAACTGCCTGAAAGCATTTTGATCTCGCCTTGTCTATATCTGTAAGTTTCTTGAAATGGAAACTGAATTGTTGCTCAAGGAACAAGATGACAATAGCCAGGGAAAGCCCTCGCAACATTATATACTCCGTTTTCAATGCATATTTACTCCCTGTAACGGCTTTTATACGCTTTTACTCATGCTTGATACACGTAAATTCGCAAACATTAACACATTGCGGAATCTAGAAAATGTCACGTCCACCACAATCTGTGAATGACGATGTCATGTCTCTCCTCGACTCTCTAACCGGAGAACTACCTCCTTCGGCTGCATCAACAAACAATGGCAACACGGCCGTCCCAACTGAAGATGTCCTAGCCTTTCTCGACGAACTCACCCAAACCAGTACTAGTCAGCCTATGAAATCGTCATATAATAGCTACTCGTCTCAACCACCTCCACCATCATCGCAAGGTAGCAGACCACCTACAGTGTCAAATGTAGGATCAACACTACCTGGACCACCTATGATATCAAATGTAGGTCTAGGATCATCAACCCCTGCATCTTTTCCAGCTGTATCAATAGGATCATCACTAGCAGCACCACCTCCGGCAACAAAGGTACAAGCATCTAGCGCTCCCATTCCATTTGGAGGTGGACCACTGCGTGACACCTCGACTAGATCTCCCCAACCGCAACAACAGCAACTACAGCCACCTCCAGCAACCAGTATGAAATCAAGTCTAGTTCCTGCTACTGTAACTGCGGCTTCCACAAACGAGGACGGGCTGTCTACTCCTTTGGCAGCTCCAACATTCTCGACTACACGATCTAAACATTACCCCGTACATCCTACGCTACAAGCAGCACAACCGAGTGGTAATGTCAATCATCCATTAAATAATATTAATATTCAAAGACCAGATGAGAGAATCATACCACAACAACAACAGCCACCTCAACAGCAGCAATCAAATTGGACTTGGGACTCGTTCGTAAACACAGCTCGAGCGCAAGCAGCCTCCGTATCAGCATCCGTATCAACAATCTCTGCCCAAACATTCGACAAGGTAGCCCAGGTAGCTGAAACATCCATAAAAACAATATCTGCAAACGACACTGTCAAACAACTCAACACGGGAGTCGCATCACTCAATTTATCTAGACTGGCAAGCACCGTGTCGAATACGCTAGCTCCTAGTACTCATAGCAACGAGCATGGAAACGGGACTGGGGATTTAGCGCTTTTCCCAACAGTCATGTTGTGGTTTTGTGCCAAGACTGCTGATCATGATATTGATCAGCTGCATGAGTATATACAGGGTACTGTTAATGAGCTGTGGTTGAGTCGTGCTCCTGGTGTTGCTAGAGTTTGTAATAAGGTGGTTGTCAATAGTGTCAAGGATAAGGATCCCAGGATGGCGAATAGTTTGGAACTGGCTATTACTTGGACACAGGTACCATTCTGTTACAATTTCTTCCATTTTTTCCTCCTTGGTACGTTTAATTTGTTCTCACACCGTTCCCACATAGGAAACACTCGTCCGTCTAAAAAAGCTCGCTGAAACACACACATCTCAAACACCAGCAACAACAGCACAACCACCACATCATCTCTTTCTAATCATACAACCATTCACAATCCAGGTTGGCACCAAAAGACATTTACAGCATTATATAGTAATCATGGATGAAGACGAATTAATCAATCTCGTATCTCAGTCAGTGTCTGATGAAGGGCATGACAAGAGCTTGGAGAAATGGGCATCAGTGCAACGTGGTAGAGTTGTGGAAGGGAGTGTCGCTGATTTGTGTGAGGAGTATGCGGTTAGATGTTTGGGTGATAGTGTCGGTGCTGCTAGTGTCCCTGTGAATATGGGGTTAAGTAGCATCGCTACTGGTTCTCCAAATGCTGGTGGTGGTAGCCCAAACATGAAAATGCAACAACTTTGAATGTAAATGTGATTACAATATTATTTTTTGGCAAATATATACAGAAATGATTCCAAAAAAGACCAAATTTGGAGTATGTAGTAAGTTATTAGTTATTTAGTAGAAGTGACACTTAAAGTGATGATGCAAAAAACTAATTAGATTGTAAGTGGTTGGATTGATGTTCCAATTCCAGAACGCGCATCACTTTCAGTTGTAAGTACGCATCGTCTTCCTTCTGACATACGGTACAGTGGGGCGTCCGACAAGTGGTGGTCTAGAATCAAGACAAATTGTGAGAATCTCGACAGAAAATAATCAATCCGTGAAACGAGCGTCCGTACATACTTTGGCGCAAATGTTATCGGCGACGTAATCGTAACATGAGTAGGTCCATCATCGTCGACATCCATATCATTCCGTAAGGGAGGTCGCGTATCTTGCAGCACGTTTCCGGTCTTCTAACAAGCAAAAATTGATATTAGTTTAAACAAAAAAAGCGATCGATCGAGATACATTCACATACCGCAGCATCAACCCCAGAATCATTAACACTCAGCCTCTTGATCAAGTGCGCCATTCGTTTCGCACCTCCATCATATATCATATTATCAGGTGTACTAGGACATTGATTCGGCAATGGTGGCAACCCACTCATATTACCACTCTTCTGTATCGTCTGCTCCATCAGCAACAACCGTTCACGACTCGTAGATGGTGTTAAGCTATTCCTCTTCTCAGCCAACACGACTTCATCATCTTGCTCTTCAACATCCTCAAGATCTTCATCATCAGCCTCATCATCGTCCTCATCAGCCATATTATTGTCGCTACCAATCAAGACATCCTGCATCTTGTTGTGAAGATTCATAGACACGGGGGATGAAACACCTAGTGACGAGACGGACGACACGTGATATAATGCAGGCGGATGTCCATTCCCACCGCCAAGTTTAGCTAAATCTTCCAACATGGTATACAGGTAGTCGTAATTGGGGACTTGGCCATACCCCAGCGTCATCAAATGCTGATATATATACCAGCATTGCACTGGCAAACCATCTAGTAATCCATGTGGGAAGGTGACTTTATCGGCAGTTATGGTTCGTGATGCTGGATTACATCGTGTTGAAGATGATGACGACGATACAGGCGACGATGATGATATTATGGTTGCAGAAGTTGGTTGTTGCTGTTGAGGAGTTGGTGTTGCGGGCAGGTCGGGAAGAGTGTATTTTACTTTGAGGGCTGCTATTTTAGATTTCTCTTTACCCTTCCATGGTAGTGATCCTCGTAGACATTCCACCAATATGTAGAAGAGCGACCATAAATCATCTACTCGGCCTAGATCTCGTCCCTCGTGAGCAGCTATGGAAGCGTATCGTGCCGTGCCTCTAAATCCGACTTTGCATCTTGGCTATGTGTGAAATTATGGGTCCAGGTTAGAGTCTTGAGCATGACTTCAGTGCTTAGATGGTTTTTTCGCATACCTCACGAACTTTCCCATTCGAACTCAGATATCGTCTCGACAGTCCAAAATCAATCATGAAACAATGACTAGCAGCCGACAATTCAGTCTCGTTAGGACCCAAACAGAAATTCCCAGGTTTGATATCCCGATGCAAAAATCCAATTTCATGTAATGCTTGAACAGCTCTAAGCATCTGCCTCGTTATGACTGATGTTATCACAGCTGAGAACTGTCCATTGGGTGCTTTTCTTCGTAAATCTGATAGACTAGACGATGAATAGGGCAGACAAATGTCAGAGTTATACGTCCGCGTTGATACACGCTTTTTGTGGTGATCTTCTTACTTTGGTCCAAGCAGCTGCATCACAAGATAACTATAAACTGGTTGTGAAGCTCCATTCTGAGGAGCAGGTGTGGGAGGATTCTGTTTTGTCGGTGTTGATGTTTGAGATGTGGGAGTTATGGGATGATGAGAATGTGATTGTGGTGTAGCGAATCGACCGCATCCAATGAATTTAGCTACAAATGGGCATTCTAAACGATCGGAAGCGTTGTTAGTACAGGGACAATCGTAAGCGAAAGCGAGAAGTCTTTGGTGTGAAGAAAATTCAATTGAAACATTCGACTTCTGGTTTTTCTGCGCTTACCTTGCAACTTTCTCATAACACATATTTCAAGTTTGAGGACATGTTTCTTGCACTCTGGCGATTCGACTTTGATAGCTACTGTTTGGTGTGTGGATGTGTCTGCAGCCGAAAAGACTTCTCCGAATGCACCTTTACCCAAGACAGCTCCCTTTTTGTTGAAGAAGACGGAATGATTAGATCAATTTGCATTGCGTATATAGGCACTCCAATAAGTGTTTATGAACGCCGTTTTTGGTTCATAAGGTTGACACCACAACTTACGATACGCCATCGACTCTTTATCACGACATTCTTCAGATTTGGAATTGGTACGGCATTAGGATCTCTCGGGGGCTGCTGTTGTTGCTGTTGGTGTAGTAGCTGTTGCTGCTGGTGATGGTGGTGATGATGATGTTGTTGCTGCTGCTGCACCTGCTGATTCAATTGCTGATGAAGTATAGAGTGTTGCTTGATTGGCTTTCTAGAGACTACCTGGGTGACAGGGGTAGTCATCATAATGTGATGGTTTGTAGATTGAGCCAGCATTCTTTGCCGCACTTGAACGCGGCGCTGTTGTTGTCTTGTGGTGCTAGTGGTAGTCGCAGAAGTCGAGTTGTTGCTTAGTGTTGAAGTGTGTTTGGTGTGTGTGTTTGTGATGATGGGTTTTGCACGACGGGATCTTAGTGTAGTTGGGGTGGATAGCTTGGATAGGAGGGTCAGTGCTCTTGATCTTGTTCGAGTAGCGGGGCCGGCGAGTGGTGTTATCGAAGAAGGCTCTTCGTTGTCTGATAGGTGATGAATAGTTTGGTAATGAAGTGACATTGCTTAATAGATCATGCCTCTTGACATTGATGGGCCAGATAGATCTATAGGGAGGCGGTGTTGATCGTACTGTGAGCTATCTAGATCCCCCCTCCTTGTCGTAGTTCTGGTCCCTCACTCACTTTGGGCGGGAGCAAATGAAATGTTTGTCTTGTTGGACATGCAGCGAAGATGACGGTAGGGCTTTGACCAAATGAAGACAAGTTAATTCCCATCAAGAGAAATATTAATCGCCACCGTAATAGTATCGGGAGAGAGCCTCCACTCCCCCCAGATCGTCATCTGTAGGTGAAGTATCTTGTAAGCATCTCACCACGGTTTTGTCATTTGTGAGTTTTAACTGACAAACACAATCCAATGTAGGCAGGTCTAAAAATAGTGAATAATGTATCATAGTACGATGGCCACCATGGCGACTTCTCCAATAACTCCATTTGGCAACCTTCGCAACGGAACATCACCTGGACATTCACCAAACAGGAATCAAACTCTGCCTACCATATACGAGGAATCAGACTCAACAGACCAGCAGCAGCAACCAATACCATCTCCCAGTATAGATTCCATAGATGTCACGCCAACGGAGACTCCTAAAATCAACACCGTCGCACTAGATGACTATAATTCATCAAGAGTTGGCCTAGGCAATGCAAAACTCGTCAAGGAAGGAGCTGCTGATTCCGCTATATATCTCAATGACGAATTGGTCAACCACAACCCAATGGCCCCAGACGAGACAGCCACTCTGCACCACCGACCAAGGAAGGTCACCTTTGGTACGTATCTTTGGACTTTGTATTCTTTGTTCGATCGCATCGCATCAAGTCAATCTTGTCATATATTTATTCATTTGTCTCCTTTAGATCCATTGGTGATCCGTCTCGACGAAGTATACAGACAACCAGCAATAAAGACCCCCAAACCAAAAATCCTCCCAAAAACCCTCCTGCAGCGCCACATCTCCATCTTCGACCCAGAAGAAACAGGCACCATATACCCACACCAAACATTCAACACCCTATACACAGACTTCAACGTCAACTTTATCATATCCGCCATATGCACCATCTTCTTCCACATAACGTGCTCCTATCTCACACAACCACGATACATGCCAACCCTGCACGACTTGCTTTTGCAACCGATATACATAGAAGGTATCGACAAGATCAAATTCGGATCTGCTGTAGGTGTATTGCGAAACACCGATGCCTTGTCGAGGCTCGAACTGCCGAATGGGAGACTGGATTTAGCTGGGATTATGAAAATAACGAGGGAAAGTGACGCTGTTGGGGATATTCTCGGGTGGATTATTGTGAGAGTTAAGTGGATGCTCATGCTGGTGCTAAACTATTCGTCAAACAAGGGGTTGAGTGTGGACCAAGCGTTTGTTGTTGGTGTTTTGGATGGGTCGAAAACAAGGGCTGAGAGTAGAAGTGGTAGTAACAGTAGTGCTACCAGTATCGTTAGTGATGGTGTGTATCAAGTGTATGACTAAGACCGCTGGGAAAGAGGGAGAGAGCAGTTTAAAAAGCGTGAATTTTGGTCACTTTCTTGTAGGTAACCTTGTATTAGTATAGTGTAAGGGAGAGCTATGTTTCAAAAACTTTACTGTAATCGTCGTGAGTGTAATATAAAGTAGTCACAACTAATTCGGACGACGCTTTGACGTCATTCGTTTGCGAGTTTGAACCATTATCCAATAACTTGCCACAAACACTAGGAGGGCAAACGTGCGACCTTTCTGATCAAGAGATACGAAACACATTTTCATTCAAACTAGTACTAATAAACTACTTAAAGCTTGCTACCACTCACAGAGCTCACATCAGACAATCCCCACTGCAGACCCTCCCAAACCTTCATATCTTTTTCACGGAATTTGTCGTCCGTAACATAACAATTGTCGTCCTGACCAAACACGATTATTTTACCTCCTGCGCCAGTATATCGAGGCCATTCAGCCGGCATCGTTTGGCCTGATGCGAATGTAGTCCATAGTCTCATCATTCTTTTTGATAGTTTGATTTCACCTGTGTAGAAGGGAAAAAGGTGGTTAGTTGTGATGAGCAAGGGCAAAAACGAATGTAAGATGGATATATTGAATACCTTCATCAAGATGACCATGATGGCCCCATACCTATGCCGCGTAGTAAATGTTAGTCCCATTCACGGCATCATCTTTCAACAATCAAGCTTTTCTTTCGTTTACCAATGCGACCTCGCTGGCATGAGCAGCTCCAACTTTCGCCTTCCTCAGAAGAGACAGTTCTGAATCTAGACGATATACATATACTTCCATTCCATGCTTCTCAGCCAAATCTCTTGACTTGGTCCTTCCACAGTAGTAGTACCTTTCATCAGCCCATATATGTCCAAAAGCCGTATTGTACGGCTCACTTCCATAATGCTCCCAGAGTGCTTTTGAAGCGGTTGGTGAAAAGAATGTGTTGATCCAAGCGATTAATGCCTTTTCAGATGCGACTGGTGGGACAAAATGTTGATGGGTCAGGACGTTAAACAAAAACAAAATCTGCTGTAAGGGTCTGTCAAGAAGTTCTCACTTCGGGGCCTCCATGTCGTATCCTCGTCCTTCGCTGTTCCGATAATGATGCTCTTGACTTTGGCAAAGCGGCCTTCCTTGAATGACTTTATGGGGTGTTCTCTGATGCTGACACCATCGAGGATTGGGCCGAAACGAAGAATCAGCCTAACGGACTCAATTAAATCAGACATTTCAGCAGAGAATCCGTTTTGTTTGGTGTTGAGTCATTTACCCTGGCGGGGGTGAAGTCATCAATTCCAACAACCTTTCCCACTCGATGGTACGTAAATAATCGACTTTTTGAACGGCGTTTAGGTGGGGAGGACATTTGGTTGCTGCACACAAGTAGTCAAAGAAACCTGAACAGAAAAATGTCAATTGAGACTTCTGTACATGGAAACCTCTCAGAATCAGATGTGCACGCACCTTGTTGAGTCTTGGCAGTCAATGGATTTGCACCACCAGCAGATCCACTTTCACATATAGCCCGATCAAACAGGTTGTCCATTGGGAAACACACCATGAGATATGAGATGGCTATTGCACCTGCACTTTCTGTTTGATTGTGTTGAGAATTGAGATTTCTCGTCAAGTTCATCATTGGACGAAATATTCGAAGGCTCACCACCGAATGCTGTTATCATGTTTGGATCACCACCTGTTCAGACACTCATTGTGAGTAGAAGTCTCATAAGTTTGGGGGAAAAAACGAAAGACAAATGAATGGTATTTTCAGACTGCCTTACCAAACGACTGAATATTGGTTCTAATCCATTGAAAGGCAGCTCTCAAGTCCAATAATCCATAGTTTAGTATCCCATCAGTTGAATCAGCCTTCATTTCAGATGAGGCCAAGAAGCCAAATAGGTTTAATCGGTAACTAGTAACAAAATACAGGATGAAACAGGCTTCATATTACCCACTGCAGCATTGCTCTAGCTCACAACAAACACCACATCCGTGGCGCAATACATACTTGACCGAAACGACAATAACAGAATCATTCGATTCAGCAACGATATTGGGAGCTCCTTGAGCAATGGCAGTGGATGCCTCGCCGTTCTGAAAAGCCCCACCATGGATATATACCATGACCGGCAACAGCTTCCTTGTTGAGGTTTTTGGAGTAAATACATTCAAGTAAAGACAGTCCTCATTATTTGGTATGACTGATCTTGCAAAGGGACCTGACGAAGCCGAGAAGGATGCGAATGGTATTTGAGGACATTTTGGACCGTATGATGTAGCATCGAGCGTTTCAGTCCATTTTGAAGGTGGTGATGGTGGTCGCCAGCGAAGAGGACCAATTGGAGGTTTGGCGTATGGAATTCCTGGGGTTGATTATGAGAAAAGTGAGAAGGTGAATGATCCAACCGTCAACAAGGGTCAATTATATAGTTGCAGTAAGCTGATGTGATGTATGTGATGCAAACGCTTTGTGATGATATTTACCTAGGTAAGCATGGCAGCTCTTTCTAAATAAGATATAGACCAACGGTATTAGCTTTGGCTAAGAAAGAAGCGACGAAACACGATCTCACTTTTTTGAATAGTTCCACGCTTGATCAATTCCTCGAATGGGGCCAAATGCAGTATCGATCACTGCCATTGAAGAGCAGGTATACGATTTATCAGGACAATTACGTGTGCCTTGCTAGGCTTGTTCTGTAAAAGACTGTGAATTCGCGTCCTAAGCTCACACTCACAAAAACCCACACGTCAAAGACATCACTCATCAAGGGCAATAATCATTTTAGCATTTGTCGTAAAAGACATCTTCGTTTGCACAATCCAGTAATTATTACTTTGCAGAAAAGACCAAACCATCAAAAAAATATCCACAAAAACACTCAAAACATTATGGCATCTCGAAATCAAAGCAAACCATCCACACCTTCAACCAATTCATCTCCGCTTCCAGCTTCTGGTATGTACCTCTCCTTATTCTGCTCTTTGACACAAAACGCTCTTTGCAACAAATCAAATTGTCCATATACACCAAACATTCCAAATGTCACAACCAACACCGAAACTCTCCCGTCAACATAGGCAGAGGCATCGTGAAAACTCTGATTTCTACAGACACTATCATCATCAGAGCCTTGAAACCTCTTGCCAATGCTCCTCCGCCAGAACGTGTCTTGAGCTTGGTATCCACTCGACGTGCTTGATGTACAAGATATCGTCTAGTTCTGACAATCCTTCTCGCATTTACAGGCTGGTATCATTGCTCCACGACTCGGAACTGCCAAAGAACCGGAGAAGGAAGAGGTACATCAATGTCTGACGACTATGTGCACATCCTTTCAGTCCATTTGCTTTGTCTATATTTGTACTCACAACCATATCACTAGCCATACGCATTCGCAGCACGAGAATTCCTTCGAAAGCTCCTCATCGGCAAAGAAGTCAGCTTCAGAGTCGAATATACAACAACCACAAACACTCGCGATTTTGGCATGGTCTCGCTCCCTCAAGCTATCGATGGAGAAACCAACGTCAGCAGAATCATGATCAAGGAAGGCTTTGCCAAAGTTAAGATGGATTCGAAACGACCACCATCCGACGACTCAGCAGCATTGCTGCTGTTAGAAGAAGCTGCCAAAGCTGCCGGAAAGGGCATGTGGGCTTCGAAATCTCCAACAGACGGACTACGTAATTTAAGATACAATCCTCCTGAAGATATGAAGGGGTTTTTGGAAAAGTATAAGGGGGTCCAAATGAATGCTGTTATTGAGCTTGTCCGAGACGCTTCTACGTATCGACTTTGTATCTTTTTGGATGATAATTTGTCGCAGTATTTGACTGTTATGGTGTCTGGAATCAAGGTACATTGAAAATCTGGCATTTGCAATTATGTTACCAGCAATTAAAAAATTTTGTCGTCAATCCAGGCACCACTCCTCAAAAAGGACGTACCAGGAGCAGAAGATATCATAGAGCCATATGCAGAAGAAGCTAAATACTTTGTCGAATCTCGTCTATTACAACGAGACGTCAAAGTGATTTTGGAAGGAGCTGGGAACAGCAATTTTGTTGCATCGATTATTCATCCTGCCGGAAATATCGCTGAAGCATTGGTATCTGAAGGACTCGCAAAGGTTGTTGATTGGACTATTGCTAATGTTTCCGGAGGGTAAGTTTGCATCAAAAATGTCGACTGTCGAAATTGGAGGAGAGACAGCAGTGATCTGGAATGCAATAATTTCATTGGTTGATCATATCCCCATATTTTCTCAACTCTTTTGTTTTTAGACCAACGAAACTACGAGCCGCTGAAGCTAAAGCCAAAGAGCGACGTATAAGAATGTGGCAAAACTTTGTCGACAAGAAGAAATCTGGATTGAATGGTGCTGAGGCTGTTTTTGATGGAATTGTTACAAAGATCGTCACTGCCGATACTGTATGTATCCAGAAAAAAAGCAGACATGTGAAACAGAATGGCTTATTCACAAGCGCGTCTCGTCCTCATATATAGATCATGATTGCAGGCTCAGAAGACTTGAGCCCAGAACGCAAAATCACTCTATCCAGTGTCCGAGCACCACGCATCAAGGAACCAAAAGAAGCAGGCTACGCTGCAGAAGCCAAAGAATTCCTACGATCCCGACTTATTGGCCATCGAGTCCACGTTGTCATAGACTATATCAAACCCGCTGTCGAAGGATACCCAGACGAAAAAGAATGCGCTACAATATCCGTTGATGGGCAAAACATTGCTGAATCCATGATTGCCAAAGGTTTAGCATTGACATTACGACATCGTAAAGATGATGAAAATCGATCATCCGCTTATGATTCGCTGCTCATTGCTGAAGAGAAGGCAAACAAGGCACAAAAGGGTTTGCATTCGCCTAAAGATCCACCATCATACCGTATATCCGATGCATCTGAAAATTCGACTAAGTCGAAGCAATTCCTGCCATTCTTGACGAGAGCTGGTGCTGTCGCTGGTATTGTTGAGCACGTTGTTGCTGGATCTCGATTTAAAGGTATTCTTCCAATGCTGCTTGTCACTCCTTTTTTTCAGTCCTTGTCTTACTCCCTCGACAATGTTTAGTCTTGATACCGTCTCAAAACTGCAAGATTACTCTTGTGTTGGGCGGCATAAGAGCTCCACGCGCTACTGGTAGAAGTGGAGAACGAGCCGAACCTTTTGGAGACGAGAGTTTGGAATTCGCTACTCGTAAATGCTATCAACGTGATGTCGAAATCTCTGTTGAAGGTGCTGACAAGGTCGGAGGATTCATTGGTACAATATGGTTGCCTGGCGGTGGAAGTCAGAAACAAAACTTTGCGGTGTGTTGCTTTGAATTGTCCCTGACTGTGGTCATGGTTTCACTCGACAATCTGTCCTTTTTTGCTCTGGAACTTACCACATCCATGCTCTGAATAGGTCATGTTGTTAGAAGCAGGCCTTGCGACCGTCCACGAGTATTCAGCACAACAGAGTATACATGGCAAAGATCTTTTTGAAGCTGAAAGAAAGTCTCGAGAAGCCAAACGTGGAATATGGAGTTTGGAACGACCAGAAGTAGAAGAGGTAAAAGAAGAGGACCCAACAGCAATGGACGAAGAATCAGTCAATGAAATACAGGCAGTTATATCCGATATATCTGGTGGTGGATCATTCTACTTCCAACACGTAGGTGATGGAACAAAGAAGCTCGAGCAACTTATGGCCGACTTTGCATCCTTCCATATATCCCAACAAAACAGCATTATACCATTCAATCCAAACGTAAATGATTATTGTGCCGCCAAGTATTCAGTAGACGAAGGCTGGTATCGAGCACGTATCCGCAAAGTCAATCCAGCAGATAAAACTTATACCGTCTTGTATATGGATTACGGCAATTCCGAAACAGTACCATTATCACGATTACGACCGCTCGATTCCAAATTCGGTGTATCGTATCTCCCACCACAAGCCATCGAAGGTGTATTAGCATACTTGACAGTCCCACCGCTCGATGATAATGAATGGGGTATGGAAGCATATGAGCGATTACGTGAATTGACAGAAAACAAAATGCTCAAAGCTAAAGTAGTCGGTGCTAAGAAGACACCTACTGCTTTATTGTTGAGTCAAGCTGATGATAAAACTGGGACTATTAATCAGTTGCTGGTGCGAGAGGGTTTGGCTACTGTTGATAAGGTAGTTGCTAGACGTCATCATGCTTTGTCGAATGGAGTCAAACGTGGAAGTAATGGTACCACAAATGGACATGGTGCTGCTAGTAGCAGTGTCGATACGTTGTTGCGTGCTCAGGAAGATGCTAAACGCGATCGGGTATGTGATTAATTTTGGATTTCCATGCTGTCATCAACAGGATGAAAACAGACTTTCTGGTCTATTACAAGTGACTAACATCACCTTCTTCATTCACTAAAAGGTCAACATGTGGCAATACGGCGACTTCACCCAAGATGATGATTTGTAAAACTATTTTAAAAAACATTGTCGTATTGATCAACTCTCTCTACAAAAAACAAGAACACAGTTTGCACTTATACAATCTCCTTGAATGTGTTTTTTATTTCTAGCGCTCGAAAGGAAATGTAGAGCATTTTTATAATAACATGTGTATTGAGCAGCAATAATACGAAACGAAAAGGAAGAAGCACTTTATGGAAGGAAAATCAAAAGCCTCCGCTAAAAAAAGGAGAGAAACGCGAATGTCAGGGTATGTATGATTTGGACGATGAATTCAACACGACGAACATACAGTTGTTGCACCGTAACGTTTATAGCCTCTCCATCTTCCATGTCCAACTAACGTGAAGAAAATGTGTGGCGTTAGCTTCCCGATCATCCCGAAACCAAAAAAAAACTCATATACGAAGTAATTGACATACATCATCAGGAGTGTCTGTAGGGTTGATGCGTTCACCGCTTGAGGCAAGGAATCGGACGGCATTTTTGTCCTAGATGTGATATTGATGGAGCGTATGCTGAGTGACTTGACTCGGGTTTTCTTTCTGCTGAGCGAATGAATGAAAGTACCTGTCCAGTCTACAGGAGACGAAGGTCATTGTAAGTATACTTGGATGTAATGAAAGCGATTCATCAACACGATGGTACCTTTTGTAAGTATGCGGACATCAACTGGATTTCAAAGTAATATTGGAGTTAGTAGTGATCGTTGATTGAAGACTCGTGAAAAATGAAACTCGGAGTGGCCAGCAAACTTGTAATAGCAATATGCGATGTAATAAATCAATCTAGATTGGTTACTAACTTTGTCTAATGGTGTTGTTCGTTTGATCTTGAATGCTATAAATCCAAAAATATAAAGATTAGTGCTTGAGCCAAACGAGAAAATGCGAAGAGTGCCATCCAATGCAGTATGGTATAATGACACCAAATCATTCAGAAATCTCTCTTTAGCGTTGAAAAAGTAGCGCCGAGAAGCAAGTGCCTCTCCGAAGCCCAAAACATTTGATGTCAAAATGTTGCTATCAATCTTCTAGCTTACCGATTTCAGATTGGTCTGGGCCCACGACTCTGAGATTGATATGCTCGACCTTCTGTAATATGATAATATAATAAAAGTTAGCTTGTGATAAGGTATAGCTGGTAAAGCTGGCTTCAACTAAGACGGGTTGAAAACAAAAACAACCAACCTTTTGCTCCTGTTGTTGATCTTCTCCGTCCATCTTTGAATATTGTAGGTCTTGTTAGTAAGGTCTGATATATAGGAGAGCTTGCTTCTTGTTGGTTTTAAAGAGCTTTCTTCTTGCTTTTTGGTGAGTTGAGTGGATTGAGGTTACATTTGGAGGCTTGAGCCAACGAGAGCTATAATTGTATTTACGTGAATTGATGCATGAATGATACTTGGATCGCTTATTAGTACTTGTTTGCTCCCTCCTTTGTCACCAACATCTGACAAGTATCATTTCATTCATTCCATAGATCGTACACATGGCACCTCGCAAGGACTTAATGGAACGCATTGTTATAGTAACTGTTTGGAAGTTTCTGACAAAATATCTTCCATTCGGTATGTGTACTTGGCCCCAGTTCCTGCAAGCACAATTGGCATTCAAGCAATCCAATTTCAGGCATAGGAAAGATTGTGTTTAGCTACATAGTTGGCATCATGTCGCCGTATACAAGCTCAATCTCGCCTCGGATCACTCATATCGATACTGGGAAGTGTACAATTACCATGCAAGTGATTACCCTTTGTCGCGATGTTGTTTTGGACGTGTACTGATTCGCACGTGTCCTCTCAAGGAGCATCGATATGTGCGAAACCCATTTGCTTCAATTCACGCTGCGGCTATAGTCAACATCGCTGAAGCTGCATCTGGAATGGCCGTGATTTCTAAAACTCAACAGTTTAATGCTACGAATGCCGCCAAGAAAAAACGTGGAATAGTGAAAAGGATTACAGCTGAATACTTTGCAAAAGCACGTAATCGTATTACTGCTACATGTGATTTGGGAACGGACGATTTCGTGGTGGTTAGCGGTGCATCAGGTCAACATGGGGCTGATGTAGAGGTGCCTGTTGTGGTCAAGAATGATAAGAATGAAGTTGTCGCGAAAGTGCAAGTCACTTGGCGCATTCAACAGAGCTAGAGCTTTAATGTTGAAAGAGGTATATTTTTAGATCTTACTGTTCTACCAATTTGCCCCCCCCCCCCCCCCCGGCCCATATGTTTATATAATAAGAAGACTTTTTTGCATCTGTACAAGTGTTATCTTCTCTTCGCTTTATATGTACACGGGCCTCATCATGTCAATATAGATGGGCACCACCTAAAGCTGTTGTCGCGGGATGCTGCCACGTACTGGAAGACGAGCCACCTGGTCCATCATGCCAATACCCGTATTCCGCGGATGGTGAGCTTGTCAATGCCTCCTGTGCATCACGAGCTCTATGATGAGCTTCAAGATCCTCCAGCATCGATATCATGGGATTCAAAAATGCCCCCTTTTGAGGTAGCATCATTGGTCTCATTTGCTCAATATCGTGATTTGGTACCTGCTGCATATTGTAATTAGACCTTCTTGCCCAAGCTATTGCAGCATGCAAGTTCTGCACCCAAGCAAAAGCTACACTATGTTGATCCGCCTGCAAATACCATACTAGCTGTCCCGGCGATTCATCACGGATTTCTACAAGCCAAGGTCCATCGCTGTCCCCATACAAAACACATATAGTTGATTTCGTGATTGTGAACTGATCCATACATCGTGCATGTCCATGATCAGATTTAAACTCGTAGAGTATGCCATTTGCTAGTATACAGAAGCGATCCTTCCACACTTGTATGCCTTGTTGGCGTGGTGATGTGCTCAATTTACGCAAGTAACCTGATCGAGACTGACTGTCGCTTAGTAAATCCTGCACTATTATGGGTTCTTGAGAGGGTGACGGTTCGACAAAGTTTTGCCATCGTATATTATTTGGTTGGGCTGACCCCATATCTCCCAAATCCATTGCTGCTGGTGGTGGTGGACGAGGCTCAAGTCGTCCAACACGCCGGTCTTTACGTTGATCTGCTGGTCGTGCTGATGATGATGAGGCCGTCGATGGTGGTGCTGCGCCACTTCGAGGAACTACATACATGCCAGATGCCCAGTGTAATGGATCCACGATTGGTAGTAGAGCAGGCCGTTCTAAGGTCCGTGTTTGCAACATGGCCCTCCGCACGGATTCTTCCTTCTCACTATAACTTCTCAGTGGTAAATCATGAGAGTATTGGCGACGATGTATTGGACCTGCTGACTTTGACCTAGCCAGTGCTGATGAGTTGCCGTTTCCCTCACCAGGTCGTGCTCGTGACCTCTCTTCCCATGTTTGTTCAGGCGCTACTGGAGATTCAGACGTCGAAGAGTACGATGTTGGAGACCAGGGCGGTGACGTTCCCTGTCTGGGCGACATACTATAAAGGTTACTTGATGATACACTGTTGGGCGATAATATATTTACACGTGCTGGCAAGTTACTAACTTTGCCTGGTATCGGTGGTAACGGCTTCTCATTTTTGGGACTAGCAGATGGTCGTGCTGCAAATCTAGATGCCTTACGTGGTGGAGGCGACGGTTCTCTTTCTTTTGATCGGTTGTCATATCTCTCAGTGTCGATTACAGAGACAGAGACGTTCGACTCATTACGATTTATAGCGAGCAATTCTACACCTCTCGTTGGTGACTTGCTCAAAGAGGATAGTCTAATTGGACTCATGGCCCTTTCGCCTTCAAATATAGTCTTGAGAGCTGTTTGCGTTTGCACTTCACCATACTGCGAAGCTAGAGTCATTGTCGACCATCGTAAATCCGTCATACTGTGCGTCGGTTTGAGACGCGACGACGTGGCAGTAGCACCTATAGGTTTGTTGTAATAGGCCGTTGATTCAACATCTACCACTGGCTCATTAGGTGTTGATCGTGTTGCTCTATTACGTGGTGGTGGAGATGGCAATGATTCGACAACTGTCTCGTTGACTGGTGAAGTTTCACGAGCTAATTCCCTTTCATGGACCGCGTCATCCACGGGGCTCTCAGGAGGCTGTGTATCTATCAGAGAGACAACCTCAAATATTGAGATAGCCTCAGCACTATCATCCGCTCCATCGTTTCCATCTATTAATGGTGATTCCTCAACAGGAAAGTTGAGAGTTGAATCGCCCATTTCAGTCACCATAGATTCTCGCAGAGAACGATTTCTACGTGATAAAGAGAGTTCACCTCCTTCTGAAGAACCGGATTGCGTCCCAGACCAATTACCACTATCCCGAGTCATGATACTCTTTTGCGATGCTATTGCCGAGGCTACGATTGGTAACTGATTCGTCAGGGAGTCTGTAGGTGACTTGGTCAACGACACTGAATCAGAATGATTCCTTTGTCGATTTACGCGTATTCTGGTAGGACCTGTCGGAGTCCTTAGATCAGACTTTGACCTCCTTACTCGCATCGGAGCTGGCAGAGCTGCAACTACAGCACCTACAGCATCAATCAATGCTGACGGGCTCGCCGGTGATTCTAAAATCGGTGAGAGTGCATCACTATTCCTACTGTCATCAAAAGTCTGGATTGCTACTGATTTCAAGTTCGAAGGTTTCACTGGTGGTGGTGTTGGTTCTGGCGTCATAACAGCTAGTGATACTACATCTAGTTTTGTGTCAGGGCTGACTCGTTCTGGAGTCAGTGGTGGTGTTGCTAGTGGGGATTCCAAGGCTGGCCGTGGTGTCGTTGCAACACTGGGAATCACGCGTTCTTCTGTCTCCTCCGCTTCCTCTTCTTCAACCTCTGGTTCAATAGCCGTATCTACAATATTTACAGGTATCGGTTGATCTTTAATAAGACCGAGGATCGGTTGTTCAATAACTGGTTCTGGTGAAGTTTCGGATGGGATCGGTTGTCCAACAACTGATCCCGTTGAAGTTTCAGATGACGTAGGTTGTTCTAGATGTATATCGGAGAGTTGGGAAAGAGTTGGAGTAGTCTCAGATTCAACATTCAAGATGTCATTCAGATGAGGCTCAATTAGACTATGCTCGGTTGTAACAGGAGATCGCATACCACGCTACATGAGAATGAGTGTGAGGAGCGAAGCTCTTTGTAAATTACGCGGATAGAATCGCTTATACCTCTGAGATTGGATCCGATATAGTCTGTTCCACAGAGTTGAGCGACTGTACTGAGTCAGCTACTTTGTCAACCATTTTGTCATTCACAACTTGCGTAGGTTCAGAGATATCTGTCCTGCTTTCTATGATCCTCGGCGCCAGATTATCATCACTCCTTGATGAAATCTCGTCTATAGGTTGAACTATGGTGGAAGTACGTGTCGCATCTTTTACAACTAGCTCAGGTTCCTTCGATACAGGTTCAAGAGTTTCAGCCACAGTTACTTGAGGTTCGAGAACTACTGATTCAGAATGGGATTGTGGTGGTTTTACTTGTATGTGCTTTATAGGCTGTATTGAAGCCTATGAGGTCACCATGTCAGTGAAACCAACCACTGTCACGGTTCAAAAAAGGCATCCAACCGGCCTCACCTCTAATGATACGTTATTCAATTCTGGCTGTTGCGCTCCAGGCAAACTGTCTTTGCGACGCGGTGGGCTGTTTGTGCTACTGTGACCTGGTGGAGTGTCCATTTTCTTGGCGTAAGGATTCCCCATCTTTGATTCCCACATATTCTTCATGTCCTTGACACGTAATGGGTGACTGTTTGGTGATGTGTGTCCTGTAACATCACTGAATGTATGTTCGAGTACTGGTGCCAAGTGTTTTGTGACTGGGGTGGTATCATTGTTGGTCCACTTCAGAATCATAGATGAAACTCGTGTGTTGAGATTTTGAACTGTTTTTGATGCTTGTCCATCGTCTGGTTCTTCTGATTCCATTGTACCAGCTGGGCTTCAATTTTTCAGTTCAGATTTCCTGGCGAGACTGTAGACTTGAGGAGACCATCAATTGGCAATTTAGCGGCCCTAGTCGTAGTTCTGTGATAGAAATTTGAAGAAAACTCGACCTAGTGGTGTCTCTTGGACCAGCAAGTTCTCACAAAAGAAGACAGAGCTGGGCGTTGCGAATGTTAGCGTTCCACCAGTCATTTCCAAGGGTAGTAAACTTCTACTTACGTGTAAAAGAACTCGTATGATATTTACTTCACACCTCTTGCCTCGTACAGCTTACAACTTCCTCTGGACCTTGCTTGGCAGTCCTTTCGAATCTGAGCAAAAAGTTACCGTTCAGGGTGCAACACAAATAGACTACACCACTGCCATCCAATTTGATCCTTTTCCCCTGAATCTAAGAGGATTTGCAGCCATTGGTCCACATGAGCTGGCAGAAGACATTCCTGGCAGAGATCGCGAACAGCGTTCCAACTGAAAATCTGAATTTGAAAACAGCATGAGACACGTCCAAGGTCCAAACCTCTTGGTGTCTGACGTGTTTCATAGTCTTGCAATCGCTGCAACTACAGATAGATCATCGTGCCTGCTTGATCAAGCTGGAGAATAAGAACGGGAAAGCGTGATGTTTGGCGAAAACACGTCCGATCAGATGGCACGGTCTGATGAACCAGAAGAGATAAATGGACTTGAATCTGGGATCAGTAAATATTCGCGTTTTATATCGAATTTGCACCGACCATCAAAGTAAAGGTGAAGCTTTCATCATTTTCATCAACGTCGAAAACAACAAGTTCAGCATGCCTGGCGAGACAGCGGCTGCAGCTCCGACTGGACAGCAGCGCAAGAAGCTTGATAGTAGAATACCAGCTCTGATCTCTAATGGAGTCAATCTTGGCAATCGGTCACTTTTTGTTCTGGTTGGAGACAAAGGCAAAGACCAAGTCGTGACATTGCATTTCCTGTTATCTAAGGTCAGAGTTGCAGCCAGACCATCTGTATTATGGTGCTATAAGAAGGAGTTGGGCTTTAGCTCGCATCGCAAGAAGAGAATGCGACAAATCAAAAAACAGGTTCAACGAGGACAGAAAAGCTCTGAACAGGATGATCCTTTTGAATTATTCATATCATCCACCAACATTCGGTATACATACTACAAGGAATCTGAAAAGATCCTTGGTCAGACCTTTGGAATGTGTGTTTTACAGGTACAAGGAGCTGCGTGTCTTGAAAAAAAAAACTTTGATTTTGATCAACCCCGATTTTAATTATAGGACTTTGAGGCTCTCACACCTAATCTGTTGGCAAGGACTATAGAAACAGTAGAAGGTGGTGGGATTGTTGTTTTGCTGCTTAGAACTATGAGTTCGTTGAAACAGCTCTACACAATGACCATGGTATAGGAAAAGATTAGCGTCACGTTCTATGTAACGCTCTAAAAGATGCCTAACGCCTTGAAATACTAGGATGTACATTCACGATATCGTACCGAATCGCACACTGAAACCGTAGCAAGGTTTAACGAACGCTTCATATTGTCTATGGGCGGATGTGACGCCTGTTTGGTCTTGGACGATGAACTCAATGTACTCCCATTATCTGCTGGCAAAGATGTCAAACTATTGCCGCCCAAGCCAGAAACTACCTCAGTAGAGCTCAAAGAACTGAAGGCTCAATTATCCGACAGTCCACATGTTGGAGCACTGATAAATTGTGCTAAAACAGTCGATCAGGCTAAAGCTGTACTGATCTTTGTGGAAGCCATTGCCGAAAAGACATTACGATCCACTGTAGCATTGACAGCTGCTCGTGGTCGTGGTAAATCAGCTGCTTTAGGATTGTCTATTGCTGCAGCCGTCGCTCACGGATATTCCAATATCTTTATAACATCACCCACACCCGAAAATTTGAAGACGGTATTCGAATTCATCTTCAAAGGCTTTGATGCTCTTGGATTTGAGGAACATTTGGATTATGATATAATTCAGAGTACAAACCCAGATTTCCAAAAAGCGGTTGTCCGAGTCAACGTCTTCCGAGATCATCGTCAAACTATACAATACATACAGCCACAGGACTCACAATTCCTGTCTCAGGCGGAATTAGTAGTAATCGATGAAGCAGCCGCCATTCCATTACCGCTAGTGCAAAAGTTGCTGGGTCCATATCTAGTATTTATATCCTCCACAATAAATGGATATGAAGGAACAGGTCGATCTCTCAGTCTCAAATTGATACAGGGCTTACGAGAGCAGAGTCGAGGATTTGCTGCATCAGGAGCCCGGCATGACGATAGAAAGGAAGGTGTCCTGGTTGATCGTCAGGGTCATCAACGTAGTACAGGTGATGGTAGTGCGGCTCCACAAGCAGTGGAAGGGCTTGGAAAATCGACAGGTCGTGTATTGAGAGAAATCAAATTAGAAGAACCTATTCGATATGCCCCACAAGATCCTGTAGAATCATGGCTCAACAAGCTATTGTGTCTAGATTGCTGTAATCCATCCAATGACTCTGCTTCATCAACCGTAGGCTCTCCACATCCTAGTGCATGTGAATTATTTTATGTAAATCGGGATACCCTCTTCTCATATCATCCAGCCTCGGAACAGTTCTTACAAAAGATGATGGCATTATATGTAGCAAGTCATTACAAGAATTCTCCGAACGACTTGCAACTATTGAGTGACGCACCAGCTCATCATCTCTTTGTATTATTACCTCCACTACCAGCCAACCCAACCACACTACCCGAACCATTGGTTGTAATACAGGTGTGTTTTGAAGGATCTATAAATAGAGCTTCAGTCATGGCTGCCTTGTCCAAAGGTCTAAGAAGAGACGGTGACTTGATTCCATGGCTGGTCTCTCAGCAATTCCAAGATGATGGATTTGCCATGTTGAGTGGAGCCCGTGTCGTACGTATTGCCACGCATCCAGACTTTGCTAGTATGGGATATGGTACTCGTGCTCTAGAGCTTTTGGAACGATATTATAAGGGCGATTTTGTGGGTCTCAACGAAAACGAGAATACTGTCTCGGAAGAATTCCAACGAGTCACTGATGCTGAACTATTATCCGCATCACTTGCCACCGACGATATTCGTATTCGAGATGCTTCGTCCATGCCGCCTCTACTACTACGATTGTCAGAGAGACCACCTAAAGAACAACTAGATTGGCTCGGTGTCTCGTATGGACTTACTGCCGACCTTCATCGTTATTGGAAACGGGGTGGTTACCGTCCAGTATATATCAGACAGACTGCTAATGACTTGACGGGTGAACATACATGTGTTATGCTTAAGAGTTTACGAGAGGACTCGGATTGGTTGATGGAATTTACAGCAGATTTCCGTCGTCGATTCTTGGAACTCTTGGGATACCAACTACGTAAATTCAGTCCATTGCTAGTATTGAGTGTTTTAGAAGCTACAGGTGGTGGTCGTGGTCAAACTGCTACAAGCGGTGAAAAGCCAGGTATGTCAGGCCAAAACCAAAGAAAAACATATTCTGTAGTCATAGGGATAATGCACATTTATTAACCTCTTCCAAATGCTTACCATAGTCAATTTGAGAAATCCAAAAGTATTGAAACAACATTATCGGCCATTCGACTTGAAACGTTTAGATGCCTATTCATCAAACCTCCTTGATTATCACGTCATTGTAGATCTAGTACCATCTATTGCCCGCCAATACTTTATGGGAATCTTTGATCCCATAGTTGAATCAACAGACGAAACCGCCGCTGTTCGTCTATCACCCGTGCAAGCGGCCATCTTGATTGGCGTAGGCTTGCAACGCAAGACCTTGGATGACTTGAACAGTGAAATGGGTCTCCCAATATCTCAGATCATGGCCTTGTTTGGCAAGATCTTGAAAAAGACGACTACATTCTTGCAAGCTATAGTCACTAAAGGTGTCGAAGGTGATATAGGACGTGAGTTGTTGAACGCAAAGATGGATATCGATGGCGGCGATGATGTGGCGGTTGAAGACGATGAAGATGGTAAAAAACGTAAAAGAGATGTTCAAGATGAAGAAGCTTGGGATCCTACTGCTACAACACTTGAAGATGATTTGGAAGAAGCTGGTAAAGACGCTCTGGAGGGTGTCAAGGAGCAGCAACGTGAACTCATCAATTCTCTTGATCTCACCAAGTAAGTTCATGACATCATACCTTAATCTGTTGCCCGTTGAATGCTAATCACCAACATTTTGCTCAGGTATGTTATTGCTGGTACAGATGATGATTGGAAAAAGATCAAGCCATCTTCATCTACCAAGGTCGTATCCATTCCAAATCCACACTCTTCTAAGAAGAAGAAGCAGCAAGAGGGACTAGTAGCAGAGTTGGAAAAGAAGAATGATGCAGAGATGATTGATCCTATGGGTCATCTAAGTAAGAAGAAGGGTAAAAAGGCCAAGAGTGGCTTGTAAATTTTTGTTGTGAACTCTGTCCTGCTTCTGTTTTCGCATTTTGGCATAGTCATTAGTTGTAGTAGTAGTAGTAGAAGCAATAAAACTTTTCAGTGAGTAACTTGGGAAACAGAGACAACTTCCGTACAACGTCAGCCTGCGAATGATTTTACTTCACGTAGTATTACCAAAATATCTCGTAAGCGCGTTCGGATTGGATGTGTTGAGGCATTTGGCAATTTGCATCTGAATTTGAAAAAACCACACCACCGCAAACCTTGCTCCCAAACCATTAACTGCCGCACAGTTCTCAATCAATAGTCTCGATTTAGGCAATCCCAAGCTACTACTTGCTTGATTGAGTTATGAAGGCAGCTATTACAAGCTTGTTGGTTGCTTCGGCAACTGTTCTGGGTGCTAATGGATTGGCCATGTTTGAGTTGCCTGATGGACAAATCTCAGTAGCAGTGTAAGTACAATCAGTCTGCATCCATCTCCGTTGATCCTTCATCAAACTTCATGATCTTGGAATCGCTGTACGCACACACATTTTGCGTGTGTTTGCCGCACTGTAATGCAATCTCAGAACCAACCATTGAATGAAGAGGGATGCAGCTCCTGTATGGAGCATGGGAACGTGTCGCAAAGACTCCTCTTGTTCGCAAGAGTCCACTCCACATGAACCAGTGTGAAGGTGCCACTGGGCTTTGGCTGCGGTGGTTTCAATCGATGCACATATGAACAAACCAACTCTATCACAGGCCCACAAAAACTCACATACGTCGTCATCTTGCTTAGCTGGCCAGACAACTACAACTACCTTGGACCCTACCACGATGACTCTCCTCTAAAAATAAACACTCGAACTGGAAAGAACTGGCCAATCTTCCACGCAGGACAGAATATTCCAGTCAAATCAGCATACTCGAATCCTGAAGTCATAAACATTGACACCACGATCGATATTACAATGGTCACCGAGACCAACACGAACGCTTCGATTATACTCGACGTGTATCCATTCGACAGTCGCCCTGGCAAGTCGTTTACATCAGTCACTGATGCTGATATTACTGCTCTTGCAAACCAACTCGCTGCTTGGAACGCAAAGGGTGTCAAAGTATACCTCAGACTTGCTTCAGAAATGAATGGAAGTTGGTATCCTTGGTGAGTGCCAAGCGAATTGCTCAGAAATGGATCGGACCCGTCTCAGAGCCTAACGCGACTTTCTGTTGATGCTGTAGGGGTACCCAGCCAGTTGAATTCAAAGCATTTTGGATCAAAGTGACAAACGCTGTTCGAGCTGTCGCCAATAACGTTGCTATGGTAAAGTCAACAAAAATCCGCAAACGATTCGTCCCAGTATCTCTTTGTAGTCATATTCTGACAGAATTTGAGAGTAGGTCTGGAGTCCACAAGTCAACTATGCTGGTGCTTACGGAATCAATGCAGCTGTTACTGGAACGCCATCAGCTGCAAGTTTGGCTGCTCTAGATACGAACGGTGACGGATGTTCCTCTTGTGCTGGAGATGACCCATAGTACGTCATCTTTGCATCGTACATTTGCATCGTACACAGTCAAAGTTTCTAGTCGCTAACCAAAGAATACATAGCTCGCCCTACTATCCTGGTGCAGCCTATGTAGACTGGGTCGGAACGTCCTTGGTGAGAAATCGAAGAGATATCCATTTCGATCAAAAAAGATACTGGCGTGGACTTTTTATTAACCTCGATTTTTGGTCATAGTACTGGCATGGATCGGCTCCTTCAAATACTGACAATGGTGCGAGACAGTATGGAGTCAACAGTTTGCCCACAGATGGCTTTTTCGATACACAAATGACAACTGGTACCTTCCCATTCTATTCATACGTTGTTGGATTGGGCAAACCATTACAAGTCAGCGAGGTAATGTCGTAGAAACGCATTTGCACAAGATAAACGCCAGTGCCCTAACTTGCTGCTTGAATTCGATCTAGTGGGGTTGTCCTATGTATCTATACAACACTGATGCCGCCGGAAACTATCAGTCAGCCATTTCTGCAGGACCAGGTAAACATTGTTCATGCAGAAGTTTGTCACCCACAACTTTACTAATTAGAATGAATCGCAACCAACAGGTGAACTCGCAATCAAGCAAGCCTGGTGGCGTCAGAGCTTGACCAACACTGCTGTCTTGTTGAAGTATCCCAAAATCAAAATGGTAATGTCTCGAAAAAAACCGAAAAAAACATTCCTCGTCCATTTTACAATACCTTCTAGGCGTTTTTAACACTAAATCTACTCTCCTAGTTTGGCTTGTTTGAATTCAGAAAGGCCGAACAAGAAACATACAGAGACTTCCAGTTCCTCAACAACACCGTCCTTTCCTCAGCTCTCGTTGCAGACATGGCTGCTGCCCAAGCTCAGAATGTAGGAATTTCGTATGTATGGGCCTCCACAAATGCACCAGTAGCGTCAGCAGCTGCCCCCACTGCGGCCTCATCCGCCACGTCAACACCGAAGAGTAGCACCTCATCTGCCGGAAAATCAACAGCAATTGACATTTCCATTATGGCCATGACCTCGACATTGCTCCTAGCCTTTGCATCTCTATAAAAAAAGTGTCGCGGGTTCGACGCGGATTGTGACATTTATAACTAGAAAAAGAGACGATTTATATTTGTAACAATCTACAACACACACTAGTAATAGTAAACGACTAAACAATAGACTCCTTTCCTCATTATAAATGAACCAGATATTAGCGTATTCTATGTTGGTAAGCTTGGACTCCAGGTCTGTACAGGCTAGCGTTCGTCGTATATGGTATCGCCGTCATCATCACGACGTCGGCGTCCTATATCAAAGATTCCCAGGGCAATGAAATCCGGAGTTTCAGCATACCTAAGTGAAAGATTTAAAAGTTGCCAGCAAGACTAAAAAGGTATCTCGACTTACTTGAGCTTCCCATAAAGATCCGTTTTGAGCCATACTTGGCAGTGTCGACATCTATGGCTCTGTTTGGGAATTTCGGATAGACAGCAAGGGCAGCGCTCTTCCTCTTCCTCTGTAAACCGTTTGCGTAATCTTTGCACCACTGTTCGAAAAAAGAGTTACAATTTAATTAGTTGCAATTTGACGCGGACAGCAAAGAGTTTTATGAGCACGTACTTCTGACCACATGGTACATTACGAAGCCGACAGTAATAAAATTCAATAGCCTAGCGATGAAGAGACCAATGTTCATCGTGATGGCACCATCCAACTGAGCTTTGGCAAGGGTTGGGTAAGTGCCATTGCCCGAGGCTCCTGCTCTTACAACGAAAAAGTAGTCGGGCAGATGTGCACCTAGTAAGGGAAATATCAGACGATTCAGTACACGATGTGTGATCAATGGCTACTACGATTTACGTGTCTCGTTACCAGTAACAAATCCAAACGGAGGGGTAATAAGATCCTCAATCAACGACAGTAAAAGCAATGAAGCAGATGCTCCAACCATGAGACCAATAGCGACGTCAACACCGTTACCCTTTGTAACAAACGTGACAAAGTCCGTGGAAAATCTGAGGACTTTCTTGCGAGTAACTTCAAGATTTTGATTTAGGACTTCCACAGCAGCGGGATCAAGTCCAAGTCCGTTTAGTAAGGGTGTCCCTTCCTCAGCAGGTTCGGGCTGTTGATTCCTTTTATGCCACCATGCGAATGGAGGTCGTCGCTGATTATTCTTTGGCATTTCCAGCAGCTGTTTGAATTATTGATCAGTATGAGGTTGAGCCTAGATGGTTAGGTAAGGATTGAGCTCTGATGTATTACTTCTGCGAGTTGTTGTCTTTCAGTATATTTGAGTTTGATTTAGATAGTTCTGGCGATTAGCTCGAACAGACCAGTGTTGATCTATCAGTTCTCAGCAATTTACAATGCACTTACTGCTCCCTTCTCGCTTCTTGTCGTATGTTTTCCTTGTTAACAACTGAATTTGCGCTTTTGTTTTTTTCAACTGAACCAACGAACGCGTTCTTTGTCTCAAGAGCCTTACAAACGATGGATTTCAACAACATTCGTATAGTTTATATTTTTTCAAGGAATACTCAATCACATACGCTTCCAAACTAGATATATTTTTTATGTGTTAGAAGCTTTAAATTCATCAAGAATCACAAGCAAACCACGATCCACCACAACTGTTTCTGCTTTCATTGCTCAACCAGCACCTGGTTACCGTTACTATGGCGGTGTGAATCTCTGACTTTGAGTACAACTACGCCATGAGGCTCGACGTGGAATGTGTGGCTAATAATAATGTGTGTCAACAACTGCGATATGATTTGACCACGATACTACCAAAACCTACCTGCTGGTCATGACCCCCAAATTCTTTCGTTTCCACAAGTCTCGAACCAACAAGTTGGCATTTTCCTTGAAGCCAAGACGGTACCAATCAACCTCAATTTTCTCAGACTTGTTCTCACGGTTGAGAAGCACTAGAGACGCCAACGAATCAGTCTAATTGATGCATTATAGCGGTAATGTAATACTAACCAACAACAGTGGCACCATGAACAAGAGGACCAGTCCAGATATCATAATGTTGATGCCCACGACCGATTTCTGTTAAACTAACACTCTTTCCAAGCTTGTCTTGGTTGATTGCAATAATCTCTGGGTTTGTCAGGATATCGATGATTTCGTCCGAGATGGCAAAGATGTCAGAGCCAATCAACAATGGACTCTTGAGAGCAGCCCAAAGAGTAAAGTGCGATCGGTACTCTTCGAGTGTCATATTGCCGTTACCCATTTCCATCATATCGGGATCATTCCAAGCTCCTGGCTGTGCATATTGCGTCAAAGGGATCTGTAGATCAAGGATACGGATGACATAGTTCCAATCATCACGAATATCAACTAGTGTGTAGAAACAAGTTGGGTTGTGCTTGGAGTATACATATGCAACACAGGACAAGCGACATACAAGTAGTTCTCCAAGAGTTTCCCACATCGATGGCCCATTCCCAAGTAGTTTCACCGCTACCGTAAACGACAGTTGAGATTTCGCACATGAAGTAAACAAGCACGCAGTGACTTGCCCGTTGCATATGGAGTAGACGATAGGTCTGCCGGTAGCGTTCAATGCATCACGAATTTCTACACGGACAATTGTCAAGGATTAGAATAGTGGGGTTCATCCGCCCATGTCTATGCACATACTTGTGAAGCGCTCTCGGGAAGGAGATGCGTCTGGATAACAATTGTCGACTTTCAGATAATCAACATTCCATTCAGCATACGTTTGTGCATCAATAGTTTCGTATCCTAGGGATCCAGGTCTTCGAGAACACGTCATGAATCCAGCATCGGTATAGGTACCAAACTTTAGACCAATTGAACGGATATAGTCAGACAAGTTCTTCATGCCAGAAGGGAATCTAACGGTGGGATTTTTTCAATAACTAGGCAGATTGAGTATACCGTCGAGAATTCATACTTTTCCCTGTCCTCAATAATACGACCGTTAGCATCACGGTCAATCTGCCAGCAATCGTCCAAGTTAACGAATTCATATCCGGCGGCCTTGAGCCCTATAGCCAGCATATGCATGCGTTAAGATTTCACATCGAATTGTGACAGGAAACTGAGATCTACCTCTGGAAACAATGGCATCGGCAGACCTTTTGACCACGTCTTCATTGAGCCTGTCGCATAAATACACGTTCCAGCTGTTCCAGCTATGAATAGATCATGTCAGGTGGGAGGTTGGACAGTTGCAGGTGACTTAGTGTTGATGTTGTTGTTTCCAACAATATCAGTAGCATTTAGCAAAAGCAAAATGGAATGGAAAAAGAGATCAAATACCCCATAGATGGCGTCCTATAATCACGTATCGTTAGAATCACATTGTTTCGGTGCAGCAGACTTTCAACGCGAATATGCACCTTGCAACTCCATTGTTAAGAGAACTAACGCGTGTAGTGCCTACAAGTACTAGAAATATAATAAGGAATGTCTGGATAATCCTGTCCATCTCTCCAATCCTTGGTGTTGAGAAAGAACTACTCGTTTTATCAAGAACGTGATCAAAACTCTTGGTTGCTGACAGGGAACAGATGAACAGACTCAGCGGGAAAAATGAACAGTCTCAGCGCGAAAGATGACATTCAGAGTCGCGTAAATGGCTACAATAACGTCAATAACGGAAATTCTAAATTCCTCTATGTGAAATTCGTTTTATCACGGATGCCACGGATGCACAACAAGGCAGCAGTGTTCGTTGCATCATACATGTCCATCTAAAGGATCTGAGAACGTTCTGGAAAGAAGAATTCGATCTCTTCTTTGGCAGATTCCGGAGAGTCTATTTTCGAATATGTGTAAACATTTCGAGCACGGCCCCAGCGAGCGAAACGTCCGGCTTCGCCAAAGCAAGAAGCAGTTGCCACGATTTCCCATTCTTACCTGAACCATGGAAGGAGTTTCGAGTATCACTGATCCCATACAGAGCACGAAGAGAAGACGATGGAGGCGTTCTCTTTGCTCGTATCGGTTGAGTGGGACCAATGACCTCTCTCCAAGACGTTATTGCATCCCTTTCATGCCGTAATATCATTGCCTAAGCATCCAAGACGAGCCTTTATGTTAAAGCTTCCCGTCAGTTGACACAACAGCACGATTTCAAGTACACATGAGATACGCATCAATTCATCAGCAGTAGATCAACACACGTACTTGAAAGGGACCCGAGCACATAAACCTGCAAAGTCGATCATAAAAGAATCGTCCATGATGTTGTACGTAAAAGCGTTCTTAGATTAGCCCATGTCAGTAAGTTGGCGATAGCAGGGGGGTTGCTTCACATACCTGCATCTTGAAGCTTCCAATGTAGCCTCCTGGATTTCACAACCTCTAAATTGTGAGATCGGATGGCATCCTCGATGAATTTGATGTTCGCTCTCACTGCGAAAACATCAGGCTTCAGCAGTGCCAAGGTAATTGTACGGCTTCCCGACATCACGAGGTGCAAAATCTTTCTAAGTCTAGGGGTGAGTTATGTTGCTTTCAGCATTGGGCAAATTCCATAACCGAAAACCCATGCAATCACAACTTGCCGACAAAATTCCCGTGAACACGTCAAGCGCGCGCCTCTCAATCGACAGCTAGTTGCTCTAGGCTCACTAGTCTGTGGTTGAATTAATCCCTCCTCATCAACGATTGTTGGGTGGAAGCAAACACTAGTATCTTGGAACGATTATGGAGTCACGCCCAACCACCAAGAGGAGCATACGAAAAGGCAAACAGTTATGGGGCAACGTTAGAAAGGCCCTAATTCCGGCTCACGATGAAGATGACTTGTTTTTGATGGAGTTGGCGACTGCGACACAAGCAGTAACAATCAAAGTCGGGCTGCAGCAACGCCAGTGTTTGTCTGTACGCAAGGGCCTACTCACCTCAACCCACCACGCAAGAATTCCAAGACGCCATATTGAAGCATTGCTTGCTCAGCGCATGCTTCAAAAGCCAGACAACACTTCGTCCAGGGCCGCAATGTCTCCTTCAAGGCCCAAAGCGAAAGAATATGGGGCGTCTTTTGATGATTCAGATGCGAACCGAGCTATTGGAAGTACTGCTGCCCAGTTCAGTGTTGTCTGTATTGACGAAAGTGGGTTGGCTCATATATGGGACTCGGTGTCAGATACATCTTCTTCACGAGCAACGGTAACACAACCGATAACAGTATCTGTCACCTCTGTGGTCCTTCTTTCCAGTCTGTACATGTACGCAACAAGCTCGCATGAATCGAACGTCAAGGTGTGAAGTGCTGTTTTTGCTATTGTCTTGTGTAGTTGATCCAAGTGCTAACGGCTCGCTCTAGTTTTTTGACTGTAGATTTCAGTTTGTCAACTTTGTACCAACACCATACGCCGTTCACGAGTGAGTGATTGCTATTGTTTCAAACCTCATCGACTTTCTGACTCTCCCGCTTCTAGAATCATATACAATCCAACCAAAGACGAATTGATTACCGTTGGTGACCACTTCATCACTGTAAGAGAACGAAAGATCTATTTTCCGTACCGGATTGTATCTAAACCTTTTCAACTACAAATAGACGTGGAAGATTGGACGGGACAAGTTAGCGTGAGTTCAATTCCTGCATCAGTTGATGGCAGACATTATCTCAAAAGTTGACTTCAGGGAAAAATTTGAAGTTCGTCTGACGAGCACCTGGACGACATCGACGGGCTTGCCAAACTCTCAATGGTTAGGTGCAACCTTCTTGGACATCAGAAATCAAAGGCTCTTTGCAGCTGTCGAAGCTGGATACATAGTAAGAAATCACCACCTCTGCAATCACAACAAAAATTAATTTATTTCTTGGGGCTAGACGTACGATCTTCGGAATCGAAGAGAGCTAATACGAATGTCGTCAAGCCTGGGAACGAGACAAATTCGATGTCTAGCTTATTGTGAAACTCTGGATTACACCATCTGTGGATGCAGTGATGGAAGCAGTACGCCACACATATTCAATGGCTGACGTGGACTTAGCGACTCTCATACATATCCTTATTCCTTAGTTGCCTTTCGTGATATCAACACGACGCTAGTTGAGACGACGCAAGCACACTCGCGTGCAGTTACAGGCATCGTGGTGTATGAGGCTGACCTGCTAGTTATATCGTGCTCACTGGATATGACAATCAAGATGCACTCTCTAAACAGCTTTGAAGAGGTGTATAGGTAAAGTCTATTATGATGTGATATTCCGAATGCCTCTTAGTGCTGAATCATCTCGTTTTTAGCTATCAATTTGGAGATCCGTTGATGAGCTTGCACTTTGCGGACGATTCCCAGATATCAGTGACTACACCAGACTCTTTACTTGTATTTGAGTTCAATCATTTTCAAAAAGTGTGGCACAATTCCAGGTAAACCATCATGCAAGGTGGGCCAGACTATACGTAGTACTGACTAGTAATACGTAGGTCTGCTATTTCTCATTTGGTTCCCGCGGTTGGAAAGCCTACCAGAATATTAGCCCGACTGAACGATGGAAGTGTCCGAATAGTCGCAGCTTCCAGCGGTGATGTTTTGACATCGTCACTACCGTCACTGGATACAGATGACGTCGCAGCTCTAGCTCATTCAAACAAACTAGGTATGCAACGAAAAGAAAACACCTTTACATTGAATTCTTGGATCACTTGAATCACTCAATCGGTTTACTATTAGAATGCATGTTTGTGCTCCTACAAAATGGCTCCTTTTGGATGTTCAAAACAAATGTCAACCCGTGTGTGCCGACAGAGATATGGAGCCCTGTCTTAGACGAAGACGATAAATGCTGCTGTTTTGGCTTGCTTGAAATCGAGCCGAGTTCCGATTCTGTCGTATCCACAAATGAGCCATTTGTCTTTTTGATTGCTGGAAGTCATGATGGTCGTGTCTTGGTACTAGGTAAACAAGGACGTATCTTCTCCTGCAACCAAGTCCATGGTGGACCGGTTGTGAAATGTCTAGCGTTCCCGCCAAAATCCCAGCTGGAAAGTGGACTGGTTCTCACATCTGGAGAAGGTAAGAGCATGAGTTGATGTTGGGAACATGAAAGCAAGTCTTATGATTTATTTTCTCATGTTGGCAGACTGTACAATTAAGCTGAGCAGGATAAGACTGCAAACAGGTCTGCTTCACCCACACTTGACGATATCCACAAACTCTGTGCCCCGTCATATCAGCTGGTATGGCGACACATTGTGTTTTGGAGGAGATGATGGAGCCCTGAATATGTATTCCATACGACTGAACGGAGCTCGTCAAATCCGTGGCCACAATCGATCTGATGATCATGCTGATGGTATCACTGGTCTTGCCGGGATAGAGAAGCTCGAACTTTTTGTGTCGTGCGGCACTGATGGTAGTTTACGTGTCTGGGATGCTTACAATTGTTTGCTGAGAGAGCTGCAATTGGATGAACCTATACGGGACCTGTGTATCCTAAATAAACGCGGAGACCTGGTAGTTGCTGTGAAAGAGAGATTGGATCTTATGCCTTACTCCAGCTGTAAGTTCATTTTTTTACAAATTGTACGGCAAACATCTGTATTCGTAATTCTGACATATGAAACTTAGATCTACCACCTGGGTATGCCAAGGTTGCTCAGTCGTTAGCAGAAACAGAGGAAAAAGCAGATCCAGTGCTGACATTCGATGAAATGGCAAACTTTGGTCCCCCAAAACGATGGACGTCATCTTTAGACCAGCAGCTGCCTTGGTCTGCTGAAGATGCAAATTTGCTTGGGGAATTCTCTCCCCTTACAGTGATTGACGCACGAAATCCAGTAGAGAAAGCAGTCAAGGTTCTCTCCCAAGCGACCTCTGTGAAGGAGCTCGGAATATGTCTCAGTGTTTTGGCCAAGGACCCATTGCTTTTCCCTATATCACGACAGCCCACGGTTGTGCAAGTTTCTCCTCTACATGCAGAGGAAGCAATATTAGCAGCAGCTGCAGAGCAGGTACGCTTAAATAGAATAACATTTTTGTTTGAAGGTACCGCTTGACACATGACACATGTCCTTTCTTGTAGATCATATCTCGTGCCAATTCCAGCTTTCAATCATGGCCGTCGCCCCAAGATTTGCAGCCAGAAGAGGAATCAGCAATAGCAATACCAGAACCGACGACCGAACATCACCACGAAACACACGATCCACACAATCACCTACCAATTGCCCCTGACGGTGAAGTGCCCAACTCTCGTCTTCTTGGACTTATCAGCGAATACTGTATGCTCCACAATTATGCAATGTGTGGCAGGTCAAGACCTCCCATTCAACCATCTCCGGTCGCAGACAAGCCTTCCAAAACAGCCTTAACAGTTGCTGCACCTGCAAGTTCAAACTCCAGTTCCAAGAACTATCGAGACAGATTAAAGACTCTGATTGCAGCTCTACCTGTTCAAGAAGGAACCTTTAAAAAGAGTGGCAGTGAAGAAATGGAACCAGCAAATGATGACAGACAGTTGCATCTCCCAGCTCAAAGGTACAGGAAGTCTGATTTGAAGTTTCCGCCGGCCATGCCCATCGAAAGACCGCATCGCGATGATGCTTTGAAGGCTGCTTTGGCATTTGAATGGTTTCCTCGTCATATGGTAATTTATGTATTATGCCAACGAATCGCAATAAACACTAACAACTTGTTACTTTCAAGGTATATGCACCAAGAACCTCTACAGCAATCGCTACTACAGTGGAACCGGAACTGGTATGAACGGCCTTTCATGAGGATCCTTGGTGCAACGGTTTTTTTTGCTAACCACATCAAATAGATCATTCAACCTTCGGCTGATGGCGTTCTACCAGCCGTTCTCGCAGGATTTGAGCAAATGAAAACTCATGCTGAAAAAGTTCAAGCCATTGAGTTTTTGGACGTACTTCGAGAAAAGTATCATCTCCAAGACTCAAAACCTGCTGTTCGAGCCCTGTCTCGACAATTGTGTACAAAGCTTCTCGGACCATTAGCACATGACGCTGTTCAGGACAATCTGGCCATCATGCAAAAGGCCATGGATTTTAATAGTTCGGGTGAAGGTGAAGTCGTCACTGCGCTAGTAACACAGCTGGGTTCGTCTTCTGCTCAGATAAGGTAATCACGGCTCAATATGGGTGAAGCGCCTTTATTTTGAGTGTGTGTCTAACTTGATGGACTGCTTTATAGAACAGCAGCAATACAACATTTGGAAGCTTTGGGTCTTGGCAAAGACACTAGCGACTATTTGTCAAAGAACGTTGTACAGGACATGTTTAAGCGGGCTGAAGCTGTTGCTCGTCGCAAAATATCGATCGCTAGTCCACCAGTACCAACACCCATTGCTCAGACTCCTCCATCCAAAACCGCAGGCCGTCATAGCACTGTCGTGGCTCCTCAGCCACCACCACCTCCACCACCAGCACTGAATGCAGACGAGTTCGAGTATGCCTCTAAAAACCTGGCCTTTGACATTCAAAGGATGGTTACTGCTGCTGTGAGCTACATCGATGACATCTCAGGAAATGGACGATCAGGGTCGGCAAGACCTACAACCCCTTCCACAGAGGAAGTCGTACATGCTCTACAAGAGCATGTCAAAAAAATCCAAGCCAAAAAGCTAGCAGATGAACAAGAACGACTGGTTCGTGAGGCAGCTATTCGTGCCCAATACGAAGAAGAAAAGAGACTCCGTGATGCGGCAGAAGCAGCTCGAAAAGCTCTGGTTGCAGAGACTGCACAAAGGACTGGATTTGGGGACAGATTCACAAAGGTCAAATCCATTGATAACTTTGCGCATATCAAGAGTCAAGTCAAGAAGGGTGTCACCCATCATAGCCATTGTCATGACTCTAGAGAGCATTTGCAAGGCATGCGCTTCGAAGCTTAGTTTCACATCATATGCTGCACTTGTGATTGACTGTTTTTTTGGCATTCTGCTAGAACGTGCACAAACCTTCATGATTCGACAAATGCAAAAGCAGAACACAAAAGCTGCACCAATGGAACGTATCCAACTGTCTCCATTCTCGAATCAGAACGGCAATAACAGAAGACCATCTACTACCTTCTCTTTTCAATCACCAGCAATATCATCAGCCACCAGCATTCAAAACCTTAAACCATTATCAGATTCATCATTAATCGTTCCAAACACCCGAGCCACTACCAACGCTCATACCAGGCAATCTAGACCGAATCATAGACCCGCTACAGTCGATGATTATCTACGTGATCTTGATGTGAAGTTGAGTACTATTACCACCAACTCTCGAAGTCTTGTAGATATGGTTGGCGGTGCAGACGGTACGAGAAAGAGGTACTTTATACCTGACTTGACCTTCCCTACGGAAAGATCATAATAATAACGTCACATAACAGGTTTTGCTACTCAAACTGTTGCCTCACAGTGCGACTGAAATTTGTACACTTGTATCGATTCAAATTTGTGCAATTGTATTGATACACAGCTTTAACAAGGAATTATAAGTGGCAAACCAACAGGCATCCTAAGGAAAACAAATGATTACTCAGCGCATCAGGCAAACCTGATTGTCTCGTTACTTGATCAATTCCAAGCTCTTGACTTGACACACATCATGAACATCATCTTGAGCCAAGATGTGAGTAAATTGCATTTGAGCAAGTCCCGGAAGTAATGATTTGGATTTCATCTGCAAAGACAAAAAAGCAATAATGTCATAGTGTCACAGCGAAAGGAGGGCTTCCGTCAATTTTTCGTGCCGTACCGAATGAAGTAGCGAACGATATACTGGCTTTTCAGCAGTAGATTCAGCTCCCTTTTCAATGAATGTCATCAATTTGGAAAACCATGGTCCATCTTCAGCTAGAACGTCCTTCATCCATGTAGCTTTACTGCAAACAAACTAAGCGTCCAAAGTTGTTGTCTTTATGAGGTAACAAAAAATCCCGTAGTCAAAGATTTAGTTTACCATAGCGAGGCATCGAATCATTGATCTGTCCAATGATAGAGAAGAGATGGCCGATGGCTGTAGACGTGATGATAACGTGAATTCAACAGCAAATCGATTGGATGGAGTGTTGACCAAATGACTTCCTAAAGTTGAAAGCATGTTGAGCAGCAAAATCAAAATCTTCAACAAATATATAGATAGCCGAACCAGAAAAAGAACTAATTCGTTCACTATAGATGATAATAGCTTCCATAGCGTCTATAGCCAAGGAAGCTGTAATTTCTGCAACGTTGTGGTTCTACAAAATGAACAAAGTAGAGTTGCGTTAGTTATCGTTTGAAGGCAACCAAAAATATGATGAAGTAGGTGAATTTATACTGTTGCTAAAGTAAAGGCCTCAATCAACTTCTTGCGACACGCATCCCAAAAGATCTGCATCAACATGTTTGTTTGTGTCTTGCGTTGTGGAGACAGTAGCTTGTTGTCTTGAGCTTTGAAAGCAACTGCAACCATACGAAAGATGGCCATGGCAGTGTGATCGTACCAGCTGCACTGTAAGAAACTGAATGCGTTTTCGAGTAAATGGGTGTTGCTGAGAATGTGATGTAGACTGGTGTGCTTGTCCTAAATTGTCAAGAAACCGCAGTTAGCCCAAAAGCACAAAAAATACGCTCCGTTACTTTGCAAGTCTGCCCACGTTATGCAGTGTGCTGACGAGAGTTGATATCAAAACACCAGCTGATACTCTTGCAAGTGCACTCTGATCTGCTTGGTTCTGCGATGGCGTTTGAATCCACCTAGCCAAGGATTCCAGAAGCATTGGTACTGCTAGCATCTTGGTAGCAACTGAAGAAATAAAATGGTGAGAATATTGTCGTCTGTTGATATGAACTAGAAACAGAACAATTTACCTTCTCCAGATTGATCTATGCTTAAGGCACCAATCAGAAAGTTGACGCTTCCGTGTATATGATCCACATCCATAGCGTCATGCGAGTCAATATGTCTATGTCGAAAGCGATGAGGCGTTGAAGCGAAGCCTTCAGCACCAATCCTACTGACCGAAGGACGCCGAGAACAACTACAGAACAGAGAAATGTGAGACGTGTTTCAAACAGATCTCACAGTACGACACTTACTCGTATCAATGTTGGTAAATTCAAATACATTTGGTGTCTGGAACTTTGAAGCCGAATGTACAAGCTTTAGCGTCGATGGCCATGCTAGAGCAGAATACCCTGTTTAGTGATGTGGAATATAAGCTTCTCAACAGGCAAAGTCCTACTTTCCGGTGAGACGTGCTCTTTCGCTACCCATAGAGTCGTGCTTTTCCACATTTCACGATGAATGAATTCCAATCGCGGCATTATATTCTCATCTCGAGAAAGAAGAGCTTCGGCGGAAATGTCAATGACAGCTTTCAAGACGCGTGCATCACCTTGATTTGGACGATGAGAGTTCATTATGCCCTATTGACAAATAAATCAGTATTCCAACAACAAAAGAAACTTGATGCGCCATGGGTATACCGCAAACACTTTGAAGACACGGTCATCTCCGAACACGACAGATGCAGTTTTACGCAGAGTGTAATCGGTGCTCTCGGATCTCCACACAATCCAATGAGTTGTCTGAGAAAAAATGTGTTTACGTAGGCACATTTTTTCTCAGACAAGACTGAAAAGCAATGTCATAGAAGTGGGTGATTTACCAAACTCTTTGTACATTCCATCCAACTCCAGGATCGTGAAGATGCATTCCAAAACCAATTCATGAATTTCAGCTCGTTGGGCCCACAAAAGAATGCTCGAACTAGCGAATCTAGGTCCTGTTGAGTGGACGCTTCCATAAGGCGATGGAAGTGGGTGAGTAGGTTTGAATACTCGAGCACTCCACCACCTTTGCCATGCGTAGTTTCCGCTTTCTATGATGGTTGGGTACTGAGGTATTGGAAGTTTGTCTCCAAGTTGTTTTCGCGACATACCATCCAGAAGTACAAGACATGAGAGAATCCAAACATATCTGACAGTGCTAATTTTCTACGACGAGACACCAGGTAACCTCCAATAAGGTTCAGCCATTCACTTTCGACAAACCTGATTTTATTGCAAAAGAAGGTCATTGCACCAAGAAAAAACTTTCTCGCAGAAGCTCACATTGAGTCCTGATAGACTGTGCCGATATAGCACATAGCCAATAGCATCTGTTCGGTCGCAGCATCCAAATTCAGTACGGAGCCAGAGGTTTGAGATAGGAAACGACACAGGACCTCATACGACATATCTACTTTCATCCAAAACACGCGTTTAGACAAAGCAATCGAAACTAGCGACCTTATGGACCTCACCTGGAATGGGCGATGAGCTGATGACTTTGATGGCCCCAAGCACTTGGAGACAGGATAAAATGAATTCGAGACACACATCGGATGCCGATGCTTTGAGTGCAAGAGTCATAGGGATGATGGAGGAGGACACTGTAAATACATCAATTTAAACACTAGTTCATGACTTCACCAAAGTGTTTCACACAGACCTAATTTGCGAGCTAAAAGCACACCCGGTCTCTTGCAAGAAACATCACCCTTAGCAACTGTCATAAACAATTGTGTCATGACTTGAAGAGTCTTGAAGAATTCATCATCATTCGAGATCTAGCAAAAATAATAATCTAGGCTGCGATTTTGAAACTCCAGATGAGTAGTCCATACCCAAGGCATCAGGATTCCATCAATGATTTGCACAAGTGTGGATTCCAACTGCAAATCCTTCAAGTTCTTCGTATCCAGAAGCTCAGCAAACTTCGAAGTCAAGACGAAAACTAAGAGTATGACACCAATCAAAACGATGAATTTGATCAAGTTGCAACATGAAAGTGTACTCAGAGGAATAACAGCTCGATTGTGATCAGGGCCCCAAACACGTCGGTACTTTTCCAATATATTTTCTAGTAAGTGAGCCATGACGTGTCGTATTTCCAGACCAGCATTTTTTAAGCCATGACCTTTTGACAGAATGAATCTTTTCGAAAAATCTGATTAATTCATAATGGGACGCAGGGAAAACCACGCAGTTCCAATGCTAGGAAGAAACCACCCAGTTCCAATACTTGATCAAGTTCGTTGCAAGACACATTCTGCGCTCTAACATTTCCAGATTCTCTGCATCATGTTGCTGAGAAGAAAGAATAACTAGTAAAATGATGGTTTAATCCAAATCAGGAAAACGATGTTTTAGTCCAAATCAGGTCATTGATCATAGCTCCCGAAACAATGACACTTGTACCAATGATCAAAGCGCAAAGGCAGTCGACAAGGTCAACAACGATGTCAACGCGTAAATTTGCAATAGATTCAGTCCAAATTGCATGAATCTCGTCATTTGAAGTGTTGAGAATCTAAAAGTTGTACGTGTTTAAAATTTAGTTGCTGAGCTCCAACGTCATGTTCGATGTCACGCTTGAACCCCATACCTGAAGCAATAATGCGATCTGATCATCATTCTGAAGTGTTAATTTAGGCACTAGACACAAGATACAGGCTGGCTCTGGTTCTTTCAATCCATGAGTGCAGGACATAATCAAAGCTTCAATTTGGTACAAAGTTAATGTGAGATAGAAGATGGATCCTCAAGGCCAGGAGGAAGTTCCAGTCACTGAGAACTTGTTTATTGACCTTTCGGATGGTGTAAAATTAGCCGCTCGATTATGGCTTCCAAGAGCTGATGGATGTTTTCCATGTGTGCTTGAATACATTCCGTAAAGTCGCTGAAGCTTAGCGTTTTAGCACGGAATGCTACTAATTTTCTAACATGAATCTCTTTCTGCTAGGTATCGTAAACGGGATCTGACTGCCATTCGCGACGAACTGCTTCATGGCTATGTGTCAAAACATGGACATTTCGCATGTCTACGTGTTGATTTACGCGGATGTGGAGAGTCTACTGGTGTCCTTAAAGATGAATATCTGCAGGTCTGGTCCTCCGATTCATATATATTCACGTAACACGGATCTTCAACTTCAATTGCTTTACAGATTGAACTCGACGATGGGGTTGATGTCATCAAATGGATTACAGAGCAGCCGTGGTGTAATGGTTCCGTTGGAATGATTGGTAACTGCTTCCTACCGATCCGGTTTTGGTGGGTGGCCTGGACATGTCTTCAAACATGGTTATTGGTTTAGGAAAAAGCTGGGGCGGTTTCAATTCTTTACAGATTGCTGCCATGAATCCCCCTGCTCTAAAGGGCATCATATCTGTATGCTCTACAGACGATCGGTACTCGGACGATATTCATCATTTGGGAGGAACTCTCTTGACGGACAATTTTACATGGAGCAGTTTCATGTTGAAGGCTTGTCCTCTCCCTCCTGACCCTAAATATTTTCGTAAGTCAATTACAAGCTCTTCAAATGTTTCCATTTGTCTAATTTCCAAATATTGAGCAGTTGGAGGTATGGCAGAATGGCGAAAAGCTCTACTTTCTCGCGTCAAGGCAACCGAGCCGTGGATATCTCTTTGGCTCCAGCATTTGACCCGAGATGCGTATTATCAGCATGGGTCTATTTGTGAGGACCATGCCGCCATAAAATGTCCAGGTACATGTCAATTTATCACGAAAAATCTCGCATTTTTGGCCTACTGATCACCGACATTGTCAAAGTCTTTTTGACGGGGGGATGGCCCGACTCTTACCCAAATCCAGTTTTTCGAATGATGAAGCATCTTCAAGTTGGAAGGAAACGGGCCGTCATTGGACCATGGGCTCATGTTTACGTACGTTATCAAACGTAAACGTTTCTGCTGTGAAGCTGTCATTGGAGCTCCCCTTCTCTTAGCCACATCAAGGGACTCCCCTTCCGTCAGCAAATTTTTTAGATGTTTGCATCGAGTGGTGGAATAAATGTTTCTTCCCAGAGCCAAATCAACCACGCGACGATCTTTGTGAGATCTGGATGCAGGAACGTATTCAAACGCCAAGCCGTACTATGGAGCAATTGAATGGCTATTGGGTATGTCATCAATTTGTTTCAACGTTCAAGTTATGTTTTTCATCCTAATTTATTAGATGGCGTGGACTGGACTACCACCCACTGTCGACCAGCCATTCTTCCTGAATCAATCTCGACGATTGGTTGATTCAAAGGGTGTTGTAGACTTGAAGATACCTTATAATGTTTCGCACGGCCAATGCGCTCCGCGGTTCCTTCCATTTGGATTTCCAGATCCAGAATTTGCTCAGTCGCAACTATCTGATGACGCTGTATCTCTGACATTTGATAGTTTGCCAATAAGCGAGGCAGTGAGAATATGTGGACAGGCTAGTTTAACGTTACGAATACGATGTAACAAGCCTTATGGAATGGTAGTCGTTAGACTCTGCGACGTAGGTGATGGGGAATCAAGGTTGGTCTGTTGGGGTGCTCAGAACCTAGCGATACGATCTGGGAAGAAGCGGGGTATTCCTATAGGTGAAGATTTTGAGGTGGACGTGCTTCTAAAGGCATCGGCGTATACATTTCCACCTAGAGCAATAATTCGACTAGCATTATCAAACTCTTATTGGCCTCTGATATGGCCAGAGCCTGAATTTGAAGTCGCGCTGTCTGGAGATTGTAAACTCATACTGCCATGTCTGGTGAACAGCAAGGGTGATGCAACACCGTCATCATGGTTGTTTGAGTCGCCAAAGATGGCACCAGCGCCACCACATCAGGAGACGAGATCTAGCCCACCAGCAACCTGGACCTCAAAACACAGTGGTGCTATAGTGAATAACATATATGAGAAGGATTGGGGCCAGCTATCATTCGAAGATGGATGGACGTATGGTGAAAGGTATCAGGAGCACGCAAAGATTGATACCATACATCCAGAAACGGCCTCTGTGACCGCTAGATGGAATGTAATTGTTGGTAGACCTGGTGTTATAGTGGAAAATAGTGATGGTGCTCCTGATACAGAGGAAAGTGATGTTGCTGAGGACTGGCGAGGCTTGTTCAACGTGAATGTTGAGTCTACCATGCACTCTGACGCGTCATCATATCATATTGACGCGAAATTAGAACTCGTAGAGGGACAGAAAGTTATAGCAACTCGTGAATGGAACAATCTCACGTATCCTCGTTTGAAGTGACAGCTTTGCCTTGTATATATCATAAAGCTGCCTTGTATTTTAATATTCGTGTAGTCATAAAATAATTCCTTATTGTAACAGCTTTCGCCGTTTCCCCAGCATCGCATTCTCGGTTAACAACGTTTATTACTCAAAGCGACAATGATGAGGCAGCAGCGTGCCATCCGAGACTTCCTTCCCGTGCAGAAGAAGGGAGCTACCAAATCTGCTGGTAGCAAGCCTGCTGCCAAAGGAGCTAGTGCAGTAAGCCCTTCGTTCATCGTGACAATCAGAAACAAACATTTAAACAATTTGAAAATAGCCAACACCTGCTCCAACCAAGCAAGAAGCGGCTCGAATCATTGACAATGTCCGAGCTAATAAAAGACAAAAGAAGGTCGTCTCAGAGGACCCACCTACTCCAGTATGTTTAATTGCACTGTCATCAAAACCTCCGAAGCGAAAATCAAGTTACTGATTGATCTCGTTGATGTCCACTTTTAGGTGCCACCGACAGTTATCGATGAACCCAAACGCGATGTAGTCGAGATAGTGGTACCCGTCGTGGAGCCTGATGTCGTGTTGAAACCAGATCCACCAATGTGTGTTTTATTCGTTTGTTCAACTTTGGATGCGCTGGTCTTACAACAATACTGTTCCTTAATAACTAGAGAATTCAAAACGCCCACAAAAAATCGTTCTAGAAGGAATCTGGTTGAAGATGTGATAGTGGTGGAGAAGTCGTGAGTGTGGTATTTTTGTTGTTTTTTACTTGTTTCACTGTTAACAGCGGTGTTGATTAAATTTTAGAGCATCGAAGACACCCACGAAAAGTCCTAAAAGGAATCTTGTTGAGGATGTGATTGTTGTTGAGAAACCGTAAGTTCTTTGTTTCAAGATACCAAAGGTCGACTAACACCACAAAACTAGACCTGCATCTAGTTCGCAAAAGAGGAGAGTCGCAGACGACGATGTCTCAGAAGCTGAGTCTTTGCCTGATCTGGTGATTAGGTATATGTTTGATGTTGGCCGCTACACAATATCTCTGTATGAATAGTAACACATTTTCCCTCAACAGCTCATCGCCAGCTTCTGTAAAGATCCAACCGCCATCAAGTCCTATGGGTCCCATGAGTCCTATGAGTCCAGGACCGACTCCATTGAGAACTGTATCAAGTGCCACACCCCTTGTGCCAGCACACGTCAAGTATCGACATTTGGTAGAACCTGGAGTTCGATTACCTCTGCCAGCCAAGTATCGAGCGCTAGAACAAATTTTTCATGCCTTGGAACATACCGTCATGTTTGTGAAGAGTAGAGATCAAAGTGCTACATTCCATCGTGTGAAGAAACCAGTCGAGAATACTGCTAATAGGTTGGTGGCGAGTCGCTCGCCGCGTTTTATTGTAAATTTTCTCCTATTTTATATGATGCTCACATCACTTTTGTTTAGAACATTTGAACTATCACATTTGGCACAGATTGTGACCGTGTATCCAGAGGCATACACAATGACCCCAGTTCGTATCATGGATAAAGGAATTCGGGTTGAGTCGTTGGCTATAGAGTTTGCTAGGAATGCTACTGGTGCAGACATCAAGAAAGCCAGTCTTGTAGCAGAATCGAATGTGTGGCTTCCTCGGCGTGAGACATTTCACGATCGTTTACTGGATCGTGTGAAGACGGAACATGCTGTATGTACCCATAGGTCGTCAAATTGATAATCTTCGTTTGTGACCTTACTCGTTTCTCCCTCTCAAAAATGTAGAAAATGCTGCAAAAGCTGAAATTCAAGCTAAAATATGATCCGATGCAAGTATCTGCATGGCATCCAAGATTCGAATTGGAATCCGTTCCCGATATTCCAGAAGCAGTATTACCGGCTTTTCCTCCACGAGAAGTCATGACGCTGGAGGCACTACTCGAAGCACGCAAGGCGAGTACCAATGTTGTCTGACGTGTTCGAACGTCTTGAATTGGGTGTATTAACCGGGAGAATGAACTAATAGGGTAAATTGAAGGAACCCGAGAAAGTGAAACCAATAGTACCAACACCTCAGCCATCGCAGCCCATTATGCCACCACCAACTCCTCAGACACCAACACCATCAACTAAACCTCAAACAAAGGCATCGGCTATGCTGGAACGTATTCGTGAAAAGGAACGACTCAAATTGGAAGCATCCCTCTTCAGTCACATACCTACTCCAGAAGAGACGAAACGTAGAGTGCGATTGAGTCGGTTGGAAGATGTTATTCAATGTCTCCTAGTGTATGTATCCTGTTGCTGCTTGTGTACAAGGTGGTTGACTTTAGAGTATGGTTTCGATTGTTGACCGATTCTTTTGTAGGTTGTATGTCTCATCACGCAAGAATGTGCTGCCATTAAGTACAGTATCACAACATGTTGCCAACGGCCACAAAGCCCAACTATCTGAATGTGAGATGTTCTGAGATTAATCAAAACGACTGTCATGTTGACAACCATATTTTTGTAGCGGAAGCCCGTGAACATTTGAAGGTTTTGGCTGAAGTTTTGCCTGAATTTTGCAAACTTATTGGCGATCAGAATAATTTGTTGAGAGTGAATTTGGAGCTCAAGTTGAAGGACTTGAAACCGAAACTTGACGCAATATTGGCTGGCAACTGATTCCGATGTTTGCCCTTGTATGAAAATTGATGTAAATATAATTTGCTGATGAAAGAAATAAAAGACATTGCATTTCAACTGGTTCACAAGGTTGTCTCTGCTTGACTGCAAGTCGGGAGTTTATTTTTTTCCTCATCGCAACGAACTAGATCAAGCTAGTATCAAGCTCGTTCGCTCAGGCTACAACATTCAAAAGATCATTCAAAGCGTTGTCGTCACCAACTCTTCGCTCTAGGCTGTTGATCTCGTCTACATTCTGTGAGTTTAGTCTTCATTTTCGTATGCCTTGTTTGTTACTAGTCTGTTAATAGCAACCTCAAGGTACGCGTTAATCAGTAGTTAGAATACGGTTATCGACACAATATAGATCTAATCTGAACATTTTTTTACTACCGTAGGTCATATTTTGCACGAAACCCCTTGACGACAAATCCGGCATGATTTCAGATCAATCAATGGTGATGACGGCCAATCTTCCCGAGATCAAACGAGGACCAGGAAGGCCACCAAAGAACAAGCCGCCTAAACTTGTATGTCGACGTTCGACGCTCTTGACGCGCGTCCATTGGTTCGCTTCATTGTCGCAGCACATCTGTTGACACATTTCTCGAAACAGAATATGAACATAGTTCGACCTATACTGGAACCGACCTCTGCAAGGTCATCGATACCCGCACTCATTACGCTGAAATCTCAAAGTGAGAATCACGTCGGTTGGTTTAATCATATGAAGTTCAACAGTCCTGACGCCGTCGTATAACTAGGTTTTAGCAGTCTTGGATCTGCTTCTTCTCAGACCAGCTTTGCTGATTTGGACAAGATCTTTTTTGTAAGTCTACTTCATCTTGCCCATCTGCGCCGGGTTATTGGTTACAATTTCATTAAACCCTGAATGCTCGCTAGCACCCACCACCACCTCCATTGCTTCACGGACTACCACGAGAAGTATGGGCAAGAACCATTTCATACCTCGACACACCATCAACCTTTGCGCGAGTCAGTCGACAAACAAAATCAATCTGTGAAGATCCACACTCGAAAGCAGGATTCCTACGATTTCGATATGGAACTCGGATGGCACTCGTACAAGCCTTCCTCAAGCATCGCAAAGTGCTGACTCATGAAGTCGCCAAAATGCTGCTATCAACCGGTGCACTACTACCACGATACATGATTCAGATGGTAGTCCAAGAAACCCGTTTCGTTGTACCGTATTCCAAGATGAAGTTTGTGTCGCTGATACTAAAGAATGGATTGAAACTCTATGGATATCAGTTGCAAGCAAAAGACGATGATGTGGATGTGTTTTACAGATACCTTTTACGGAACTCGATGCCTGGCCTAATCAGCCCTAGTACTATGGGCATGCCGATGGGTCAAGCCACAAGCAGTTCTCCAGCATCGTATATGTCAACAGATCCAAATACACCGTCATCTGTATACAGTCTCTCTCTACCACAGGACCAACAACCACAACAGCTACAGCAGCTACTACAACCAAACATGATGTTAAACCCAACACCATTAGAAACCATCCGAGATTTGGTAGTAAAATATCATTTCGCTCCCACAATGGAAGATCCCGTGCTATTAGCAGGTCGACGAGCATACATGATATGGAGACTCTTACACGATGATCCAACACTACTCCCAATCTTGCAACATAATGGTCTAGATTGCAAACCACTAAATGATGCCGTCGTGCTTAACGCATTCTTCCGAAAGCACCCACTTTTACCGAATCTAACTGTTTCCGAATCCGTCAAGATATGCTTAGCCTCATCCTTCAAATTCAATGATGAGCTAGTATTGAAACTGATGATGCATGACCGTTTACACGATTCGCAACTAGTAACTCTCAAACAATATTACACACGCAACCAATTAGATGCTTTTGCCACTCAGGCTGTAGAAAGGCTTCTGAATCCCTCTAAACTGGTGAATTTGCTGCATCGGGCTGATCCACGACACCCTGTTGGTGTGAGGATGCTATTGGGACACCTTACAGTATCGAATCCGATCCTCATGAATCTGTTGACTATGGAACCTGGTGATGCATTGACTGATTGGGTTGCTCAAAGTGAATTTAGAAGGACTAGGTTACGCTGGGTAGTCAAAGTGTTTGGTCAAGATCATCTTGTTGCTCATGGCTGTATGGAAGACTACCTGAAATGGCTGTAATATCATAGATACCACATGGCCAACTACTACTCATACCCCCACAAAAATGTCTTCTTAACACGTCTGAATCTTATTTAATATCGCAAAGCCCCTCATAATATTGGCCATAATCTGTTTCCGTTTTAGAATAAAACGACCTCTCGTAACGTAGTCTGAACTCAGAAAACGACTATATGTACAAACGCTTGCGATTTTACATTTGCTTTTCTATAGATAAGATGAAAGACCAAACCTTAGTCCCAGTCCAAGTCATCGTCATCGCCAGTAAGTTGCTTTACACCACTCCTCAAATTCTTGTTCTCATCCTCATCGTCATTTCGTCCAACATCTTCATCATCCATCAACTCGAACGATTTAGACGCCGCCAAAATCATCTCCAACTCTCTCAACGTCCCATTACTACCCCCCATCATCTCAATCCCCACAAGCTGTCTCTTCAAATCGCCATCAGCATAAATCAACAGCGTAGGCACATTCCTATCTGGATAATTCTCTATACATGCATCAGCGACAATCTTCAAGAATTTCGATGCGGGGTATTTCCTAGCTATTGTATCTAGTTTGGCTGCAAGTACTCGAGATGCCATGACATGTGTCTGGAAGAGATGGATTATGACGGGTACGGTTTTGCATGCTTCAGTTACTTCAGTTGGCCAATCTGGTTTTGAGATTTGGGTTACCGAGCCGTATTTTGCTGTTTTGGTATAGGCAGCCATTTCGGCGAGGCGTTGTTTGCGGTATGCCATCTTGGTGAGAAGTGAAGGACGGTAAGATGCGAGAACTCGTCGATTTGGGATTGCCATTCGAATTCAACAAATATAGGTACCAAAACACGTTCATCCTCTTCATCTTCAAGTTCATCCAATTCATCCAATGTTCGGTCTTCTAATGCCTTGCCGTGGTATTTGGCAGAAACGGCCTGGTCGACCATTGCCAGGATATCATCTTCAGTCAGTTCTAGTTCTTTGGGCTTTTGAGGTAGGATTCCTTTCTCTCTAATTAGTAAGTAAGGCAGCTGTTAGGACAGATCGTTACAAGAATTGACAAATTACCAAACCTCAAGATGTCGTTCCATTCTAAAGGAAAAAGGAGTAAGTACAAGACATTTCGTACACTGATAGATTGTAGCATGCTGTACCTGTGTCTTGGTCTTCTGCGGCTGCCATCATTAGTAGCAATTGTGTAATTGTGAAGATTGCTTAGTAGATCTCAGAACACGACACAAACGCCCTCATTAGCGTGATTCAAGATGATTTATATTGTTTTTAATATGTTACAGATGTGATTTCAGGCGATTGCAGTTATACCATATAGAGGATTTTTAGGGCGGCCCTCAACAAATTACACATTTTTTATTACTGGTATCTTTCTTTTGGCTTGACGAGGGTCTACTTCCATTCGGAGTAGATTCTTTTCGGACGCGAATCATGCGCATCAAGGCTTCATAGGCTTCTTCGACGTTATGCCTGGTTTTGGCTGATGTTTCCATGTACACTGCGCCCCTACATAAGATTTGAGCGTCAAGATATGACAAGGCGCAAGCGAGAAATGGAATATTGCGTTTTACCATTGTCGAGCTTGCTCTTCTCCTTGTTCAGTCGTGACGCGTCGTATATCTGCCAAATCAGCCTTATTTCCAGCCAAGATGAAGGGTATCTTGTCATCGTCGAGTACTCGAACGATCTGATCTCTAAATGCCTACAATAAAAGCAAACAATTCCCGATAAGCATCCTAAACATTGACTTTTAACAAAGCTTACAACAGACCTTTGTGTTTGCAAACGTCTCTGGTTCCAGTATCGAATAGACCAGCAAGAAGCCTTCCCCTGTTCTATAATAGTTGTCCCTTATAGCAGCATACTCTTCCTGGCCAGCAGTATCCAGTATGTCTATAAAGGAGTCTTCTCCGTCCAGCGAGACCTTTTTCCTGTACGAATCCGCCTTTGTTGGGTCATATTCCTCTATAAAGTCCTGATACATATATTGAAGGGTCAGAGATGACTTGCCGACTCCGCCTGATCCCACCATGATGACTTTATATAGCGGAACTGTTGATGTTGGTATCGAAGACTTTTTTGATTTCGACATTATTGACTTGAGGGTGGGCCTGCGAGGCTACAGAATCGGGATCGACAGGATGAGTAGCGGTAGGGAGCTAGTATTGGTAGCCAGCTTAACGACCAAGAGGTTTGTTTGGAATGCTTGTAAACGTGGCTGCTTCCTTGATTTTAAAGAGAGGGGCCGCAAGTAGGTAAGGGAGGCCGTAAGGGAAACAGTTTAGGTGGAGTCCTTTATGCGCTCAGCTGCAGCTGAATTGCGGTAAAAGCGATTATAAGGCGTTCAAGTATTGATCCGAATCCACGTTGAACGAAAGAAAGTTTAAAGAACGTGAGGTTTAGAAACCCCGAGATTCGCGTAGTTCACCAAGGAAAACAACTGGTATACGCGTTACAGTTTGTGCAATGTGCAAAGGTCTATGTATCTATATTTGAGGTCAAGGTGTTTGTTTTGCCATTTGTTCCTAGAATGGTGTTCCCATGCTCGTATCAAAGCGGTATACCGCATCATCACCTCCTATATAAGTATTTGGACGTGAATTGGTCACATCTGGTGAGAAGGCAGCCAATTATCACGCCAGTCTTACCTTGTAGGGCTACCATACCACGATCTAGGACCACCGACAACCCCATGTTCCTATGGAGAGCGCAAATGTCAAAAGGCTTTCAGAACAATGGATAATATAGAGTATCCTCATCATCAACCGAAAAACTCAACCAAAAAACGAAAGCCTCACCAGAAGACACAAATCGATATAACTCCTTCCTCGTATCTCGTATTCGCAAAGTTGGGTGGTAACTGATAAACGAGGTCAATCATTGCTTGTCTCTCAAAGACAATACACTGCACTGGACTGTATCTGTTGGAAGGAAACACGAGTCAGTGTCATTCCAACACTATCAAACCAAGAATGGCGTACTTGACAACAGATCCGAATCGTGTTTCTGCTTCTCCAACGACCGTGAGGCCCAGACGTTCAGCATCAGCAGCCCTGACGAATATCTCTTCTTTGCTCACAAGTGTCTGCTCGACAAACATGTTCGATATCTTGACACGTTTGGTTGAAGAGTTCAATGGCGATGGATTGAATGGTGATGCATTGAGGCTTGCAGGTGGTGATTTGTCAAAGTTCAGAGTGTTAATATTTGGATTTTGTAGCACTTGATGATAAAGGGGTTGATGTCCATGTTAGCGTCGATGCACACATTAGATAAGAAAGAAGAGACACAGATACTTACCTATTGGATGACAGTGAAGTTTGGACGGCAGCGAATACGAGCCAAATGCGCTCGGGGGACTTTCAGTTTGCGTTGAATGTTGTGAATGAAATGTTCGTTGTTGATTGCGTCCCGATATAGGTATGGGAGTTGATGAGCTCATGATAGACGATGTGTATAGGCTCCTTTCCAACGGTGGGATCTGCTTCGCCTACTAGTAGGAAATTATTTTGTGAAAAACCGTTTTCAGCTGCTGTTTGAAACTTGGACGTTCGCGTCGTTCGCGCATGATTATCTGCCTTCACGTCAAGCAAATAAACGAAATCCGTGTCTCGTGATAATTATGGCATTTAACTCTACTGATCTCCGCCGCTAGTTCGTTATTTCTCTGCAGATGCAGGTTTACATATTACTCACGACTGGGCGTCACCCAAATACAGCAGACCGACTTGCTCCCAGCTCACATTCAACTTCGAGAGTCATCGGCTGGGTCATCGGATGGTCCGGCTGCTGCAGTCGATTCTCGTTGAGCAGTTTATTACCCGATACGCAACGCGTGAGAGAAGTTTTGCTTGAATCCTAAGTTATCCTGCTGCGTGTCGCTTTACCGATCTCGCCAAATTTGTGACTCCAGTAACTCTAGGTTCGTGACTTGATCAGCAGGAGCAAGGGATGAATAATAAGCAAGAACCCCAAGCGCAATCTGAAGCTCAGCGACCTGACGAAAACGAAGGCGTTGCTGATGAACTCAGTTATCGCTCTCTTCTTGAGAGAGTCAGGAGCCTCATCTTTGCAGTTCTATTCTTTGGAGTAGGTTATGATGTCTTTGCAAATCGCTCTTATAGCAGATCGCTCTACTGATTATATCCATACTCATCCGACTCATCCTGAATTTATCCATAGGTCTATGGGAACTGTGAGTAATCTGGCTAACTCTTCCATTTTACAAATGAGTCGGTAACACTGACGCAAACTCCTTTTATACGATAGCCGGCCTTGAAGGCGTCGAATTCGTTGGACTCATTATTGAGGATGTGCAGCTTTTCACGTTTTTTATATGCATTGATATGCAAGCGATCTATTGGGTTCCTTCCTGGATTGCAACAACTGTCGAACGTGTATATGAGAATATGGCATGGCAGCCATTCATCTGTATCTTTGGTCTTTGCTGTGCTACTATTGTCTTCAGTTGGATTAATGCTCTCATCGTCGCGTGGGGCTTCATTCGGGGTCAACACAAGTTTATAATGCCAATTAGATTCTTACGTTTGATTGCCTCAGTGCTCCCAACCATGCTTTTCCTCCCCGTGGTGGAAGTGCTGATTGCTCCTCTGATCTGTGGAGATACCTGGTATGTCAATGTCTAGTGCCGATTCCTGCGTACTAAAGCTCATATGTTCTTTCTTGCATCACGCAAGGTGGCATACTACGGAGATTGCCCCAGACGCTCTTGCAACAATTTCTTGTAACTCTACACCTCGAATCATCTTAATGATTGCTTCTGTACTCTTCCTTGTATCGCTTGTATGCTTCTGTTGGGTCTTGAACGGAGCGTTTGTCGATATCAACCCGACTCATAAAGGGCCATTGGCAAAAGTACATGGACGTGCCGACATCATTTGTGAGTGGTTTTGGTTCACGACTACTGCCCTTCAGATTCACTGAAAACCCGTTTTTCCCTTCTTGTATTTAGACAGTGTATTGAAAACCTTGGTTGTCTGCGTGTGGAAGTTAGCTCCAGAATCCTGTTGTAAGTCTGTTAGCCTGAAACTGAAATATTTACCCAACCATTGCCTTTTGATCAAGATAAAATCCCTTAGATTTGATCAAGATTGCTACTGTTGCCCTCGCAGCTCTAGGAATCGCACTGTCGAACTGTAAGTCAAACTACAAACTCAGAGTCTCACCAGTGTCGGGCGACGAGTATTACCTAAACAATTTTGTCTAGTGTATTGGTTGCCATTCTACAATCCAATCATCAATCACATCAGAGTTGGAGGCACTGGAGCCGCCGCTGTTTGTGGTTTGATTTCGTTCATTGCTGCAGCCATTTATGGACAAGAGGGTCAAACTGTTGGCTCTTGGTATGTTTTTGCAGCTTTGATGGCTACATATCCATTATCATTCATTGGTGGCTATATGTTGTCGGGTGAGTCCTACTTTGAAATGCGCTGTCTTCATCTCCAAGCATTGAGTTCTTTTCTTCAGGCTGGTATCATAATTCTCTCATGTCAAGGGTCCGAGCGAAACTCGCAGAGATGCACAAGGTATTCTATTTATTCAAAAGATTGCAACTCACGCGACCTTTTATACTTACACAATTTGCCTCAATGCAGACCGGTGCCGATACTCAAGATCTGAACGACCTTGTTTTTAGATATGCAGTCAATGGTAAGCCAGAGTCGTGAAATCTTTTTCCGTTTCTGACTTTGTTTTGCTCGTAGTTGAACAAGTTGTGCGTTTCGCTACCGCCCACATGGATGAGAGAAAACGGCAACCAGATTCGTCAAAGTTGGACGAACTTTTGCTAATATTCAAAAGGTTCGGTTTGGCTTTAAAAATGAAAATTTCATCAAGGTAGAAGCCTAATCACGAAACAACTACAGAGGTTTACTCGAGTTCCCCGAGTCAGCTCTGTGCCGTTTCTCCATGGCAAACTACCTCTACCATCTCTCGGATGGCACCTTTGGATTGATGGATAGGATTCGAAAGATAGAGGGACTGCAACCTCCTTCGGATCTCCTATTTCAAGTTTACTTTTTACGACAAATGTCAACTCAAGGTAGAGGACGCCGCAAACGTCAATCACTTATATATATAGCCTATATCTGACGTGTTCATCGTATAGGTCAGGAAGCTGACTTTTTGGGATCGAACGTGAAACTGGACATTGCTTCGTATGCTGAATTTAAAAAGGTCAACCACGAAGCCAAATTCCAGCATCATTTAGCATTGCAATGGCAACGAGAGATGTGGACGTTGCTCAAACATCCCAGCCACAAGACAGACGAATTGGAAAACATTGCTATAAACTTGCACCAAACTGCCAAATTCGCAAATCAGGCCTACCTCCAGCTCGTCACCCGTTTTCCAAAGTCTAAAGTCCTGCTCAGGTTTTACGCTCGATTTCTCCTTGATATCACCAATGAGTCGTACAAAGCTGCTACTCTGTTGGCTCGAGCTGATGCTATTGAAGATGAGCTGAATGAAGAAGAAGCCTTCCAACCCGAACAGTATCGCCAAGGAGATGCAGATAGTGATGAGGAGGTAGAGGAAGATTCGACAGGGTCAGGCAGTATCAGAAGCTCTTCGAATCTTGGGAATGACGATGTTAATGATGAAGAAGGCGACAATCTACCAGAGATTCCCATGATTGGCGCTAGTGACGACAAGCAGCCAAACAATGTCGGAATCTCGAAACCCACATATATGAAAGCAGACTTTGTAGCAAAAATCAGGTCATCACAACAGACAGCACGAGATCAAAAGCCTGATATGGAGAGACGCAGTGAAGTTTCCAAGGATAGTTCGACCAATTCCGAAGTTCGGTCTTATCAACGATCTCAGTCTCTTCGTGCAGCTATATTGTCCCGTAACATGAATGGCATCACCATCATTGTCATGACTGCCTTCCTTATTGGCATTACGGGACTTGCTGTTTTGATTGCCAACTACATCGTTATTACCGACTTACTATCCTCCACGAGCAGTGCTTTAATAACATTGAGCGCGTAAGTTAATTCTAGTTTTTGCTTCGTCTGACCTCTTCAGTAACTAAGATTCGAAACTTGCTGTTTTGTTTATCTAGTCTCCATATCAGAGAAGATGTAAGAAATCAAGAACGAAACCATATGTGCATCGTCATTTGCTCACATCTCTGCGCTTTCACCGTTCTTAGAAAACTGCTCTGTGTTTCCGACGTGCAAGGCAGCTTCAAGATGCTCACGCCGCAGGCAACTCTGCACTCTTTGCCACAATTCAGTCCACATTCTTTAACGACATGATGGCCTTGAGAAGCGCTGCTCAATCGGCATTTGATCAATTGGATCCAGCCAACACTGAGCTTTATTCGTTTTGGACAACACCAGTTGTTCCCGTCAATATGAGCTACTTCCCGGCTATAACAACACGAGTGGAAGTATATCATACACTGTACGAGGTCATCAATTTGTTTGCACAGAGTGGTGTTGATTTGGCTACGAGACCATACACTGATTCACGATGGAGTAATCTGTCCAGCGACAACTCATTTCGATTCATTGCAGACAATTTCTTTTGGATACAAAAGGTGACTTCTTTGTTGTCCATTTCAACTCAAATGTACATCACCGGCTTATTCATTCCTCTACAAAATCAGGGTGCATATGATTACAGTATGAACGACTTGTTCTTCAATCAGTACTATGACAAAAGTAATACGGCTGTTAGAGAAATTATTGGGCTGACAGTTACGCTGATTGTGACGGCTGCAGTCGCAATCCTGGTCTTGGATTACAGAGTCGTGGTTTTTCGCCGAAAGCAGCGAGAGGCTCTTGGCATCCTTTCAAAGTAAGAGAGGAACTTGTGAGGCTTCCAGTATTGCTATTCGATGTGTTGCTGACATGACATCATCTTCACGAATAGAATTCCGCGAAGTGCTGTAGCTGAAATGTTGCAGCGTTTAGAGGAGTCAGAAAATGAATCAGAAGATATTATGGGACAAGAGAATCTCGCTCAGAAAGCTCGAAACATAGTGGCAATCGTGAGTGGTATTTTATGTCGACAAGTGGCGAGCAATCGAAGCTGAGAATTCAATTCAATCGCTAGCACCGAGGAGACCAGTACAACCTACAGTGGCGTGGCCGATTCGAGTACTTGTCCTACTTGTGCTTGTTGATCGTTCTCGCAGTCATCTTTGCTGTCTTTAATGTACGTGGCTGGTTGGTTGCTAGTCCTCTTCATCAAAAGCTTTGTTCACGCGTTCCCATTTCTAGGCAAATGGCATCTACTCGATTGGACAGTACTTTGCGATGTTGGACCAGTTTGGAGATTCCGCTACATTTCCTACAAGGGCCCTCTCTCTCATCAATGAACTTCAACGACAAGATTGGATTACATGGGGCAACGAAAGCAATATACGAAGCAATTTGGTGCTTGATGCCGGAACTGACAATTACGTCCAAATTTGGCAAAATGTCCTTTACGGAGATACCACACGCTACCCTCCTTCTCCTGTGCATAACCAATATGCATCAGATATACAATACGCTTTCGAGCAACTGGCTTGCTTACCAACGGATCAAACGATTTGCGCTAATCGATTGTTTAATACCTCCCTTGCAGGGTAGGTACCGACCGAATAATCTTTTCTCCAGATGAAGAAATCTAACTGAACTCTCAGGTACTCGTCTACGCTGGTCACAAGTGGTTTAAAGAACTTGATGACCAGTTTCATGACTGAATTGGAGGGGATGGTTGCTGCCGCAGCGGCTGGACCATTTATACCCGACGCGGATTCGTATAATTTGATGAATGCTGCATTCGATCCAGATATTCTTGATGGGTTTCTACGACTCAAGGATCTGGCCTGCACTGATGCCCAAGCGTACTTTGCTGTCAGTGCAATAAGAAACGATATCATTTTTGCCTTTGAAGCGATTTTGGTCTGTTTGGGCCAGGTATGCTTCGACTTGTTGTCACAGTCTTCTATCAGACACGGAAAACCGATTTATAGTTTTTGGTTCTATAGGTGGTTGTGTTTCTTCTAATGGTTCATAATTTACGGAATATGGAAGAGTGTATTGCAGACTTGGTAAGTTACGAGTTTTTTAAGTTGGGAGTATGTTCTAGGGAGACGTACTCACTACTCTATTACTTGCATCTCTAGATCGTGAGACTCCCACTAAATGTACGAAATTTGCCTGTCGTGACCAACTTCCTTGACAAGGATGAACACCAGCTCCCCAAGAAGGACACCAAAGACGGTTCCGTGTCAAACATCAAATCTGCTGTGGAGGGCATCATCTCAGGACTAAGCCGAGGGCTTTCTCGACGAAACACCCAGACTGACGATCTACCGAGCCAACTTTCGACACCAATCGGCAAAAAGATGGGCAGTACCACTATAAATGGGAATGTGATTTTGGAAACAAGGCGTCGGAGCTCTGTTCGTTTCGATGCTGCTATGACGCGGCCTATAACAGTACCAGTAGAAGAGAGACGGTACAGCTCTCAACAAGCATCAGCAGACGAGAGACGATACAGCTCTCAACCCGCATCAGTGGATGAAAGACGATACAGCGCCCAAAGCCACGACGCCCAAAGCAGACGTGCCTCGCATGCTCTGGGAATTGGTGGAACTAATCCGCCTCAAATCCGAGAAATGGTTTCACTGGAAAACTCTCTGTAAGGATCCAACTTGTATGTCCCAAAAGCTGAATGGTGGCAACTCGTATAGCTTCAATCAACCCATAATCACATATCCATTGTAAAGCCACTTTCCAATAACGTCACAGCCAATATTGCAACGATAACGGTTTTGACCAGTGTTCACATTCTCAAACTATTGCGACCAACACGGATCAGTACGGCCAGCGAACTGCAAAGAGTTGATGATGCGACGTGAGACAAAATACAGGTAGTTCTCGGACGGCATGCCGTGTCTTCATCTGACGCTCAAACATATTGATCAGTTGGTTTTATTTCTCCGATGTGGGGTCGATCCTTGTTTTGCAACCAACGAATCCTCTGCTGCGCCTGCTCCTAGCTAGTTAAGCCGATTTCCCAATTTTTGAGCCCAATTATTAGGTGTGAGACTTGAATCGAGCATCTGAAAGTCGAAAAAGAACGAATCTTTAAACTACCAAGATCTGGTCGAATGCCATGACACAAGACAAGCCCGAAGCTCAATCTGAAGCTCAGAGACCCGACGAGAGCGAAGGCGTTGCCGATGAGCTGAGTTACCGCTCTCTTCTCGAGAGAGTTCGCACTCTGGTCTTTGCTGTGCTTTTTTATGGAGTGAGTGATGAGATCTCCGATTTCCACAAACCTATTCTATCTATTTACCTCCAATTTACCTTGATCCATGCATAGATCTATGGAAACTGTGAGTGTTCTTGCTCTCTCGTTCAACAATTGTGTTTGAGAATACGTTGTTGACGCAAAGTCTAACGAAACAATAGCTGGATTTGAAGTCGTGGGCTTACTGGGACTGATTGCTGAGGATGTGCAGCTTGTCACTTTTTTCCTCTGTATCGATATGGAAGCCATTTATTGGATTCCACCTTGGATTGCCTCCACTGTCCAAAGATCGTATGAGAACATGGCATGGCAGCCATTCATAAGTATTTTCGGTCTCTGCTGTGCCACCATCGTCTTCAGTTGGGTTAATGCTCTGATAGTCGCATGGGGATTCATTCGAGGCCAACACAAATTCATACTACCCATTCGATTCTTACGTTTGATTGCCTCTGTGCTGCCAACCATGCTCTTTCTGCCTTTGGTAAAAGTGCTGATTGCTCCTCTGATATGCGGTGACACTTGGTGGGACACTAGTGTAGTCATTGCACAGGATTCGCTTGCCACCATGTCGTGTAGCTCCACGACCAGAATCGTCCTAATTATCGCTGCTGTGTTCTTCCTGATATTGCTTGTATGCTTCTGTTGGGTCTTGAACGGAGCCTTTCTAGATATCAATCCGACTCATAAAGCGCCATTGGCAAAAGTGCATGGACGAGCCGACATTATTTGTGAGTGATATGTTTCAAAGGTAGCTGCCTTTGTTGCTAAACGTATAATCATTGAAAGTACTTTATTTCGGTGTTTTTAGACAGTGTTTTGAAGACGTGTGTTGTCTGCGTGTGGAAATTAGCTCCCGAATCTTGGTGTGAGTTTCGAAGCCCGAGATAGAAGTATCTGCCTGAATCTTAGCAAACGTACAATCCTTTTAGATCTAATCAAGATCGCTACGGTTGCTCTTGCTGCTGTGACAATTGCACTTTCAAACTGTAAGTCAACCCAACAATTCAACGTTTCACCAATTTCGAGTGCGGCTTTTACCTAACCAATTTGTTTCAGTGTACTGGTTGCCATTCTACAATCCAATTCTCAACCACATCAGAGTTGGAGGCACCATAGCCGCCGCTGTTTGTGGTTTGATTTCGTTCATTGCTGCAGTCCGCTACAGTCCGACGGGCGAAAATGTCGGGCCTTGGTACGTTTTCGCATCTATGATCGGGACGTATCCATTTTCATTCTTTGGTGGATGTATGTTGTCGAGTGAGTATTTTCATGGCTTTCCCATTCAAATCTTCGTCTTGAACATCTATCGCTAATTGTTCATACGATGTATTCAGGATGGTACCACAATTCCCTGATTTCAAGTGTCCGAGCAAAACTTGCCGAAATGAAGAAGGTGCGTGTTGGAAGTGGCCCCAGCTTTGTAGGCAACTTGCTAACTGAATTGTCAAATTCAGACTGGAGCAGACACGGAAGACCAGAACGACCTTGTGTTTAGATTCTCAGTCAATGGTAAGCGTCAAAACCGTGATCTAAAACTTCATCTCGGCTCCTGAAGGGTCTTGTTTCTCTAGTTGAACAAGTTGCTCGTTTTGCTACTGCCCACATGAGCGAAAGAAAACGGCAGCCGGACTTGTCGAAATTGAATGAGCTTTTACTTGTGTTTAGAAGGTATGGTTGTCTCTTGGGATGATCCTTGTTTGTCAAACAGCCGTCTAACGATGATGATGATGAAACACACAGGGGCTTACTCGAGTTCCCTAACTCATCTTTGTGTCGTTTCTCTATGGCGAACTACCTGTACCATCTCTCTGATGGTACCTTTGGATTGATGGATAGAATTCGAAAGATTGAAGGGCTACAACCGCCCTCTGATCTACTCTTTCAAGTGTACTTTTTACGTCAAATGTCTACACAAGGTACAAAACATTCCAAACTTCGTTTACTACTTTCCGGTAGATCTTACATTATTCCTTATCCTAGGTCAAGAAGCTGACTTTTTGGGATCGCACGTGAAACTGGACATCGCCTCGTATGCTGAATTCAAGAAGGTCAATTACGAAGCCAAATTCCAACATCAGTTGGCTCTGCAATGGCAACGAGAGATGTGGACACTACTGAAAAATCCTAGCCACAGGCAGGATGAATTAGAGAACATTGCTATAAATCTACACGAAACCGCAAGGCTCGCCAACACGGCTTACCTACAACTCGTAACCCGCTTTCCAAAATCCAAAGTTTTGCTAAGATACTATGCCCAATTTCTCTTTGATATCACCAACGAATCATACAAGGCTGCTACTCTCTTGGCTCGAGCTGACGCTATAGAAGACGATTTGGGAGAGGACGAAGCTTTCCAACCCGAACAGTATCGCCAAGCAAGCACCGACAATGATGAGAACGGCGCTAGAGATTCTGAAGAATCAGAAAATATTAGAAGCACTGCAGAGCTTGAGACGAGTGATGATATTGAAGGGAGTAGTGACGATCCAGCGAGTGTATCCGTGGTCCCTGTTGACAGAGCCCATCCAAACACCTTCTCCAACGACACTGGTATCTCAGAACAGCCCAATACAGAACCTGCTTCCAAGGAAATGAAGCAAGACCATTCCGTAAACTTCAGATCTTCGCAATCAGAACGAGATCAAAAAGCTGACATGGAGAGACGGAGCGAAGTTTCTAAAGACAGCACAGTGAATTCGGAAATGAAATCATACCAATTATCCCAGTCTCTTCGTACTGCTATATTGTCTCGTAATATGAATGGCATCACCATCATTGTCGTGACTGCATTCCTGATTGGTGTTACTGGTCTTGGTGTTTTGATTGCCAACTACATCGTTATTACCGACTTGTTATCATCCACGAGTAGTGCGTTGATAAGCTTAAGCGCGTAAGTTAACTTGGTTTCTTCTTCATTGTATTGCCAGTACCTGAACTTCAAACACCTACTTTTTTGCTATAGCCTGCATACCAGAGAAGATGTAAGCAATCAAGAACAAAGTTATTACTTTTTAAATGCTCACAGCTCTGCTTTATCGTCGTTTTTAGAAAACTGCTTTGTGCTTCAGACGTGCACGACAGCTTCAAGATGCTCACGCCGCCGGCAATCCTACACTCTTTGCTACCATCCAATCAACATTTTATGATGACATGGTTGCATTAAGGAGCAGTGCTCAATCGGCATTTGATCAACTAGATCGAGCCAATTCCGAACTTTATTCTTATTGGACAACATCAGTTGTTTCCGTTAACATGAGCTACTTCCCGGCTATAACAACACGAGTGGAAGTCGACCATACACTGTATGAAGTCATCAATCTATTTGCTGATTCTGGCGTTGATTTGGCGACCAGACCATACACGGATCCGCGATGGGGTAACCTGTCAACGGACAACTCTTTTCGATACATTGCAGACAATTTCTTTTGGATTCAAAAGGTGCCTTTTAATAGTACACTTTTGAACGAGTTCAACTCACCAGCTCATTCACCATTCAATCAAATTAGACCGCGTACGACTATAGTATGAATGACTTGTTTTTTGCTCAATACTATGACAAAAGTGATAAGGCTGTTCGAGAAATTATTGGACTGACAGTGACGCTGATTGCTACGGCTGCAGTTGCAATCCTGGTTTTGGACTACAGAGTTGTGGTTTTTCGCCGCAAGCAAAGAGAGGCTCTAGGCATTCTTTCGAAGTGAGAGCGTATATTGATGGGTGATGAAGCATATTACTAACCGATGTTCACTAACTTTTACTTTAGAATCCCTCGAAGTGCTGTTGCTGAAATGTTGCAGCGTCTAGACGAAACAGCAGAAGAAGACATAATGGGCCAAGAAAACCTTGCTCAAAAGGCTCGAAATGTAGTCGCAGTTGTAAGGATGGCTTTAACACCCATGACTAGTATGAAGAACAAAACTGACGAACTCACCTTCAACCCCTTTAGCACCGAAGTGACCAATACAACTTGGAATGGCGGGCTCGTCTTGAATACATATCCTACTTGTGCTTCTTGATTGTTCTGTCAGTCATCTTTGCTTCGTTCAATGTGAGTGGTCGTACAATTGCTTTACATTCGCCATATGTGATTCACACGGCATTTTCTGTAGGCAAAGGGTATCTACTCAATTGGACAGTACTTTGCAATGTTGGATCAGTTTGGAGATTCTGCTACATTTCCTACAAGAGCAGTTTCTCTCATCAATGAACTCCAGCGGCAAGATTGGATTACATGGGGAAACGAGAGTAATTTACGGAGCAATCTGGTGCTTGATGCAGGAATTGACAATTACGTGCAAATATGGCAAAACGTCTTGTATGGTGACGAGACAAGATATCCACCCAGCCCTGTGCATAATCAATACGCATCAGATATACAGTATACGTTCGAGCAATTGGCTTGTTTACCCACTGATCAAACCGTTTGCAACAATCGCGTGTATAATACGTCGATTCCAGGGTAAGTTGCTACTTCTTGACTTGGAACTCTTTGAATCTAGTTCCGGGAAGCTCATTCAGAGCAAGCAACTGTTTTAACCTTCTTTTTTCTAGGTACTCTTCTACAATAGTCACAAATGGGTTGAAGACCTTGATGACTAGTTTCATGGCTGATCTAGAGGGGATGGTTGCTGCAGCAGCGGCTGGACCATTTATACCCGACGCCGACACGTACAATCTGATGAATGCAGTGTTTGAGCCAGACATACTAGATGGATTTATAAGGTTGAAAAATCTGGCCAACGCTGACGCTCAAGAGTACTTTGCTGTCAGTTCAGTAAGAAATAACATTATCTTTGCTTTTGAAGTGATTTTAGTCTGTCTGGGTCAGGTATGATTTACACATGCGAGGAGCCTTGTTCAAAGTGGACCCACAGATCTTGTCCTGTAGGTGGTTGTTTTTCATCGAATGGTTCGCAATCTACGGAATATGGAAGAGTGTATTGCAGACGTGGTAAGTGGCCCATGATATGTGCTCGTGAGACATTGACTCACATTTCACTTTCCCTTATCCAGATTGTGAGACTTCCGCTAAATGTACGAAACTTGCCAGTTGTCACCGCTTTCCTTGAAAAGGAAGAACACAGGCTCCCCGCAAAATACACGAAAGGTTCAATTTCCGTCTTGAATCTCCAATATGCTGTGGAAGGCATGATATCGGGGCTAAGCAGAGGTCTTGCTCGACGAAACACACACGCCGACGAACTACCGAGCCAACTCTCGGCTCCAATCAAGAAAATGGGCAGCTCAACCTTAAACGTGAACGTGATTATGGATTCAAGACGACTTAGTTCCAACGCCCATGTCGATGGTGCCGTGATGCGGACTGTACAAATGTCTGGAGACGAACGACGATACAGTGACCAGATGCGTCGAATGACCAGTCCGATGCATGTGCCTGGGATGGGCGCATCTCAGCCTCAAATAAGAGAAAGTGGGTTGACGAGAGAACGCTCGGAGATGTCTGTCGGATCCAACCCATACATGATGACAAAGCAAAAATCAAATGTTGGCAAGTTTGTATCTATTCAAGTTAGCCCGGACCAACAAACGTAAAGACCTGTCTTAAGAAACTGGTCAACCCTCCATAATTAATCTTAATGCCCCAGCGGTTCTTCTTTGTGGAGATAACACGTTTCTGGCGAGAGCCGCAATAAGCAAGTCTTTGAATATATAATTACAGTCAATAGCAAACGTACTCAGTAGTTCTCAAAATCTTCAGGCTACGAGAACTAAAGTTTGGTAGACTGCTCAATGTCCCACGTAGTATGGTTTTGGCTAGTGCTCATCAACAGTTGCTAAGAAAGACTAAATAGGAATCAGGAATCAATTTGGTCATAGCTAAAGCAAACTGAGATGCAATAACGCGCCCCATCAGGAGTATAAATCCAAGTTTGCACCAGCTCTCTACCATCGGTTACGAAATTGTCCATTATGTGCTTGACGTGTGGCAACCCCTGTCTAATCGGATTCCAAAAGTCCATCGAGAAGAATACTGTTCCAAAACGTCTAACGGGTGATGTAAATGCGACCGACTGTGGAGAAGTCGGTGTGAGGTGAGAGAGCCAAGTCAATCCCAAGGTCTGAACTGAAGCCAGGAGGTGAGTCTCAGGCATTGCAGCTCCTTTGAGGACTTCTTGTCGGTTGCTCGATAGTTGGCATCACTCTTCCAATACGTGAAGCAATCCGCCAGTTTGGTCATTGTAGGTGCATCGTGGTAAAACTTGGTATAGTTAAAAACAGGAAATCCATAGATGTTCTCGTGCCCCAAACACTGTTGGATCTATATGGTGTAGTCAGTACTAGTTGCTAGTCGTATGGGTTCAAACGTTGACAGAGGTACCGGCGGATATCAGGGCATCTGCACTGTTCAAGATTTGAGCTTTGCTTTGACGCTCGAATCATATTGATAACGGCTATTTGTGATGTCCATAGCAAGAGTTTTTTTTTTCAGTAACGCCCTTCTGAGCTGTATATACCATGGAGCTACTAGCTTTTACATGGATCAAGACTGCGACTCCTGGCATACAAAGAGACAAGCACTGCATCTAATCGGAGAATACAATACAGTAGGATTAAGAATTCGAGGAGGAGGTCACACACAGGCTTGATCGAGGTTACTGAGATGTTCAGGGGATCCGGGTATTGTCCAGTAGATTTGGCCGCCAGCTCCATTAAAGTAGTCTAGTAGTAGCTGAAACTTCACCAAATGTTGCTATTATGAGGTTACGCTTCAGCCTTCAGCGACAAAACTTGTTTTGCGTAAATTTGCAAGCAGCGAAGTAACTTCACACCAAACCAGCAACAGATTCCTTGATAGACACATGCCTATAGATACCATTCGCCAGAGGCTCCAAAACAGAGCGTCATCCATAGATGCCATGTGGCAGAGCGACTGAGCCTGTGCGTTGTGAAATGAAGAGTTGATGAGTGCAGTGTATGACGTCGTATATACGGCCAACTATTAGAATGGATGAATTTACTTGTCCAATGTCGTGCATGGTTGACTTACTTTATTCTCTGCGTGCACGTGTTAAGAGTTATTAACCTGTAAGAGTGCTCAGTTTCATTTCTGGATGTTCGCAAAGCGATTGGCAATTAAATAAACATATTACGAATATACGATCATAGTCTTTAGGTTGTCCTGCCTCTAACTTGGTACTCGCAACTGAGCGACTTGACTAGAGACCAAACAAGATGTCAGTATCGACGCCAACCCATTCGTCTATTCTGGATGCACCGGACCCATGTATGATATTCGATGATTATCTACTAAGTGAGTCATGTCCTCCTGTTTGATGTCTGTTGTTGGCTCCTCGTGTGCTTGTTTTTGGATGTTAGTTCTGGGTTGATCTACAGTGCATATGAAGCTCAATTATACGAAAATGACTATGATATAAATAACTCATCATGACCTGATTGTCTCTGACTGAATGTCTCTGATTTATATATGCACTGCGCGCCCATCAAATATCATGGACATCAAACTGTACATTTCACTCACACTGCTTCCACTCATATTGCATTAGGTATTGAGGACTTGGCTCCTGAATTACAAAACATTTTTGGTGAACTTACTCGCAAGAATAAGCAGACTCGAGGTAAGCCAATAAGTTGATTCTACCTCTTGGTTGACGTGTGCGCAGAAACACAACAAAGTTTACCATTTCACTCGTAAACTGGTATCATAAAATGATGAGATTCTCATGCTTCATTCATCCCAAGTCCTAAAAGACGAATTCGAAAAGGAAAATCGTGTATGGGACAATTTTGAAAAGATCTATGGTCGTTTGACGCCTTATCCTGATGAAGACGCCGTATTGTCTCGGGTACAGCGGATAAAAGATCGAATCTCTGATCTATCTGATGAAAAGATTCGGATTGCTGATCAAGCTGTACACTTGGTAAGCTGTCCTGCATATTTGCATGTGTTGGTGGATGACGACACAGGACATTATAACAAAAAAATCAATTTAATACTTCATTGCTGTCTATTCTCATCAATAATGACAGATTGATGCACACATCAAACGACTAGATCAGGATTTAGCGATGTTTACCCTACCAAATCAATCAGAATCGATACCTAGCTCACCAGATGTATCTGGCATAACATTGACTGAACCTGAGCCTATCATTTATATGCCTACTCCACCACCTGCTGCGGCACCTGCCTCACCCCCAGTGTATGGAGGCATGGTTGGTGCTTTCATGCCTCCTCCTGAACGTATGGCGTCTCCATCTAGTAAGGGGTTTGGAACCATGATTAAAAAATGTATTGATCGTTTTTTCGTTATCTCATCTAGTTGTTTATCCTCAACAATTATCCGTGATGAAGAAAGCAATGAAGAAGGAAGCACTGACGCCATCAGCCGGGGGTGGTGGTACAGTTAAGAAGAGAAAGAGACCTGTTGACAAGATCGTCAAACGCTCAAACAGGTATTTTGCACTTTGATCGACTCCAAATGAGCATGTTCCTGCAGAAAGCGATTCACTAAAACACTCATGATTTCTTTCAGCTCGTTACGGTTTAGCTTTACTCCAGAACCCGAAAATATTGCTCCATCAGGACCAAGTCCTATAGGCCAACTGCCAATATTGAAAGATCCACGACAAACGCAACTATCATTCCAACCAGAGATTGTTGAGGCTCAGAATGAAGTTGTCGAGAATGAAGAAGATGCAAAGCTTTACTGTTTATGCCAAACCGTGTCTCATGGCGAGATGATTGCTTGTGACAATGAGGTCAGTACTGTGAAGGCCTTCGGTCCATTTTTTTTTCCTCTTGCTGGCACTCACTGTACATTGTGCACTCATACTTTGTAGGATTGCCATATCGAATGGTTTCACTTGCCTTGTGTGGGATTGACACAAGTCCCTGCTGGACAGTGGTATTGCATCGAATGTCGGAAAGGGATGAAGTCAAGGTGAGATTTGATGTCAGTGTTCTCGACACGGCTTTTTCGAGTCTCAATTTGCAAGTTCTTCTAGACGCAAGTCTAACTTGTCCAATACGTGAACGAACAAACTGTATGGAATGCGAAAGTACAACTGTATAGTGTATGTATGCGTAAATGTACAAATTCTTTGGAATGTGCTAATGTAGCACGAATGCTATGAATATAATATAAGGTTGTCGTAGAACCGAAGTCCTTCGATCGAGTCGTCTCTACAAACCAATGCTCTTGACTCTGCCATCTAGTTTGTTAGCTTAGTTGTCAAGCACGTGCAAAACAAGCTTTCTAGAAAATAGTACAGACGGACTTACAAGAAGCTGTTCACGAGCGAGTATGACTGATATCCTTTCTGATGTGGCGAATCCCACAGCAGTCAATCCACCTTTTGTAGCTTGAACCCGTTCACGAACTCTTGTTGCAGTATCAGCGTCGTTTTGAGTTGCGGACTGAACTACCAATAGTCCTGAATCAAATTTCCGTAACCGGTATGGAAGACCGATTCGCTCGTATTGCTGAGAGGCACGAATCAAGTCTTCTGGAGAGACCAGAGCTGTGCGCAAAAAAGATGAAGTGAACAACACAAAATGATCCAGATCAGCTAGAGGGCGTCACACATACCAACACCACGAGCACGATTAAATATACAGTACACATCCACCATAGTCATCATTCCACCACTGCGTGGTAGAACAACTTCCAGGAATTCAGCAAGTTGACGAGCTAGCTCTGTATCATACATGTTTCCGGCTGTCTTTCTAAATAGTCACAAAGGAGAAAAATCACCCCATGAACAATTAGTAATATAAGAAAATCAACTCTTTTCAAGCGAGCAACACTAACTTTGTAACAGGACTAGAGATACCCAAATCCACTAGGTATTCACGAAACATTGCCATTTCTGAAGAATCCTCATTTGATGATGCCGATGATGAGGCAAGTTTGGTACTGATGGACTCTGCTAGCTTGACCTAAACAAGGAAGCTGCATAAGCGAGGTGCATCAATGAGCAAAAAAACGCCCTGTAGTGCAGATTTATCAAGTATGAGCTTGCCATGTCACCAGCTTTCTGCATGAGTGCATCCAGATCTCTGAATGCTTCGGATAATGATTCGTTGGTGGCGACCCTTGACTGATCTACATTTCTCATTATGCTTCCTAAGATCCGAGAGGGAATATTTTTGGGGTTGAGAAATATGATGTGGACAAAAAAGGGAAATTTATGACGAGATAATTACTCACCAATACCACCCATCATATCTCTACCCTGCGGTGAGCTAACTTTGGGAGTCTCGACCTGTTTCTCCCACTCCTTCTTTTGTATAGCTAGCCGTAAAGCTTTAGCAAAATCCGGCATACCACCACTCCTGAATGACAATCTTAATATAAATACAGGTGCCGCAATTGGCGTGCTCAAAAGTACTGTAGATGTTGGTAGTATGGGTTCAGCGATGTTCGCAAGGGGTGTAGAGCAAACTTCACATTCCTGCATATCTATGTGGTTTATGAATGTGCATGCTCTGCATACTTTGCCATCTTTTACAGGTGGTGGTTGTGAAGCAGGAGGCGGTTCGACGATGGTCTGCTTCTTGACTCCACATTCGCTACATTTGAGATCCTGACTGCGATTACGTGCTGAGCAGATCGGACATGTCCAGTCGTTTACGCTGTCGACAGAGTGAATGGAGGACGATGAAGCTGATAATGGAGTTGTATCCGTGGATTTGGGAGTTAGGTGCAGGGCGATTTTTGGTGATTGTGTGAGAAAAGCAGGCTAGTTTGAGCAAAAACATAAGTTAAAAACAAGTGCATTGGTTGAATCCAAGGCAAATCAATGCTATTTCGTATACCAACGGCTCCATTTTGACAATGTTTGCAAGAGCTACGGCGATAGTGGTTGATGTTGGATGTGGTGATTCCGGGATCCATAGGAGACGATGACTGGACAGATACGCGACACCTTTATCATAAGCCAATAATTTCGTGTTGCTAGATTTAAGTATTTAGTACAAGACATTTGAGCTTAAACTCGAACCTAAAACTCCCAACATCAAACGAAGCAGAGCTTACCCTTCATAGAGACCGACATCACGCTGCTGCAACAGAATAGTCTCACCCGAAGCAAGAACTGGACGTAAAGACGAGCTCAGAACCACTTCTGAGGTATAGTTTTGCATCAGGAATTGCGTTTGTTGGATTTTGTAGATTTGAAGATAGTGGATTTTGAAGATGGAATTCAACAGAGATTCTCCTGATCAAAAACTCTGATATGAACATTGTTAATAATTCCTCCTATTTACTTTTTGATATAGGCAATGAGTTTACAGAAATTGCTGGTGAAGGATTTGATGTCTTCGAGAATTGAAGTTCGAGTTACGGGTTTGTTTCTAAACGCGAACGGAATTTAGGTCTTTGGAGGATCTGGTCGTATCGGCCGTATGGTGTGTCAATACGCACTGGAGACTAAGAAATATGGTGTGAAGGATGGTTGTAACAGGATAGCTGACCCACAAGAGAGACCTCTGACGCAACAATATATGATTTTATCATCATAGATGTCTCAGCCTTCGTGAGAAACGCCATCAAGCTGCGAAAGGGAGAGACTGAACAGTGAGTTGGACGACCCCAAGCAAAGCTTTCAAACGTAGCTAACGTGTCTGTACAACAGATACGCTGATCAAATCGATGCCTATGAAGGCAACGTTCGTGATATCGGTCAAGTTAGATCCGTAATCAAGGAAGTGAAGCCAGACAAAGTAAGCCAGCGTGGAAAAAGCTACTGGAACGAGCATGTAAAACACGAATTATGTGGATACAACGTGTTTGACTGGTCGCACTGATCATGATTGAATTATGAGCAATAAGTGTATCTGACTACATCGCCATTTAGATAGTCTCTGTCATTGGTCCGAAAGATATCCGAGATCCATCAGTGATCAACTCAATTGCTGCTCTCCACATAAGTCTAGCAATGAAGGAGAATGGAGTCAAACGTCTTATTCTAATGACAGCAAATGGCTTGCTTCCACGCTCTACAGAGGATGCTTCTATTGGAGCTGACATGTATTATGAAACTGGAGAACTGCCTGTTTGGTTGAATCATGCGTATGTGCCTTGTCTCCACTAATATGTATGCAATATGCTTATTTTACTCATTGCTTTAGATGCTATGACATGAGGCACGCAACAGAACTCATCATGTCCACAGATCTGGACTGGACTCTTGTGTGTCCACCGTAAGTCACAATCCCATCGTCCGCTTCTAGTCCGAATCACGTCCTAACATATATTTCATTTTAGATATATGCCCAAAGGTGGATTCCTTTAATCCTTTTTATGTGATTAAATTCAACATTAACTGTTCTCATATCCTTTTATCATCCAAAGGTCCATTTCTGAAGACAGATGGGAAATATCGAGTAGTGATAGACGGTCCTGTTGAGAACGGGTAGGTGATTCTTGTACTCTCCTGCCATGCCCAGAGTACTGTGTAGTACGAGAATGGGAGTACTCGTGCCTTGGTATCGTTTGTTTGCTCCTGAATTATTGCTGATCATCTTCATCGTCGCAATGTTTTTAGGAAGGTGCTCGCTGCTGCTGATTGTGCAGACTTTATCGTCAAAGCACTCGATCGAGATGATCTCATCCGTCATCGAGTCGGAATCGCATACTGAGTATAGCAGTGAAATACACTCTTTGCATTTGAATATACACCTCCACACTCAGTTGCTCAGGGCCTCGTGCTGTGAAAGTTCGACGCGTCTGTATGAAAGCTCTCAAGTTCCCATAAATCCATAAATCCCACACAGTGATAAACTGAACCACACGGACGTCTAATCCAATCTGTTACTCGAACGTGACGCGTCTCTCACGCACATCTCCAAATCTCACAAACTTTTCATCTCAGCTTGAAACCTCAAAAAAGCACAACAGAGGAGAAGGCACTACACCATGTTCATTATAAATTGGTTTTGGGATATTCTGTCCAGTCTCGGTAAGTGCTATCTCTCTGTGGACGCCGATTGTTCAAATTTCAGTAGAGTCGAAATGAGAGCAAATTCAAGGAGCGAATCAGTCCTATTCCGACTAGCTCACAAAATATAAACAAAATATAAATCTAGGTCTGGTCAACAAGAATGCCAAAATCCTCTTTCTCGGACTGGACAATGCAGGCAAAACTACTCTATTGCACATGCTGAAAAATGATAGATTGGCTACATTACAACCAACTCTACATCCAAGTACGAGTCATGCTTAGTTTAGATCAAATTATTCGTTTACTGCACGGTGGAAGCTGAACCTGCAATACTTGTTTACTAGCCTGTGAAGAATTGTCGATTGCCAGCGTCAAATTCACCACATATGACTTGGGAGGTCATCAACAAGCTCGAAGATTGTGGCGAGACTATTTCCCTGAAGTTGATGCTATTGTCTACTTGGTCGACTCGGCTGATCATGACAGGTTTCCTGAAAGCAAGGCTGAATTGGATGTACGTGTTTTGATCGAAAAATCAGGGTATACCTGTTTTATTAATACTTGACACGTATCAATCTTTAAGGCATTATTGGCCATTGAAGAACTCGGACGTGTTCCCTTCTTGATTTTGGGAAACAAGATTGATATGGCTGGCGCTGTCTCTGAAGATGAATTGAGACAAGCATTGGGGCTCTTCCAAACCACCGGAAAGGGAAAAGTTGCATTGAACAACGTTCGACCTATCGAAGTGTTTATGTGCTCGGTCGTCATGCGACAAGGTTATGGTGAAGGTACGTCGTAGTTTGTTAGTGGTTTCGTGACGCGTCAAGCTGACTTGAAACTGGGTTTTGACTAGGTTTCCGTTGGCTCTCAAACTATATAAACTAGAATAGTGAATAGTTACTCTTTTTCTTTTGTTTGCAAACCAATACACAAACTAGCTTAAAAAACACGCGAGCACCATTTGACAAAACACGATACCTCCAATGGCAGACAATACAGGGCGATTCACAAACAAGGCACAGCATACCATGAATTGCAAGCGTTTCCAAGATTGGGTCTAATCTGGAGTGCATGTTAGGCCGAGCTCTACATTAAATTCCGTCCAAGATACCCAAGCTCGCTCGTCGATTTTCTCAGAAACCGTGTTGGACTCGAAACATTAATTATCGCAGATGTCGGTAGCGGTAAGTCGTAGAAGTGATGATTCAAGCGGGATGCATACATGTGGTCGCACTTCTCTACCTTTTTTTGTCCAACATTTCTCGTTTTTCTTACCTACACAATTTGTCATGCAATAGGCTCTGGCATCAGCATTGAAACATTGCTACAATCTGGCGCACGTCTCGTCTATGCCGTAGAACCAAATGCGTCGATGAGAGCGCAAGCTGAAGCTCTGATGCATCGTGAATTGGCCAACAGCCTGGTGATATCTGTTGATGGTACATCAGAGGCTACGACACTGCCAAACCAGAGTGTTGATGTCGTGTTCGCTGGTGTGAGTCAAAGAAATGGTGATGAACTGGGCACAATTCGGGAACCTGAACTTGACTCTTTTTGTTGTCCTTGTGTAGATGGCCGGCCATTGGTTTGATCCACCAAAATTCGTCAAGGTAGAGCCAGTTCCGGCGTTCGGCATTAATTGTCATCATATCTACAACACCAATCTACCTGCTTAGGAATGCAAACGAATCCTAAAACCTCACGGTCATATTGTAATGGTGTGGAATGTCCGACGCCTCCAATCTCCATTATCACACGCTTATGAGGACTGCATGAACAAGCATAAGCTCATTGTCGACAGAGCAGGTCGTGATGCCAAGGACCCAATCTACGCGTCAAAGTTCTACTTTGTCGACCCACCAACCAGCATAAGACCATCTGCAATCAAGTACGCTCATGATAACGGGTGGTTTGAGATAACAACGTTGCCTTTCACTCAAGAGCTGAGTTGGGATGCCCTTGTTGGACGAGTGGTGTCTAGCAGTTATGCTCCTGATTCGGAAACCCCAGAGTATGCAGAACTAGTGAGTGAGTTGAAGCTCATCTTTGATACGTATCAGAAAGATGGGATTGTTAGTATGGATTACGAATGTGTAGTTTTGGATGGTATGGTGGATGGTGGTTCTGCTGAAATATAGTTTATTCTGTTACAAACTTTCTCATGGGTTCATGTTTGACGCAAGAATGTCTCTTTTTCGCCCCTCTTCGTCAATGAAGGGAAGGTAATGACTACTTGCAATATTAAGTCAAATCATATTAGCCTAAGTCACGCTCAATGTGATTGCTGGTCAGTCAAGATTCGAACATGTAGCGTCGATCGCACATACGAATGCAACAGTTTCAATACGTATAACACCGAAATATACTCAAATCAATCATTATTATTTAGAAAGGTGTGCGTTTAAAGAAAACTAATCATCAAACTGTGCGAAGAAGTGGAGAAGCATGACAAACGACGTAACAACAACACAGGAAACTCTTTTTATCGTCTCTTGACACCACTACTTTCTCGAATGCGGCTGATTTGCACGTATAATGAAGCCAAGAAGCGTTCGATAGCTGCTCTGTCATCAGAAGAGATGGTCTCAAATTGTACATCCATAGAAAACGGAAGAGAATCCTGATTATTGTTGTTGCCTTGGTGCTCTTGAAGTATTCCTTCCAGGAGTAGAGCAGCATGAGAGTAAGCAGCTTCACAACTAGCTAAATCTCCCCCATTGAGTTCAGACACACCTGCAGTTTCAGCCTAAACGACAAGAGAAGAAATCCTAATGTAAGTCAACAACAAAAAAACTGTAACCCAATGACGTGCTATACCATGTCAAGAGCACGATCATGAATCATCTTCTCTACAGTTCGTGCTGGCGTCATATCAGGTTTACTCTCCATGACTTTACGAGCCAGTTCAGCTCGTTCAAGACACTCATTAAAACGATCTCGAATCCATGCTACAGCTGCTGATAAACTACCAAGATTCACCCCAGGCGCACCGCGAGACAGCACCGCCCTAGCTACAGTCATGCCTTGCTCATATAGACTCAATGCTCTAATATACAATGCCAATGCTTCTTCAGCCCATGCTCTCGACGAAGATCCCTTCATGTTACCATTCATACTGTTATTACTACCAGGCGAGTCCTTTATAACTGCATTCTTAGCAACTAGTAGTCGTTCATCAGCAAATTGATGAATGGCTTGGCCTCGCCTTGCACAGCGATTCAGCATGGCTAAATGATCTTGTAATGACGACGATTGTGCTGTTCTATGTCCATTATCTACAGGTGGATCTAGGAAACGATGCATGGATTCTGGCATTTGGGATTGAGGACGCCCTTTGAAGGTTTCTGCCCATGGCGTTTTATTACCATCAGACGGTGAAGTGTTCTCATTTGTTCTTCGTTTTGATGTAGGAGTGGATCCATTGGAATTCCTATGGTTGCTATTGTTGTGGTGGTAGCCATTGTTATTATTCACATTATTGCCCTGGTTGACTCCAAGTCCCACCATTCGCTCCACTTCATCAGCCAACCAATTCACTTCAACAGCACCCTTCTCTACCACTACATATTCATCCAGATTGGAATTCTTTAGTGCAGCAGAAGACTTATGATGACCGTTATGGCGATGATGCGTATGGTGAGTTACAAATCCACCAGTCGGTGCAGATGAGGCTGCAGTTCGTGGTGAATTGCTAGACGAAGACGGTTTCTTGACCAACATGACCATGCGATCTCTCTCATCAGCTTCGCCAGACCCACCCGACATTTCTATAGACCCTAAAGAAGTCACAGATGCTCCATTATCACGTCCATTGGTCTGCATATGAGCAAACGCATTTGGATCTACAGCATAGTTTGGGAATGGTGGATCTAGATTCGACATCATGAATTGTACATGAGGAGCACTAGAACGGCGTCTGGATTCTCGTTCAGTTGAGCCATTAGATCGTCTAAGCGGTTCATTCCTATTTAACATGGATTCGGCACTTGTCAGGGGCCTTGCATCCAAGGTCGGAGACTTTGCTACTGAAGCATAAGATCTTCGTGGAGACGATGGTGGTGTCAATGACTCTCGAGAGTTTTGCTGACTCGACTGGCTATGCGACTGCCGTTCATTACTATTACGACTACTACCACCATTATCCTGATGGTTGAGAACCTCCGCATACGACATTCCTTCTGGATTAGCAAAACTCTTTGATCGAGTACGGTTTGCGGTTGGTGATATAGCCTTCCCAGTAGACAAGAATCCTGAAGGAAGAGAAGATGGATGACCTTTACGAGGGGCTTCTGATGGAGCATCTCGAGAAGACGATATGGTTGATGATGACGCAAATGGTGGCTGCGCATTATGATATGAGGTCTCACTGTTCCCACTCGATTCCATTGACATGGATGTCGGTGTTGGAGTTAGGCTACGTGGCGTTGAGGCTTGAACGGCAGGGTGAAGGAAGAATTCCTCAAAGCTCATACGTTCTATCGGATTCCTCTTCAACAACTGACGTATCAAATCCTTCAAATCCTCACTGGGCTGTACAATATTAACAGCCATACCAATACTAGGTTGTGGACTAGATCTATGATATCCGGCTGGAGTTGGTGATGCTCGATTTGGTCGATTGGATGAAGGTGCGACATTACGAGTTGTGTGACCAGTGAGACTCGATACAGGGTCAAATCCTACTTGATGGCCGTTATCTTCACCTGGAAATCGAATAGTCCCATCGCCTCTATCAATCTTTTTGAGGAGGTCGATATGGTTTTGAGCTTTGAAGGGCGGTCGTCCGTATATCATTTCATATAATATAGCACCTAATGACCATAAATCTGCTTTGGCATCGTACTTGTCGCCTCTCAATACTTCTGGTGCCATGTACAACGGTGATCCACACAAGGTAGAGGCCATATCTTGTGACGCCAGACTCCTTGCAAAACCAAAGTCTGCTAGTTTCAATACTGGAAGAGCAGGGACCATGCTTCCATTTACTTCAATATGCCTGCTTCCAATCGGTGCGACTGACAATAGCAGATTCTGAGAAAAATTAGGGGTGAGGATTTTGAAGAGGCGCAGAAAGTTGCACAAACAACATTACTTGAGGCTTCAAATCTCTATGTATAAGACTATTCTGACGTAGAAAGATCATGGCCTTGACTGTAATTCATGAAAAAACAATTGAGCATTGTTTGTACAACCAAGCACAACCATAAATCACAAGCGTCGTTTTACCTAGATGATTGAGAAAGTGACGGACAACGAATTCAGCCAGCCCTCCTGATAGTCCAGCTAGATAATTGGAGCCAGGATTGACATTGATCTGACTATTTTGCACTCCTTTTCGTTTGATGAAGGAAGACAAGTCTCCCAGAGAGCAATACTCCATAATCAAATGTATATGCCGGTCCGTATTCTAACAGTAGATAGGATAATGATTAAGGCCTAGAATGCACGATGAAAGAACTAGCAAAACGGTTGTTTGCGTTACCACAACATCTAATAGCTGCACAATGTTCGGATGTCTTAGGCCCTGTAGAATCTTGATTTCGGACTGCAGATTCTCGGATAGTTTTCGATTGAGCTTGTCCCTGAGGACGGACTTGACAGCAAAGGGAGTTGGTTGTAAGTCGTTGTGTCCATTCTTGAGCACCTGAGTGCGTGACGCCAGATAGACGGTGGCGAAAGAGCCTCTTCCGATTTCACTGCCCACTACATAGTCCCCGACAATAGTAGGTGGATTGAGGTGGTCAGCATGAGGCTGCATATGATGAGACATGGGCGAGGCCATGATTGTCGACTGGTGATATTAGATGTTGGATTTGATAAGTGGAGTAGACCATGGATGATGACACTCTATATAGCCCGCTCAATGTCGAGTAACAAAGAGAGGCTTACGGTAGCTGTCCATGTCTAAGAAGAGTGACAAAAGTTCAACACCAAGACAACATTTCGACAGTTAAGATTGCGCCCAACAGAGCTCAAAACGAGGTGCAAGGACATGGAACCCGATCTAATCAATGATAGGTTTCGACCTACTTCTTAGTACGAGCTCATTCTCAAAGAAATCGCAAAGTCACAAGATTGGGAACGGTGAGTGATTTGAATTGTGATTGTCTGGAAAATGAACGGCTTGATACAACTTATTTCGCGATTTTAACACTTAATATGATAGTAAATTTACTAAATCATCATCTCACTCATTATTAAACATCGGTACACGGGGTTTCGGGGTTCATCAATGTCCATCAAGACAAGACTTGGATTTGCCAACAAAGAATCCAGCACAGCTCTAAGAACAGGCCTATTCTGCAATTTATCGTGTAGGCCATGGAAGGCCATTCCATATCTGAGACGAAAACTGCCAGATCTGCAGAGAAAAAGACGCTCACGACACCCACGTTACTGCGCCAGTTTTGACCCAAGATTCTCAATCACACGTAAACTCAAAAGTTTGCAACCTTCAAAATCGCGACATTTCATCCTACTCAAAATGAGCGTACGTGGCTCCTTAATCAACCCAATTTTGGATCAACTAGTGCTCGAATCCCAATCGCTTATTCAGATTTATCAGAACGCCATCAAGGCCACCAATGAAAAGTGTCCTGAAGCTGGTACCGAACGGGCCTTGATGCTCGCGGATGCTTGCTCATCTTCCAATACTATCTCAGGCCGAAACCTTCAGCAACAATGGGACACTATAAAGATGTTGTGCCGTTCCATGGAGAGAACTTTGCCAGGTCATTCGAAAGGAATTGTAGAAAGTGCCGATAACATGTCGCGTACCGTGAACTGTCTGGTCAATGGAATACAAGACGCCGATAGCTTCCAAGAGGCAAACTTTCCCGTCCAAATTTTGGGATTGTTGCATTCAGTCAAGGCTGCCATAAAACTGCATATGGCAAAGGAATCAGAACTCGGTAGCCTACGTCAATCCAAAGCTTCATCTGGATCAGCAATGCAACTCCATCAATTGTTTGGTGGTACCGAACCTTCGAGTGGAGGTAGTTCAGCTAGTGCTGTAAGTGCTACAGTCAGCTCCGTCGCTTCCACTGCGACTACTTCACCATTAGTTGAACCACCACCACCTCAACCCGTCAACCAACAAATCAACAATCAACGCTCTTCGACTACCCAACCACGAGTATCAACCCCTCAACGTTTGTCTGTAGTAACTCAACCAATCGAGCAACCACAGCCAGAGCAACCACAGCCAAGACCATCCTTATTTGCTACACAGCGTTCATCTACGACTGGAAGACGTCAATCTGTATCGGAAAGACCACAATCTCTAATATTCAAAGACGCCCAATTAACCACCCAACCAGAAGAGCCCGTAGGAGTAACTCCTCCTCGCCGTAGTGTCACTGATGCCATTGCCAAATTCGAGGCCGTTGCTACTAGCGAATCTGCAAATGAAAATCGGATCAGCCTGTTGGCTGACATTCCTGCAATTTCGCCAATCGCATGGACTCCTGCAACCACTGAAAACACTGGTGCTGGTGTCAGCAGAAGCAAATCTACCAGAAAAATACCTCCTCCTCCAATGGGAAACCCTCCACCTCCCCCATCTGATGATGACGAGGATAGTTCAGGAGGGTCGGATTTGTCACGACAAAAGACACTTGTCGCCAAAAAGAGAAACAGGCCAACCCCTCGCTCAGGGTCCAACCGTATCTCAGACCCCGAATCTAGCCACGGTAGTGGTGGGTCTATACGTAGCAAGCTATCCAACATCTCGCCAAACGAGTCAACCAGACCTGAATCACTAGTGGACGATACTAAAGCTGGAGTATTGCCAGTCTCGAAGGCCCGCGAATTATTTGAATCAAAATCGGGCGAGCAGCCTGCTCCTGCCCCATCAACAAACCTGCGACACGGCCGTGAACCTAGCAAAACTTCAAAAATCAATGTGGACGCTATTTCAGCTAAATACCAAGACAAGGTTGGCAGCACTACCGAACAAAATGACGAAGATGAAGAGTCAACAGATGATTTTGTACCCAAAAACAAGTCTCTTGCTTTAGCTAGTCCGGACCTCAAGACTACTTTGGCTTCCATCGACAACATTTTGGCAGCAGCTGGTGTCCCGCTGGATAAGAATGTTATAGCAAACACTCCACCAACCAGCAATGGCGCAATGGGCGTTGCTTCTCGATCAAGTGGTGCTGAGCCAACTCGTAGCTCCGGTAGCCCTAAACCCCTTCGCTCCTTCCTTACTCATGGCGGATCTGCCAAGAGCTTATTCCAACAGCTACCTGGAGTATTTGGTGTCACTGGGGCCACTTTTGGTGATAAAGCACCAGTCAGTTCAGGAAAAGACTCTGCTACGGCTGCTGGAAGGAGGTTGCTAGAAAAGGCTTCTTCCGTTGCATCACTTGAACGTGCTAACTCAATGAACTTGGCTCCTGGAACCGGTCATTCTCACTCTGTTTCGGTTGCATCTGGTGATATGTCTGCTGAACTGGATACACCAATGTTGATGCTGATGCCATTGAACGACATGTTTGAAATGTGCTACTTGAACTTGACCGAACCTGTTAAGATGGGCCGTGGATCTTCTGTTGGAAAGTCAGTCAAGACTTTCGATACACGAGTTGTCAGTAGAAATCATACTGAAATGTTCTCCAGAGACGGAAAGGTGTGTTTAGTGCTTCACGATCATGATGCATGAATTTGTACTTTTTTTAGCAGTATGACTGACACATCCGTTCTTATTGTCGATACTAGTTCTATCTGAAAGATGTTGGTAGCAATGGTGGAACATACTTGAATGGCGTTAGACTGTCTGGGCCCGGAGAACTCAGTAAAGATTTCGAGGTCAATTCTGGTGATTTGATCCAGCTGGGCAAAGACTACGTCGAGCTTGGTCCGAACGGAAGCGATGGTGAGTATACAAGAGAGCTCTCTATTTGTCCCAATACTGACATGATATCAATCAACTAGTACAACACAAGTGTGTCAAATTCCAAGTTGCTAGCGTCGCCGGCAAGAAAAGAAATCGACCCACATCTGTACTTCCTTCCAACCAAAGGTAAATACCCGAACAGACTTTGATTTACACTAGCTTGCCAAGAATTCTAATGATGCCTTGTTTTGTTTTGTAGCAGTATGAATGAAGATTTGAACATTCATAGTGCTCAAGTCGCACCTCCAATCGAGCCACCAAAAACCGAAAACCAAGGAGGACTATCAAGATCACTGACCTTAAAATATCAGCCCATTGAAATCGCTCATACACCAGCCATTGCGTCTTTGAAAGAACAATTCAGTGCTAATTTCAAGAGTGATCATTCTTTGAAAAGTGGTGATGGATCCGGCTCTAAAGAATCACTATCCATCCCTCTTACAAATGTTGGAAACCAAGCCAAGTTTGCATCCTATGGTTTATCTGGTGGCAGAGACAAGTTTGTAATGGCCGTTACGGAGACGTCATCCAAATTCACGAAGGTGCAAGTTTGTACTCCACATGTATATGGACAAGTGGTGGCTGAAGTAGATGTGCATGAGTGGGACAACAGATTGTAAGTACTTGACCGATTTTTGCGCCACTAGCTTCAATAGCCCAACTATTCTCAACCCTTTATAGACGGCACATGATTTGCACAGATAAACGCCCGCAATTCGCAACGACTAGTGGTCTCGAGCTAGTTACTGATCCAGCACACCCCCAACGATGCAGCATTACATTACTCGACTCGAAGATGGAGGTAGCTCAATTTGATTACGTGCGAGAGAAGCTCAAACTGCAAATTACAACTACGTTGGCTGGTGTCGGATCTCCTTCATTTACATTATCTGGGGGCCTCGGTGAAGCTAAATGTGTGGTAGTAATGAAGGCACATAACTCTCGAGAACAGAAACTTTTGGGTATGCGAAGCATGAAGATTTTGATTCCAGGTGTATACAGAAATACTTACCTCGTTCCCTTTGGTTTAGGTGAAGTGTTTGGTAAACAACCAATACGAAAGACCAAAAATGAGAACAGATGGGCAGTCTCCTTCGACATTGAGGATTCAGTGTTTAGTCAGATTTTGATGATGGGAATTGTGTATGTTGGTCTATCGGGTGGTTCGTCAAAGTCATAAATGTGTCTGCTCTATATTCTAATCTTATCGTTTCAGTGCTAAACATGAAAAATACAAGTTATTTCAAAGTAAATGTCTAGATCGTGTTTCGTGCGCGAACCGCGTTGTAGCTGGAGGTCAAAACAGGACCAAAAAGAGACAGTCACTGTTGTACCTGCTGTTCACACCACTAAAAAACAGTGATTCTCGGAACCCACCATGACCAAGAATGCAAAGACGTATCGTAGACGAAAGGATAGGTCCTTCAAAGGTCAAGAGACTACAGAGGGAGGAGTGAACCGAGGCAGCAGCAGCAATAAAACCTGGAAGTCTGAAAATGACGATGACGACCATGATCAACCAATTGTTAGTACCAAACGAGGCGAATCGCGACGTAACATCAAGGCTGGTAGACGTAAATCTGCACCCGCATCAACATCCTCCCGAAATCCATTCCCAACCAAAGCAAAACGACCAACATCAACCTCGTCACTGTCACCAGTAGATACTGACGACGACGATGATGATGATGATACAGATGATATTATCGACGACGAGAAGAGTACGCCAAGTGATTTACCTAGTGATTCTGGCCCATTACCACCAAAAGACCTTCCTGCAAAGAAGCGACCTCGACATCATAGTCCTCTTAATGGGTTATTTGGCGTCTCAGCACGAACGAAGCTACTCTTTGGTAAAGGACATGCCGAGATGAATCAGAGCTCAGAATCACTGGATACTGTATCTGAAAACCCGTTTGTTGCTAATGGTGGTGCCAATGTGCTTCCATCAGCACTCAAACCGCAGCTCTACAAGAACAAACCCAAGGCACCTGTTAAAACAGTGAGGTTTACAGGATCTACGATTCTGAGAACTTCAAGTAGTAGTAATGTGCCTAGTGATGCATCAAACAGTGACTTGCCTGACATAAAGGTTCTTACGTCTCGTTTCGACTGAACCTTTTTTTGCAACTTGACTCGTTTGATTATGTTACTAGAAAGAACATGATGATACACTTTCTTTGGACATGCTGGAAGCAGAGCATCAAGAAAATGTGCTGTGTGATTCAATTGTGCTTGGTGTTGGTGCTGACATGCCATTTCCTGGAAAAAGGTTTGTACTGTAGTTTCATTGTGAGCAATGTGCTGAAATGGAGTGCTGAGACTCGTATTAATCATTAGGACACTGGCAACCAATACGGCTGTAATGGCATTTGATGATTTCTTTGATGGAACGCTATAACGCGACTTATAATTCTATAACCGTAGCTCAATGCTCAGTGACCAGTTACTCATGTAAATATCGAAACTTCAATATAACTTAATGCAAAGTTCAGATTTCCATGTCGTCTTGTCGTCTTCCTCCCAACTTCGAAATTTGAGAACCACAGCTGAGGAGATGGTAAGCGAAACTTTCTGGTCAAAGCGACATCGCATTCAATTTTCTAGTACCAAATACTAACCATTCCGATTAGGGTCGCTACTATTGTGATTACTGCGACATCTTTTTAACACACGACTCGCCATCTGTGCGAAAAGCTCATAATACAGGATGGAAGCATCGAATGCAAGTACAAAGCTACTATCAAGGTTTGTGTAAAACTCGCTTGTACATGCTCTCTTTCACCTTGTCGCCATATGCTGGTGGTTGCTAACATCATCAACATCAACCATGCGAAATTAGGACTCGACCCAGCCAAGATACAGGCAATAGTAGAACGTCTAACTAAAGCATATGAAGGAAAACCAGGTGGTCCAGACTTTGGATTCAACCCTACATTCGCACCTGTACCTCAAAATCAGCAACAGCAACAATTTCCATTCCCACCAGGTTCATAGTCTTGGTTTCATCATACGTTTCTTCTTCAAATCTCTACTAACACGCTTTAAATTAGGTGGTCCACCGCAGCAAGGATATCAACAACCAGGATATCAACAACGTCCACCACCTGGGTTCCAACAGCCTGGATTCCAAGGCGGTCCTCCTCGACCACCGTTTGGCTTCAACCCTCAACAAGGCCCTCCACCTGGATTCAACATGGGGCCACCTCCTGGAATGGGCCAGCCTCCAATGATGCAAGGAAATGCTCCAATGCCCGCATGGATGACGAATAGACCACCTATGGGTGCTGGAGGTCCTCCTGTTCCACCTATGGGTGCTGGAGCTCCTCCACCGTGGATGATGAATAGACCACCAATGCCAATGGGCGGGCCGCCACCTCCAATGCCAGATGCTATTGATGGTAATGTTGCTTTGTTTGAAAAGTCTATGCTTTGGTTCAAAGTCAGATTGCTGACTGCTTTCGTTTTGTTCTCGCCAATATAGGTAAACGGCCAAGTGATGGAAACTACGATGACCCTTCGAAACGACCACGTTTCCAGTAATTCCTTTGTACTCTGTATAGTATAGCAAACCAATGAACATGGCATTGCACACAACAGTCTCTGTTCACATGTAGCATCGAATGAAGGAATAGGGCATATGGTCTTGAATGAAGGAGCTCATCGTAAAGGTTTCCGTAAATTTATCATTTTCGGAATACGGTATATATTTCCAAACCAAACAGCTCAAATTATGATAATACTTTCTAAGGATTACTTAAACTCAAACAATACATCTATAGTCGAAAAAAGCCTTACGACGATTGACCCTCCTTGGTCAACATTTGTTGTTCAACAAGATTTGCATAGTCTCCACCAAGTGCAAGCAGTTCAAAGTGAGTCCCTGTTTCAACGACCACACCGCCTCGGATTACATAGATCTTGTTTGCGTTTTGGATGGTACTCAATCTAAAGAAAGCGTATGTAAGATAAGATTTGAACAAGTAACTTTTGGTGAAATAATGGAAACTCACCTATGAGCTATGGTGATGGTTGTTCTTCCAGTTACAGCTACGGCACCAAGGTTTTAGTTATAAGCACTCGATAACTCTGACCAAGTATAAACATAGCATACCCTTGTCAAGTGCCTCCTGAACCAACTTTTCACTTTCACTATCCAGAGCACTAGGAAAGGAGCGGAACCGTCAGCAAAGTCTTCAGAAGGTATCAAATAACAGTAGGGTGGGGCTCTACAAACACGTACCTAGTAGCTTCATCTAGTAACAAGATCTTGGGGTTACGAATCAAAGCTCGTGCTATGGCAACCCTCTGTACGAAAATTGAAAGGTAAGATAATTTTGTCCCAAAAAGAGTTTAAGATTTTTGATTGGATACCTGCTTCTGTCCACCAGACAGTTGAGATCCTCTTTCGCCAACCATCGTGTCGTAGCCGTCTGGGAGTTTCATTACAAAATCATGGATGTTTGCAGTCTTGGCAGCTGCTTCAATTTCAGCTTGAGTAGCTTCCCAAGGTGCACCATAAGCGATATTATCTCTGATGGTGCCTGACGGCAAGACCGGTTCCTGTCCAACCATCGACATCTGTTCTCGCATGAATGATAGATTCCTGCGGAGGACAAAATGGGATTAGAGATAAGAAGCGGAATCAATTGTCGTAATTTGAAAGTGGAGAATAGAGAATGATCTTTTAGCAGTATACATACCAATCTCGAACATCAATTCCATCGACAGTAACCAAACCAGCATCGACATCGTACCACCTTTCTAATAGACCAACGATCGTCGACTTGCCGGAGCCGGAGGGCCCTACGAGTGCAATGACTTGGCCCTGTTTGGTTCAAGAAATGAGCAGTCTACCACGTAATTACGCAACGGTTCTCTGTTGCCTACCTTGTTTGCTGCAACATCCAGTCCTTTCAAAATGGGTGCATCGGGCCTTGAAGGATAGGTAAACTGAACGCCAGAGCCTGCAATAACTCCTTCAGTTGATGTGGGTTTCTTCCCAGTTCCATCAGTGTAGTCAATTCGGGAGCGACGATCCACCAAATCGAATATACTCAAAGCAGCGAGTTTCGCCTATCAAAGAGACATCGCGCTATGTTAGGTTTGGACGATCCCCGCGCTTTTGATTAGAGTCTCACCTTTGAAAAGCTATAAAGAAAAACGTTCAGTTTAAAAAGGAAGCAACGAAAGTAAATGTGAATAGCAGCGCTCACTCTGGAGTGTAGAGCATCAGCCGGGTTCCAGCCTGAGCGGTGAACGTCACAGCAAACAACACCTGAAGCATGCTTTGGGAGCTTTGAACACCCCACACTACTAGATGACCACCATACAAAAATCCTATGATGTACGCAACAAAACCCATCCCCTGCGAGAATCCATATCCAATAGCAGAAATCAAAGCTCCTCGGACGGCTAGTTTGTATGGCTCGTCAATCTCCTTCAAATAGCGCTTCAGCCAATAGTCTTCCTTATTAAGGGCAGCAACTGTTCGAATGTTTTCGATCGCTTCGGTGGCAATCTGTCCGGCTATTTGTATGGCCGAACTGAGTGTTAGTAATTGTTCAGGACTGTTCGTTATTAAGTGTTCAGGGTTGGTTGTTAACAATTGCTGAACAAAAACACAATGTTTCAATTACCTAATTGATACTTCAGCTTGGTTTTACTATCAAATCCATTAAGTACTCTGAATTGGAATTGGCCTGCTAGCGAGATTAATGGCACAATCGCAAGGATGACAAGGGTCAATTGCCAGCCATTTGCGAACGCGATTCCCATCCCAACACACACAGCCGATAATCCTGTTTGAGATGACGAATCAGGGAAAAGATACAAGCAGGAACGCCATTGCCGGACGTCTTACCTTGAATAATCAAGGATAGCGTCTGGCCAGTCAAACCTCTAACAAGAGACGCATCTTCACCCAGTCGGGTAGTGAGCACACCTGTACTGTTCTTGTCCTCATCGAAAAAGGCCATCTCTTGTCTCAGCATGGCTCTGAATGACATTTCTCTCAATCTTCGCGTCAATCTTTCTCCAGCCCAAGTTAGCATCCAGTTTTGAATCCATGACAGGAAAAACGTTACCAGACCTAACACAACCAAATCCACATCAATACTGTATAAAACATTCCCCAATTACTTTTGATACTGTAGCCCACCTAACACAGCAAACATCCCGGCAAAGAATCGCACTCCGTCCATCATTTCTGGTCCAGTCTTGCCGAATATGATGATAATATTTGTGAAGAACACAGAGACTTTTAAAAAATGATTTTAATGAGAGTCAGCCTCAGAATGGGGATAATCTATCATTCAACAACAGGAAACCAGAAACGCAACAGAAAAAAACCTACATAATGGCTGAGTAGCTCCAGATACAGCCGAAAACGTACATCCCAAAAGAATTTGCCACCATTCGGGAGCATTCAACTTGATTACACGGCTCCAATTAAGTTTTCGTTTCAGCATGGCCAATTGCTCTTGCTCGGTCTTAGCCTTTTCCATCTGCACATCCTTATCGCTTTGAGCTACAGATCCACGACGACCCAAAGCCTTCTTGTATTCCATTTCTATAGAGCCCCGACGAGAAGCTGTGGTCATCTTTGGATCAATGTCTACCAAAGCAGCATCACCAATCTTGCTTCGTGGGATGGAGTGATTGGTGGCTTCAGGTTTCGAGTCAGTAATGGTAGATTGCTCTGAGTCAGAGTCTTGAGTCTTTAAATCTTGTAATCTGACAAGTTCGGCGTATACGGAATCTTCCTTGGCCAACAATTCGTCGTGTGTACCGCTTTCAATAACGGTTCCACGGTCTAGAACTACGATTCTATCGGCGTTCTTGACTGTGGACAATCTGTGGGCAATGATGATTGTTGTTCTGTTGATGGATGCTAAAAACTCAAAGTGTCAGCAAAAATGGAAACAGTACAACATCCGGACAAGAAACAGAGACACATTACCCTTATCAAGAGCTTCTTGAACAACACTTTCACTTGCAGTGTCCAGAGCGCTACATAAAAGTCAAGGATCAGAAAAACAGCGAGAAACAGTGATTTTGTTGTTGCTCGATGACCCATACCTAGTCGCTTCATCCAAGATCAAAATTCTCGGATTTCTCATCAGAGCCCGAGCAATACCTGATAAAAATATCAAATGTTGAGTTGCAGCAGCTGGTTAAAGGAATACTGATAATCCTCAAACTCACAAATACGTTGCTTTTGTCCTCCAGACAACATACTACCAAACTCTCCTACTCCAGTGTGAATCTTTTGCGGTAGCTACGATGTGGAGAAGACCTGAGTGATCTTGTATCAATGACATTAACCATTTCAGGAAATACCAGTTGAATGAAGTCCCAACAATTGGCCGATCTACATGCTTCCTCGACGCGTCGATCCAACTCGGATTCAGGGATACCCTCCCACGAGTCTTCACTCAGACCCATGAGGAGATTACGGTAGATACTCATATCAAAAAGCAATGGTTCTTGATTGACAATACCAATATGTTGGCGCAGACTCTTAACATTCAAAGACGTCAAGTCCTTGCCGTCAAGAAGTACTTGACCAAGCTCTGGATCGTACCACCTAGACACTAATTTTACAATTGTCGATTTTCCACTTCCTGACATTCCAACCAGAGCAGTAGTCTTTCCAGCAGGTACAACCAGATCAAACTTGTTTAATATTTGAACATCAGGACGAGATGGGTACTTGAATGACACGTTCTTGAATTCTATGTCACCCTTCAATCCGGTGACCATTTCGCCCACGTTGCTGGTAGCATCAATGGGGCTCTTTCTGTCAATAGTACCGAATATAGTATGGCCAGCACCCTGTGCGGATGCGACAGCACCCAAAGGCGTTCCGAGTTGGGCCAAGGCGAACGCACCAATAAGTATACTGCGTAGAGTAAAGTTAGTAATCTCTACATGGAGACTATCGCGACGAATGACAGCGCTACTGCATCATACCTGAATTGAACGTTCAAGACTTCCGCGCCTGATGGTTGAGGAGGGACGTTTTAGTTCATTTGCGAAAAAACACGCCGATCAACGTGGTGTTTAACACAATCCATTCAATGTACCTGTTTGAATGCCAACAGAGATCAAGTAACCTCCATAGAAAAACGCCATACCAAAGAAGCAAAACATAATTAGTTGAGCACCACCGATTCCAAGTCCTAAAAAGTATGTGTGAGTCGACTATTTCTGCCTAACACCTTGACAAGCCCCCCACCATTCATGAAGCCTTGAAAGATCCCGTCCTTCATAGCCTTGTCCAGCTTGGCATTGTACCTTTTGATCTCGCGATCCTGGCCACCGAAAGTGACAATCGTTTTGATGCTGGACAACACTGTCTCAGCGATTGCGCCCGCTTTTCCGTAGTTGTTCTGAGCAGAGGTAACACGCCTTATAACTAATCGTCCAACTACAAATCCTGCAGTAGCCATGAGAGGAACGGCGGCGGTCAATACGAGCGCCATTCTCCAACCTTTAAGAGGTCAATATTTATTAATGGTAATACGTGATAGCAAAGAAGTCTCATCACTTGCCTCGAACGTAAGCGATAATGAAGGATGTAAAGAATGTGGCAAGAGACTGAATAATTATGCCCACTTTCTGAGAGATTCCTTCTTGGATCAGGTTCATGTCTGCGGACATCCTGTTGGTCTGAAAAATTTCAATTTGAAACATATAGAGGTTAGCTAGCCGACAAAAAGAATGGCAGGAATGCAAGTTGTCGCAGTATACCAGATCTCCAGTCTGCGAATCATCAAACCATCCGATATCCTGACGTAAAATGGCAGCAAAATACTCTTGTCGGATACGGCGCAGTTGTCGTTCAGATGACACCATGAACCCAGCCATGGATATGTAGGCAGTCACGGCCGTAACAAGGGCAAAGATGACAAAGATGACAAGCACATTATTGACTGTAGATAACAAATTGTCGCCGGATCCAGGAATGTTGGGGTTATAAAGCGCAAACGCACCAAGCGTGTTTGCTAAAAGGGGGGTTAAGTGATATAAACCACCGTCCAAGCACCAAGTAACAAAGAGAATCCAACATCATACTGAAGAAGACAGTCATCAGAGGCTGCATAATTCCTTGTAGCGCACTTGCAACACATGCGACAAATAAGACGACGATATCGGTAATCGTTGCGTATCGGTACAGCTTAAAATAACCGACTTTGGGTTGTGCGGGCTTCTTTACTTTGGTTGCAGCCGGTTCCTCATCTGAAATTGGGGGATTTGGAGTTTGATCAATCTGTTCACCATTGCGAAACACCCAAGCCTTACTTTCGATGGCCGTTGGAGGCATAAGCTGCTTGTCTTCTTTTACGTCCATGTCTTCATCCATCAAGCAGTTGGAAGCTTTAAAGTTGGGGCAAAAAGTGGTTTGGTCGGTTTTCCAGGTAGTAGAACGAAACAGCTTAAACCACTACTAGCATGCCTGTAGTACACATACCTGGACTTTTCAGCTTTCTTGAGTCGTTTGATGTTCTCTCCGCTCCAGATAAGTTGTTGTAACAGTAGATTCGTGACCTTTTCCTGCAATGTGCTGGCAACTTTTCCAAGTTGCTGTCGGTATTAAATTAAGCAGAAGCATTTACCCGTGGAGAGAAACACATACCAAAGCGATCAACGCGCGACGTAACGTCATCCTAAGAAGTAAAAAATCAAAGCCGATGTTCCTTCCAAGTGCCGCGTCACAACCAAGACACAGTACTGACCTAGATGTATATATATTGCAAAGAAACTACATTATCTCACTTTCACGTAAATTTCGATCCACAAGTCGAGCAGTACACGGCATTCGCATCAACTGCAGAGCTGCAAGCATGGCACGTCTTCAGTGGTGTTGCCGATTCTGCTTCGTGTGGACTGTATGGTGGAGGTACTGCCATTGAGGCACTTGGACCGCTTGGAGCACCGTATGGATTGATGATTTGATTTGCTGGAATCGTCATTGGCGTATATACAGTAACAGGTTGACCAATATCCAGCATGTTTGAGATTTGTTGCATTATTCCTGGTGGTTTCTGTTCAAGAGAGTTTCAGTATGCTGATCTGGTCAATTTCTGTAGAGAAGAACTTCCAGTGTACTGACCTGAGTTTGGTGCATTGGAGGATAGGGAGGTACAGTGTTTGTAGCATGGTTGCAATTTGAGCAGTGAAATATCACGTTTCCCTTTGATAATGTGATGGGTGTCTAGGAGTCCAGAATTAAAAATTTCAGCTCTTGATAGACTAACATCTCACAAGATCCAGCTTTCGTCTGTATCTCGAGTGTTAGACTCACCGGTATCCAAAACACGTTCAAATGCTCCTAATAAAACAAGTGACTGTTAAACCATGGAAGCTGTACACCCGATCAAAGACGTAAAATAACATTCGGATCAAAAGAAAATACTTGTTAAAGTAAATGGAGATTTCAAAGAGGGTTGGTAAAAACACTAGCTTGAAAAGCACTCACCTCGAGTCGTTTCGCCTGGACAGTATTCTTTTGCCCACAGTTCATACACGGCCAGGTCTGATTGTCAATCTAGCGTTGAAGCGAAATTAGAAATGTGAATTGCTGTGATGCGATGTGGCGTCCAAGCTCATATGTCTGCTGTCGGCCGATTTTCACCGTAAAACGGGAATAAGAAGCGAATAGGAGAGCCTTAATGGCTAGTTGTACTCACATTTTTCAAGGTCTGAGAAGATCCAACTTATGGGAATATATGTTGTCAGCTTCAACACTTGGAAAACATACGGGAAGCCAAGCTTTTCAGTTCTGGCGAAAAGAACGACCATTCGAAGACAACTTACGCATTAGAAAGAAGAAGACCATTGTATTATATCGTACTCTCGCAATGCCGCTCTGCAGCTGTTGAGTGTAGTCGTCAAATTCAGGTTTGCAGATGAAAGAGTTGAAATCACGCACTCAGCCTCACGGACTCAGCGCTGAAACAGGAAAGGCAGAACCTGGGCAGATCGTGCAAAGTGGATGTGTTCTTTTATTTGCTTGCAATATTTTACTACTATTTCAACCCATTGCTGCCAATTGAGTGGCGGTAACGCCCAACCCAAGTGCACTCAAAAACATATCCACACTAGCTTCATGTTCCCCTCCAGCCGCTTCTCTCACTTTATCACGAACTTCTGTTACTAGTTGTCGTTGATGGTCTGTTGTGGCGGCAGCTACAGCTAACGAAGCTAGAAACTGCCACACACAATCCTCATCTTCAGCTTGCTCTGTTGCCTTGTCAGTCGATGATGGCGGGAAGAGGGATGCAAATCGAGATACAAGTGATCCAAAGGTATAATTGTACAATTCAGTCCTGCAAGAAACCAGAGTTCAGGGTTGCAACAGCCCAAAGACGATGGTGTTTTACAGAAATAGTAAGCAACAACGCTTACCAGTTGGCTGTATCAGCTTCTGACGCCTGTTCTTGTTTGAGCATTTCAGCTCGACTGAGGAACATGGTCAAAAAGGCCAATCCTACTCTTGACCCAACAATCCAAGTTACGGTATGTCGTTCCAACATGGACCGTACCAAGGCATTCAGAACCGGTAAAGATATTTGCAATACAAAGTTCATTATAGCTGGAATACTCTCATTCATAAACACCGTGACCTAACGGATTGACACGGAGGATTCAGCTTCTTTTTGCCATCAACGAATCTCTGTAATGCAATGTTCTAAACACCAGAGAGTGGAAGATCAAACAACGAATACTCACCGCATCACTGGCAGTTCCCAATGGAACGGAAAACACATCCACACTCTCAGCTCGGACCAACAAGGTACCAACCAGAGTTAGAATCTGATCGGGTGACAAGAATCTCATGACTCTTGGCAGAATTCGTTTGCCCTTAGTGACTGATAGATATGATACAAATGGATGAGGCAAGCTGCGAGGCAGAAAAAAAGGATCAAAAAGTGAAGGGTAAACAATATCCAAAAAAAATGTGCATACCTGACATCGACAGGTTCCGAACATCCCAATACCAGCCACAATTCTTCTACAGCATCTTTAAAATCCTCTTCCCATACAGGATTGTCTTGATCCTCTCGTTGCAATTGCTCCAGTTTGAGTACTACAGTATATATACGTTCTACCTCGAGTAACACTCGACGACGCGACAGAGTTGCGGACCTGTTTGGTTCAGAAGACTAAAGAATTGCGTTAGTAGATTTTCACCTAAGCAACATTATCACTCACTTTATGTAAATTGACCAAGGAACCTTGAACTTGTAACGCTTGTCTTGGTTGTCGAACTGATGTTACAGAGATCTTTCCCAAGGCTCCTTCACGCTCAACTAGAGACGGAGAGATGTTTGAGTGATCGAGCTAACCCCAAAAGAAAAACTTGTGTAAAGCTAAGCTCACAAGTCGTTGCTTTAGACTTTTGTTTTCTGCTTTCAATCAGCCTCTTCATTTGCGACTGCATTTCCTGAGACAAAACACCCGTTCCAGCACTTGATTGTTTCATCAACAAGGCTTGTTGCCAAGCTGTAACGTCTTTGGGACTTTGTTCGACATCTCGCATAGCTTGCTTTTCAGACAACAAGTCTCGGAATACTTGATAGTAGAAATCGTCCTCATATGGACTTTCAGTCACGAGTTGTGATATCTGTATCTTGGCAATCGTTTCCTTCTCATACTGAGTCATCAGATTGTTGTATCTCTCCTATAGGACCACAAAAAGTACGTCATGTTATGAAATAATGATCGAAAGGGGATTCGAGTGCTCATCAAAACACTCACCTCTCGTGTTCTTTCATCCCTATAAGGACGATACTGAGGTCGCTGCTGGAAACCATTTGGACCGTGCTGCTGTTGTGGGCGTTGTTGTAATTGAGGGGGACCCCCACCTCTCATGTTATTAAAATGCTGTGGTGGTGGGCGGAAGAATGCATCCAGCATTCCTGGCGGAAGTCGGTTCAAAATAGCACGAGCTCTTCTAGCTACATCGTCTTCAGCGGGTGTAGGATCTATATATCGTTGTGAAGCGAGAAGAATATCAAGTTCTCGAGGATTTGGGGGTAGATTTGATGAAGCCAAGGCTCGTAAAACACCTTCAACTTCTAGAACTGGTGGTACGGGAGGCCTCATATTCGGACCAGGTATGAATGGAGGTTGACCGTTAGGTGGAAATGGCATTGGTCTTCCATCTGGACCTATATGCATTGGCATCGGTCGTAGATCTGGTCCTACATTCATCATAGGCCTTCCATCTCCAATACTCATTGGTATTGGTCGCCCATCGGGCCCTATTATTGGTCGTCCATCCGGCGCCGTCATAAACCTTTGAGGCATCATGCCAGGTGCCATTCCAGGCATCATTGGCATACCTTGAATCGGCATACCACGAGGTATATTCATATTTGGCCGACCGCCACCAGCAGCTGACCTCATTCTTGCTTCAATCTCTTCTACCGTCATCACCTGCTGTTGCTGTGATTGTTGTTGTGATGGTGGTCTCATACTCTGTGATGGCACCTGACCATTTCGTAACGCTGCCTCAACTTGTTCAATGGACATTGGCCGACGTGGATCTTGCATCATAGCTCCCATCGGAGGCATACTGTTATTACTACTGTTCATGTGCGGCGGTCTATATGAAGTAATGTTCTGAGACATCATTTGCGCTTCTATTTCAGCTAGCGACAGCGACGGTCGAGCAGGAGCAGGTCGTCCTTGCTGCTGTTGTTGCATACGTGATTCCAGTTCTTCCATCGACATGAATTTATTAGCTGCTGGTTGACTAGAAGGCTGCTGAGGTGGCTGTTGAGGGGCATTATGTGATGTCTGTTGTATCGGCATAAACGGTCGCACTATCAGAAAATCAGGCATCAGATTCAAACGAATCAAATGATACGAATCTAAGCGATACATACCAGAAGGTACAGGTTGATCTTTGCTCTCCACGGGAGCCTATTCAGGAATGGGTCTTGTCAACAACTGTGGTCAATTACACTGGTTCGGCCTCAACGTACGTCTGATGGAGCTGGCCTCCTCGGCGACTCATTACTAGTTCTACCAGGTGTCGGTCTTGCCAGATCTACAATGACAGAACGCGGAAAAGAATCCAAACATAGTCACTACACAGAACAGCCAACTTACTTACCTGCACTGGTCTCATTAAAGAAGGAATTCCCAGCAGTAAAATCGAAATCTTTGCCTAGCAAAAAATAATATAAATATCAACATTAATTCGAAAGATACAGGGTCCATTCGTATGCCAAATTCCAACAAGGTTTAATACCAATTTCAGTGTCTCCAAATGTCTCTGCATCCATAGATGCGTCCACATCATCGCCGAGTTCACCATCCAAGTCAGGTTGCTCATCACCAAACTTGAGCTTTTCTTCCATAAGTTCATCTATACGTGAATAGCCTTCCTCTTCAATACCAGCATTGCTTGCATGTCCGTCATTCTTTGGCAAGGTGGTGTCAAATCCGAAAAAGCTCATGACCGCTATGTAGTTATTTGTGTCCTCTGTCTAACTACCAGACTTCTTTGAAACAGCTCTCGTCGCTGCAGCTTGCAGTAACTTGCTTGGGCTTTTTACGGTTTTGGAATTAAATTACCAGATAGCGAAGGAGCGCAAACAAGATGGAGTGAAGGACGCGATCAAGAATATGACATGTGACCTTTGCTACTTCATACAGGCAACAGCCGGGATTTATTTTCTAGATTATTTTCTACGTGATTATTTACATTTTATTCGAATTCGACTTCTTTCTAGTGAGCAAACTTCTCAGCTCTGTCTGCTTTTTACCAGCAGATGATGTACTCCTCGTATTGGTATTGAGAACGCCCAAAGTGACTTTGAGGACCCGACTTGTCCAATCATTTATAATACCAACTTCGATGCCATCAGCTGCAGCCATCGATATCACTTCTTTTACTCGAATGATCTGACAAGCGTCTATAGCAGACTCAACCATAAGCTGGTACGTTTTCTGATTACGGATTGGTAGTCGTGATGCCGCATCAGCCGTTGACTTTGCAGCCGTTTGTTCAAATACTCGAGACACATCGTTAAACGTGCCGTCACAGGCATAGCTTTCCATAAGAGCGTTGGAGACATTTATATCAGCAGGCACTAGATAGGTAATGAAAAGAATGGTCAGTAAGTCATGTAGTCTGAAAGAAAGTGAGACACACTCACCACCAAACGACCACCGATGCTCTTGTTCAATAAGCTCAGCTACTTTTGCTCGATTTTTCTCAATCAGCTGCAAGCAGACTTGTGATAAACTTTTGCCACCAATGCTGCCTCCCATCGCCATCAGTTGCTGCATAAATGTCAGCCCAGCATCGAGACCCTTGGTTTCAATGACGAGAGGCAAGACCAAATCTACATGTCTGCCATCCGGAGGGATACCCGCAACCTTCATCTTCTCAATCCAGCCCAGCCGTTCATCTAGTGTTGATTGTTGCTGCATCAACATCAAGAAGGTGTCAGCATCTGGTGAAAGGCCACATGCCGAAGCAACCTTCAGAATATTATCAACACCATTCTGATTCCCCTTATTTATATACATTTGGATGATCAGGTTGAAAGTCTCCATCACCAAAGCCTTGGCTTCAATCATTGCATCCATGATCTCTAGGACTCGAGCCTCGTCACCTGCTGCAGTCAGCATTCTGAGCAAGGCTATATATAATGTAGCGGGGAGACGAGTGTCCTTAAGCTCGTCGACGAGGGCACTGGCCTTCTCTATATTGTGGGCTTCACATGTTATTCTCAAATCGGCCGTTTTGATAATATTGTTTCTCGCAGCGTCAGACTGTTCTGCTAATTTGATGAATAACGGGTGTACGTCGGGTAGCGGTATGGGACTATTTATAATGGTTTCGCTGATAAGATCCAGCATTTCCTTCTTCTGTTGGCGACTGCATTCTAGTATTACAGCTGCATGACTGCACAGCACCCGAGAAAAGTATTGAACCTGGCCACCTTCATGACTAAAGGTGTCGTACGCGAATATAAAGTTAGACTTGGGTCAGATCAAAACGTGAATGAATGCATAGACCTAACCTACAGTAGCTTTAGAGTATCAAATACTAAATACTGGAAGGCCAATTGGACAAGATCAGGCCCCAAATCTCCTTCAAACAGTTGGGCAACTTGATCGAAAACCTGTAAAATTTGATTGTACGCGCCTTCAGCTTGATAAGCTTTCATCAATAATAAGGTGACTTCAGCACTTCTGAATACTTTGACGTCGATTAGATCTTTCCATTTACTACGAGCTACGTCGAGACTCCCTTCTGCAATCAGCTTCTTTATATGATCTGACTCCCGTTTGACGAGATGCGGTGGCATAATTCCTCTCCTCCGAGAACCTGCGGTGCTATCAATACTAGTACTAGATCCTGGAATGCGGACAAGATCTATGTGCTTGAAGATTTCGGTTTGAATACCATACTCAGCAAACTTCCTAGTGATCATGTCAGCGAATTGGCGTTTCGTCTTCTCGGGCAGACTAGTCAGCATCCAAGTAGGGACTTTAGAATCCAAGTAACCTAAACGTTTCATGTCGTCCAGCATCCAAGGAAGATACGATAGTAGATCTCCAGTCCCTCCTCTACACAACGCCATAACGATGGGCTGATAATCTGTGCGGCTCATGTGATCCGTCAACACGTCACGGTGCTTTCTATAAGCTGAGACAACAGAGAGGGCAGCAGCAAAGTTATTTTCCGTTGGAATTGAGGTGAGCAGTAGGATCTTATCGGTTACTTCAATGGCTTGGGAGGACATGATCCTTTCAAGAGCTGCTCGGGTTACGGCGGGGGCGGCTGATTGGAAGATTTCGATGACTCTATCGGCCTGATGCTGGGTGGCTAGCAACACGGCCGAGGCAACCAAACACGGGTGTTCGGAATACTTGGCGATATCGCCTAATTTCGTTAATGCATCCACTACGTAGTTGACATTTCCTCGGAGAGCTGCGACAAGCATAAAATCCATAACTATCTTGGGGCGTCCTACTATAATTATGTCGAGATCTCGGTGGATTGATGCGAGAGATTCATCACATGCTTCTGCCTCATACATTAATTCCAACGAGAGCTGCTCTCCAACAACATGTCGCACAGCTGCATGTTTATACTCTTTAGTAACATTGTTAAATATGTCTCGAGCAGCCAAAGCTCTACCACCCAAACATAATCGTTCGATCATTAATTGATACATGACATTGATGGTCCCTATCTCGTACTTTCCATCACGTTTGGCCTCCTTCATGATTTTCATCAATTCCTCAACTTCTCCGTGGGCAGCGAAAGCTTTGATTTGTTCCAGTATGCAGATATGTACAGCTATTTTCGGATTTTTCGAGACTTTTGCTCGTTGCATCCACAAGTCTGCATTGTAAGAATCACGAGCACTTGCATAAGCTCCTACTATCGTGCCGTATGCTCTTTCAGGTGGATTTTCTAGTTGTTTGAATACGGTACTGGCTCCTTCACCATCCGCAAATCGTCCGTACATATCTATAATCGACAAGTACACCTTTGGGTCGATTGTGAGGTCTCGTTCAAGAGCCAATACCAGGTACTCAACGATTGTTTCCCTATAATCAATCTTTTGTAGCTCTTCTAATTCCTTTCTTGAATTGGGCATATGTATTGCATAATCACGAACGGCATCATATACATCGGGGTTCGTGGTCAAAGATGAGAGTGCAGCTTCGTGCCTTACAGCAATTTGCAAAGCCTGAATTCTCTGGTGAGTCTTTCCTTGACGTAAAATGTACATCCCAAGACAGCGTATGAGGAGGATATTGCCCATAGTCTTGACACCAATAGCTCGGGCCAGCTGGTCAAAAAGATTGTAATGTTGCTTAACCTTGGTTGGGTCGACAGGCAGGTCGAACCAGTGTTGCAGAAGATCCCTGAGATTGTATTTATTGGATCTCACGGCCGCAGCGAGGTCTTCCAGCCTTTGGAAGCGTAACTGCCTAGCGGAAGCCTTTTTGGAAGAGATCTTGGATTGTGGATGGTTTGAGAGCGGCCTCGAAGGCTTTTCATCTCCCACCTTAGATTGTGGATCGTTTGTGAGCGGCCTCGAAGACAGTTCATCTGTCACAGAACAGAAGCTGGGTTTAGTAGTGTGTATGGGTTTAATATGAATAAAATCATCGAATTTTTTTTTTGCAACGACCAATGTGACAACAAACCTCGAATCTTGGGAGTTGGAACTAGTGTAGAAATGTAGAAGGAATTTGGTACACTATGAAATCACAAACAGGCGTGTAGCAGTGAGGAAATACCTGGTCGTGGTGTTGATGAGAGTTCTTGAGCAGCAGGAGCACTTATAGCACCATTTTGAGCGAATCTCAATGGAGTAGCAACTAGCTGTATTGGAATATTGACAGCTCTTAGACGTAGCGAACGAGTTGCAGTCTCTACAACTATGCCCCTCATCCTGTTTCTATGTAATTTAGCCCAACGCAAGCTTCACACTTACTGTAGCTTCAAGTTTGCAGACTATCGTATTCCTGGTCTGAATAATCAGAGGATGCTAAACACGCGTTCTGTCGCGTGGAAACGATATGGTGGTTGTTGTTTCAGTTGCTCTCGATTTTCGATTGAATGTTAATACTTCACAAGCCGAGTATATAACTAGGAAGCTCAGCGCATCTCAACGCAGCAGGTACTTCAAATCAGTATTGTTCTGCTTCTTGCTCTTTCTATTCTGTATATGCTAACTGCCATCCTGATTTAGAGGCAAACATGTTGGCCAGAGATCCTGATGAAGAGCAACGGGAGGTTCCTCATTTGATTCAGCCTTATAAGGATAATGACAACACAAGCACTGAATCGAGCAGCAACGATAATTGGCAGCAAGCTCGCAAACAGGCAACTCAATCTCTCATCAACACCATAAAACAACGAAACCTGCGTGTCCTGGAAGAAGAACTATATGCGGGTCAGGGAGAAGCGGATTCTTTTGATGCTGATGATGAAGAGGAAGAAGAAGATGATGACGGAGGATTTGGATTCGACGACGAGGAAGACCTTGATCATGATCTCCAAGATATAGATAATAGCACGACCAAGAACATCGATAAAGCCAACGCCACACCACCCCTTCAACAAAAACGTATGCAATTCCAATTCAAAGACGCAGGTGCTGTATTGAGAGCTGCTGCTGCAGCAAACAGTCAAAAGCCAGCTGTCGGTGGTATGGTCTCATCACAGGTCGATAGTATGCCAACTAGTGAATCGGATGTAATCATCGATCATGCCACAGAGATCAAGGTAGTCGAGGCTGGTAGGGCTATTGAAAAAGAGGTGCAAGTCGAATCTCGAAATGTCGACGACTCGTTACCAGCTACCAAAGATTTGGACTCCATAGATAATGATACGCCCATGGTAACCAGCGGTATGCCAGACGAAACAGACCGTACTCTCAAACAACTCGAACACGCTACTGAACAGCATGAAGATACAACCAAACAACTACAACAAACGACCGCCGACAAATCAGCAGGAGAAGAAGATGAACAAACTGCCATCAAAGAAGTATTGGCTCAAGCCATGTTGGAAGCAGTGACAAAAGCTACTGCCGAACTTGAAGCAGAGAAGAACAGTCTACCTTCGCAATCTATGATGGATGCAGAAGACGAGTCGCTCGAGACTGTCGAGGCTGAAGACAAGATCATACCAGGCAATAGGAACATCATGGAGGAAATCCTCTATTCTGCAATTGAACCAGGAGTGAATCAAAAAGTGCTATTGGTTATCAACTTTGTATTTGTATGTCTCTTCATGTCTTTGATTGCTATGGCGGTCTTGAGTGGTGGCAATATTCATTGCATCGCTTTGATTGTCATCGCTGTGGCGCTTTTCGGAACTCTACAATGGTATGTCAATATATGCTCGCCATTCATTTTATTGATACGCAAATATATCGTTTATTTTTTGTCTGGGGACTAAAATCTAACGCAAATCTGTGTCAGGTTTATATATGAAGTATCTCAAATCAAAAAGGAGGAAGCTGGTCAAGGGGCAAACTCTGAGCACGCGAAATCAGAATAGTAGATTGAATTGAATTGAGACATAGTAGCATAGTAACAGCACGTTTGTAAGATACCCAAATTCTGAAATCTAGCCACATCTATGTAGTCATTAAGAGCCAAAATAGTAAAAATGTACGATGCTTTTGTTCTCCGGCGCACTGCGCGGCACCGCAGCGTTCCTAAAGGAAACTTCACCTTGACGACTAAGAATGGGGGTTGGAATGAAACAAGATTCATCGGGGGCCTCATCATCAATGCAATCCTTGACCGCCAGCCTTGTTGGACTTCCTCTATTCGGTCAGTTCCAGCGCAAACGTTCACCAAAAGACTCTGTTAGATCTCGTGAATCTTCCAATTCAAGCAACAGGTCTCAACGATCACCAAGGAATCAATTCGATTATAAACGACCATCGCCACCAAATACGAGATCTACCTCCTCGGCCTCTTCAAAAGCACCACAAGACAAGAGATCTACAGCCATCGATATGCCAACATCACACCGATACTCATCCGTCGCAACAAATGACCCATCCATTCACTCTTCACGGCACATGGACGCTGGAATGGCTCATAAATTGGCCAAATCTGTCTCCTCTGGCGCCCTAGATATCCAATCGTATGCTGTCGGCGCTCACCATGGCGGCGGAATGGTTAAAGCTGTGAGTCGGGAAAAGTTGCCAATGTATGCTGGTGGTATTCAAGCTATGGATATGGCTCCTGCTGCATGGACTGTAGCCAGCAAGATTCAAGATGATGATGCGAGAATGGTGCACCTGCCAATGATAAATACCAGAATACCAAAGGTCGTTGAGAAAATGCTTCCATCGCCGTCACCGAGACGCGACAAGAGGCTGGAAGTTGATCTGATACGTAAGTCGTGGAATCCCCCATTCTTCATTTCGTTAGTTATTTGGGACAGTCTTTTGCGTATCATCGTTCGCATACATATGCTCTCAAACACTAACCATAACGTTTAATCACCAACAGAATACGCTGAAGTCTATGTAGAGTCACTCTTTGCCTGCGACACTACTGGCACTCAACCACAACAATCCGCACCACCATCATATCCCCCACTCGCTTCATTCTTGCAATCCGTCATGCAAAGGACAAGGGCGTCATTAACAACTCTAGTAACATCGCTCTTCTACCTCCGACGCTTAAAAGAACTTCACCCTGTGTGCAGAGGTTCTCATGGATCAGCTCATCGACTAGCACTGACCGCGCTAGTTGTCGCTAGCAAATACCTCCACGACGACACGTACGACAACAAGGCTTGGGCTCAAGTCTCTCAAGGGCTCTTCAAGACAGAAGAAGTAAACCAAATGGAGTCTGAATTATTGCACTTCTTGCAATACAAGCTCTATGTCGCAAACTCGGAATGGGAGGCTTTTAGCGCTGAAATCGGTTATGGAATGGAAACCAGTATAAGGTCGCTTAGATCTGATTACAAGACTAGTAGTCCAGGCACCAAGAGGCGGTTCTCTGAAGAATTGTCGATATATGATAGAGAACAGTTTGAAATGTATGAAGAGAGAAAGAGGAAGGAGGCTGCGATGAAGGCTGCAGCTGAAAGCCAGAAAGCTAGTGTTGCCCTTGCTGCTGAAAGATCTGAAATGAGACGGACGGCTTATGGAACTGCTGCATCACACCCACAACAAATACCTCAACAACATCACGACCGAGGAGGCTTCCAGCTTAGAAACTAGATATTAGAATGATCTCATAGTAACCTCATTTGTCAGTCAACTTTTAAATCCATTCTTTATTTAAATGATTCAGCTTGTTTTGATTAATAACCTCACTGATTTTAATAAACTCCCTAATGCCCTCAAGGATTTTTGTCCAAGCACATTGCGTCGAGCAGGCTGAGCTGACGACTATTATGCAAATTCTTCGACTATCTAATTTAAATTGGCTCGTCGTCGATTTCGAGCGCGTGGATCCAAGTCTTCTCAACCCAAACCGCATCCCCAAAGACCACACAACTTTGACTACTCATCACGCTTTTGTGACTTACTACTATTGAAAATCATTTTCAAAAATGAGGAAAAGAGCAGCAACCGTCGACAGCCCGACTTCAGCAGCCCCAAAACTATTGCCTGAAATCAATGAAGACACAACATTGGCTCGTCGATCAAATTCAGCCTTGGACCTTCTCGCATCTAATATATCCACGGCACCAATAGCAATACCAGAACCACGTTTACGACTAGAAATCACGTCCTTGTCAAGAGCGCCATCACTTAAAAAGGGCAAACCCAGTTTTGTTGAATCACTTCCTGCCGCTAAACCCATCGAGTTTTTGGATGAGAGACGTGGGGAGAGAGGGCGAATTATGACTTTGGAGCTCGCCAATCAGGTATGATATTTTGTAGATGTGACAGTGTCTGTTTACAAGAAATAACTCTGTTTGCGTCATTTGGATTCATGTAGTTGAGGCCGCATCTTCCGTCGCTGCAAAGGGAGAGCTATAAGTGGGAACTAGTAAGCCATGCTGAAGCTTCATTTAAACATTGTTTGAGCGTGAAGTGACAAGAAACACGTAGGTTTATTCACTAATGGAAGACGGTTCAAGTCTATCAACACTATTTCGATGCATGGCAGAAAAGAAGAATTTTGTCATTGCGATATCTGACTCGCAAAATTCAATATTTGGAGCCTTTGCATCAGATCCATTCGCACCACAAAAGGGATCATTTGGCAACGGAACGTGCTTTTTATGGAAGGCCAAGAACCACGCGACAAGTGTATATATGGCTACGGGAGACAATGAAATGTATCAACTAAGCACAGACAATTTCATTGCGATGGGGTTGGGAACCGACTATGGATTCCATCTAGACGCGGAACTGGATGAAGGTGTATCACATGAGTGTTCAACATATGGAAATGAGGTGCTGGCGGGCTCGTCAAGGTATACATGAACGCGAAAACTTGGATATTACGTGATTTGGGATTTTGGTGACATGCCTTTTGGTTTAGGTTTCAAGTGCTGAATGTAGAGGTTTGGTTTCCACAATGGTTTTAGGAAATTAGCTTATATGCATTCATATATGATATTAATACACGACAATAATAATATTCCACACCGCGTCACTCTGATATACGAGTTCCTCTGCTCGCCAAGACCTGATCGATTTTAAAACACGTTCAGCGGCAGTTCGAGTTCTAAGCCGTACATATCAATTGCATCACCGGGAACTCTATACCCAAACAACGTTCAAACATCCGGTTTACTCACATTCGCCAAGAACTGTAGTAAAACTTGCGATCAAAACATCTTGGCGTCCTATATCAACTTTGTTGGAAGCTCTTCAAACAATCACACGATTTAAACTCAGCAGCAATAACAACAAACTCAAAACACACTAAAATTAAACCATGACTCAACCAACATTCGGTATATTATACGTAGTAGATGCTCTCGTATCGGTAGTTGAAATGGTGGAAAGTCTTGTAATCCAAGTCGTTGCTGGTCACGACGATGATTTACTCTATTCTACAGCGAAGATGGTACGTCCACGATCAACTATAACAATAATTTACCTTCAGATTCAAGTTTTGGGCCTCCAAATAGCGAGACCGATTTACTAAAGAAATTAACAACTTCACACTAGATATCGCCAACCGTGGACGAAGAGTCTCCATCTTCCCCAACAAGTGACGACGAGCAGCCAAAGGCCCATCACCACCGCAGATATCACCCACACCTCAAACTCGATATTGGAGCCGCAGTCAAGGCCGCCTCTGCCGAGCTTGACTATGAGCAGCAGCACGAAGATATCGAATTCCATCACGTCGTACGCCAAAGGTGGCCTACCAATATGACTCCCACATCAGCGGATGAGTTGCACTCTCCAATGATTGCTGCTATGGCATAAAGTTTGAGTTTTGCTCGTGCTTGCTTGCTCCTTTTTTATATGTATAGAGTTGCGCATTCCAATATAGAATATATCATATCAACAAAAGTATTGCCTTGTGTCTGTGTGTTCGGCAAAAATGCATCGTGTTGCTTCGAGAAACATAGTACTTTCTCCATGGAGAAAGTACTGTGTTGCCGTTATAAAAGACAGTGGTCAATCAATAGAAACGACACAAAACTCGACAGAATTCAATCAATCCGTCTTGTTGTAGAGCATGAATGTACGACCGTAAAGGATTGGTCGTCAACAGGCTTTCTTGGTGGCAGCCTTGTTGGAACCAACCGTGTGCTTTCAGATGCTGAAGAGCTATGTGTGGGAGCAGGAAATACCGTATCCTGCTTCCAACACACAAACCACACTCACAGAAACACTTCAATCGGCAGACTTGAAGATGATGGAGCTTCCACTATTAAAATCGCTTGCGCTGCTTCTTTTCAAGTTGCTACTCGCCCACTTGTTGATTCGGCATCGGAAATCACTGTTGCTGCAACATTGATGATACTGTTTCGATGTGTCACACAATATTCCATAATACATTTAAAAATGTTTCTGTATGTCAATTACAAGAATGGTCCATTCAGCATAGTTGTCGTTCTCAATGCTCCAACCAGTAGCCTTTTTTGATCTTCAGGAGTTAAAGTTTTCAAGAAACTAGGATATACATTAAGAAACAAGCCTTTACGAACGTCCTCTACTGCAGGCTTGAATATGCCGATAGGGATGCCTTCCACTGTCTCGTCAGATGTTGACGGCCGACCGTCAAATGCCTGCAAAATCGGCTTGATGAGATTTGATGGCACGTTTAATTCGAGTGAAGCGTCAGATCTAAAGTAAGTATCGACGAGAGTGCGGCAGGCAGACAAGGCGGGCTCTGGAATGGTGGTAATCGGTAGTTGTTGCAGTGATTGTTGTGATTCAGGTCGGTCCGGCGATGGGCTTCCCAGCGATGATGGGAAGTATGGCGTTGAGCTATTGAGGTTTACTCTTATGCCGTCGTCAGAAGCCGTCGACCCATTTCGCGACATTCCTCCGAATCTTGACTTTGCGTCCATCAAGGACGAGGTTTTTCTGGTGAGTGCTTTTACAACCGAAGACCGATTGCTGAGTAGTCCTGATCGTATTTGATCCTGGTCCTGCCAAAAGATCATCTCATTGATTCTGATCATTTCAGCCATGAAAGAGGTGTTTTCAACACAAAACAGTCGAGCCTAAAAAGGCGATTTGAAGGAGTGTGAGGTAAATTCCGCATTGGTTGACTGGTCGTAGCTTATAAATCTTTGCATCTTGACCTAAATCCTTGCTTTTTCAATCAAGGTGAACTCACCGAATGAGCTTTAAATTTGACCCACATAACGTCCTTGTTCTGCAACAAAGCATCAAACACCTTTTCATTGTCAAGCTCTAACAAGAGAGGATGTTGACAGCAAATTGTTTTTCGCATCTACAAAATTACTGACCGCTTTTGGATGAAATGCTAGTTCTAGCCCAGCCATAGTATTGCATCGCTGCCTTGATCTTCAAATCCATCTTCCACGCCTGCCATAAAGGATAAATCACAGAAGACATATGCCATCCAGGGTGCACAAGGGGTAATACCAAATAAGGTGGGAATGCTGCATACGCCGGGGTGCCCCACTCGACAGTCGCGTTCAGCACAGCATAGAGTATGACGTTTGTTATACCATTAGCCTTTCAAAAGCGAGGAACAAGTTAGCGAGATGAAATATATAAGGAGATGAATCACGCGGTTACACTTACTGCATTGAAGACAAGCTCGGTCCGCACACCGATTCCATCTAGACATTTACTTGTGACGCCTAAACAAAACGGACCTGTAGCGAAAGCTCTTTAGTTCACAAGGTGCAAATGAAGATAACATAAGAGCGTTAAGAACCGCAAATTGAGCTGCATCGAATTTGAAATCTTTACCTAGTACACTGACCTAGCATCCACATGATTGACAAAATAATAGGTTAGTGGCCTACTTCAAGGTTGCAATGGTGTAAGTTGAACCAACAAACCGTACCAATGCCATGTAGTAGTACATGGGTGCGAGCTCTGCCTCAACGATATATTGCTCAGCATTACACCTTATCGTTGGATGAACGGAATCTGCTCAGAGAGACAGATAAGACAACAAAGTGATTGGTATCAAATCAAAAATTCACGACAAGACAAAAGCCCGAATTTAGCTCACACTTTGGCGACATGATCATTATGATAATAATGCTAGCCACCATGAAAAACTTGTCAATCCAGAAGACAATCCAATACACTTTGGCACTTGATAGCCATTGTGTCGATTTAGTAGCCCAGTTCTTTGCTTCAACTGAATGATTCAGCCTTATTTGCTGTTCTCGGTATTTAGCATACAAGTCTCTGGTTAGTCCCTGAAAATAGAAATACGCAGTCAACAGTCAACCAGCTGTTTGAGCAGTCGTCAGGGGTTATGTCTTACGAGATAGGCAAAGAGAATTCTGTACAATAGGAACGAACATAAGGAAAATCAGCCATATTATGTAACTGTATGTACCAAAAGCTCATCTCATGTCCTCGTTCACGTACATGCTTGAGTATGTTGGACCCAAGACAGCTGGAATAACACATCCAAGTGGCATGTCGTCCCAGTATGTTGTTTTCAAAATTGCTTGCAGATGGAGGAGCACGCCTCTAAGTAAATCAAAAAGAGTATCAGTCTAAGGTAACGTGGTTTCATATGAAGCCACCTCATTGGTCTTTGGAGAAAAGTTGACATAAGCGTACGCAATACTGTAAAACAGAGCTGGGTAGAATGGCCGAACCAGTCGTAATTTTCTATGCGTCCATAGATAAATTGGAGTTGTGATCAAAACAAACACAATCCAAATAGAGCCTAAACCCAGTTTTGGTTATTAGCACCGGCTTGATGCACGTCATTGTCATAATGTGAATACACAGAACAAATAACTCAAGAAAAAAGAAAACATCAAGTACTTGAAATAGCAATAAATAGAGAAGTTTCTGGTCTAACGAGTACTTTGATGTTAGATAGGTTTGTTCACAACCAAGCAAAAGGTGTAGAAGTGTTGACGTACGAGACATAGCCTCCTGGATATAACGACACAGTCATCAGAAAGTGTGGCGAACTTATTTTTAGAATATCATTGAATGAGATTAGTGAGTTCGTGTTGACACTACTCTTGTTCTAAATCCAAAGGTCCATTTAAGGGTCGGAAAGTATATCGGAAGGACGTCAAAGTGATCGGTATCAGGTACGTGAAAAAGGCATTATCCGGCGTTTCAAAAGACTATTCGTGCTGCTGTGCCTGCTGTGATGCTTCTCGTCACTCCTCACAACACTGTTGCGTCAATTTGAATCACCCATAGCTTCAGATCGGGTATATTTTCCAAACGCCATGATGAGCTTGCTGTATTCCGGGTCTTCAGTAGCAGGCTAATTGCACAGCTTACACACATGACTCTGGCTGATCATCATTAATTCCTTCTAGACAAGAAGCCCGCGTTATTATGCTGGAGTCACGCACCGTTAAACTCCTGTTGCTGTTGTGCCTCTAGATATAGAATATGGCTTTCAGTAATATAATATTACACTCCTATGCTCGTTTCATCTTCGGGGCTCAACCATTTAAGAAACTAGGATATCCATTTAGAAATAGGGATCGCTGAACGACCTGCACTGCCTGCTTGAAGATGCCTCCCAATTGTGATTTACGGGCTTTGAGAAGACATCTTAGCATTTCAAAATTACAATAATTTCTAAGCATTTTCTCGGCAACACTAGGAGAATTGGCTGGCATTGCTAGAGGTTTGGCTTCTGCTTGTCCTTGCAAAGACTGTCAAAAGTCAAAAGCTTGTCGGTCAGTCCTTGCCCATTCATCATGCTTGGCGGAAGCACGAACGACGGTATATATCGTTCGCGATCATTGTCTTCCTTCAACAGTAACTAATGCACTCTTGCCCTAACTGATAGTATGTTTTCTGGACGAACCTCTCTTGCTCTCAATAGTTTCTGAATGAGATGGTACCAATAAGAGAAGAGCTGCCAAGTCTTCAAGTCCCTCAAAAAGCAGTGCAAATAGTAGCCCGTCCCCATCGAAACGTGCAC